ATATTTTAGAATATCCTACTCTCTACAAAGGAAAGATACTACAAGATGATTTGAATAAAAGATGGAATGCCCCTAAATATAGTATTGGAGCCTCTCAAGGAGGAGGCGCGGGGGCGGGCGGAAAGCGTCGGCTAATCAAGGCTGCCATCCTACGCCAACCATCACCCGCATTTCACCTCCAATATCCCCTCTAAACAAATCCACAGTTGACACTGCGATACCCACTGATACTCCCATTGCTAATCACGATCTCCTGATTCATTAGTTGGTATCGGGCACGTTGCAATGGACGGGGCCAGGCCATCTCGCCCGGATCGGCCATATCAGCGCACCTACAAAGCATGCATCCCTTGCCGGGCACGCAAGGCCAAGTGCGACTTGGGCACGGGTCCAGACGGCTTACCGATCGGCCCACCATGCGCGCGATGTCGCAGAGAGATGAGAGAATGCGTCTTCCCTGAGAAACGGGCCTGGGAAAGGTCGCGTAAACGCGGTAAGTCGCAGACACCACGCCTCAATGCGCTTGCCTCATTGCGCTTGCGCGGAGCCCGCTGGCTAATCGGATATTCGCCTAGGTCATTCGTTCGATGATAATGATCAGACGGTGTCGCCTGTTGGAGAGCATGGGGTCGCTGGTAGTTCGCCCGAGACTGTGAAGAGGCAATTCACCCAAGCTCATCAGTCGGGCCACTACCCCGGTAGCACAAGTCCATTCCAGCAGGGTTGGTCCTTCACTGGGCACCAGCAGTCTCCGCAGAATAGTCATGGCTCTCAGGTGGGGATTAGTCCAGTGCAGGGTACGGATACAATGATGCATGCAAACCATTCTCCGTCCCAGTCATACCATGACCATCGACATCGGTCGAGTTCTACGCTGGCGAACTCAATGATGCGGACTGTTGTCGCCAGCGGAAATGATGCACTAAACATTCTTTTTGAAGCCGCGACTGCCCAAGATCAGGAGGATAGTACGTCCAATGAAGTGGACACACCACTCAGAACTGGTTCGAAATCGAGTGGGTTGAATGGCAAAGCGCGATCTACTCCAAGGGATTTTGAAAGCCCTTACTTTGAACCACCCCCGAGAAACGTGGGTCCGGTCACTATTTCTGTTGTTGCACCGGAGACATTGAGCGTTTGGGAGGCATGTCGTTTCGTCAAGATGGGCTGGTTTACCGCTAGAGAGGCGGTCACATTTATCGATCTGTAAGTGTTTGTGTTGGACATGGCATGACGCCATCTTTACTAACGCAACATGACTAGGTTCTTCAAGAACATGTCTTGTTTGTCTCCTATATTAACAGAATTTTACTCTAATCACCGAAACCATTACTGGCTTATCTCTCGTGAGCCAGTTCTTTGCTGCACGATTCTCATGGTTTCGTCTCGTTATCACATCCTTCCCGGGGCAGGCGGCGACTCTAGGAATTTCTTCATCCATCACAGACTATGGCAACATTGCCAGCAATTAACTATGCGATTAATATTTGGGCAAGAGAAATCCACAAAATCCAAAGTCAGGAGTTTAGGGACCGTGGAAGCACTTCTCATAATGGCGGAATGGCACCCTCGTTCGCTACATTTCCCTCCCGAGACAGACGGATGGGATGATGACCTGATTCCCAGCCCTGCAAAGCCTTCCGACCAAACGGAATCAGAAGCCACATCGGCAAATCGATGGTTGGAAGACATGATTGAACCATCAAGACGATCCGATCAGATGTCATGGATGCTTTTAGGATGTGCTCTTTCGCTCGCGCACGAGTTGGGCATCTTTGAGACCGAAGAATCCGATTCTCTTGGTGAAGAGCAAGAATGGAAAGAGCAAATGGCCCTCCGGAGGCAACGAGTTCAACGCCTTCTCTATGTGTATATCAACCAGCTCGCATGGCGCATCGGGTGCATGTCTCCCATCCCGCAATCGCTAAACCATGCTGTTCTCGGTGGGAGGAAACCTCGGGGACTCAGTCAGCCAGGCAGTACCTGGTTAATATTTATGGATTCATGGATTGAATTGACCAAGCTGGCACAGTCTGTAACCGATATGTTTTTCCCATCCGCCAAATTCGCTCGCCAGCAATTGCATAGCGGCCGCTACGTTGGGCTCCTTGAGCATTTCCGGCCACTGCTCAACCAATGGAAGGACAAGTATCTGCAACCTGAGGTGCTCGACAAAGCCTTCTTCAATGACCTTTTCATCGAATATCATTTTGTCAGGGTATATACACACTCGGTGGGGATGCAAGCAGTAGTTGAGCGGGTGGTGGCAGATGCCGACCCAAATAACTTTGACGAAGTGCGGCCGATGACCATCGACCCGACCGACTACGATTATATTCAAGAAGTGATTGACGGCTGCTGCCAAATCTTGCAGAAGGTTTGCCATCTCGCAGAGGTGGGCGCACTACGATTTTCGCCAGTCCGAATTGTCCTTCGGATTACTAGTGCCTCGATATTTCTGATGAAAGCACTCAGCCTAGGCACTCGGCAAGCCGTACTGCAAGAGTCACTTGAAGTACTCGAGCGGAGCATCAGTGCGTTAAAATCCAACGCGCTCGACGATGTCCATCTGAGCACTCGCTACGCCACTCTGTTGGAATTGCACGTCTCACGCCTGCGTCGCAACCTACTGGCGTCATCTAAGAATGTGAAAAACAGTCGAGGTGCGACGCGACGATCATCAATGGGTCCTCCACTGTGGCCAGAGAATGGCGACCGATCAAATCATCTCAGCACGCCCGTCTCGCAAGAAATGACCTCATCTGATCTCGGCTTCATCCCATCAATCAATGATATGGCGGACGACTGGTTGTCACTGCCATTTGATCCATCAATGGCACCATTTGGGATAAGTAACGGGGGACAGTTCCCCATGTGTGAGGGGGGCGCATTAGACTTTATTTGGAACCTGCCATCATGAAGATTGGGACTAGAAAACCGGGGAAAGTAAATAGTGGAGGCCGCCCCGCCCATAGTCGCAAGTCCATAAATAAAGAGCCAGGGCCATTAGGACCCGGGAAGGAATCCAAGATACCCAAATTTCCCCTAATATGAGCCAAAATAGAAATGAGCTGCAGTCCGTAGAAGCAGAGAAAACAAGAGGGAAAAAAAAACTCTGATGGCACTGCCACGCAGGAACGGTGTAATCCCGGGAATTCCCTTGGACCCCTGCAGTTGGCCACACTCGTACACAGAGTAGGGACAAAGTCAAAAGGTAGTCAAAGCACTGTGGTTGGGCTTGGAAGTGACTTCGGGCGATCTCGCCGGGTGGCGCGGCATCGGGTCACGTGCAGTCACGCGCTCCCCGGCGAAAAAGTCGTCCTTATCGATTCTCCAACCTTCAAATCCACCTGGTTCACCTCCGAAGCTCTCGCCCTTTCCATCCAGTCTTCTATCCCCCTCGACCCTTCCGACCCTCCCTTCGCTTTTACACACACACATTATGGATCACTCCAGAGATCCCTGCCCCTGGGTCGCCCTGAGCGATTTCGGTGGTGCTTTCTGCATGGGTGTACGTCTCCTTTCGACCCCGACCCTTACCCGTCGAGAATAACTTCATTTTATTGAACATTTTATCTAATTCTGTTTCTCCATAGGCTATTGGTGGTGCTGTCTGGCACGGTGTCAAGGGTTTCCGCAACAGCCCCTACGGTGAGCGCCGGATAGGTGCTCTCACTGCCATCAAGGCGCGTGCGCCCGTTCTCGGTGGTAACTTCGGTGTCTGGGTATGTCAAACATTCAATTTTCATCCACCAAGCTTCTCTTCCTAACATTCGCATTTCAGGGTGGTTTGTTCTCGACCTACGACTGTGCTATCAAGGGTATTCGCAAGAAGGAGGATCCCTGGAACGCCATTATCGCTGGTTTCTTCACCGGTGGCTCTCTCGCCGTCCGTGGTGGTGTCAAGGCTGCCCGTAACTCCGCCATCATGTGCGCCGTCTTCCTGGCTGTCATTGAGGGTGTCGGTATTGGTTTCCAGAGAATGATGGCCGATAACACAAAGCTGGAGGTACGATCATCCCATCCATAGCCAGAGCGCGTGCATCATCATCATTTAAGAACATTCAACTAACGCGAGTCCGATTTTAGCTTCCTCCCCCTCCTCCATCTGAGCAGAAGGCTCTTGCTTAAATCAACCTCTTCTACGACGACGCTCACGCGATCGACTCCATTTCTCCGGTGGCCGAAAAATCCCACCTCGCCCTCCTGTTCTCATAACACAACACAACACATCAGCACATCCCCATATCAAGTCTCTCTTCTCAGGTGTTTGGTCTGGGTCATCATTTTTAAACGACACGGTATAGAGGTCCTTGTTTTGCAATACGCTTTTCTATTTTTTGATACCGCCGGTCTGTTTTACTTTTCGGAGCATTGTATTTTTGTGGACGGCGGGCTCGATCTATGGCTGGTTTCCGAGACCGGCGCATGCTTCTTTTCATTCCGGGCTTACGAGGTCCCATTAAAAGAATTTTCTCTGCTCATGCTGCAAAAAAAGCGTTCGGAAGGGGACGTGGTGGATTCTTGTACATTACCGCATTTGCTAACTAAAGGCATAATACGCATATTTTCTGACATATATTTCTGGCTCATCTATTTCACTAAATAAGTACAGATCTAAGCACATCTACAAGGTAGACGAGGCTGTGAGTTTGTCCACACGACAATGCTGGGACGCGGTTGAGCTGTTCGCAATCCTCAGCTCCGCGATCGCCATTTCCCCGCATCCCAGTCAAATACCACCTCAACACTTTCTCCTCTTCTAATGCATCTCAACCCGCCGATTCCGCCATTCGAATCATGGCCAATTCTACCCCGGCAATCTTCAAGCCAGCTTTAATTCTGCACGGGGGTGCAGGCGTTTATCAGCGCTCAAAGCTCCCCCCCCAGATCTGTACGAAGCCTACTACGCCTCGCTACAATCCTACCTGCGCTCAACACATGAATTGCTCAAGACTGGCGCCAGCGCCCTAGATGCAGCCGTACACGCGGTTTCTTTCATGGAGGATGACGAGTTTTTCAACTGCGGCCGTGGCAGCGTCTTCACTACAGCGGGCACTATCGAGATGGAAGCTTCCGTCATGGTAACCTCTCTCCGGGGTGACGGCCAGTCCTCAAGCACAATGAAACGCGGAGCCGGCGTGATGGGCGTCAGGAATGTTCGTCATCCGATCCGCCTTGCACGCGAGTCGCTTCTACGCACAGGGTATAGCGTTGACGGCCAGCCCATCCGAGATGGAGGCAGTATGCATTCACAACTTGCAGGACCACAGGTAGAAACATTGGCCCGTGATTGGGGACTTGAATTCAAGCCTGATGACTGGTTTTGGACGCAGCGGCGTTGGGACGAGCATCGGCGTGGATTGGAGGGGTTGGAGCAGCCGATTCATTTGAGCCAGGGCACAGTGGGATGTGTCTGTCTAGATCAGTGGGGGAATTTGGCTGTTGCGACGAGTACTGGTGGTTTGACGAATAAGTTACCAGGTCGAATTGGGGATACGCCGACTCTGGGTGCTGGTTTCTGGGCGGAGGCTTGGGATGAGGTAGTTGAGGATGAAGCGATTGCTACAACTTCATCCGGGTCCTCGTTGGCTGAAATTTTTGAAGAAGCGAGGAGCTGGTTTGGCGACTGTCTGCCATCGCCTCTTCGCGGAGTCACTTCGTATAGCACACCGCCTCGACTTGGCCCGGGCTCTGAGAAGCAGTCACTAATTCATCAAATGTCATATCAGCCCCGAACAAGGAAGCGAGCAATTGCTATTTCCGGCACGGGCAATGGAGATTCGTTCTTACGCGTAGCTGCTGCGCGGACCACGGCCGCGATGCTACGTTTCTCAACACCAGGACGATTTCCGGATTCGCTCGCCGATGCTATTTCTGCGGTTGCGGGGCCGAATGGGGAGCTTCAGCGCTCGGCTGGTCCACGCTGGGACATTACTGGAGAAGGACAAGGGGGTATTATCGGTATTGAGGCAGATCTGACTGCTGAAAGTGGCGATGGATCACTACGACGTGGAAAGGTTGTCTTTGATTTCAATTGCACTGGGATGTGGCGTGCATATATTGAGGAAGATGCTTCTGGGAGAGAAGTTGAGAAGATTATGGTGTTCCGAGATGATTACTACCATCAGCAATATTAGTTAAGATCAACTTGGCAATTCACTCATGTAAATGCAATGGCTGATATGGTTTGACGCGGGCCATAGTTGATGCATCTCCCTGTGACAGCTAATGGAAAGCCTCCGAGTCCGAGACGAGCAAGCTTGAATTTTCTACCTTTATCCAATAGAATATACACTACTAGATTTTGATTCAAATATAATCGAAGGCCATGGGCGTGTTATTAGTATTCAAGGAGGAAAGTAGAGATTATGTTTCTATTTATTAATAGGAAATTCATAAGCTGAAGCTCAATTGTTCTCACGCTGACTACTAGTAGTACCATTAGATGCGATAGGACCAGTCAGTGGGACTCCCTCCTGCAAAGCTTTTGATGTCCAGAACTTCCTACCTGAGACCGACCACGGTGCCATTGTGATGACCACACGGTCCTCTATGATAAACCTTGGTCAGATGCTTCACTTACGCAAACTAGAAGACATCAATGATAGCCTTGAGATCTTGGCTTCCGTATCTGGCCGTGATGATTCAAGACAAGGTGAGTATTGATTATCTGATCCTATATCAAATACTGATAAAATCAGACTCCGCAGCAACTGATCTTGCAAATAAACTCGATGGACTTCCTCTAGCCCTTGCAACTGCTGGTGCATACCTGGAGCAAGTTTCAATAAACTACACCGAGTATCTCCAGCTGTACCAAAGCTCATGGCAACAACTGCACAAGGAGACGCCGCAACTGGCGGCATACAATGAGACACTATACTCAACATGGAACGTCTCTTATCGATATATCGAGCAGCAGAGTCCAATTGCAGCTATGCTTCTCTGTCAATGGGCCTATTTCGCTAGTGAAGATTTGTGGTTCGAACTGCTGGACAATGACAGCCCACAGAAGCCTGAGTGGCTTAGGGAATTAACAAAGACTGCGCTCTCATTCCATGCATGCCTAAGGCTCTTATGCAGTCACGGAATAGTAGTACCAAACTGCAATATGTGGAGTCTCGCGGCTATAGTGTGCATGGATGCGTACATTCATGGATGAAGTATATTTTGAGCCATGGAGTTGAGAGTAAGTGTATGGCATTGACAGCCATTAGATGTGTGGCAGCCCATGTACCAAGCCACGAGGAAAGGAAATTTTGGCTCATTGAGCGACGGCTTGTCGCACATGCAGATTGATGTCTGGACCTGATGAGCCGAATAGGATTTCTGGATCTGGCTGGAGGACTTCTCAATTCTTTGGGCAGCTTCTACGCAGATCAAGGGCGGCCCCATGAGGCAGAGAAAATCTATAACCATGCATTAGAATCTCAAGAGAAGGCGGATAGGCGAGAAGATAAGTTGACGCTGGATATTATCCACAACCTCGGCCTACTCTACGCAAATCGAGGGCAACAACAAGAAGCAGAGGCGATGTTCCACCCAGTACTTGAGGGCTACGAGAAAGTGCTCGGGCGTCAGGATACGTCGACATTAAACGCTTCTAATAACCTTGCTAGCCTCTATACAGACCAAGGACGATACCAAGAGGCCGAGGTAATATTCGAAAGAGCGTTAAAGACTACGAGAAGGTGTGGGGACGAGAGCACACGTCAACGCTAAATACCGTCAATAATCTTGGCACTCTCTACCGAAGCCAGGGTAGGCTTCAGGAAGCAGAGGCGATGTACGAGCGTGCGCTTGAAGGCTACGAGAAATCACAGGAACGGGAACACACATCAACAATGAGTATTGTCAACAACCTTGGTAGTATCCACGCAGCTCAGTCTCGGTTTCAGAAGGCAGAGGGCATGTTTGAGCGAGCACTCGAGGGCTACGAAAAGACATGGGGACAAGAGCATACATCAGCACTCAATAGTGTGAACAATCTCGGTAATCTTTACGGAAGTCAAGACCGATTCCAAGAAGCAGAGCCATTATTCATACGAGCCATCGAGGGCTATGAGAAGACTTGGGGACGAGAGCACACATCAACGCTCAATGCTATCAATAACCTTGGCACCCTCTATCAAAGCAAGGATCGGCCCCAGGAAGCACATGCATTGTTTAAACGGGCACTTGAGGGCTACGAGGTTGCCTTGGGGTCGGTTCTAGTGGCGACATATATCCCTGCTTTGAACACTCTCGAGAACCTTGGCCTCATATGCGCGGAGCTAGAAAGAAGCAATGAAGCTCTGTTATTCTACCAGCGGGCATTGAGCGGCACCAAGGCAGTTTTCGGGCAAATCAGCGAAGCCTATTCAAGTCTCCTGGACAGAATAAACTCTTTGAAATGTGACATGCACCAACCCGAAGGCGGAATGGAGATCTTTACTCGGTCTAAAACAACAAAGTTAGAGAGGAAATGGAAGAAATTGAGGGCAAAACTCCCAATCATGCCGAAAACTAGATAATTAATGCAAGAAGATGACATATCGATCAAAGCTATCTAGATGCCTAGGTATCTATGGCAATTGTTCAAAGGCAATTTTAGTAGATCAACAGACGATAGGTAGGAGAAAGGATGGAGAGAGTAGAAAGCCACCTTCTACACGCCCTTCTCCGTAAAAGCCACGTTTCCGACAGCAAAGCTATAGGCATCTTAGGTGATAAAAGTATCAACGAAGGGTTAGAAATGTAGCCAAACACATCATTACTACGAGCGAGGATGGTTAAAGCTGGTCTAGACTTTGCTGAGGCGTTACAATCTTTTCAAAATCGCAGGAAGCAGGGGCAGCCTAATAACTAGAGCATCAGGGTAGCCAGATTGAAATTTGATTTGGTGAGACTGTGACTGGCAAATCTATTTTCTTTTTTCTGTGAGAGAAACTTTGGTCCTATTTCACATGGGTGCAAGCTGAGCAGGCAATATGAGCGCAAGATGTGCATGTAGGTTGAACATCCCATAATTTGGGACCATCATTACACTGGCAGCAGATGTACAAGAGGTTTCCCTTAAATTTGGTGCCTGAAGAATTGGACGTGTCAGTGGTGGAAGTGGTCGGAGCGGTCGGAGCGCTTGACGAAGTGCCAGTGGATAATTGATTTATTTTCCCAGGTGCCTGGGCATCGACAAAAAGCCTTGTTGCATTTCTGCTCAAAGACCTACCACTGTATCAGAAATATACATGGAAGGGAAAGAAGGCATGTCATTGTTATGACGGTCCTCACGGCTTAAAGATGCCTGACCAGTTTTTCAAATACTCTCCCGGCAGCAAAATGTGGGCGGATGAGTTGTAATTAGCAATGTGATCAGCTCCAAATTTTCGGCAAGCTGGTTGCCATCCGCTAGATATATCTTAAAGATTCAACCGAATAAGTATAAGTAATTGTAAGTAACTCAATCTTAACAAGACCTTACCTTGGTTATATGCGAGGAAGCAGCACATATCAAAGAAAAGAGACTGGTTATCACCAAACTCTATCCTTATATTTGCGAAACCAAAACCTTCACGAATAAGCGTAGGAAAATCACTTCTGAGAATGCCCGAGAAGAGCGCAGCAAATCTTTCGAACGAACCACTGGCACGCGCGAGGCCATCAAGCACCTCAATCCGCGCGTTCATTTGTATTTCTACACCAACCGCCAATCCCATGGTCATGTTGAACATTACCTTCCAGCTATCTTCCCATACCAGGAAATGTAATATGTTTCTTGTGCTGATGGATATGAGATACCATCCTTTCGGTGATCCTTGAAGGTAATTAACATCAGTCAATACGATCTTGTGCCTCAGCAAGGCTTGCAGCTCACCACTCAACACAGCTGGGTCAACTTTCTCATTCACGGTCCCAAATTCTAATCTCTCCGCGCCATGGAGTTTCATTTCCTCTGGGCAAAAATCTTCAATTTGTTCAACGTGCCGTTGGTTCGTAATGGGTAATGCTGTCAAAGAAGCGGGGTTCAATGTGATCGCACGTTGCCGGGGAGGGGTATGTAGTAGTCAGGCGGCATACATGGATGCTTTGAGCCTCTAACACGGTGACGCAGAAAGACAGCAGGAACGAATTGTGATTGATATAGCCAAACTCTGGCACGGAATCCAAGCAACATCCGATATGGTGTAGTGGCTAACATCGCCGTCTCTCACACGGCAGCCGGGGGTTCGATTCCCCCTATCGGAGTTTCTTTTTCACTCCCCATCTCCTTCCATCGATTGACAGCGGATCGAATGTCTTTTTGGATCGATTATTTATTCCAAAGTTATTATTTATATATTACACATTATGTTATGTAGCTAAATGCTGTTTGACTCAATGCCTTGGAAATTGCGGGCATCCCTTTCTTTCTTTCCTCTATAATTAGTATTTCAAGGATTTTGCCCAGGTGCCTAGGTGACTGATACTAGTACTATCTTCACTTTATATAACTGGACTTTTAGTACTGTTCAAGATAAAAATTCCGATTGATGTGCCCAACCGTGCTCAGGTGGAAGTTTATCTCGAGCGCCAAAGAGGTCGATCCTTGACCTGCCATTGGCTACATACTTGTAGTTAGTAGCCCGAGGTCCACGGATTTCCTATTCAAATGCTATCTTCAATTCCCTGGTGACCGCCATAGTAGTGTACCTGGATACTTGTGTTCTAAGGTTTACTAATGCCCCAGTGGGCTGGCACTGACTGCTCAAGAGCGTGGTGGCTTAGAAATAAGGCATCCGCACGGGGACGTTCATCGCTTGCCGTAGTGGGGCGAGGCGATCATTCAGAGCAACAACGGCGAGGACGCAGAGGAATGTAGAGCAACTGAACAACCTTGGAAGAGGAAAATTCCCATGCCTGCCCAGGTGGACTTCAACTCCTTCCGTATTGCGGATTTCCAAGGTTATGCTCCCCCTGAATTATTACCTAGTGTAATGGGGGTTTCCGCTCTCAACATCGGCATCCTGGAGTCATGTGATTGAGGCCTTAGCAACAAGGCCATAGTTTTGTTTCGTGAGGTCAAGTAGTGTTCGTTCGATCGCATCAATAACAACCACGCATGTTCCCCCTTATAAAATGTTCTACTGAGGCTACCGAGGTTGCGGTGTCGATATACTGCTTATGAAAGGTTCTGTGATTCGTTCCATCGTTCCTCTATAGCGTCACGTTTTGTCTACTACTCTCCTGTACTCTGCAAGTGTGGTGGTTTTGTCCTCTTGTGATCGACCCGTCTGCCTGGCAGACAGCCAGCGGGCATTCCCATCTTTCACTAGGTATTCTGCAGACCTGCCACGCGCCAGTAGCATTCGTCATTTTGCACTATGGTCCGAAGACCCCCTGACCAGCATGATTCTCATCAACGCACTCACGTTGCTTGTGATTCCTGCTTTCGCAAAAAAGTGTGAAGATCAAGCCCTCGAGTTCCTCATTAAGCCCCGGGCCAGAGAAGACCTGACAGCTGCCAGATAAAATGTTACCGCGACAATCTTCCATGCGAGTGGTGCTCACAACATGGCCTCCAATGTACCTTTAACCGAGCTCACCGCAGCAGTAAAGTCCCTTCGGCCGGTGGGAACATGTAAGTGCATCTGAGATCGTCTCCAGTACTAAGACTCAGAGATGAAGACTAAGAGTTCCGCGCAAAGTGCGATTTTTTCCCGGTATGAACCAACTTCATCTGGGGACGAACGTATGAATACGGTAAAGCCAATCGATGATCCTAAGTGCTAGAATTAATAATGACAAATTATAGGAAATAGACACGCCCCGAGAACAGCCACCATCGGGGAAATTTCCTAGTTCTATTCATAATATTTTTGGACATGTCCCGATCAACCTTCGTGCGTCAACTGGGCTTCCTTTCTTTGCTGAAGAAAGCCAGCAATGGATGGAGTCTTGCACCGGCCAGAAGATCGATTTTGATCGATTGAACTTAGCCAGAGTCCGAAAGCAAGATCAAAACGTTCATGACTTTGCATCTCTCAAGGAGCGATTTCGACATCAGCCTCATTCCGAGCTTCCAGAGAGGGACGTTGTGCTTTCCGCATTCCACAAGTTCATTTCCTCCTCTGCATATCGCCGCTTTCCTTTCCTTCACCCTGTTTTGCTTCCTTGCACCATGGAAACAGCCTATGAGAATCGTCTCTCGGAATTTTCGCCTGACGTTCCTAGCGCCAGAGCTTGCATATTTGCCTTCATTGCCTACAGCAAGTTTATTTTGGAAGGAAACTCCTCCAGCAACGATATAAGATCCCAAGGGTATATTCATGAAGCGCAATATCTTGTATCTGAAATTCTGGATGGTCAGGCCACTCTAGATGGAATTCAGGCACTCCTAATGGTTGTAAGTTAACCAATTCTTTTTCATTCGTCAATTGTTCCACATACCTAGATACTTGACCTGTCCAGAATGGTGCGCTGTACCTGCGCCATATCTTGGAAATTATGGTGCAAATAGCTTTGTTGAGCCTCTGATATCTTTGGTCTCATTCGAAGTCTTTTATTGTTTTCTTGAACCGGTCCTCCAGTTACTGATACCCGCTGGACTAGTCAATTTGCCGACTGGGACGAATCAGCACCATGAATTCAATAGAGCCAATTTTCAACACTGCGATACGCTTTCTTTTCATCCTAGGAGGCCACTTGAATCCGGCCGCTCAGAGGCCACCTGCTTTGTTTCAGGTACACTGTCGATCACTATTTTGGATAGCGTACGTGATGGACAACGAACTTTGCCTAAGGACATGTCGGCCGCCAGCAATTTGCGTTGATTACTGCGACTTGACTTTCCCGAGTACAAGCGAAATTGCTATCGAATTCTGCGTTGCCGATCTAAAGATCCCATCCATCCAGATACTTCCTTACTTTTTTCCCACCGACCTGAGGCTGGCTTCAATTCAATCCAGAATTAGCAAGGCGCTCCATTCTCCTCAAGCAGCATCGAAATCAGATGCGGAAATTTTGAAGACAATTCGCGAATTGGATGAGGCAATTGATGACTGGTACAAAAACCTGCATCTATCATATGACCACTCAACCGTCCCCGCCCAAGATATAATGACCCGAGAGGAGGCCTTCGGGTCTCAATTCATGCTACATATTCAGCATAAATACTGCATTGTTGCTGTTCATCAAATGAGCACCGGGTGTCGGGCATGGATTGCCGATACAAGCAGCCAAGCCTTAGGCATAAGGTTGAGCTTAGAGGTTGCGGCTAACGCAAGCCGTGGTCTACTTGAACAATTCCTCGGTGTAAAGGCCTTATTTCAACAAGGTGGATTCTGGTAAGATCCGTCATTGCTTGAATTTACGCTTCAAAATACGGAATAAAGGACCCGTAACTGATTTTTTCAATAATATTCCAGGTTCGCGATATTTTATATGCTGACAGGAGTGATGAATCTCTTCTGTCAAGTTCTGAAAGAACCCACAAATCCACAGACCGAGAATGACATCAGTCTGCTTGACCAGATTTCGCAGGAATTTTCTTTAGCAGCAGAGTCGCATGCGTCTCCCGAATTTTCCGGTGATATTTGCTCGATAAGAGATTTTGTTGCAGAATTGAGCCGTCTTGCTCGATGCGCTATTCTGAAAGGAAGAGAAATAATGGCTCGGTGAAAATTGATATTATAGGTGTAGCTATCTAGTCATAACAGATCCTCGAATATTAAAATGGAATGTTTCTTAGATTATTCAATAGTATGTCCGTCACTTAAAGGCGCGTTTCCTAGTATACCTTTGTTTCCTCGACGACTAACGGATGGTCCCAAGGAATGAGAGCTGGGAATGGTTCATCTGCAAGGATATAATTCAAAACCAATGCCTTTTGGATCGCTCCAGCTCCATTTCCGGTCAGTCTTAACATCAAAGTGATAATCCATGCGCGACACATGACGTATCGGGCAAGAAAGTAGTACAGTTTGTTCTCCCAGGCATGCATGCGTGACATGTGTCGGGACTGACTGTAGTCGGATTGCAATGGGTCGGCCCTGGTCTTTTGGTACTCGTCGAAAACATTGGACAAAGTGACCTCGTCTGGTAGGATGCCCTGGCTCGACTTCAACATGCCATATAGACCGTTGCACAGAGCAACTACATCTTGGATTCCATTACTAAATCCACGACCCGCGTTTGGCGTGAATTTGTGACACGCGTCACCCATGAGGACAATTCGTCTCCAGCTCCAGCGAGTCAAAATACCCTCTTCCAGATTCGCCATTCCTTGCGTCAATCGTGTTGCGTATACATCCTTGACCTTCAACGTGTCTGTCACGGGGAATTCAGAGAACCGCGTCGCAAACACTTCCATATCATCCTCCGTATAGCGCACCCGCTCCGCGTTGGTCGAATCTGCCGTCGTTATAACCCTCGGAAAACGCTCGTACAGAAATATCCAACCGCGTTCTTTTCCAGCAAGAAACATGACAGACATATCTTTAGACTGCGCATCCGTGGCGTGGCCCGCCTCGACGCTCTCCGGCCGTGGGAAGCTGCTCCACATGCATCGATATTGGGCCGGGAACGGGTCAGCAGCATCCTTCCAGACCTGCTGAGAATCCTGAGACATGGCCATATCACGCATAAGAGTCCGTGTCTTGCTGTGAACTCCATCCGCTCCCACCACAATCGATCCCTGGTATGTGCTTCCGTCGGTACAGATGACATTAACGCCATCCTGGGCCTCTGAGACCTCCATGGACTTGATCTTCTTGTTGAGTAGGTATCGTGATTGAGCTTCCGAGGGCAACCCATCGTATAGAGCTTCGACTAGCTGTGCGCGGTGGAAAATGACCGGTGCGGTTCCGTGCCTGTAAGACAAAGGTTAGGTATATGTACGACCAACTTCGTCACTACCAACAATGAGAGAATCAAGTTCAATGTAGAGAATCCTGCTTGTCCAGGGGCTAACTCACTTGGATCTAAAAACGCGAGGAATTGTCCTGCTGTCTGCAAAGCGATTTCCATCTGCCATGAAAGAGGAATTCCGTGCCATTTCACATCCAATTTTTGCCAATCGTTCCGATAAACCAAACTGATGCAGCACTCGCATGCTAGGTGGTCCGAGAACCAAGCTGGCCCCCCTGGTCCAGAACGACCGAGTCGCGTGCTTCGAGGACCACGAAGTCGATTCCGGCATGGTGGAGGGCATGAGCCGCCGTGAGACCGACGGGGCCGCCGCCAACAACGATCACTTTGAAAGGAGGTGATGACATTGGTGGATTTTGACAATTGATAAGAGATGGATATCCACAAAGTGAATCTGGACGAAGAGAACCTCGTCAACTTCAAAACTTGAAATTGAATGATAAGGGAATCTAGGTTCTCGATGTTAATATTTATATTAGACACACGACTGTCCATTTTTAGCTTCAGACGCAGGCCGGTATTCGTGAGAACACGCGGCTTTCGGATGCGCTTTCATTCCGTTCCGTTCAGATGTCAGTTATGCCAAAGTAGTGGATCTCGCTGCTCCCCTGGAGAAACTTTTGGAGGATATTATCACTCTGTCGACGTACAACATCAACGCGAAGGTCCAGCTCCGCCTTGACGCTAGCCCTATTTAGGTAAATAACCCGCTTATTCAGCTGATCAGCGAAGATCCACTAAAAGGATTTCAATTGGTTGTTGAGTGATTGAGTATTGACGCTAATCCAAATATAGAAATGTGTCCGCTTAGTCAAATCCCCGCAGCCGCAGATAATTCCTTCCTTTTGGTTTGGTGGAACAGTTGACTATCAATATTTCCCATGGCTTCCAATCATCCCTTACCCATCTCTGGGAAATGGGAAACCCCCGATGCCTACATGGAGGCTCTCCTCTCTTTCTCCACCACGTCGGTTCTCTTTATGAATTTGTGCGGTGGCGTGCATATGGTCGACTTTTTGACCCGCGAACCTGATCTTTATACAACAATCTTGCCAAAAGACTGGAGATCTTTCTTCGAGCAGCACGATGCTCAAAATATTATTGGCCTACTTCTAAGGGAAAATATTGATCATCTACGAGGCGTTGACGAGCCTTCTGTAGAGCAATGCAGCCGTACTTGGAATGGAGGGGCATTCCCTCCCCAGAGCCTCCTAGACTACATTTTCAATATTCGCCAACTCGCACTCCAACGAGAATTGCTCCCTTCCTCTACGGAGAGAATCGATTTGCCAAAGCAAGTCGCTATGCGTATGAACCGGAAAAAAGTACACGAGGTCGAATGCTTTTCTCAATACGTCGCATCTCTATCAGATACTGTTGGTAACCGACGAGGCGAGACAGTCTCTCATATTGTGGACTTCGGCTCTGGGCAGAATTATCTCGGAAGAACACTTGCAAGCTCGCCTTACTACAAGCATATTATCGCGATTGAGCGTAAACATCAATACATCAGCGGTGCCAAAACTATGGATGTCCGAGCCAAGTTGGCCAAGGACCCCAAAGCTCGAAAGTCGCCAAAGGACAAAGTTTCATGCGACGAACGCAATATTATTACAGAGGCAACTACCTCTGGAGCAAATAATATCCCCGAATCTACGATACAAGATTCGCAGGTCCCAGAGGAGGTCCCTTTTATTGAGATGCTAGGCGACATGCGGCTTGGACCGGACGAGCTACTCAAATCTCCCCCCCAAAATAACCCAAAAAGAAAACCCGTCAAAAGCAGAGATCCATAATGTTGGTACTCTAAGCTATATTGAACATGAAATTCAAGATGGCTACCTAGAATATATTGTTGATCACGTTATTCATCCATCTCCAACTGGCCTCTCCGATGAGAAAAGAAAAGATGGCGATTCTAGACTGATGGTCGTTTCTATCCACTCATGTGGAAACCTCGTTCATCATGGTCTGAGATCCTTGGTTCTCAACCCTTCGATTGTGGCCGTCGCAATGATCGGCTGTTGCTACAACCTGCTGACCGAACGTCTCGGCCCAGCCACATGTGATCTTCCCATTCTTCCATCTCTTCATCCTCGACTTGAAGAGACTGGGACATCATACGACCCGCATGGGTTTCCCATGTCCAAGTACTACGAGGATTACCGAAGCCCCGGAGCAACAACCGGCATGAAGCTTAACATCACGGCCCGTGCATTGGCCATGCAAGCCCCATACAATTGGGGCCATGACGACAGCGAAGTTTCCTTCACCCGTCACTTCTTCCGTGCTCTTCTTCAGCGTATTCTCGTCGATCGCAACATTCTCCCTAAACCGGAAGACACAACTGAAGATAGAACCGACTCTATCATCATCGGAAAACTGCCTAAGGCTGCCTTTAAGTCCTTTACTGCATATATACGCGCGGCAACGGCCAAGATGAGTCGAGACCCAGTATATGGTACTCAGGTGCAGGAGCGTATTGCAACTCTGACAGACGAAGAGATTCACTGCTATGAGGCCCAGTACTTCCCCGCGAGAAAGAATATGAGTGTTGTATGGAGCTTGATGGCGTTCAGCTCTCAGCTTGTTGAGTCTATCATTGTTGTGGATCGATGGCAATTCCTTCGTGAACAAGACTTTGTTAAAGATTGCTGGGTTCAGCCAGTATTTGACTATGGTCTAAGTCCGCGAAATTTGGCCGTCATCGGACTGAAGAAATGACGTGCCGTGAACAGACAGCAGACTACCGGTATTAGAAATGGAATCAAATATACATAGATACGATGTCACGACAGAAAAACATGAAAATCTATCTCGATTTTGTACCCCTGGCCGAAGATTAGAATGGAAGACACCGCTCGTAGTAACTTTGGAAGTAGCCAGGCCGAGGGCTTATATGTCTGACATTTGGCTTATCCCAATCCCTCCTGGTTGTGTCTCCGCATTTCCTGTGCTAAATAGAGATTGGGCCAAGTTGAAAGGATTGGATAAGGCCTTTTCCTTCCAAATCCTCCAGAAGGTCAATAAAGTCACGGGTACCTTTAGGAATTGTAACGTGGATATTGAGTACCTAGGTATGGGCCAGCAAATCTACCACAGCCTGTATGATTGCGTCGGCATCCCGTAGAAGGACGCCTCGCATAAGCATAAGTCCGACGCGCGAATATTTGTTTGGGGGCCCCAGGATTGGATTCACTGATCTCAAAAGTAATGGGATTCATACAAAAAGAACAATGACAATACGTACCTTCGTCATCAACCAGCGGGGCCGTACTTTACTGGTGATTACCTGGAAGTCAAGGTGATGCGAAAAATTCCGCTTGGTGTAATTTGAACCTTTTTTTTTTTATTGGGAGAGGGAAGGATGAGCCTACTACTTCTCCATAAGAACTCCCAGTGAGCAATAGTACTGAAATAATGGTATCATCGTAGCACCATAACAATAACGGTCTCCGGCTTGAACCACCTGGGCACCAAAATTTTGAATCCACTCCCTCAACGTTCAGGGAATTCCATTTCATAAATGTACTTCGAGACCGCCGATCTCCCATTTCTATCCCTGTAATCCTTGAGCTCCTCCTCGATGTTCTTATTAACTTCATTCGTACGTGTCTCGATCGAAGCAAGTGTTTTTGCCATCGGCCGCGCTATTCTATTAAAGTCATGTACCAAGACATCAGTCTCGAAGGGCGATCTGATTTCCAGACCATCTGCGGTCATGCGAAGCTGCTTTCTTTCCAACAGGGCGTAAAGTCGCCGGAGAGGAGTGATCTCTTTCTGATATTCTACCAGAACTTCGTAGATGGCGTGCAATGTGAAAACGCATAGTTCATCACATAGCTTTAAAGACGCAATACCGTTATCCCACCGTCGAGCGAAGTAGCGATCTAGACTGGATTCAAAGATTCTAGTATACACCTTTGGCGCGTATCCGAGGCCTGCTCCCAAGTAGAGTGTCTGGAGCCGGTGGGAATGAGAACGTGGGCATCGTGCCAAGTGAACTTCGTAGAGCCCAAACCAAGCTTCTTTCCAAATACCTGTGATCCTATCTTCCAGTTCGTGACGCGGAATATTGATGCTTATGCTAATTGGTTGAAGAGAACGTTTCATAAGACACTCTGTCTCCTCCCCACGTGGTGATTTTTTTCTCTTGCCCCGTTTCTTTTTAGATGAAACAACCTCAAATTTGACTTTGGCCAATTTCTTTGAAAGTGAGACCTCGTACTGGTTTGTTTTGGATTGAACAGCGACAATTTTGGCCTTGGCTAATGCCATCGAAAGTGAGATCTTGGTCTGTTTGTTTTTGGATGAAACAGCGACCATTTCAGCCTTGGCCAATTGCATCGAAGGCGAGAAAGGCATTTTGGTTAGTTGGAATCGTATCGTGAGTACTGAATGTGACAAGAATACAAGGAGAGAGAAAAGAACTGCCCAAGAGAAATGTTTCCGCGGATCTACTTGAGGAAGCAGCTGCTATCCATTTTGGGCTTAGTAGCGGCTTCCTTCGCGGTTTCTACCAAACCTTAATTTTAGCCCAAACTTGCCGGCCGCTTCTACTTCGAGCTGAACTCAAGCCCATCCAAATTCGAAGCCAGTTTAAATGATAAATACGTCCATGAGGAGACTAGTCGAATCATATATAGTTATTGTTTGGAGAAGCTAGATGGGAAAATTGGAGATATGGAGTCGCTACGCCTAGGTACGCTCCATTTACGACGCCTACCACCACATTAGTATCACCGAGCAGAAGATAAACAGGATAGCATTGATATGTGCTTGTGCAAAATGGAAGCAGTAGTAGACATCTTTGCATTTTTTTCAACTTTAATAAATTGAAGCTCACATGGAAATCAAGGTAGTGTTTAGAAGATTGTAAAGTCTAAGAGAAACATGACTTAGCCGCAAGAAAACCTGCAGTATGGATAAACAGCTTTGGACATATCAAACAAAACTCGGCTTGAACAAAGAGTGACCAAGCAACTTAGAAGATGTTTCATACCGTTTCTTGCCTAGTGGTCAAAATCGTCCAAGCCGCGGAGAGGTCGGAGATTGCCGAGATCGATGACTTCATGATCGCCCGGCTCCCGCTGCCCGAGAACCCTGAAATCTGGAGGGTATGTCGCGCAATCTATATGGTTACACATTTCATACCGTGAAACGCAGCTCACGTAATCCATGTATTTTTTGGGTTTTCTGTCTCAAGCCAGCAGAGTTTATCGTATGGAGTCGGAGATAATCGGTTTTTAATACCTGAACGGACTTGGCCACATTCCGAGGCCGAGTACCGTAAACCTGCCGTGCGATGTTGCTTGACGTAATCACTACATTGGCAGATAAAGAATCGCTTTTTTCTCTCCTGAAACCGTTTATTTTGATTACGAGAGCACTCTTACATTATTCCGATGTAAGCTGAGTCTTTCTGCCAACAGGAGGTTGGTTTAATTCGCAATAACATCGTCTCATCCATTGCTACTCGCCAAAAACCAAACAGAATCCCAGATACCTCTACACATCCCGCTAGAATGATGCGGAACGAGTCGACAGATAGTATTAGTCCCACGGAGGATCAAGGAAACATTGCCTCCAGCGAGACATCATCCGGGAGCGCTAAGGCATCTCGCAAGTCAGACCAACCAGTCAATTTTGCACCAATCCAGAGCGGCACCTCGGGAAGCTCAGAGCTAGATACCCGAGGCCCACAACTAGATGAGGCATACATCGCACGTACTCTGTCTCAACGGAAGAGCCACGCCTCTGGTCATGAAGGCGCCGAATGGGAGCAGATCGAACGATTGATTTCCCGGATGTTCGGAGATGAACGCAAGGCAAATTCTGAAGAAGAGAAAACAAGACATGTCGGAGTGGTATGGAAAAATCTCACAGTGAAAGGGCTGGGTATTGGAGCTGCGCTACAACCTACCACCGGTGACATCTTTCTTGGGATTCCGCGATTTATCAAGGGTCTGTTATCGCGAGGAACAAAAGGCGTGGGAGGGGGAAAGAAGGAGATTAGAACAATTCTGAATGACTTCACGGTATGTTAAAGTTTTCAATTTTGAAGAAAAGAAGTTTGACTCATACTTTTTTTTTAAGGGTTGCGTTCGCCCTACGGAAATGCTTCTTGTTCTTGGCCGTCCTGGATCAGGATGCTCAACATTTTTGAAGGTAATTGGAAACCAAAGGTCCGGATACGAGAGTGTTGAGGGAGATGTGAGGTATGGTGGAACTGATTCCACGGCTATGGCAAAAAATTATCGGTCAGAAGGTATTTTCCCTGAAAAGCATGAGGTCCGCCATTGTTCTGATTCAAAAAAGTTCTTTACAACCCGGAGGACGATCTTCACCACGCCACGTTAACCGTGCGGGACACACTCCTTTTTGCATTGAAAACACGAACCCCAGACAAGCCATCTCGAATCCCTGGTGAAACTGAAAAGGAGTACCAGCAGACATTCTTATCAGCGATCGCCAAGCTATTCTGGATTGAGCATGCACTGGGAACTCGTGTGGGCAATGAGCTTATTCGCGGGGTGTCTGGAGGGTAGGCGAAACTCTCAATCCAACAGAGACGTATTTCTGACCAAAATATTGAATCCAGAGAGAAGAAGCGAGTGTCGATAGGAGAGGCCATGGTTACAAAGGCTAGCACTCAGTGCTGGGACAACTCGACTAGGGGCTTAGATGCCAGCACGGCACTAGAATACGTTCAGAGCTTGAGAAGCTTAACCAACACCGCACATGTCTCGACTCTCGTCGCCCTTTACCAAGCATCTGAAAATTTATTTAATCTCTTCGACAAAGTTATACTCATCGAAGACGGAAAATGCGCTTTTTTTGGGCGCTCAGAGGATGCAAAGGCCTATTTTGAAAATTTAGGATTTGAGTGCCCACCCAGATGGACAACCCCCGACTTTCTAACCTCTGTCAGTGATCCAAATGCAAGACGCATCAAACAGGGATGGGAGAATAGAATTCCTCGCACTGCAGAGGAATTTCAAGCAGCCTACCGTGAGAGCCACGTCTTCAAAGATGCACAATCCGACATTGAAGAATTCGAGAATGAGTTACGAGACACCAAAGATGAGAGAGAAGCTGCTAGGGCACAAATGACAAAAAAGAATTACACAGTGCCATTTTGGAAGCAGGTCATGATCCTCACACATCGACAGTTTTTGGTCATGTTCGGGGATAGGGCTGCTCTGATAGGAAAGTGGGGAATCATTGTCTTCCAAGCTTTGATCATCGGAAGCTTGTTTTACAATCTACCGGACTCGAGGTCCGTACTGGAATATCTATCAGATCAGCTATATTGTACAAGGACTAACAAACTGAAGCTCCGGCGTGTTCACACGAGGTGGTGTGATGTTTTTCATACTGCTGTTTAACTCTCTTCTTGCCTTGGCAGAACTCACGTCTGCATTTGAGAGTAGGCCCATAATGATGAAACACAAGAGTTTGTGAGTTTAGCCTCCTCCTGTTCCTTTGAGAAAGGGGGTTAACCAGCTCCAGCTCCTTCTATCGCCCAGCGGCATATGCCTTGGCACAGGTTGTGGTGGACATCCCCTTGGTGTTCATCCAAGTAGTTCTGTTCAACCTGATTGTATACTTGTGAGTTCATATGGCTACTAGAACGTGTGAAATACTAGTACCTCGAACTAAAGAGTATCCTAGCATGGCAAATCTTTCCCGGACAGCATCACAATTCTTCATCAGTCTTTTGATTATTTTCATGTTGACGATGACGATGTACTCTTTTTTTCGCGCGCTTGGGGCATTGTGTGCTTCGCTTGATGTTGGTTAGTAACACCTTGACGGAGACTGAAAGACTTTATTTTCTGATATGAAACCAGCTACTCGTCTTACGGGTGTCGCGATTCAAGCATTGGTCGTATATACTGGTAAGCCTTTCCAATGAGAGTGAATCCACATGACAATCCCAAAATCTCCGAGCAATCAAGCGTGCTCTCGAACCTTTGAAGAGCTCATACTATAGTGTAGTACTATTTTGTCGGAAAATATCAAATCACTGACAATTATAACTTCAGGCTACCTCATCCCCCCTGGAAAATGCATCCGGCAAGTCATCCACTATTCCAAGTAATATCTGACACTAACCACAGGACTTTTCAGTGGCTGAAGTGGCTTATCTGGATAAATCCAGTTCAATACGCGTTTGAAGCTTTGATGGCAAACGAGTTTACTGGCTTTGATATTAGATGCGAGCCACCATATATCGTCCCCAGCGGTCCTAATGCGTCCCCATCTCACCAAAGCTGCGCCATACAAGGTAGCTCACCCGATAGTCTGGTAGTCAATGGATCGGAATACATCCAGACTGCCTACACCTATACCAGAGCGCACCTTTGGCGTAATTTCGGTATAATAGCCGCCTGGCTTCTGTTCTTTGTTTCCCTAACAATGCTTGGAACGGAGCTCCAGAAGCCGAATAAAGGTGGGAGCTCCATAACAGTCTTCAAACGAGGGGAAGTCCCTCAGGCTGTTAAAGACGCGATCGAGCATAAGCGACCCTCCGGAGATGAAGAATCCGCTGAGAAAACACCTTCAAACCCTAGTCTTACCAGCGATGAAGCAGAAAAGAAAGTTCAGGAAATCGCCAAAAACACATCAATATTTACTTGGCAGAATGTGAACTATACCATCCCGTACAAAGGAGGGCAGCGAAAGTTACTTCAAGGTGTCAATGGCTATGTAAAGCCGGGGAGGCTCACTGCATTAATGGGCGCCTCTGGCGCAGGGTATGTGGCAGTCGTCGAGGGACCGCTGTGTCTATTGCGAGTGCTAACTTGAATTGGGTTCCTAGGAAGACCACGCTATTGAACTCACTGGCTCAGCGTATCAATTTCGGCGTTCTGACTGGTGAATTCTTGGTCGATGGAAAGTAAGAAATTGCACTTTGCCAATAATGCATTCGAACCAAATTCTAATACTCATAGGCCCCTTCCCAAGAGTTTCCAAAGAGCAACGGGATTTGCAGAGCAAATGGATATCCATGAGCCAACAGCCACTGTTCGTGAATCTTTGCGATTCTCAGCTTTATTACGGCAGCCCAAAGAGGTCCCACTCCAGGAGAAATATGATTACTGTGAGAAAGTGATCGATTTGCTGGAAATGCGATCCATCGCTGGGGCCACAATTGGATCCACAGGCTCAGGATTGAATCAAGAGCAAAGAAAAAGGCTCACAATTGCGGTAGAGCTTGCCAGTAAGCCAGAACTATTGCTTTTCTTGGACGAGCCGACATCGGGACTCGACTCTTTGGCCGCTTTCAACATTGTCCGATTTTTACGGAGACTGGCAGATGCAGGTCAGGCAGTCCTTTGTACAATCCATCAACCCTCAGCTGTTCTCTTTGAACAGTTCGATGAACTTCTTCTCTTACAAAGTGGTGGGCGTGTTGTCTATAATGGAGCCCTCGGATTTGACTCGAGAACGCTCATTGACTATTTTGAGCGTAACGGAGGCAAACAATGTTCTCCACACGCAAATCCTGCCGAGGTATTTTGTTTGAAATCTTTCATATACCTCGTTGTCTAACAAATCCTTTAGTATATGCTTGAAGTCATCGGCGCCGGAAATCCAGACTATAGAGGGCAGGACTGGGGTGATGTGTGGGATAACTCTTCTGAATCCAAGCAACTATCAGACGATCTGGAAAAGGTGATCACTTCTCGTCGAAGCATGCAAGATGATGAAAATATTAGAGATGACCGGGAATACGCCATGCCTCTCTACTTCCAGATAGTGGCCGTAACCAAACGTGCTTTTGTGGCCTACTGGAGACTTCCAGATTATATCATGGTATGATTGCGAATGCGATGCCATGAGGTAGCACACACTATGCTAACACTACCGCTATCAAGGGGAAGGTAATGCTGCATATATTCACCGGCCTCTTCAACACTTTCACTTTCTGGCATCTAGGCAACAGTTACATTGATATGCAGTCTCGACTGTTTTCCGTTTTCATGACACTCACAATCTCCCCTCCTCTCATACAGCAACTACAACCACGATACTTGCATTTTCGCGGTCTTTACGAGTCGCGGGAGTCAAATTCCAAGATCTATTCTTGGGTCGCATTCGTCGTGAGCACAATTCTGCCCGAGCTACCGTACTCTATCGTGGCTGGTTCTATTTACTTCAATTGCTGGTATGTTTAAGAATTATGCGGTCGAAATATCTCACTGGCTGACTCCTACAGGTATTGGGGTACTTGGTTTCCGCGTGACTCTTTCAGCTCCGGGTATACGTGGATGCTTCTCATGCTTTTTGAATGCTATTACGTCGGCTTTGGTCAATTTATAGCAGCATTTGCACCGAATGAGTTGTTCGCATCGCTACTGGTCCCGTCATTTTTCACCTTTGTCGTGTCTTTCTGTGGTGTCATCGTGCCTTATGTTGCCATGCCCCATTTCTGGCAGTCGTGGATGTACTGGCTCACGCCATTCCACTATCTCCTCGAAGGATTCCTTGGGGTCATCGCTCACAACGTCCCTGTTTCTTGCGTTGAGCGCGAAGAAGCGCGGTTCAGCCCACCACCTGGTCAGACTTGCGAGCAGTATGCAGAATCATACGCAAAGCAGTCTGGCGGGTATGTTCGAGATGCTGGCAATGGACTCTGCTCATTTTGCCAGTATTCTACGGGTGATCAGTTCGTAAGTTTCCCGGTGGACTTGATGTCTTCAAGTTCGAAATCAGGTCAGCCTGTGATTGTTCCAGCAGAATATTGACATGTGGGGGAATCTAGACTGCCAGTTTCAATGTCTTCTATCAGAATAAATGGAGATGCTATGTAAGTGATCTTTTTGCGAGCAGGTTTTCCCGAGCTAACTTTCTTCAAAGGGGATTTTTTCTGCATTTGTTGCCTTTAATTTTATGCTTGTTTTCCTATTCTCGTGGTTATATCTTCATGGAATTGGGAACCTCAAGCGATGGCTTAGCAAACGTAAGACTCAAAAGGGGGATATTAACACCTCAAGCTCATGATCAGTGGTGAATTTAAATGCCTAGCCCTACCTGAGTATATGATCATCAATTTTTCCCATGCAATGATGTGGTCAAAGTAGAAGTTGTGGAAGTTGTGGATGCATAACCTATAACCCTATGTACGGATTAGATAACTACCAGTTAGTATAAAGCAAGTCACGTTGCATCGGCATACAACTTTGAAAGTGGTTAGTCTCGTGGGGGCGCTTCACCTCTCCGCGTCAAAGCTTGGCGACTTCCCCCGATCTTCCCTCACTTTCAACACCCTTCAGCTTCTCACCGCGGAGTATCACTTATATATGAGATCCACCTGTGTGATGCTCGATTAATTCAAGGCCTCTCTAGTCTCGTTCTCGTTTCCCTCTCCCGTCTTCCCCTCCGATCTGCGCCCCGCCTTACCCACCATGAAGGAGGAAGAAGCCCCCAGAGAAACTCCCGAGGAATCGCGCGACGACGAAAACTCCAGCTCGAAGCTGGCCAATCTGTCTGCCAAGGATAGGAAATGTCAATACTGCGATCAGGCCTTCACCTCTTCATCGCTGGGCCGACACTTGGATCAGTTTCTGTTCAAGAAGAAGCCTGACGGTGTTCACGATGTTGAGGAGATTCGGCGCATTCGCAGTGGGATCACTCGTCGACAGGCCCGCACAGCTTCGGGTAAGCGTGATGATAGTCCCGATTCTGTTCAAAAAAAGGGTCCCTCAGACACCTATGCGACCGGAGAATCAAGTACCAAGTCGCGGGATGCACCTGTGCGCATGATGTTCAATACCCCGACCTGGCACGCAACGGGCGTCATCAACGACATACCAAACCCCAATCCGAGTCGGCCTCTGGAGGGACCTCGCGTCACACCTTCGCAATCACGGTCGGCGTCTCTGCAGCTCCCCGACTACGCGAGTAGGGGTGCCACTGCCAACAACCCGGATACCATGAAGGCCCTTGAGCTAGCACTGCGCGAGGTACTGGACAATATTAAGGCTGCTACGTATGCTTTCCTGCAACGCTTCCCGACTTTCTAATCTAACAAATCTTCGTATAGTTCTCGATTCCGTCCTCGCCTGTCCCCGTTTGACTTCGATATCCAGTCGCAAACCTTCCCTGCACTGTGCCTACATCTTCTTCCCCCTCCTCCGAGCCTGTTCAGCGCCCAGCCATTTCCCTCGCAGACATCCTTCCCACTACAACCTCCTGGTCCAGAGCATGTGGAAATTCTCCGACAAGCACTCAGATCTAAAATTTCGCAATGGCAGTCTGACCAGATCGCCGCCGACTCCACTGGCCATCCTAGACATTTGACTGGAGGACTTGACCACAGTATGGTCTACCGAACCGCCCAGCAACACGAGGAAGTTAGCATGCGACATCTAGAGCTGGCCTTCAATCACTGGAGTAGTGTGTCTTTTGAAAACCGCCGTGATGCTTGGCAGCTAGAGATTACTCGCGCATTTGCACGGGAAGCAGAACAACGCAAGTCAGTGGACGACCAGCTCGCTCGGGTACAGCAAGAGGCGAATCATCTCCGCGCGCAAGTCGAGCGTCTCGGATCCTGCCAGTGGCCCCGCGAATTTGCCCTATTTCCGCCGGACACACTCCCTCTTTCACGCGATGTTGCACGAGAACTGGATGCGAAGGAGAGTCAGATCAGCCCTGAGTCATCTCGATGGGATTATGACAGCGTCGTGACCAAATGGAAGCGTGTTGTCATGCACGATAAGAGTATGGGCCGGATCGGCGTGGGTTACAATACCAATTCCGGCGGATTCGGCGAGCCAGATGGTAGCCACCACCGACAAAGTCCTGATGTCCGACCTCCTCGCCCAGGAGAAGATACGTCTACTCACCCGAATCGCCTGCGGCCCCTGCAGTCTGCTGTTGCCATGAGTCCTGACCCGGGGGCTGTGTCGACACCCGCATCTTCTCACTACGCCTCTCCGTATTCACACAACGACCCCCGCAGCCCGCAAACCAGTAATGCTAAGCGACCAAAGCTCATGAATGGATCCGAAGGTCTACAGACCCAGGAGCCACTTGCACATTCAAAACCCATGGGACCCGCACCTTGGCCTTCCTCTACGCCTATTCTTTCCAATCTAGCCGCGCCGTCGGGCCAAACACCTCCCTCAGCATCGCGGGGTTGATTCTACCCTACCGGTCCTGTTGACTGAAGCGCCTTCTTTTATGATTCATCTTATTTACTATGGAGTGGAGTACACCTCATCCGGCGTTGCAGGATGTTTGTTTATATTGAACATTTTTCCGTTGTAGATATACGATGCACAGAAAATTGTACCGTGACAAGGAAGTAACTGGCATGTCTTCCGTCTGATTGGTTTTTTAACTCTTTGCAAACTAGTCCTGTGGACATTACATTCAAAATAGAAGGCTTTGGAGTGCTATATTCAATATGATACGCTAGGTGGATTTCCTACGCCAATGATGCCAGTGTCCGCCCTACATCATGATCCTTTGCGATTTCCTCTCCAATATATTGCGCAAGCGTTAGCATCTTCTCCTCTTGAAGTCTCCGGCCAACCAGTTGAACCCCGACAGGGGCCCCATCATAAGAATCGGCATCGTCTGTCTTGATGTTAGCAAAGCACGCCCATATTAAGATCGAATAACCCCTAGAATAAAAAGCACTTACAATCCCAATCTATGTGTGGCTCAGCCTCGGACGGCGGTGTGTCAACAGGAAGTCTATCCACCGTCTTGTCTGCGAAGGTTACCGGTATGGAAATGCTGGTGTAGTCCAACACATTCACAAAGGTAGTGTATCCCACATGGTCATATTGTGTGGGAATGACAGCCGCGTGAGATGCAAGCGGACAAATGAACCCATCAACAGGCCGTCCAGTGCCAGTGAGCTCGGCAGTACTGTTCCAGTAGTCCATATACTGTTTCTGGTACTCTCGCTTGGATACGTTCAACGCGGCAATCTGTGATGCGATCATGTCTGTACCGCCTTGCGCGACAATAACCTGTGGTGCTTGGACCTCTCCAGACAGACCGAAATGGTGATTCAGATCTGTACCGCCGTCCAACTGGTATGCCTTGCTCTAATAAAAGTTAGCGTTTCTCTCTATTAAGGGTCCTCCCACGCGATTTCTTTCCAGGACGAACATACCGCTAGTGCATGAGCTGGCACGTGAGAAGGAGGATTCCAATCAATGACTTTATGACCGAGTCTCTTTAAAGTCTGAGCAACAAGCTTCAAACCTCTTGCAATGGGGGGATGGATCCGGCCAACTCCATCGAAAGGCATGATTGCAAAGGCAAGGCCCGAGGCCCCTGTTTTCGACTGCTCAATGGAAGAAAGAGTCTCCTGGACAATGGATTCTCTCCATGGAATCTCCAAGGCCAGTGGATCGTGATTCCAAGGCTGCTGGCCGAGAACGCTTTTGAACAATAGCGTCAAGGTGCGAGCTGTAGGAGCCAAGGGCCCGATGACAGACATAATCATGCTCTGTCCATCCATGGAATTCGCAGTCCCCTGGTAGGGCATCCTACCCGCAGAAGGCCGCAGTCCATATAAATGATTGAAACCAGCAGGGATGCGCACGCTACCTCCGATATCAGTGCCAAATCCAGCGGGCGATCCGCGCAGTGCAATAAGAGCCCCTTCGCCGCCGGAGCTACCTCCACTGGAGAGATTTCGGTTTTTGGGATTCCAGGTATATCCAATGATGTTGTTGACTGTTTCTCCGGACATGAGAGTGGCCGGAACACTCGTCTTGCAGTATAGGACTGCGCCCAGATTACGCAGCTCCCGTACGAGTTCGCTTTCTTCCACTCCTCGACGTGGATCATCGGGTTGGCCTTGGAATGTATTTATCCAACCTACATAGCCCATGGTTGTTTCGACGCCCTTGACGTGGAATTGGTCCTTCAAGGAAATCGGGAGACCATGGAGGGGCCCGATGGGTGCTTTGTGCTCAGCGAAGTAGGCATCAAGCCGCTTTGCATCTTCGATCGCTGCTTCGAAGAATATCTCATGCAGGCAGCTAACCTGAAAATGTTGGTTAGCATAGGTTGGTAGTATTTGCTGAGCAGAGAATGGGTTTAGAGAAGATTGATATGTTATTTACCAGTTGATGCGCCAACGCAGCACGATGGCAGAAGGCCTCGGCCACTTCGAGAGCAGTCCAACTTCCAGAAGTAGTTTCCGCAACGATATCAACAGCGTCTGATTCTGTGATTTCGATTTCGCGCCTGTTCAGGAACTGCTGGATATAGGCACCAGTAACATCTTGTTGTTCTTCTGGGGAGGGGATGTCGGGGATGATCCACTTCTCGGGAATGGCGCCCAGGATGGATTGTCGCTTGGCTTCGCCTTTGGCACGCCAGGTGAGCTCAGTTGCCATGTTACGTGATGGGTCACGGTATGATGTACCTCTGGAGGTATACAGTTGGATACGTGTTCAGGTTGGTTGTCTAGGGTTGGGGAATGGGATTTATCCGATTGTACTTATAGAAGCGGGGGTCTTCCAAGGTTGGGGGGCTTATGGGGTCGCTTGGAGTCGGGTGTACTTCTGAGTACTTCCAAGTTATTACTAGCGCAGTTATATTCCGCTTGCCTCGGCTCTGTTTAATGACCATGCAGTTTGCAGAAATGCTGAGAATCCATGAATCGTATTTCAAATTTGAGATAGTTGGCCGAACCAATGATCGGGTCTATTTTGTTGGAGAAAGGTGGCTGCTTTGCGTAGCCATCAACTTACAAGAAGGGTCGCTTACTCCAAAACTACTTTGATATACACGCAAAGACCGCCCGATTAGAACAGTGACGGTTGTTCTTCGTGTACATGCCATTTAGCGAACGCCATCAATATGCGTACTCCAAATTTGGAGAGCAGACAACGTTCACAAAGCCCCTGTCGCGAACATAAGCGTTGGAGATTTTCGGGGTCACTCAGCACCCCGAGACGACCCAAAGCAAGTCCGGGTTGGAGATAGGGTCTTGAGATTGTGAAGTCGGAAGCCATGTTCACGGCTTTGTGGGGTTGATCATCTGTCGTACGTTCAGATTGATTCTCTTGCCAGACATCCAGCCTTTCCACATGGAGAAAGGGCCAGACGCGGCACCGGGCACATCATCCCCTTCGGACGAAGGCCAGTCTGCCAACCAGCTTGGACAGGTGGACGGCAGTATCTTGGGGACACCATGCCAGGCGAACCGAGAAGCCCCGTTCATATAAACGGCATCTCCCGACCGCAGCCGAATGACTTCACAGCCGTTTCCGTCATCGTGGCTTACCAAGAAGAGACCATCACATCCGAAACTGACGCTAATCAAGCCGACGTCACAGTCTTCACTTACGTCCCGATGAACGCTCAGGGTATCTCCCGCCGAGTACAGATTTAGGATAGCGGCCTGAGCTTCGGTTTGCGGAAACGCGGCCCGCAGGAGGTCCGCAATGTCTTGGGGAAAAGGTGGCGGAGCCTCCTCAGGGTAAACCTTTGCAGTCCAATCGTACTGCCCACCCAGAGTAACCCAGCGGAGTTTCTTGTCAAGGACATTCTGGATTGTCAAGGGCTTGTGGACTTGAGCATCTTTAGGCTGAATTGTGCGGGTCGGGTCGTCTGCGAAGAAGCTTTCTGTGGTAGAATCCATATCCTCCGATCCTCCGGGGTAGGTGACGTCGTAGTGCAAGTGTAGGTTGGTCTTGTGGAGAGGGTTGGTGAGATCTCGGTGGAACAAGCGGGATAGAAGCTCGGTCTGAATGGTGGGAGGGAAAAGGGCAGGGATTATCAGAAGACCTTCAAGTAGGTTAGGATGAAGTTCATTTTCCTGTGCGAGTTAGTAGTTTTGCTGACCGGAAATAGCATTATGGGTGTAGACGGGAATGTTCTCTGCCAACGGAGCATGGGCATTCCCCTGCGCCGGTTGACTTGAATGGTCGCCTTGTATGAAAGCATCGAATGCGAGGCGAAGATCCTGACTGGACATGTATTGCGAGAGAGTGAGGCCGGCAGGAAATTGCGATTGCAACTCTGGATCTACTTTTTGCAGATCAATGATTCCTGTGTCATTGTCGACTTCCGACAGGGGGAGCTTGGAGTATTTCTTGTAGCATTGGCGAATGATATCAGGGGGACGGTCATGGGCATCGATCCCTTTAATCTGCGCCATTGTGGAGAGTAAATCCAGCGAGTGTAGTGAGTGTAATGGAAGGAATGAAGCAAGAAGAAAGAAGGGAAGAAGTTCCGGAGGAACCTGTAATCGGCGGGGCACGTGTTCACCCACGCGCTCCCGCGGGGTCAACAAACAAAAGTCTCTCACCCCACCACCACCATCACTGCAATGATCCTTTGATTTTGTGAATAGCTTCGGATCGACTAACTCTAGCGGCGTGGGCGTCTTCTGCTGTAAGTGCTCAAGTCTTCATGATCATGATCAGCCCAAAATTTCGTCCCTTTAGATCCCATTGGACCGCCGCATTGATCCAATGTCGCCCCTTGCATCCCCATTTCTCCCAGTTCCCACATCCTGCGTCACTCCCAAGCCCTCGGTTCCTGGCACATCTCTAACTCGATCTAGAATCACCCAGAACACGAAATCGCATCCACCATGGAGAACTACCAAAAAATCGAGAAAATTGGCGAAGGTGAGTGGTTTAGCGCCGTTGTTTACATCCGTTGCCAGGGGCCGAAAAAAGTGAAAAACTGACAGCTTGAGGCTGCTAGGTACATACGGCGTTGTTTACAAAGCTCGAGAACTCAGTCATCCCAACCGAATCGTTGCCTTGAAGAAGATCCGATTAGAAGCCGAAGATGAAGGCGTCCCAAGTACCGCCATTCGCGAGATCTCGCTCCTCAAAGAGATGCACGACCCGAATATCGTTCAATTGTTCAATATCGTCCACGCCGACGGTCATAAGCTCTACCTCGTTTTTGAATACCTGGATCTTGATCTGAAGAAGTATATGGAGGCTCTGCCAGTCAGTGAGGGTGGTCGTGGCAAGTCCTTGCCCGATGGATCGACAATGGCTGCCAGCCTGGGCCTCGGCGAGGATATGGTTAAGAAGTTCATGGCCCAATTGGTCGAGGGAGTTCGTTATTGCCACAGTCATCGCATTTTACACCGTGACCTGAAGCCTCAGAATTTGCTTATCGATCGCGATGGCAACTTGAAATTGGCTGATTTCGGTTTGGCCCGAGCCTTTGGTGTTCCTCTCCGCACTTATACCCACGAGGTAAGCAATTGAGAGCTGAAAGCTGACAATACATGAAAATTTTATGCTAATACTATGGATAGGTTGTCACACTGTGGTATCGCTCTCCAGAGATTCTTCTCGGTGGTCGCCAATACTCTACCGGCGTCGATATGTGGTCCGTTGGAGCCATCTTCGCGGAGATGTGCACACGCAAGCCGCTCTTCCCTGGCGATTCGGAGATTGATGAGATCTTTAAAATCTTCCGGTGGGTTTTTGTTGGTTAACATTTGGGCTTATGTTGTTCCGTCTCACTAATCTTCGGTCTCTCACAGCATACTCGGTACCCCCGACGAAGAGGCGTGGCCCGGTGTCACCTCGTTCCCCGATTACAAAGCTACTTTCCCCAAGTGGAAGCGTCCTGATACAGCTCTGGTTCCTGGTCTAGAGGAAGCTGGGGCCGATCTGCTGGAAGCCTTGCTTGAGTTCGACCCAGCCCACCGACTGTCAGCAAAGCAAGCCTGCCAACATCCGTACTTCAGCCAGGGTAGCGCACACTACTCGACCCGTACCACGCGCAACGGCTACCAATGAGCTGACCTAGACGCCAATATTTTATTTTTGTAACCTTATTGACGACGGATGATCACAAGCAATGCTGAATCTCCGAGGACATGTGTTTTCCCTTTCTGTATTTGGCGTTTGTCGGGGAGTGACTGGGAGGGCGGGCTTCATTTTTTCTTCCAACTGTTGTTATTTTCTTTTCTTTTCCTCTCAGTCAATGCAAGGCGTACATACCCCATTCGGAGGATTTTAGGACATTCTTGGCCCGGTCATGGGACTTGATATCTCCCCATTCCTTGACTTCTCCTAGATTAGTTTTTTATTTCATCGAAGCAACACTATTCGTGTGAACTCAGCCATGTCAGCCTCAACTCGGACACAATACTCACAAACGACTTGGGTTACACCGGCAGATTGGATACGAAAGCCAAAATGCCATTCAGCCACCTTGCCCTGCCAATCACACTGCAAAAGGGCCATCCGTGTCTGAGCTGAGGCAGTCAGCGACCCACCCCGCAGGGACATCTCCGCGACCTGACATCTGTAATCCAATTTATTCTTGGAAAACGGACCCAACGGTGACCCCTGCCTGCATACGCAGGAAACCTCCCAGGCCCAGTTTCTGCAGTGCGCTTGTCTCTATCCAGTGAGGATGCCGTTTGGGGGCCAAAAGCCCAGTGAGACCGGCTGAAGAGGGGTTTGGGGGCCAACACTCAACTCGACTCCGCAGCGGTTCATTCGCGGTGGGACGTGTAGTCTAATGCACGGCCCTGCAGCCTTACGAACGCCCTGGGAGTCAGAGTCTCGCGGTGGGGGCCGCTGATGCACTGTCTGGCCGAGCCGTCGGCGAGGCCGTGAAGATAGTGGAGAGTCTCTCGTGTGTTTAAATATTTGAGGTGCTGCGCTGCGCCTTCTTCTATCTTCGATCGTCTCTATTCCAAATGGGCACTGCGAGCTAGTGTGATATAGTACATATTATTATCGCAAAAGCAAAAAGAAATATAACGGCTCCCCCACCACTCCCAGGGACTTGAGGAGAGTGACTTCAAGTTTTATCAAGGTCATTCAACCGTCGTTTTTTGTCTCCCTCGGCTGCTACTAAGTTAGCCTCGATACAATGCCTCTCACCGAGTACGAAGAGGAGATGATGATGTGCGGATCGTCAATGCCCCCTGCGTCGTCGCGTTCTAACAGTCGCCCGCCCGGTCATCGGGCACGTTCCCAAGCGCCCCAGGACGCCGTGCGGCAGTTCTGGGAAGATTTCAATACCAAGTACCCCGGAAAAGTGTACACTGTGCTCCCAGACAACCCCTATGCGCGCACCCGGGCCAAGCGGGTCCCCAACGGCGTGATTCAAGGCCACGAGGCTGTCAAATCGTACGAACAAGCCCGACAGGAATGCAAAAAGTCTGTGGAGCGCATTGTCAAGGAGTGTGAGCGAGTAAACCAGAAGTATACCGACCCTCACTTTGACATCGAGCTCGATCTCAAGTCAGGTATGCGCCACTATCTCGATGGGCTGGATAAAACAAATGAGATTATGCGACCACGCGGCGTGAAGAGAGTAACGGTTCGTTTCAAGGCCTTATGTTGCTTCACCGGGTTTAGTAGCAATGCAATTATTAACAGATTATAGGAAATATTTGAGAACCCACAGTTCTTTGTCAATGGGCCGAAGGCCTCAGACGTCCGTCAGGGATATGATGGCGACTGTTGGCTGATGGCTGCGCTGTGCACGATGGGAAACAAGACTGGTCTCATCGAGCGTATTTGCGTGGCCCAGGATGACAAGATTGGAATCTATGGGTTCGTTTTCTATCGCGGTAAGACATTGTACTAATCAATTAATCCACCCCAGACTGATACTGATGTGAATTTCAGACGGCGAATGGCAGCAATGCATTGTGGATGATAAGCTCTATCTACGTGCTGCCGATTATGACGAGTCAATTGACGAACGCCCGCTGTGGGATGATATTAACCGGACAGATACCGAAGAGGAATACCGCCGAGTTTGGCAAACCGGCTCTAGGGCCCTGTACTTTGCGCAGTGTGTCGATCCAAATGAGACCTGGCTCCCACTTTTGGAGAAGGCATTTGCCAAGGCTCATGGTGACTACTCTGCCATTGAGGGTGGATTTGTCGGAGAGGGTATCGAAGACTTGACTGGAGGTGTCACATCAGAGGTCCTATCAAGCAATATCCTTGACAAGGACCGATTTTGGAATGAGGAGCTTATGAAAGTTAACGAAGAATTTCTATTTGGATGTGGAACTGGCTTGTTCTCCAACTGGTTGGACCCGAAGTATGATGGCCCTCCAAGAGACCGAAAGGGTATTTCGGAGAACCACTCCTACTCCATTATGGAAGCTCGGGAAATCAAGGGATACCGCCTGCTACGACTTCGGTAAGTCTTGCCAGTAGGTTTGAGCGAAGAAAATCTTACTAACATTGCCCAAGCAACCCATGGGGAAAGAAGGAATGGCATGGCGCCTGGGGTGATGGGTCCGAGCAGTGGACTGCAGAGTGGCTGAAGCTGCTGGGTCACAAATTTGGCAACGATGGGGTAGGTACAAGCTTTCCAGTCCGCTCCTGAGCATATTTAACTCGAAATAGTTCTTTTGGATTTCCTACAACGACCTGCTCAAGAAGTATCAGCACTTCGACCGCACTCGTCTTTTTGGACCCGAATGGACCGTCACTCAGCAATGGACGACATTGAACGTGCCCTGGTCGGCTGATTACCATAGTTCCAAATTTGTCATGAACGTGACGAAGGGCGGCCCTGTAGTCATTGTTCTTTCGCAGCTTGACACGCGCTACTTCAAGGGCCTCAGTGGCGAGTATAATTTTGTTATCAAATTCCGTGTCCAGAAAGAGGGAGAGGAAGACTACATGGTGCGCAGCCACAGCAGCCATTTCATGGCCCGCTCCGTGAATGCCGAGATCGATTTGGAACCAGGTCGCTACCATGTTCTCATGAAGATCATCGCTTTCCGGCACGAAGAAAACGAGTCGACAGAAGAGATAGTCCAACGCGTTGCTGCAACAAGGCGCGAGAAGCTTGTCCAGGTCGGTCTCTCTTATGACCTGGCACACGCCAAGGGCGTGGCTGTCGAAACAGAAAGAGAACGCTATGAAAGGGAAAGACGCAAAGCTGCCGATCGGAAGAAGCTTCGCGACGAGACAAAGAGAAGACTGCAGAAAGAGTATATCCGCGACCGAAAGATGGCTGCTCGACAACAGCGAATGGAAGCACGTCGCTCTGGTCGGCTCCCCAATGGCGCGTCAATTGATCGCAGTCCTGAGCGTAGCCCTGCTCCCGGACAGTTCCTACCAGACACCCAGACCCAGTCACCCACGGATGTTGCAAGTATCTCCAGTGATGGCAGTGACCGAAGACCGACAACGAACGGCTCAGTTCCCACTATACAATTCAATGGACTCCACGCGAGACATGCGAGCAGTGGCTCCCACCGACGACGTGCTGAGTCCCCACGTCCAAGTCTTAATACTCGCCTGGCAACGGACAATCTGGATGTTAGTGACATGGAGTGGCTGGACGGGTTTGAGTTCGACAGTGATTTGGACATGCCACCCGATGAGGCCGACTGCAAGCGTCCAGCTTCTCTGCAGGGATCGAACGAGCCCAATGCCGACCCATGGAATGCTGTCTGTGTTGTTGGATTGCGCGTGTACTCTAAGGACTCGGGTCTAAGCCTTGAAGTAGTTCGTCCTGTTCCAGAGGATGATACCGAGGCCCCACTGGACCGCGATGATCCAGCTGCATCGGCCACTATCGAGAAGGCCTTCTGGGGCATGGACTTTGGTGCATGATGGACAGGTCGAGAATGAGAGATTGAAATACTATCATTTGAGCGCATAGACTGAACAGCGATCGCACATGTATCAATAACTACAGAATTATTTACTGCATACTCCTCTCAATGAAACTGCTCTGAAATTAACTGCCTTTGTTTACCTTTTCTTGAAGATTAACAACAATTAGGATGGGGCACATGTGCACATTTTAAATCCAAAGATCATTACTGGTATTCATGGTGTGCAATGTCCCCCAATCGAATGCAGGGTCAGAGTCCCAGGAATAGCTCTCCATGCCTGCAAGATACCCCATATCCAAACTTGAAGTCGACTGATTGATCGACTCCGGCTGAAGCTTTGACTTTAATTTATTGGAAAGCCCTCGCCCTACAAGAGATGCCATATCCGACTTTCTCCCAAGACAAAGCAGTGCTCGAATGCAGACCTCACAGCCTTGTCGGAATTGATTAAAAGACCCACTAGGTCCGCAATGGACAGAGCGCAGTGACGTTTGCATATTCTCAAGGAGTATGTATCCAGACTTGGCAAACGAGTTAATGAGAAGAACGGTGAAAGGCTCAGTAAGGAATGCCGCATCGTTAAAAGAGTCATGGAATTGACTCGGATGTGGCTTCATCATCTCATCCTCGTATATCGAGCATTGAGCAAGTGTTGCCACGGCGGAGGCATTGTCTCGCTTAAGTGAACAAGGAAACTGTATAACGTTCCGGGATTCACGTTGATGCTTCAAGCTTAGGTTTGTTTGGTCGATATTTTCGATTACATCTGCCAGAAGCATCGCGCCAAGATGCCAGTGTGCTGCAAGAACAACATACCATGACTGTACACGGGGTGGCAGTGTCGCGTGATTCGAGACGCAATTCAAAATGAAAATGTTGTAGGTGTTGTTCCAGTGTCGATATACCAGTAGGGCTTTCTGAATACCTTCCTCGATTAGTTCAGGGTCCGCCTCTCGGTAGATGAGTGTTTGAAGCTGAGTGATTCGACGCCACAGTAAGACTTTTACTGGAGCTGCGTCTGATAGTATTTCGGCTGCTTCTTCGTGAGAGAAGGGCCAAGTGGGCATGGGCTTTTCGGGCGTTTGATATCCAGCAGGCTTTTGGAGGAGAAAGTCGCCCCATAAATCCTGCTTCCCGTTGTGTAGCCGACGCGACGAAAGACTGAACCCATCAAGGTCGAAAGAAGACGCTCTAGCCGCGAATGATGTTCTACACCCGGAGTCTGATGCCTTTTGGCTATCTTCGTCTGATACTACAGGAGGCCGTTGGTGCATGGCGGCAATTTGGGTGTCAAACATGACCCCTAGCCAGAAGAGAAGGTCAAATGTATCATGATTCTCAACCTCATAGAGAGAGAGATTAGGGCTGGTGGAGGTTGGCAGCGTGTCTGCAGTCCTTTCTGGAAGCTTCATGTTGCGATCAGCTCCCGACCGGATTTGAGCAGCCTTGTATCGAAAGCTGAACATTTGACGAACGGCGTTTTCGAGAAATATGTGTGCCAAGTCTTTCTCCAGAAGTTCATCCAGTCCGATTTCTTCTTCGTCCTTGATGGGTCTTTGGGTGAGAGAGAAGAGAATGTTTGCAAAGACAACGCGAAAAGAGGGTATCCCAACGGAAGTCTCCAGTGTATGTTTAGCATCGTTCCAGAGACTCTCCCGAAATGACTTTTCATCGTGAATCAAGGGATTCGATGGAATATTATTTGAGTCTTTGTGAAAATTCTGAGCCCATTGAGATGCAAATGCCATAATGGACTTGTGAAGAGCTTGGGAAGCTTTTTTATCTTCAACGACGCTCAGGGATCGCCCCCTAATAGATGATGCGGCGTAATCCAATCGGCAAACCCGAGTGCAAATTCTGTTTGAAAATTTTGGTCCCCATTCACTTTGTGTTGTTTTCAGATTTCCATCTCGAATTCGACTATAGGGGCAGTTCCTCTCGGTAAGCCAACATGACAACGCGTTTTCCATGCTGTCGTGATATATGCGAATTAGGTTTTGGGTCATGGTCGAGCGAGCGTATTCCCGTGCGGTTATATCTGAAAGAGCACACAGTGCCTGTCGGCTTGGAAGTCGGTTTGCTGCGTGTCTTGAAACCGGAGAGTATCGAGGAATATTTTCATTCGTAAGGCCAACTGGCTCAAGTTGAATGAAGCTATTTAGAGCTTCGCCCATTGATGCTGGCATTGATTCATCATAGTCGGCTTGAGTCTCCGCTTCCTCGCCCAACTCTTGATGATAGATATCTTCATCAGAGAGTTTCCAGTTACTCAGAGGAGAGAAAGGATCAGCGGTGCAACGCTTTGGGTCGGAAATATGCATGAACTGATCTTCTGCCAAGGAGAAAACTTTGGCATAAGCCCCATTGCTATTGGTGTTTTCGTGGTCGCCTTCATGGCCTAACTCATCAGTTGATGGGCTTTCGTTCGAAGATTTGCTCCGGCAGGTGGTGGCAGGCGTGTCCGGCTCTTCAGAGAGTGCGACTTTGATGGCTCCAGCTGCTCTTTTCCGGCGTTGCTGGCGACTGTGCTTCCTTGTTGACAGCCACTGGAAAGTACAATCCTTTTTGTACTTTTTGCAATTCGAACAAGAGTCGGGTCGATCATCATGTAGCGTCTTAACGAGATCACATCAGATCAGCTAAATTTTAGGGACATTCTGATGGCGAGATAGCACAAACCGGTGCGTCACATCTTCTCTTTCCTTTCCGGCATTGGTCGCAGCTATGATCTGACCTCCGGCTGGGGGTCTCCATAGCTGACGCTAAGAAGAAGAGAGCGACTTTTTGCGGGGTATTTGACAGTGAGATAGGCGATTACCGATTGAAATGAACTGGAGCTAGGCCTGGGGTTTTGTGGGGGTGAAAGAAAGAACAGACTACGGAGTACACAACCCCTCACTGCTGTAAGCTAAAGTGGAGGTTGAGCTGAGAAATTGTGATTGGAGAATGATGTACCCCATGGGGTTGGGATTCCTTCCCAGCCACACTACGAGTGAACGGACTATTTTTGGGAGTTCTGTTGATTCCTGTTCAATAGCTAGGTAAGTCCCAACTCATAATTTTCGGCTGCTCGGCGAATAGTGTTTACCAGCAAATGTTAGGGTACATATGTCAAATGCTTTTGTTCCTCTGTACAGAAAGTCCTAGCGTAAACTCCTCTCCAAGATCTTCTCCGCTTCACAACTTTACCTTGATGACTCGCCACTGCCCAGGTGGCATTTAATGACTCGTGTCATTCAAAGAGAGCGACTGGTCGCCCCTGACAGATAGGGACCTCCTGAATGATCACTCCAGATATATAGAAGCGACTCAGGCAAGGCTGAACGCGCATGCGGATCCTCACACTTTATCAGAGGGTGTTAGTGATTCCCCTTGATGAGACGGAACCGCATTGGAGACCAGATCTCAACCGTGATCTCAAGAAGGCCTAGAATGCGGATCCGGTGAGCGGATCCGTTCAAATGAAAAGGGGCCATCAAACACTTCAAATGCCACAAATCATATCTGCATATCGCGACTAGGATTTGTGGGGCCGTGTCAAATGAGCTTTGTTATTGCGGGGGCAACAAACGTGCACCTCGACCAAGACGAGCCAGGAACGCGGGGGGTTGAATCCAGAGCTAGGCAACGCCTCTGTCTCCGATAAAGAGATCGTGTCATTGGCTGTGAGTTCCTATAGCTTCAAAATGTTCATCCGCATGAGAATGGAATCCATGTCGAGGTTACATTCTAGGTGATCACTCGTGCATATGATCGGTTGAGATGACTATGGTATTTTAATGCCTCTGGCACTCAAGGCTTCACACCAGAAGAGAATTCTGCGCTGTCCTCAATTTTCTTCCTCATATCTTCAACTACCGTGACCTAGGTATGTCTTTCAGAACCGAACTAAAAGAAAATGCCTTTCGTCGGGAATCAACCGGGCCCTATGCCGATAACCTCAAGGTCGATGCACTAGTCGTCGGTGCTGGATTTGGAGGCATATTCTGTCTGCACGAGCTCCGAAAATTGGGACTCAATACTGTCATATTCGAAGCCGGAAACGAGTTGGGAGGTACGTGGAGATGGAACTGTTATCCTGGTGCCGGGGTGGATTCGGAGGTTCCTGAATACATGTATTCAATCCCAGAGACTTGGAAAGACTGGACTTGGTCGACCAATTATCCTTCATACGACGAGTTGCGGAGATATTTCGATCATGTGGATAGTGTTCTTCAGGTCAAGAAAGACTGTGCTTTCAACAGTGTTGTTGTTGACGCGCAATTCGATGTGAAAGAGGGTCGATGGCACGTCAAGACAGCAGATGGTAGATCCGCCAGCGCCAGGTATTTCATTGTTGCGACCGGCTTCTCTGCCAAGCGATACATTCCAGAATGGTCGGGAATGGATAAATTCGAAGGGATTGTCCACCATTCCTCCTTTTGGCCCGATGAACATATTGATGTTCGCGGCAAACGCTGTGCAGTGATTGGCACCGGGGCATCCGGCGTCCAGGTAACACAAGCCTGGGGCCCTGAAGCCGGCTCATTGAAGGTATTCCAGCGAACTCCAAATATGGCGCTTCCTATGAAGAGAAGAACTCTCACGACGAGCGAGCAAGAAGAGGCCAAGAAGTCTTATCCCGAGCTTTTTTCTCTCCGCGAGAAGTGCTTTGGTGGATTTTTGTACACCTTTGACGAAAAAGATACATTCGACGACAGTGAGGAGGAAAGACAAGCTTTTTATGAGAAGTTATGGGAGGAGGGTGGGTTCCGCTTCTGGCTCGCCAACTATAAGGACTACCTTTTCGATGCCAAAGCGAACCGCCCTGCTTACGACTTCTGGTGCAAGAAAACTCGTGAGCGCATCGGGGATCCGAAACAGCAAGATCTCCTGGCACCGTTGGAGCCGCCCCATCATTTCGGAGTTAAACGCCCTTCATTGCAATTTAGCTATTATGAACAATTCAATCGACCCAATGTCGAAGTCATCGATATCAAGAATAACGGTATTGTGGGATTCACAGAACGCGGCATTCAGCTACAGGATGGAACGGTGCATGAACTAGATGTTATCTGTATTGCCACTGGCTTTGACATTTCGACCGGTGGTATGACCAACATGGGACTGAGGAGTATCTATGGCACTTCATTGGAAGATGAATGGAAATCAGGGGCTTACACATATCTGGGAACTACTGTGCGCGGCTATCCAAACATGTTCCACCTTTACGGTCCGCATGGCCCGACGCTCTTCAGCAATGGACCCACCACTGTCGAGATACAGGGTCGTTGGATTGCCCATGCTATCAAGCAGATGGAGCGTCAGAATATCAAGTACATCAACCCGACACGCGAGGCTATAGAGACATGGAAGAAACGCATCAATCACCTGTCCGATATCACCTTGTTCCCTACCACCAAATCTACCTACATGGGTGGAAGTATCCCTGGGAAGGTATTTGAACAGGTTAACTACGCTGGTGGAGAGCCTGCTTATGCGCAAGAAATTCGCTCGGTCCTTCCAAGCTTCCACGGGTTTGATATTGTCAACAGCTCCAGGGAGACCGATCAGGTATCTAGTAAGATCTGATTGGCTAACAGATTTAATTATTCAACATTGGAGTTACTCGATAATATATACTGTCTAAAATTGATCTACAATATTGTAAAAAAGCCTCCGAAAGATCCAAGAGAACTGTATTCGGGTCGTGGTTCAAGTTGGTGCCTCAAACACTTCAACTGACTACCTAGGTAATGGCTAGTTACTAAACAGCCCTAATATCTTTCACGTTTTTGCTATAAAGAAGTCCAACAAATCCAGAGTGAGTCATAAATCGCTACCGCAAAATCTCTGGCCCTTTAAGGTTGACTTGGGTTGCCAATATTGAATGATTTGGTCTTGAAAAGTGTAGAAGAGGCGCATTCCAGCACCTTACCAGATCTAGTTAGAGCTTTAACCAATTGGTTGGCCTCGCCGTTAACCGGCCCTCTTTGCACATCGACGCTACCCTCGACACGATGCCGAAGACAATATACCTCGCAATTATTGGTAAACTACGCGGTAAAGTACTCACATTTTCGTGTTTTAGAACTGACGAATCTATCTAGGCGTCGGAGGAGTTGGAAATGCATTTCTAGAACAGTTGGGGCGGTTACCAACCCCACCAAAGCTCATTCTTCTGGCTCGCTCATCGCAAACCCTTCTTGCTCCATCGCCAAGTTATTCGCCCTCTATACCGATCGTAGATTGGGCCAGAGCCACGGAAAATGAATCGTTGATCAAATGCGGAGCTCTCACCCCGGCCGAGATGGTCGAATATCTCAGCCGTGCCCCAGGCCCGACCATCGTGGTCGATAATACCTCAGACCTCGGCCTCGCACAGACATATCCCATCTTCCTCAAAAAGGGCATTTCAATAGTAACCCCAAACAAGAAGGGATTCTCACAGGATATCAGTCTCTGGAATGATATTTTCGCTGCTGCAACAGAAGGAAATGCTCTCGTGTACCATCAGTGCACAGTGGGTGGTACACTACCGGTTCTCTCAACGCTGAGAGATTTGATAGCGACCGGTGACGAAATTGTCAGAATCGAGGGTGTTCTCTCAGGCACTCTGTCGCATTTACTCGGTACATACATGCCTGGATCTGGAACATCGACGGAGAGTTGGAGTTCACTGGTCGCTCACGCTCGAGAGGCTGGTGAGACGGAGCCAGATCCCCGAGATGATTTGAACGGCCTTGACTTTGCTCGAAAACTGACTATAATTGCGCGAATCATTGGCCTCAAGGTTACAGGCGCAGATGAATTCCCAGTTGAATCGCTTATCCCTGTGGAACTGAAGTCATTGCCATCGTCTAGCGAGGGCGTTGAGCAATTCATGAACCAATTGCATAGGTTCGATTCCCGAATGGATGAAGCGAAGGAGGCTGCCCGGAAACAGGGGAAGGTGTTGCGCTACGTTGGTAGTATTGATGTGCCGACAAGAACCATCAAGGTCGGACTCGATCAGGTTGACAAGAAGAGCCCAATTGCTGGGCTGGTGGGTAGTCAATTTGTGAGCATGTACACTAAACGATACAAGGAGACCCCCCTTAATTCTACAGGGAGGCGGCGGTGGAGGCGAGATCACGGCTATGGGATTGATGGCCGATCTACTCAAGGTGATGGAGCGACTAGGATAGATTAACTTTCATCCATAGGGTTAGTAGTCCAATGCCGGCTGGCACTCAGCGCTAATCCAAGTCGTTAAAGTCCCGACCGTTCAATATCCACAGACCGATGCCGATTGAACTGGCATGTTTCTATAAGATTGGTGATGAATTGCACGGCCCAAATCAATACCACCAGTAGAATCCCAACCAGCGGTCCCAGGATGGCAAAAGCAGTAAACCCGTACGAAGCATTCTGGAAGGCCGGGCTGTTGTTTAGACGTGTGGTGGCTAGTCCGACTTGCATCGCCGTCAACACCAGTGCGACATAGATGGTTGCTGCAGTCAGCGGGGTCAGATATTCGCGGAATATTTCGCCATATGTGTGTCGGGTGAACTGATACCCTCGGAAAACCTGTAGATGGCGGATAGCGTAGATCTTGTTGAGCCGAGATAGTCGTAACTCTCCGTAAAGGTATCGCGGGTTGATATTTTTGGGATTGATAGCGTTGCTCTCCAAAAGATGTTGGACTAATCTGAGCCAGGTCTCCCAGTCAAGATTCTCCGGTAGGAGGTGGTGAGTTCGCGCAATTTGAAAATCGCTCTTGTACCGGATGAGAGCTATGTAGGAAAAGAGAAACCCAAACCCACATTGAGAGAGCTCCTTTGTGCATTCTTTCGTTGTTGGAGGTGGCTGGTCCGAGTCCGGTCCGGGAATACAGCATGGTCCTCGGCAAATGAGATGCGAGTCCCAGAAGTGATGGTCGAGCAGGTATTGTGGAAGAGGCTTGAGGTGGATGCGCCGTGACTTCTCCCAGACCATGTGCATGTCTATCCTCTCATCGACTGTGATTTCACGGGACGTGGCGACCAGATAGTTCAGGGGTTGTGGGGGGCACCGGTCGGCCGGCGAGCCATAGGTACGGATGGATTTGGTTGAGGCGCGGGACTAAAAGATCGGTTTGAAGGAAGCGCTGGATGTCAATAGTGGGGTTGACAAGCGCGTGCTGGCGATTGCGAAAGGAGGCAGGGAGCAACAGTGTCACTGGGTCCACGGCAATCTTGCGATCCAAAGCCTCTTGGCCGAATGGGGCCTGGGGCGGCATACCTAGGTATGTGAATGAGATTTCAATTGTGGCCAGGTGCTCTGCAAAATATAACTAAATATAGGCCAACAAGCAACGTGACGCTCTCAAGTGCAAAGAAATGCCCTGTGTGAAACTAGTGGTCAACTAAGCATAATTAATTTTGCGACGTCCCGAGGTCTCTGAATTCATGGTGCTGCGTTAATGAGGATAGCATAAAGTCAATAATAAGCCTAATATGTATAAGGCTCATAACCGTGGAAAGTACTAGTAGTAATGTACCCGGACACCGCCGTAATCACAAAGCATGGTAGAGGTAGAGCATCTTATATATACCAAATTATAACTGGTTATGGAAGGTGATCGCTGTCAAAAAGGCTGGAATTATTTGACAACTCATCCATTGGTAAGCAAACACACTCCCAGGAGATTAAGTCTAATGCCATATGGCGAGCCACATAAGGCAGCTCAGACGGAGCGCCATGACAGAATGGCTGAACTTAATATTTCCAAAGGGGCCGAAACCGCAAAGTTGACAGTCGTGGGGGCTGAATACCTTACCTGGGTAGGCCATCATGGAAAAGTATATCCTCCCTCAAATTGCCATTTGATTGGAAGTTTGGAAAGCACCATCAATCTGCTGGTGCTAGGGCTGACATCATAACGATCTTGGTCATCCGGGATTGGCTCACTTTTACGAAGCAGGATGATTGATTGGATCTCGAAAAGCGCCAACTGCATATACGCTCCCGCGATGGGGCTTTATCGTGAGTAACCTATCCAATCTGTTCGATCTCAGTCGAAGGGTCCTCCTTCATTTTGGCCCCCACGATGAAACGACCTCAGTGGGCGCCAGATGAGACCGTATCGGGTAGGAAGTACCGCTGTCTTGGCTTGGCAAGAACAGCTGCAGATCGCCAGGCGCAGCAATGATGATCATCTTCTTCATACTGTGGAGGTTCTATTTACGCTGGGTTGAAAATGAAAGTAGGGAGCACCTCAGGTATATAACCTGCCAGAAGAACCACCGGAACTTGAAAATCAAATCAAACTTGAACCATCTCATTTTCTCATCCCATCCATCACCATTTCTCCTCTCTTCTTACTATCGACCTCTCTTCTACATCTCACCGAAATGGACCAAGCACCTCCTCCCTACAATACAGCTACTAGTATCCCTCCTCGCATGCCTCCAACCATGGCCCCAACTCCGAGCCTGAGCATGGCAACTCCATCTCCTCCATCTCCTCCATCTCCAGCCCACCTCCAGTCTTCTCAATCACAGGCTCTGTTAGTCGACCTAAAATGGAGTAAATTGAAGTTTTTCATTTCGCAGTTTGATCCACAAAACCCGCAGCGAAGAGGCACACCTCTTTACCACGTCGCCCTGCAGGTCGTCATGGCTCCACACCTTCGATTCAAGGCTATCGAAGGCAATGGCACGATCGAAAGAGAAGTCGGCACTGGCACAGTGCATACCTTCAGCATCTCACCAGATTATGAATTATACGGCAAACCCGCTACACTCAAGGCGCAAAAGCGCTTCAGCACCTTCTACACGCACATGTCGACCGTTTTCTCCGACACGCAAGAACCAGTCAAAATGACCTGGACTAGCAACACCGACTTCAAGGGCTGGGATTTTATCTGTGTTGACCACAACCAGGTCCCCGTTGCCAAATTCTCCGCCAACATCTGGGCTGTGAAGAAATTCGGCAAGATTGAACTGCTCGGCCCCAAGGCTTTTGATCCCGCGGCTAGAGATGAGATTGTTGTTCTCGCTGTCACTTTGTTCTACTGCATGTACCTCCGTGTCAACAACCCCTTCAATCTGCTTGGTTCGGCCTTCATGTCTAAGGAGAAGACCGAGCAATCTTCGTCCCAGTCACCGCAAGCTTCCCAATCATCACAAGCTGAGCCCCATTCAAGGGAGGAACTTGAGTTCTTGGCAAGGTCGAATGTCAATGTCCAACCGAAGCAGGAGTTCCGTGGGGAACGGGTCATTTCTTAAGCTCTTGGCGAATTTTCTCGGTCGTGTTTAGAGGGAATTGGGCAGTATGGATCGTTGGGATGAAAGGCGTCTGATTGGAGCTCTTGATTAGCACTGTGTAAGATGATACCTACATTTCTTTTTTTTTCTATGCAAAATATTATACCATACAATAATCCCCCAAGTGATCAAGTAATTGCTTTCTAGACTCAGTAGCCAGCTTGTCTCATTGACACCTTTGCTTGTGTGTTGGGTTCGGCGCCCCATAGCGGCAATCGACTCAATGTTTTTATGCCCTTCTCACGTCGTGGAGTTGTTTAATGTCCGATAAGGTTGAAAACAAGCATTGTCAGAAACACTGGAGCATGAGCCTAGTCATCCTTCAAGGTCCCATTGAAAATGTTTCCAAACCAATGAGCTGCTTCTTGCTCGGGGTCTTCATTCGCGTGAGATAAAGTGACTCTATGTTCGCCATACCCTTTCTCCCGGCCAAAGAAACATGCTCGCCGGAGGACAGATACCATTTCCTCGCTTTGTTGAGCAAGGACAGTCGACTGAGTTGATTTTTCCGAGTTTCGCGGCAAAGACCTATTGTTCTCCGAGATAACTTTCACCCAGGGAAGAGTGATTTCCAACCGACGAACTCCATACCCTGGCTGAGACCAAGTATTCCCACTCGAGCCATAGTCGAGACCGTAAGGAGGCCAGCGCGAGAGAGCCTTGCGACGGCGAGTGGGGAGCTCATTCTCGATACCCTCTTCCTCGGCTGGGCAGATATTACTGTCCCAGTTGAAGGGATCAACACCCGCATGTCGCTCCGATGATGCTACTCGCGTCTCTTGGAGTACCGGGATCGGATGCCCTGGTCCCGTAAGATACTGTGGGAATGCTTTCGGTACATCTCGGCCCGCAGAACGGAGAAATAAAACAGGAGACGCAAATGCGTCAAAGCACCGCTCGAACGACGAAAACAACTCTTTCCGTGCCTCAAGTAGGGGGACAAGATCAGGCAGAGCGACCGCTTTCGATGACTTCTTTCTCGAGTTCTTTCTTGGTCCATCGAAAGTCTCGGGGTTTCTGATGCAGTATTCATCCAGCCCTGGCCAATCGCATATGGGGGATACAGAAGCAACAGCCTTGACTTTCTGTGCCTCAGTGAGTGCCAGCATCAATGCGAGAGAGCCGCCGATGTGCGAACCGAATACCCCCAGCTGTGCAGGCCGGAGGCTTTCTTGAATCCAATCGAATCCCGCGATCGTGTCATGGACAGGAGTCGGATATTGATAAAAGCTCGATCCCATCTCGGCTTTTGAGACGAGTTGGGGCGAGCCGGGAGATGGGCATCTTGAGCTTGATATTGAGCTTTGTGCATTCTTTTTCGCCTATATTACCAAGGCGGTACTCGACAGTCACCACAGTAGCAGCAGTAATTGAGGCCAATACATGCTGAGGCGACAGTTCTTTGGTGAGACAGGCTTCATTTTCTCGGGTTTGCACGGCACACGCAGAATCGGGAGCAGAATGCACACCCCCTACGCGGAACAAAGGCCCCGGGGGAAGATAGAGAATGACATTAGGCGCGGGATTACCAAGCGTAGCCTGTGTATTCTGACTCGGCAGAGACGGGCGAGTGATCCTGGGCAATGGTTAGCGATTGGTCTGTGGCTTGAATTCAAAGACATCAGCCACTCTACCTAAGGTTTATGACCCCATTGTTACCGATTGGCAGTAGAACTGTCTCATCGGCGCAGGCGACAAAAGAACGTGAGCTTTGGAAATAAACGGCCGAGGCACTGTAAGGTCGCTTAACGCGAAAAGCTAGGCGACAGGGGCAGCTGATCAAGGCGCGCATTGCGCCATGGATAACGTTGTGGAAGGTTGTGGAGGATGAAGGGCGCGCGATACCTAGGTAGGCGTGTCGCGCCCGAAAAATTCCCGCGCGCTGTGGCCGTCGAAAGCTTGGCGCGTTAACAACCCCATTTGGTTTGCTGCTTTATATTCCGGAAATAGTTTTTCAAAACATCAAGTTGTACTTTCTTTGGAGTGTTATTCAGTTCCAAGCATATTTTTGCGTTATACCTTGTCAAGAACCACCACCTGGGCACTCCCAAGTCTCCGGGCCTGAGACCGGGCGAATTCATAACCTCAACTTCCAAGATTGAAGGATTTAGTTCTATTATACTAGTACTGGTAGTCGCACTTTTTGAGACTAGTACTAGCAAGGAATAACTATACTATATTAACTTGAACTTCAAGTTGAGAAGGTGGCTCCACATTTAGGTCTAATTATCATTGCAAATTTAGTCCGGGGCCACTGGCACTTGGGCAGTTTCCAAGGTTCATATTTAAAAAATGATTAAAAGGGAAATTTGAAAAAAGGGGGGAAAAACGGCTGGAATGGATCCATGACAGGAATGGAAACCTGAGCACATAAATTGGTTAAGGGGTGGTCCAATAACTACTACCCCAATTAATTAGTCGCTACTACCGAGTAGGGATCGGATATGAACGGCTTTTAGAACGCCCCTCTATAACCAACCATTGTACTAGATGCCTGAGAGTCGGGAATGATAGAGGGGTATCTTCAAGTCTCAATTATTAACGTCAGACACCTCGCTCACAACGTACTCCATATAGATTTAATACCTAGGTACGTTTTAAACCATCAGGCTTCACGAACAGAAATCTCCGAAGTGACATACACCTTGAGATTATCATCACCGGAGAGAATATGCTCTTCGCTGTCCGTATCCTTCATCGTCTTTCCAATTCCGGATCCAATCACTGTAACTGTGTTTCCTTCCAGATCCGGCATTGTATCGAACCTGCTCCTGCGGCGGGAATGCGCCGGTGCAGAGCGAGACTCTTGTTGCATCGAGCCGAGCTGATACGAACGATTCCGGTAAGAGCTTATATTGGTTGCAAACGCCTTGAAGAGCGGTCCATAGGTGGGAATGCAGCAGACAACGACCTGAGTATTTTTATATGTTTAGTAATTTTCGAGGAGCGTACCTAGGTAGGTATGCAAAGACCAGAGATCAGCTGCCAGCGTGAATGGGAGAGTGAACTTACCCCAAGGCTAACCTCCACTAGCGACCAAAGAACAATATTTTTGCTGTCGGTGTATGTTTTCAGGTCTTTCACAGTGAAGATACGAATAACCTGGACGATAGTGACGAAGAATCCGAGCGCGAACAAAGCGACCAAGAATATTTTCTGCCTTTTCCGAAGTTGCAACTTCCACAGGACCGGCAGAGGAAGGGCGATGATAATGACATCTAGGGCAATACTGGTGCCACCTAGGGCGAAGTAGAACGGTTGAGTTTGGATACAATGGCCTTCCAGCGATGTATCCCATTGTTTGGCCACCTAAGTGCATCCTGAGCGTTAACGGAAAGGTTTCTTCACCTTGATGTGAAAGGCGGCCCATGGAGCTACTCACCGGCATGCACGAGATCGAGATGATAAAGGCAAAAATCAATTGATTGGCGACACAGAGAACGATTGCCGCGATGATAATCTTGCGGTATAGTTTCACCACACCTGCAATGCGTAGATAGGAGGTCAGCAGGGCCACCTTAAAGCCGAGCACATCGAGACAGTAAACTGGGCCGCCTGCATATTGGATCTGTGAAGGGAACGAAGTCAAGCCGGTTAGCCAAGTTAGCCAGCCCATTGGTATACAGTCACACCTACCTTGCTAAAAGTGATGACATTCTCCTTTGGAAAATACGCTGCCGTCAGTCCCTGGCCCCATCGGGTTTCTGGATGATAAGAGTTAGCAAGCACGATTTGATTCCCCATCTATCCGGGATCCACAGATCGACGACTCACGAGCCACCGCGATGCCTGCGTATGCGAGTGTCAAGAGAGAACTGGCCAGTGCAGCATAATCATCATACCACGGCAGACGCTTGCTCCGCATGCGAACATAGAATCGAAGACAAACGGCCAGGAAAGAGAAAATGGAGAATGCCAAGCAGATCGCGATCACCTCCGGGATCGTGCTGTTGGGATCTGCCTGGTGGAGGTTATAGACCCAACCCATGGTATGATCATTGCTCTATTAGAAGAAAAGCGGCAAAAACGGGGTTCTATCGGGGGGGGGGTATGATCTTTCTTATTTTGAAAATAACAGAATGCATCACTATGCATGTGGCCAAGCAATAGGGGCCAAGATTTGTGCGGAACAATTAGTTCCATAATTGGCTTTGCCGTGACAGGGATTCAGATCCTGTGGAAATTTTATTCTCAAATGCTACCTCTCCTGCGGGATTTTCCCAACTCTCTTGTGCGCCCGAGAGATGGGAGTCAAAAGAACCCCGTTCAATTGCATGGCCCCATGGCCCCCAATTCCCGGACCCCCCCGGGCCGACTCCTGTTTAGTTAGATCGAACTGCATAGTGATACTCTGTGTGGTCCACTGCGATAGAAGCGATTCGACGAAGAAACCCCGTACTGCATCTGGTCTAGAAAGTAGGAATAAAGCGTCGTCCGCTTGCCGAAAGTGGTTAGTCTACTAAGTATTAATTTATCTATTTCACCGGCTTCATTACAGTTTAATCAATTTTACCGGGGCTTGGTAGCCTCGTGGCTTCGGTATACCCGGAGCTTGGGACACCAGAGGGCCGTTTGATGGGGCAAACTAGCCAATTGACACAGCCCCAGGCTTGAAATCCCAACCCCAGTTAAAGCATGCATTAGCCGCAATCACCTTGCTGGCCTCAAATCTTCTAAGCGAGATTCGACCCTCCCCCTCCTCCCCCTGGATGAGATCTCGTAATATTTAAGTCCCGGAGGGAAGGGTCTGGTGAACGTACATGTTCAATTAGCCAATCGCACCCTGATGTTTTCTCGTGCAGCGTTTATTTCTTGGTTGTTGGCGGTGCCACTGGCAGCAGCTTCGCCCGCCTGCCGTTGCTTCCCCAGCGATGCATGCTGGCCATCGAACAACGTCTGGTCCCAATTCAATAAGACCATTGACGGACGCCTCGTGAAGACTGTCCCGCTTGGTGTGCCCTGTCACGCCCCGAACTACAATGCCGAGACGTGCGAGGTCCTGAAGGATGGATGGTTATTGCCAGAGGAACAGTATGTCGCCCTGCATATCCCAGATTCTCTATTGTTGAAGTTCAGTGCTCATCTTTAATCTCCGCAGCTATGAATCTTCTTCTTCGGTCATGGCCCCATTCTTTGCCAATGGTACATGCGATCCCTTCCACCCTGTCTCGAAGCCATGCACGATCGGCAACTATGTGCAATACAGCGTGAATGTCACCACCCCAACTCAGATTTCCAAAGCTGTGAAGTTCGCGACCAAGTATAATATCCGTCTGGTCATTCGGAACACAGGCCACGACTACAATGGCAGATCCACTGGTGCGGGTGCACTCGCAATCTGGACGCACCACCTGAAGGACTTGGAACTTCACTCGTACAAGGATGCCCACTACAGCGGCAAGGCCATTACCATGGGCGCTGGAATCCAGGGATTCGAAGCGTATGAGATTGCCGATGCCAACGGCTTACAAGTTGTCGGGGTGAATGCCCCACCGTTGGTCTGGCTGGTGGTTACACTCAGGGTGGTGGCCACTCAGCCCTTGCATCTCGTTATGGCCTCGGTGCCGATCAAGTACTGAAATGGGAGGTCATTGATGGCAAGGGAAACTTCATCACGGCCACTCGCGACAACAAGTACTCCGACATTTTCTGGGCTCTCAGTGGTGGTGGCGCCGGTACCTATGGAATCGTCTATTCGCTGACCTCCAAGGCGCACCCAGGCACTCCCGTCTCTGGATTCAACCTGACTTATACGAATGCGAACATCAGCCAGGATACCTTCTATCGTGGTGTTGAGCTCTACAACACCTATTTGGCCGATATCGTCGACGCCGGCGCCATGAGCGTCTGGTACTACACCAACACTAGCTTCATGATCTCTCCAATCACTGCGCCGAATATCCCTGTCGCAAAGTTGGTGCAGATGCTCAAGCCTTTCCTCAATGGCCTGGACAAGCTTGGCATTGAGTACACTTCGACGGCCAGTCAATATGATAGCTACTATAGCCAGTTTAAGGACATGCAAGGCACCATCGAGGTTGGAACAGCACAGTACGGCGGTTGGTTGGTCCCACGATCTGTTGTCCAGAAAAACAACAAGGCCCTGGTGGACGCCTATCGCTACATCAACGAGAACGGCGGCACTTTCATTGGCGTTGGCCTAAGCGTTGCAAAGAAAGTCTCGGGGGACGTTTATAACGCCGTTTTGCCCGCTTGGCGTGAGGCGCTCATCGACACCACCCTCACCACACCGTGGGAGTGGGACGATCCCGCTCTGATGCTGGAGCGCCAGCGCAAGATGACCGAAGACTTCATCCCACGACTGCGAGCGTTGTCCCCGGACTCTGGTGCTTATATGAACGAGGTATGTTCCGTTTCAAGATTTTAACCACGAGCACTGGAAGATATGAGCTAACCATCTCTTTTTATTCATAGGGTGACTTCCGCCAGCCCGATTTCCAGAAGGTCTTCTATGGCGAGAACTATGCCAAGCTCCAGAAGATCAAGGCCAAGTATGACCCCAATGGCATCTTCTACGCCAGAACTGCCGTCGGCTCGGAGGCGTGGACGGAGCTTGAAAATGGCCGACTGTGCAAGACTGGAAATTAAAAGCCCAATTGGGTCTAGCTAGGCACTGTATATTAGTTGACCGGCAACCATCAGCTGCAGATGAGCGATATGCCATGCTCGGCAATGTATTTCGAAGATATTTGATAGAATTGACCGTTCGAGACCGAGATTGACCATTTGGCGTACCTAAACTAGTGCTAAACCCTGTCCGAGAAACACGAGAGGAGAGTTACGCATCTGAGTGGCCGAGGAAGTGCCCAGGTGCTAGATGTAGAGGCTCCCACATCCTGGAATCATGTATAAGCTACTGGTGGTAAATAGGTACAATGCATTTAGAATCAGCAGCCACGAATGCTGTGGCTTCAGGTTTTCAAGTTTGCGGTGCAGTCATGTTCTTATGTGGTATCTTACGGGTTCGGCATGTAATTTGTAGTACACTTAGAAGAATTTAATAATTGAAGAATACTAGTTTATTGAACATCATTTCTCCTCATACTTCTCTGCATTAGTGGTGTAGATCTGGCTTAAGCTTGGCCTGTGCTTTCTGATTTCCGCGGGAAGCTAAAGTGGCCTCATGGAAACCCCTCACTACCCATTACAGTTTTGATTGAATCGGGTTCATAGTAACCGAGACCGGCATGCCGACATCCAGCACTGCTTTGATGACTGATTATCTTGGAGTTTGCCCAGATGATGTTAAAAAGTAAAGAGAGATGAGAAAAAGAGGTCTGGGTTTATGTATCTGCAGACGGGACTTGCTATCTTTACGTCTCTCTAATGGCAAAGTATTAAACGACGGTTTAGTCTTAAGATGTGGCGAGCCAATTTCATTTACGGTGTAGTAGCATTGAGTATTCCAAGGTCGAGAAAGACTGCTATCCTCTACTGTCCAAGTTTGAACACTTCCCCAGTTCTAGATAGTTCCAAGAATCGGTGTACTTACCCCGCCTTTTCTCCGCATTTACGGGTGGCCATTTCAACAGAGTCGCCTTCCTATAGGCTGTAAAATCGTCGGATCAACAAGTCAATTCCCACAAGCGGCCCAGAGCCAAGGAAAATTTCTAGGATTAGAGTTCACAAAGATAGCTTTTCGGCGAATGCCGACTAATTATTTGACAATCTTTACCATCATCATCCACTGTGGACCTTCCCCGTGGATTCAATTGTTGGGGTATCCAGCCTTCAGGTTTTCTATAAGAGGAGAACATTCTGTTCGTTCGGCCTTTTCTCGACTATCGTCGTTGATGCAGTGAGCTGATATCTCATTCGACTCTAAGCAATTACTTTCGATCCAATCCATTCTTCTTCAATTGCCTATTCATTTCTAGACAACTTGTCCGCTTCAAACTTGAACAAGATGGGTCGGTTCAAGAAGGTGATAGAAAAGATCCAAGCCCCCACCGAGCCTGGGCTTTCAACAGCCCAGCTCATGTTGGTAAATGACGACCTTCGGCCAGGTAAGAAAATGCGAATCATCCAGTCACCGCACTTCTCCTGCACTCCCAATTTCATCTTCGCTCTGATGAAAAGAATTGACTCAAGATTTCCATGCTAATCTATATTTGCGAATAATAGTCGATCCAGATCGCCGTCAATGGAGATGGCTCAATTTCGTTGCCTTTTGGATCGCAGATTCATTGAACGTCGTGCGTTTCTTCCCACTGCGCTTGTTGAACAATTGAATGATTCCCGACCGCTCGGATTGATTTTCTTCGCATCAAAGGTGCAATTGGAGCTTCTCAAAACTACTCTAACCTCCGCCTCAGAATACCTGGATGATTTCGTCCTCCATGATAGTCGATGGCCTATCCTGGTGGCAATCGTGGCTATGTGTCTGGATTGGGTATACTATCGCTGGTCTTTTTGTCTGCCTAATTGGCCGAATCGGCGCGATTTACCGTATCCCATTTGCGGTAGCGAATCGTGCATCCTTCGGAATTTGGGGTTCTTTCTGGCCGATCCTCAATCGTGCGTCGATGGCGGTTATATGGTATGGCGTCCAGGTAAGCTCCTCTGTGCCTGTTACGACTCAGAGCATTATACTAAACAAAAATCTCCCAAATAGACATATCTTGGAGGTACGCTGATCGTGATGAAGGACGGGGTATTAACAGATGCATAAAATGATACTAACTTTTCTACCTAGGTGAATGTGTCACATTGATGATTCGATCAATCTGGCCCAGCTACAATAATCTACCAAATACTATCCCTGCAGGTGCTGGTGTCACTACTCAGCAGTTCGTGAGCTTTTTCTTATTCTGGCTATTCTCACTCCCTGCTCTATGGTTTCCGATCTACAAGATCCGACATCTCTTCACCGTGAAGGTAAACCTATCTCTGTTTGACTATTCTGTCGCTTCATTCCTTGCTTAATCTGACCTTCTCGTCCCAAAGGCATATTTCTCCCCTGCCTGCGCCATTGCGTTCTTCGGATGGGCTATTGCTCGTGCACATGGTCTGGGCCCAATTATCACCCAGCCTAATACTGTACAGGGTAGCACTCTCGCATGGGTGTTTATCAAAAGTATTATGAATTGTATCGCCAACTTCGCTGCACTTGTGATAAATAACCCTGACTTTGCACGCTACGCTCGAAAACCACAAGATGCTCTGTTGCCGCAGCTTATAACAATTCCGGTCGGCTTTGCTATAACATCATTTATCGGCATCATCGTCTCCTCTTCGTCAACGGTTATCTTTAATCAGCCTGTCTGGAATCCCTTAACTTTGTTAGGGATGTTCCTAGAAAACGCGACCTCAGCTGAACGTTTTGGTATCTTCGTTATTTCTAGTGGCTTTGCCTTGGCTCAGTTAGGAACGAATATCGCCGCTAACTCGGTATCTGCGGGTACAAATTTGACTGCGCTCCTCCCTCGCTTTTGCACAATTCGAAGAGGCGGCTATTTCTGCGCTGCTATTGGCCTGGCCATGTGTCCTGTGAGTTACATTCGGAATGTTGGTTTTATTTGGGGAAGCTTCTAATAAAGCTTAGTGGACTCTGGTTGCATCTTCGAACAACTTCACTATTTACCTCTCTGCCTATTCTGTGTTTTTATCATCTATCGCCGGAGTGATGAGCAGCGACTATTATTTAGTGCGCAAAGGCTATCTCGATATCGAGAAGCTATACAGTGCACAGAAAGAGGGCCCTTACTACGGTATTTACGGAGTTTCGTGGCATGGTTATGCCGCCTACTTCTGTGGGATCTTGATCAACATCGTTGGGTTTGCAGGCGCCGTTGGTGCAAAGGTTCCTGCAGGTGCTGCATATATCTATAATCTCAACTACTTCACTGGATTCCTAGTCGCCGGGGGAGTCTACTGGATATTAGCCATCCTGTGGCCTCTCCCATTGACTAGCAAGTCTTGGAACGAAGTCCCTTATGAAGTGTCGCCTCTATCTGATTTGGAGATGAAGAAAGAGGGACTGGAAGGAGCGGAACACATGGAGCATGTATAATGGAACAGGATTTGGTGCGAACTGTCTTTCAGATAACCAGGCAAATGATATCCATCCGCCAGAAATATACGGAATTTTACGAACTACGAACTGCAAACAAGTAACCAAATGTGATTTGAATCCACCCTAGAAGTCTCCAATAAGAATTTTCTTTTGACACGATGGTAACCAAGAAGCTGCTCAAAACAAATCTAGCGCACTTCTAATGATTTCATATCATCGAATTTCATTGAGGTTGGGATGAGCTGATCCTCCGTCAGCCTCACATGATCCGCCGTCAGTCGCCATCCCTTCCGAGTCCTTTTGTGGCCAGAAGTCTAAGTTTGAATACCCTGCCCCCTGGAGGTATACTTTGTCTCCGCGGAAAATATTTATGCAGGGCTCTAATATATGAGGCCTTTGTTAAGGTTTGATTTATCGATTAAGTTCTTCGACTGTCAATAACTACAACGTCAGCTTCTCATACGAAATTCCATCGAGTAATGGATAGATAACACCTCGGGATCTGCACCATAACCTCGGATGCATGACAGTTTTTATCGAGTAATTTATCCGAGCTAAAACTTTAGCCTGTTGCTTGGCGTTGGGGTCAGGGGATAGAAACAACCAATCGGCTCCGAGGCCCAACTAAGTCACCAGACGACATCACTAGCTTCGTTTTTTTTTTGAGGAGGCAAAGAGCTTCAGATACTACTACAGACCATGCTAGGCTTAAAAATACTTGGAAAGGGTACTGGGTAATTGCAGCACCGTTCGACCTCAGTCAAGCAACAGCCTAGGGCTCATCATTTACATTCTCCTTGAGTATTTCCCCGAGCATATCAATCAAAAATTCACATGAGATCCTTTTCAGTTAAAATAATCATTACTTCCAGCATTAAAGCCCCTCGGTTATAATTTGTACACAGTCTTGCTCCACATTCGGGCGTCGGGGGCGGGGCGGGGGTGGAGATTTGTTGAATCTTTAGGATCGAAAAATGATATTAGACATGAGTTCATTATTCAAGCTCTAAATCCACAGATGAACTTTGAAAGGCTCTTGAGACAATTTTTCCAAGGTTTTTAAGGGGTCTGAAAATCTATGCCCGGTTCTACGCATGATTAATTCTGGAAATGGTGCCCGACATCATGCTTATTAGATGCTAGTGGCGGGTTTTCAGAACTTCCTACTGATGTTCGTTAGATACATCTCAAGCCGCGTAAAATCTACAAGGGGTCCATAATCGCTTGAATAAACTCTTAAAGGACAGCATATAGTCCGAATCACGTAATAGGTCGAGATTTACTTGAGCCCTGGTATGGAGTGGGCTGTCCAGATCGGAACGACGGACCCCTGGCTGTCGGCTACATTATTTTCAACCATTCAAAAAAAGCTATAGCATACTTTCGGTGACAATTAGATTTCGGCCGATTCCGACTCATTCCCGGGGAACGATACCTAGCTCCCCACTGTCTCATATTCCATCATCTTACCCCGGGGTACCATGATATAGCTCAGGGCCCACGACCCGCTACAGATGCCTACTAAAACCGGGTTCTGGGACCAATAGGGCCCATTTAATTCCTTTATACTGTTTAAGCGGAGCTAGAAAGAAGATGATATCAAACAGGTTTTTCAATTTTGGTTTCCGAGAGGATCGCTCGGGTCCGATATCCTGAGGGTGGGCATTCCGTAACTGACTTTCGGAGGGCCATGCGGGCCGAGTCGCCTTTCTTAGACTACGTAGTGATTACTTTTTTGGCAAAATCATCAGAAAGAATGATTCAAATGCCTGGAAAATATTTTGATAGCTCTTGATATCATGCTGGATCTGTGGGCTCCGTACATCGAGAGCCATAAAATGTACGGTCTCAGAATGAGGTACGCAACCAAAGCTTACATGGGGCTTGATATCTCGACATCCAGTCGGCCTTCAGAAACAATGTGGAGAATAAATTGACTTTCCGAGTACCCAAGTTGGTAAGGCTGTATTCTTTAGCATAGAGAGTATCTCATTGATCAACAGTCGATAGTATTACCCGGGAAACCAGTCGACATGTCCGGGGGTACGATTTAGATCCAAGGTTTGTATAAGCAAGTTCTATGTCAAACTATATGAACCCGTCAGCTAGCCAAATAATCTACCATTTAACACGCTTTTCAATTCGACGCTCTCTTCAAGTTCCTGATTCTCATATCTGATGCCTTTTTGCTAACATGGGTCTGAAACCGTTTCTTGGGCTTCGAGGAAATGCCCTCCTCCACGCAACTCTCATACTAGTTGTGTGCCCTACTTTTACTTGCTATGGATATAATATGAGCGTGGCGGGTGGCCTGTTAACTCTCACCGCGTTCAATAATCAATTTCCCAGCATCGACACGCTTCATACAAGCGGGGAGGTTCAACAAAAGAATTCACAGATTCAAGGTTGGCAAATTACTTTGGACTAGTATGATTTCCGATGTTTTCTGACTGATATGTTTGTTTTAACCAGGTGTCGTCATGTCTCTCTTCACTGTCGGCGGTATCTTCGGGGCTCTCTCATGTGTATTCTTCGGTGATCGCTGGGGCCGCCGGAAGGTCATTCTTATATCGAACATTATAACTATCATCGGCGCCATTCTCATGGCAACTTCATTCTCACTTGCCCAGTTTGTGGTTGGGAGACTAGTTCTAGGGGTAGGGATTGGAGGATACGTCGCGACTGTCCCTGTCTGGCAGTCCGAAATCTCGCCAGCCCATATGCGAGGATCCAATGTGGTGATTGATGGGATCTTCGTCGGAAGTGGAGTTGCCCTGGCTCTATGGGTTGATCTGGGATTCTTTTTCGTGAAAGAAAGTTCCGTCTCCTGGCGGTTCCCTCTTGCCTTCCAAATCATCTTCTCGATCATCGCAATCGTCTTTATCACAATGCTACCGGAGTCGCCACGCTGGCTTATCAAAAAGGGCAGAGTGGACGAAGGACGACAGGTTTTAGCCGCATTACTCGACGTGGAGGAGCACTCTGATGTTGTGAACGATGGCGTATACGACATTGAATCATCGCTTTCTCACTGCGGAACAGGGTCGTGGAAGGACATGTTCACGAACGGAGAGCAACGTCTTTTCCATCGCACATACCTGGCAGCCACGGGCCAAATGTTTCAGCAGATGTGTGGTATCAACGTCATTACCTTCTACGCCACAACCATCTTCGAACAATACCTCGGAATGAGCCCCGTGAATTCACGGATTATCGCCGCGGCAATGCCTCTCACGCAGCCATTTGGTGGCTGGCTTGCCTATTACACCATCGACCGCCTCGGGCGGCGACCTTTGCTCATATGGAGCGCCGCAGCCTTGGCCGTGTGCATGGCAGGACTCGCCGGTACGACTTCACCATCCGCAGCCAATAACACAGCTGCGCTAGCCATGGCCGTCGTCTTCCTTTATTGTTTCCAATTCATCGCGACAATCGGGTACGCGGGACTGACCTTTTTATACGCGGCTGAGATAGCACCTCTGCAGATTCGTGCTGCTGTTAACGCCGTATCCACCGCTACCGTATGGTCGTTCAATTTCCTCCTGGCCGTGATAACACCCGTGGGCTTCGCGACGATCGGAAGTCACTTTTATATTATCTTCGCGGTCATCAATGCTCTCATGGTACCGAGTGTGTATTTGTTCTTTCCTGAGACGAAGGATCGTTCGCTAGAGGAGATCGATGAGATCTTTGCGCAGTCTAAGAATGTATTCGATCCGCCTCGTGTGGCGCGTGCAATGCAGCGGAAAATGCGAACGGTGCATATTGGCGAAGTCCGGGAGTCGGGAGATATTGTCGAAATAAAAAGTGATGGTCTGCAGATGGATGTGAAAGCTTAACTCACCCGCGGGCGTGTGTGAGCTTCAATGATGTGAGGTTCTTGGAAGTTGGGGAAGGGAGTTTCAACTCATGCCATGCATCCACCGCTACTAACGCATCTGGGGACGAATGGCAGGCAGTCTACACCGTTCAATCTTTCAACGCTGGGCAGTGAAGGTTTCTTTTTTTACCATGTGATTGAAATTCTTGATGTCATAGAGTAGTATACACTACTAGAGTCGAAAAGTTTGCATCGAAAATAGAAATATGATTAGTAGAGTAGCATTATCCGTTGGCCACAATTCTTCTCAACTTTGAAGCCACAACTCCCCTCTTGAAACCTCAAAATCCAAACAAACCAAGAAAAACAAGCCTGAGTCCTGAATACCCACCCCACTAGGCGAGTGAAAAAGTGGCAAAAAGAAACTCTCCCTCGGGGAATCGAACCCCGGTCTCCCGCGCTTATCGGTGTTAATGACAAGCGGAAATCATGACCACTAGACCAAGGAAGATGAAATAGTCGAGTTACTGCTCGACCACTTGGGGGTGGTTGATATCATGGCGGCCGGATTTGACTAGATAATCACAGACTCGAAGGATGTTCCAAAATATACAATTAATCTATTGCGTTGAAAAAAGCCAATTCTATCATATGCTATGCACCCTACCCAGACTACTAGTACCCTTCTATTCTATAAATTTGGTCCGCCCAGTCCGGAATTACCGGTCGGAGACCACCATCCCTCCAGATCGCCGAGATCGGGAAGCATACCCGGGTCATTCGTGAATTGCGGTGCTGCCATAGCGTTTATGGCATTGAGATCCGAATTATAATTCCAACTGAGATCGTCGGAAGGTACTGTAAAGGGTGGTTGTTTTTGTTGTTGTTGTTGCTGATTGTAATCAGACTGGTTCTGCCTCGAGTCATGCTTTTGATGAGTGTCGAAAGATGCGCTTCCAGTAAAAGGCGCAGTCAACGAAGCCCGTATCTGCTGCGATTGGGAGAGATCGAGCGTATTCGATAGACGCGACTTTTTGCGCACGGATTCGGATGCAACACTATCATGACGACTCGGGTCACGAGCCGATGAGTGTTTTTTAGAGTCGGAGGAAGCAAGATTCGCGCTGCTGAGGTGTCTTTTCGAGGCCGGACCTGATCGATGCATATGTGCCTGCCACCGTCGTTGCAGAGTAACGAGGAAGTCCCTGGTACGCTTCGCGTTTTCGAAGGATTGGCCGAGCTCGTCGAGGGCGCGGAAGCAGAGATTCAGATATGCGACCATTTCGGCGTTGCGCGGGTGTGGTTGGCTGGTTTCGCCGGGCTTGTTGGGCATGAGTGGGGAGCTGGAGACGGTGACGAAGAGGAGCATCAGTGCGGCGCTGAAGATTATCGCCACGACTTGGTTATTCATTCGGCGGAAGGAGTAGTGTTTTTCGTAGATGTGGAGGAGCCGGGCGATCGCTGTTGCTGATTCGACGCACATGCGTCGTGCGTGGTGGTAGCCTGGTCCTTGGCGGGGACTGCGTGGTTGGATGTAATTCTTCGATACCCATGGTCTGTGGAAGAAGATTATGATTTGATGGTATTGCATACTGTGAGAAAGATTAGAATCATGAATGCCGACGCGTTGTGGTCTGGTTGACTGGTTCATTAGGTTCATTACTCACTGGAGTATTAACAGATGGGGTAGTCGCGGTGTTGCATCGTCATCGATATCGAGCTCGAGTGTAGAGGGCAGATTCCTTTTCCAGGCGAAAAGGTCCTCTGTCACTTGGAATGTAATTCTTTGCAGATCGTGTCGAGATATATCGGAGCAGCCGTACCTGGTGAGAACTTGAAGTTAGATATAAACAAGAACAATTCTAGCATGGTTCCACTCACAAGATATGTCCCACGGGGGAAATCATTTCCCATAGCACGACGAATTGCCGGCAAATCAGTTCAGTGGTATCCCTAAGACCGTCTCCAAAGGGATCTGGTGTTTTCTGCAGTCCGTATGGGTGCCAGATGGCGTCTTTATCCGCGCCAATCGTGGATGCAGGTTTCGGGACAGTAATGTCTCCTGCAGTCATCCGAAATGGTCGGCCCAAGTAAAAGCCCCAGAAGCTACAAAAATAAGCATATGTATAATCAACTCGGAATGACGAAGAGAAATATGACACTCACTGGTCAGCGACATAGCTTCCCCAAAAAGCTGTTCGTCGAACGTCCGCTTCATGAGCGCTAACTTCACCATTATTGACATAGGTCGTCATATCCAAATGTAATCCAAGATCAAATGCAAGCCGCATTGACATGCCTATTGATTAATGAGAAACCTATGCTCAAGTATGGGAGCGAGGGTCACTTACCGCTATAAAGCCAGCCACGAGCATCACGGTTCGATGCACCCTCGTGGCAACTCAAAAGAACGAGTGCCTGCACAGTCGCAACACAAGGTGTGTCTAGTTCGATTTCTAAAAGAGCTTTCGCTCGATCTGCGAAGAAATCGGCCAACGATTTGGGAAAAGTGATAAAGGTGGGGTGATAGCGCGCTTCAAAAGCGCTTCCAATTGCACACCTGTCGCTCATATTAGCAATTCGACATTATAATCAGAAACTTGGAGTCACGGATGTTTCAATACTCACATCGCATTGGTAAGAACTTCCGAGTAAAATGGGGTATCGTCATATTCTTCCCGCCATTTCGTTCGCGCTGTCATGTACATCGCCTTATCCACGACATAAATGCTCGGATTCTGCCAAGTGAAAAACAGCTCAACCAGGTGATCCTCCAAAGCCTGATCAACCGGCTGACCGACGCGAAGATGATTAAGGATATCCTGGCCATCATGCCGCACGGTTCGCGCATCGGGCCGTTGCCGCTGCTGTGTCGCCGAAACATCAACCAAATTGAGATTCGAGGTAGCGCCATAAAAGCGCAAATGACCATCGCCGGCGATTTTCAAAGTCCCGATGCGATTAGACAATTGCTCAATGACGTCGCTCTCGGCCGGGTTTTCCTCGTCGCTGTCGGAATCGTGGTCCTGGTGCGATGGATTTGTCGGCACCTGGCCCAGTAACACGCCTGGCTGTTGGACCATGTCCATGCCAAGTTGGAAAGTGTCTGGGCTGAGACCGGCGTTGGCCATCATCCCTGATCCACCATTGATATTCGCGTAAATGTTCTCCAGGCTTTCTGCGTTGGGTAGGGAGAATCCCCAATGCACAAAGTTTTGATTGTCAGGCGCACCCCGCACCATACTGTAGGGGTTCCAGGGTTCCACAGAGGGTGAAACCCCGGTTTGCTGGTTCGCGACGATGCCACTGCTGTGCGATGGCGATACGCTGGAATTCTCCTTTTCGACCGAGGGTTGGGATTGCCCCGGCAGAGCTGTTCGCGGCGGGCTACTTGTCGGGGATGGCCTCTGATGAAACGGCGGGCTTATCTCGTCTGCTGATTTCTGGTCGCTCGCAGAGAGGGCTGAGTTCTTTGTGACTCCCCGAGGGATTTGAAGTGTGTCCAAGACTCTGTTCATGCCGGCCTCGTCTTCTGGGTCCATTGGAGGGGGCACTAGGCCTTGCTCCTGGATGAATTGGTATAACTGGTCAATTCTTGCTGAAAAGAGCTCCGTGGCGGCTCTTAGAGATACTCTGTAGACCCTGTTAACTCTTGAACTTGCACCCAAGACTTTTTCTTGGCCACATGGTGTTTCTCCACCGCTATTTTATTGTAATTAAAGGAACATGAAGGAGTAAGTAACTTACTTCCGCTTGTCGTCGCCATGTTGATATTTGCATTCCTTGCCCTTCCGTTCACAATTTTGACAATGCGGCATGGAACCATCGCACTGCAAGATCAGACTCTACATGTTAGATTTGCGCCAATCTTCCTAGGTCCAAGATCTAGGCTTAAGGAAAGTGCTGCAGGCTTACCCTGATTTTACTTTCCCGGCAAGGGACACAGGCGGTGGTGACATGCTTCCGCGGTGTCTTCTTAGGCTTATCAGGATCCGGCGACATGGTTGGAAAGCAGTTCCTGCGTCTGTTCTTTTCTTTTTGCGGAGAGAATTTCGACGGCGAAAGGATAGACCGTGGGGGTGGCGGTTCTTGCGCTGGGCTTCGCGCTTGGGGAGATTGCGTCGCCGCTGAATTGATAGAGCGTTTTAAGTCATTTCGAGTCAGACTCCTGGATTCATATTCATCGTTAAGCAATCGGGAAACGTGTTCGAGTTTCAATGCGAAATTCGTATGGAGTAGCGAAATGTTCGTCTGGGGGGGGGCGGGGGAGAAGGGGAAGCTTACTCCACCTTTGGCGCGCCCGCCTATGAGATGCGCGGGGGATAAGCCGAGCCCCCATTCGGTCTGTCCTGGTGATCGCAATGGCTCCGAGATGGCCAATGCGAGTCGACATGGTCGGGAGGGGCTTGAGAGGACCCGAGTCTTGTGTGTTTAGGGTATATCGGTCCTAGGTATTCTTCTCGTCCAATTGAAAGAAGTTGATCCCGCGCATCGACGGTCACACTCTGGGTACAATTTTACTTATATATGCTACTAGATAGGTACATCGGCGTTTCACCAGTTGGAGGTGCGCTTGATTCGCTCATTTTGGATCACCTCGATCCAGTATCCATCGGGGTCCAGGATGAACGCGATGTTCTTCATCATGCCATCGGTAAGACGCTTCTTGAAAGGTACCTTAAGGGACTCGAAGCGGTCGCAGGCGCCCTGCAGATCGTCGGTGGAGATGCCTGAGAGGAAATCACTGTCAGCACGATAACAGAAAAGATAGGATTCAAGAAGAACAACATGACACGGTAACGTACAGATATGACCGAAGCCCTGGGGTGCGGTGTTGCCGTTGTGATACACGGGACCCTCCTGCTTCTCGGTGCCGTAGTTCCAAGTCAACTCCAGCAGACCCTCCATGTCCGAGGTTTTGCCGTCCGCGGGGGCCTTTCCATAAGCCAGGAAGTACAGGTTAAACTTGTTGTCCGGGTTCTCAACTGTGCGAACCAAGGTCATACCCATAGACTCTTGGTAGAACTTGAGACTGGCCTCAGCATCCTTGACACGCAGCATGGTGTGGTTCATACGGTAGGAACCCGTGTCCGTGGTGGTGGACAGATTCTCCTCGGCGCGCTTAATGATCTCAACCCAGTATCCATCGGGGTCCTTCGCAAAGGCGATGTGTCGCATCCGACCCTCGGTCAGCTTCTTCTGGAAATTATATCCGGCATCCTCGATGCGCTTGCAGGCGACTTCAATGTTGTCGACGGAGATGGCGAGATGGCCGAAGCCTCGGTGTGGCTCGGTGTTGCCGTTGACGACGCTGTACTCGGGATCGTTCTCGGTTCCCCAATTGTGACAGAGCTCGACGGTACCTTGGAGATCGGTGAAGTGGGAATCTCCATTCAGAGACTTAGGGCCGGTGTAGGCCAGAAAGTAGTTGGTGAACTTTCCTTCGGGAACGTCCATCTTGATGACCACGCTCATACCAAGGAACTTGTAGAATTCCAACGAACGCTGGGGGTCTTTGACCCGCAACATCGTGTCTGTATGGCATGGTAATTAGTACCATAGACAGGTAGATTGTAGAAATTTGTAACGTGGCGAGGGAAGAGGAACGAACGGTTGAACTTATAGGTGGAGGGATCGGAGGCCATGGTGAAGGATCGGGCTGCATGTCGGTTAGTGATTGGGTGGAGGAGAATATTAGAATGCGGATCTTGGTGGTAGAAGCATACTTGTGACAGGGGCTATAGAAAGTCTGGGGAAACGAAAAGGAGTGAGGACCCTTGAAGATAGACGGGTGAACATGATGAGATCAAAGGGGAGAGGGGCAATTAGAAAGCAAAAGTCCGTGAGGAGAAAGTGGGGCATGACGCGGTGGGAGGTCATGTAAGAGTATTAGTAACTATTATCATTAATTCTAACTTGTTATAGTATAATAGTATAGTATATTCATAGTATATTATAGTTATAATTAATGATAATATATTTGCAAATCCAGAACAATGCCATGTACTATAATAACTGGGCATATAGTAGTAGCATACCATAGAATGCAAGCTGAGGGCACTGCGGTAACAACACCACCACTCCTCCTCCTCCACCTTCCACTCAACTTCTCCCCTCTTCAACTTCCTCTCCTCTTCTCCTCCTCCTCCAACCTCCACCCCCTCCGCATTGGCCAGGTAGGTCTATACTCTCCTCTTCTTTTTCTTTTGCTTATTCTCCCCCTTTCCTTGTTCGCCTACTTCCATTGCCCCATTCCCCCCTTCCTTCGTGGCTCTCGTTTGCCTTCCCTGCACTCCACACAAGTCGTGCGCCCCCGCATCCACCGTTGATCGCCGCGTGTCATTGGGCCTTCAACCCTTCCCCGGCTTCGTGTCTCTCCCTGACACAACCCACGACGCTCCTGGGCCCTTTTCTTTTCTTTTTCTTCAATTCTTTTACTTTCCGCGCTTAGCTGTCAGGCATGCGCCTGCTAGTCAATCGCCCTTCCTCCAATCATCTTTCCCCTCGTCAACACGTTCTCATTTTCTCACTGCCCCCTCCATGTCAATCTCCACGATGTTCGTGGCGCCTCTGCCGCGGAGCCTCGCAGCGCATCTCATGACTGCAGTCCTACCCTGACTCCTGCTATAAATTATCCTCCTTCCTCCGAGCCGGCCCTGTGCCACCCGGACACGGCGGGATTCTTGAAGACTTGTCATCTGGACTGCCTCGTCCTGCGTTCTGTCAATGCCAATCATCACCCCGTCGTCTTCCTCCTTCCTGTGTTCCCCTGCAAGCCCGCTATGATAACACTGCCCTCGTGCCCCTGTTCTTTGATACTTGTGCCAAGCCAAGGGACGCATCGCGCTGTCGCGTGCCCTCTTCTCCTCATGGGTCTCAAGATGGCTGAATTCGAACCCTTTCCAGTCTCCAACTTCTTCGACAAATCAGACCTCCCCTCCCACTCCGATCGTCCATTCATACCCTATTGGGCCCGGTGTCATACACAGCGCGCGCAAAATCTCCTCGACTGCACCGACGAACCGATCGAATACGACCACGACGACGAGGATTACAGCGACAACTGCTTCTTCTTCCCAGAAGACTGCTCGTGGACACCCCCGAAAGAGTCGGTTGTTGAGGCGCATTTCAAAGCCCTCAAGGAGAAATCCGATACTACACTGCGAGCACCTACACGGACCGTCCCAGACGCTACCGGCAGCATGATTCCCGGGCTTCCTGATATCAAGATGCTCGACTCGGAGGCGCTGGGTGATTTGCTGGAGGACAACTTGTCCCCGCCAGAGATTAACACAATTCTGTAAGCACCTGCTACTTTGCCCCGGGCTTAAAATTTGTTCCGTTCCAAGCTCATGTTTTTTCTGTTACAGCGTGTTTGCAACAAACGGCGCGGTGTTTGCCTACGGATCTACCCTGTCATCCCGCCAACTACGAAACCTAAGCGCCACCTACGGTGCTGCCTACACGTGCTACGCAAAGACCGCCTCCAGCGGGAATCTAACTGGTGTCAACCCCGCAAGCCATCCGTCCTCCTACGTAACAGCCCAGTCCATGTCCCTCGGTGACGTGGGCTCAATCGTCTTCGAGCTCGACGACTCGGTAGCCGTGGTAACACGGATTGCTGACAAAGTTCTGCTGGCCGCCGTCGGCCCTTCTAAGCCGGATGCTAGCACGGCAAATGGGAATGGTGATATCGGGGGAGATGGAGCCGTAGCGGGCGATCTGAGCAACGGCACTGCTTCGGACGGCTTAGGAGACGGCCACCGCACTCCAACCGCACCACCATCACCCAACCCTCCGCCGCGTGATGGAAACGAGACGCAACATGAGATAGATCGAAGTGCAGACCTGGCACGACTGGCAAGCTTGAACCTTTCCGCCTCACCATCTGTCTTGCTTGCCTTGGAGTCGAAATGCGCCGCGCTGGGAAGATTCTTGGGATCAAAACTGGACGATTTAGACAGCCCGGAGGACTTCTAATAACGATGAGGTGTGACATGATGATGGATGCCAGTCTTGGTCTGATATCTGTGAGACGTAATGTTTCAGCGAGGCATATTTTACAAACCTGAGCGAATGTGTTCACTACGAATTGATGACAACCTAAAAAATTGAACATTTATTCGCTGAATAGCTAATGGGCCCGGACTTAAGCCAGTGTACAGACTCGCACGAGATCTCCTTCCACATCGCGACACAGGGTTCAAGTTGCCATTTCAACCCCTAATCAGATAATGTGGCAAGTAAATAACCCTTCTACGTACGTAGGTACCCAAGTTACAATGATTGTGCCCTTTTCGGAGATTGTAGATCAACTACTACTTAGTAGGTAAAGTAGGTAAGAGAGTGTGCAAGTACTAGTCGTATAATGGGAAGCCTTCAGCGTTCAAGTTTGGAGGGTTTTGGGCAAACACAACATCTGAACTAGCGATTTTCAACTTTCTCCTTTCCGCATCCCGCATTGGATCGCTGACACCGCTGAGGCGTTCAGTTTGATGCCATCATTCAGCGATGCCCCGCCTATCATTTATCTGATCTTAAAGGCCCCCACTCTAGAATGTGGCCTCAGGGGGCTGCGATTTCATAGAACTTATCGGGCATCTATCCACCATGTTTATACCGTCGAAAGGGCAAAAAGATCCGTCTTTCTGGACCTGGCACGCAATTCAAAGCTGGAAGTCCACTTTTTTCCCCGATTGCAGCGTCGAGACGATTCATGTCTACCATGAAAGCGACCCAACTGCCCACTGGAGGCTGTCCCTGATAGACTCCATCCAATCATTCGCTCATGAGTCCCAACCTCGATATTAAACTCGGGCCTACTACCGAAGCAGATCAGTCTCATCTGGCTTTATCTGTTTCTTTGAAGTTCAAGTTTGAACGCGGCTTTGAAAGAAATCGAAGTTGAGGAATTCGAGCAGCATGAGAGAGGCTTTCTCAAAGAAAGTATTTCCTTTATTCATCCCTTTGGACTATGTGTTAAAAACTGCTGATAAAAGTTGCTCTTTAGAACTAGTCCTGTTTATTTCACTGAAATAATTTTTCTCTATCAGCCGTAATACCACTCAAAATGCCTCGCCAGACTGTAAAGAAGCGCAAGATGCAACCTGAGCCCGAATCTGAGCTTGAACAAAGAATTCTTTTTTGACTATGTGTAATGCATTATCAAACACTAGAACCTTGGAGCCTGAGATGGCAATGATCTCTTTATTCACGCCCCAGCGGGACGAAGTAAGTATATACAGAGAATGAAATGATAGGGATCTCCTTAGAAAGAGATGTCACCGGATGTACCGAGGACAGTTGAGCCCTGAAGGGCGACAACATGGATGGGGCTAGTTGGTAGGCTTGTCAGGTTAATCATAGTTTCAAACCCAGTGCGATTGGCCGAGCCAATCTGCTGGCTGTTCACTGAATCATTCGAGGCACCAGAGTAGATGACCCAGTTATCGTAGTCAGTCGCACCATTCCAGCTCATGTAAACATCAGCGCCATTGGCGGTGCGAGTGACATTTGCCACGGGCGACCAGAACGGAACGGCACTCCACTGGCATCTGTAGCCTCGGTATGAAGCTACTGCATTATCCTCGCCGAATTGAGCACTCAGCACCAAGTTCCCATCGCCATCATACTCCTTGACCTTTGAGATGGAACCGTAATCCATGAATACATGGCCGTTGGTTTCATTCAAGAGCTGGTAGCTTCCCTGACTCACAGAGTGAATGGAGTCGTTAGGGTCGCTGAGAGAACGAAGGCTAGTGACGGTCTTCTTGGTCAGATCGATAGCCAAGCTCACACCAGTAGTGGGAGACTCAGTATTGGTCGGGGTGTTTGCGTTGTTGAAAAGGTTCAGAACCAGTCCTTCGTCGGTCTCGTTGAAGACGCGCATGTCGTGTTGCCACGAGAAGCCAGCATTGCCGACCTGTTTGAAGTCACCACCATCTTCACCGCTCACACGCCAGATCACGGATCCATTGTTGTGGATGTAATAGCCCGACCACATGTGGCGCAAAGAGATGAGATAGCCATCGTTGGTGGTGGTGATGGCGTTAATGTGGTAGGCATCGTAGGGAGAATCCTGAGTGCCGACGTCACCACCAAGCTTTTGATGAGACGTGGTCAAGGGGATATCTGCCTCCTGCTCCAAGGCACTCCATGAATTGACAACCTTGTTGGTGGGAATGTCAATCTCGTAGAAGTGACTGTCGAGCATCCAATCCGATGAGCTGCCGTTGATGGAAGTCAAATCGTGCTGCGTGAGGTTGTATGCGGTAACAAGAAGAGTGTTCCGGGGAGTGATATGACTCTCGTGCAGATCAATATAAGAATCCTTGGTCGAGTTATCTGGAGTGACGAAGGCGCCCTGCAATGTCACAGTGTAGATTTCCTTGTAGCTCCTGTCGAGAATGTGCACGCTGCCGTAGCCATAGCCAATGTCCATCATATCGCCAGCCCAGAAGGTGATAACGGGTTCGTTGTTCAGCTCTTGGACCATGAAGTTGGCTGTAACCTCTTCGGGGCCTTCGTAAACCAGATTTTCCTCATCATCATAGATGAGCGCAGCCTGGCCAGCGGTCTGCACACCACCACGAGGACCTAGGAAAATAAAGCCGGGCTCGGTGGTACCGGTCTTGTTTACCACGAGATTGGGCGGCTGGAAGCCGGTCGAATTGTAAGTCGAATAGTCCCAGGCTGCGGCACCGAGGGATAACAGCAGCGTGCTGCTGGCAGTGTACCACCAGGGCATCATTTTGGGGTGTGGTAGTATACGATAGGTATACTTCCGAAACGAACGAATGAGGCTCAAATGAAAGAATGACGATAGTTAGAACTGTGAAGGCGTGCGAATTTGACTTCTTCGGGCACAGTGACGTTTTTAAACAAACGGGAGAAAAAAAATCAGATATAAGGATAGTACGACATTGCCACTTCACGTCCCGCATTCTCAAACCGGGCCCTGAAGATCATTGCCATGGCCTGTCGAATGGTGGGTTATGATCTTGTCATAGGCCAGCCAGTTTTCATTTTGCCGATCGGGCTCACTCCAATCCACCATGCACCCCGAAAGTCGGGGTACTCGGCAATGAATCGTCATAGCTCTCGCCATCAAGGGCCTATCACTTCATTTTCCCAGTGCATGGGCAGGAATCGTATTGATCATGCTGAGACGACGACGTTGCCTCAGCCCCTCGAGGGACAGGCTGATTCACTATAGGAAATTGCATCGAAAGATTGCGCGGAACATCAGGGACCAACCAGATTGCACTATTGGCGGGATAGCGTAGCCAGGTGAAGGGATCGACTTGCCGATCGTTGTGGTTCGGCACTTCGCGCATTGAGGATGAGATTACCAATTTCGGTCGTCACTCGCATGAAAGAACAAGCCTCTTCCGCCGGCCTTCCGGTCTTGTGCCGTTGTTCAGGTGTGGGGTGGGGTGGTCACAAAGCATTGCGACTGGCGGTTCCAAATGGCGGTTATCCGTGGGAAGAGCGGCGGCAAAAAGCCCCTGACGAAGGATCGGCTCGGGACATGCCTGATGTGGGAGGCTCTCGCGGAGCCGAGTATGGAAGAAAAGGGCAGAGGCGTGTGCGACGGAACGAAGAGGGGAACAGCGGAAGAGTTAATTTCCTCTCGCTGACCGACGGCGATCATCGTAAATGCGACACTGGCTGCTTCAAGGTCGACCGATGAAGTGTTGCATTCCAACACTCTCTCACGTTCACTTATATGGCCTTTCAGGGTGGATTTTAGGGAATTATACTCTGTATAATATTGGCAGATACTGTCTGTATGTAAGACGGCCGCACTAGTTCGAGTAACAATCCTTTGAGATGTGATAGACCCACTAAGATTCTAGCCCCATCAGATAAAAGTACCACACTACTACTAGTATATCTAAAACCACAAATTACCTGCCCAATGGTTTGGGAATTTGATGACGATGCCAGGCTTTCATTCATTGAATTTCTTCTTCAGGAAAGAGGAAAGAAACGCAATGACAAAAGGTAAAATATGAAAAAAGAATTCATATTCCTCCTCGTCGTCTTCCTCGTCCGGGCCTTGCGTATTTTCCAAGTCGTGCCACACGATATTATCATTCATGGTCTTGCTCAGGGCCACTGTCGTCTGATCTGCTATCCAAAACAATGTTATATATCACATAGCAGGGCAGATGAAAAAAAGTATTCATATCGGAAAAGTTCGGACTTACTCTCCTCATACCCGTCCTCTTCATCCTCTTGAACATCAGGCCATCCAAAAGCTCGGGCCTCTGTATCCAAGGTGGTATTGCTGTATTCCTCTTTCAAGTGGGGTTAGGATGAGGTATAAATCAGCAGGGTCGAACAGAATGGACCACTTGCCATGATTCCCCTTTTCAGCCTTTGTTACTTCGGACTCGGTGGCAGCTTGCCGGGTCTTGATTTGGTCAAATAGGGTCTGACACGCAAAGGCTCCTGAAAACTGTTGTCTTGGATCTCAATGTCGTCCTTCTTCAAGTCATCGTTTTCGGTAGAGGGTGCCTCGCCCTCTTCATAGAGAAATAGGCGGTTGGTGACCTCCAGGCTGACCGAGTCGCCGATAATAGAGTACCCATCAGAAAACGTTTCGGTAGTTGTCAAAATCGTCGTAGATGTACTAATAGCGTGACACCCTTGTCCTCGAGTATGTGTGGATGAGTTGCGATGCTTGGAGCAGAAGTGGACGAAGTGTGGTTTGCTTCACTCTAAGAAAGGACTATCTTCCATGATTAGCAGGTTTCCTGTCCCTTCCGTGCCTGCCTATGCACCTAACCCGGGCGTAGACAGCTACCAGTACTAGTTTGCTCCATAAGTTAATTCTAGTACCCGTGATAGTGGTACTGGTAAATCTATATTCAAATTATAGTATAAACCTTGATGGGTGAGCTGGAAGCTTGTAATATAAACCTTTCGTTCCTTATCACAAAAGGTTTATTCAAGAAGATTGCATTTTGCAAGACCTAACTTTGTACAGAAACCTTGCAATTGACGACTGAAACCCGACAGACAGCTAAATGCTCGTAAGATCACAATTTTTCCCTGTCATTAAAACGACTGAGTGGCATGGGCTGTAGCAAGATGTAAGACTGGAAGGATAAGTCCTTCCGACCATGGGCTCTGCTCAGTATTCAACATGAGCATAGGATTATTGACCAAATCCTGTAGTGCGACCTTGCCATTTCGTGCATCAGCAATCAAGTAAAAATAATCTCAAAAAAGCATGTCATCTTTTGGTAATTTCGATCGCTTCTTCCTCTTCATATTACCACTTTCTCTCTTTTCATTCCTTAGCGATATTCGAGCAGGTTCCTTGACATTTTCACCTAAGCCTTGATAATGCCAAGCTGGTGGTAGCATAATACTCCTAAGACCAGAAACTGAAACAGGTGGAATTTATTTATGGAAAAATAACAATGGCCGAAACTTGAAGGTTACCGCGGCTGATAAATTCTAGCTAAAGTTGTCGGGGAATTTTCAAAACAAGCCACATGCCGCTGTGAGACCAGTGCTCAACAACTGGGCAAATTTGCTGCTTGGGCGATAATACCCGATTTCACATTCCTCGAGACCTTGGACTTCAGGCTGTCAGCCACAACTTCCCCGGCAAGGTGGCATGTCCAATGAAAGGCAGTTACTCAGGGTCGGAAGGCGTCGCAAGTCTCAAATTACTCACATCGTGACATTGGTATCCATTCTCGGATGGCGACATATGCTCTTTGGTATTCATTTAGTGGCAGCCCCAGACCAGCCCACATCGAAGCGCCAAAAACGCTATTCAACGCCCTTGAGGATGTTGCATGCCTTGCATTGTTGATAATATCCCTAGAGTTGCGTGTGTACATTGAGTCATGGTGGCTCTGGATGGTGCTCGAGCTATAAAATAATCGCTATTCCACGCGATGGGATCCTCCAGGGCTCCAAAGCGTGCTAAACCTCTTCACTTCAGATCTATAAGCCCAGGATCCACAGAGAAAGCAGCATCATGAAGCTCAACTTTTATTTTTCAATTCTTGCCCTCGCCAGATTGACTCTCTCCCATCCGGGGACTCGAGTTGCAAACAATCGCGATGACCCAGTACCTTACGGTGCATTCCCATCATCTACACCCTATCCGTCGGTCACCCTGCCGGTAATTCCAACTGTTCCGAGTCCAGACAGCCACGTTTCCCGTGTTGGACAAGCAATTATATACAACTCTTGTCCGTTTCCGGTATATGTCTGGTCAGTGGGGTCAACAATTCGGCCTGAAACAACAGTTCCTCGGTGGGCGAACTTCACGGAGACGTTTCGTGTCGATCGTCAGACCGGCGGCATAGCTTTGAAAGTAACGACAGTGGATGGCGGACTCTTCAATAGTTCACCCCAGACAGTATTTGCATACAATGTCGATGAGACTACTGGAAGCGTTTATTATGATTTAACTGATGTCTTTGGAGACCCATTCCAGGGACACCCAGTTTCACTACTACCTTCTGATCCGATGATCTTTTGGCCGAATGGAACTCCACCGGGAGGAAGTAATGTTCGCGTGAAACCATTGACTCAAGACTTAAAGTTGTCTTTGTGTTGAATGGAATCGTGGCAGCGTGTGATTGTTTTACGACTAGTTAGTATTTATCATGGGCTCCACCACCTACGAGAGGGAGCGCCGGGCTGTTAATTTAATTTCTTTTAGAACTAAAAGTGGTCTTCAATATACGAATTTATTGCGTTTTTCCCCACATTTATTGGGCCATTATTCCTCGCTGGTAATTACTAATTGTATTAGGCCCAAGTTTACTCTCCGAACTGTTCGGTGCTGATGTCATTTGCCGATGAACCTCGGCCCAGTCAACTCGCGCACAGCTGACGCACCAGTTGGTTGCACTGAAGTTGGTGGAGAAGAGTCAATCCCCAAATTGGAATTGAAATTGGAGAAATAGTAGCTTAAGCAGGAGACTGGGCATAATTAACTTGGACAGTAATTGGCTGACAGGCACTTCGGAGTTCTGTGCGAACTTGATTCCCCCGATTCCCCCGCTCCCCCGCGAAATTGGAGAAATAGACCGCTCCCCAAGCTTGGTTTAACCTCCCCTTCTTCACTTCTACCACTTCCCTCTTCCACACATCACCACACACCAGCCCAAAATGGTCTCTCCAGCAATCAGAGTGGCCCCTTCGGCCGCGAATCGCGCCTTGAATCTGTTGCGCACAGTGCAATACACCCATCCACCCAACTGCCCTTGCCATTCCAACCCCAATCACCACCATCACCACAAGACCCCTTCAATGTTGAACACGGTCCGCCGGCACTTGGCTACCCCCGTGGACCCCTCGCGCGAGAAGGAATACGCTTTCGAAATGGCCGCGTCTAGTATCCGTTTCGGTCCCGGTTCTACCAAGGAGGTCGGCATGGACTTCAAGAATATGGGCGCCAAGCGCGTGTGCATTGTCACAGATTCCAATGTTAGCAAGCTCGATGCCATGAAGCAAGCGGTAGAGGGCCTGACGAAGGAAGGAATTGCATTCACCATCTATGATAAGGTTCGGACCGAGCCCAAGGACAGCTCGTAAGATTCTACACTACAATCCATCGTGGGTGAGAAAGCATGGCTAAAACTGCGTGAACCACTTCAGAGTCAGGGATGCTATTGCATTCGCCAAGCCTTATAAACCCGACGCATTCCTGGCAGTTGGTACGTCAAGGCAGAAGGCCAAAATATAAAGTACAACCCCCACTAACCTCGGACCATAACAGGCGGCGGATCTGTCATCGACACCGCAAAGCTCATGAACCTGTATAACGCTTACCCCGAAGCCGACTTCCTTGACTTCGTCAACGCCCCTTTGGGCAAGGGTCTTCCCGTCGACAAGCCTCTGCTCCCTCTAGTCGCCGTGCCCACAACAGCAGGCACAGGCTCCGAAACAACAGGCACAGCAATCTTCGACCTCGTCTCCAAAAAGGCAAAGACAGGGATTGCCCACCGCAATCTGAAGCCTACACTCGGAATTTGTGATCCGCTCAACACCCGCACCATGCCGTCCGCCGTCCACGCCGCATCGGGCCTAGATGTGCTCTGCCACTCCCTTGAATCTTGGACCGCTATCCCATATTACGAGCGTACTCCACGCCCGACAAACCCGATCAACCGGCCCGCCTACCAGGGCGCAAATCCGATCTCAGATATCTTCTCTCTCCACGCCCTCCGCAGTACCGTCAAATATCTCCCACGTGCGGTCCGCGACCCAGATGACCACGAAGCGCAGTCTCAAATGCTTCTGGCCGCCACGCTGGCAGGAATCGGCTTCGGAAACGCAGGTGTGCATCTTTGCCATGGTATGAGTTACCCTATTTCCAGCCAGAACCCTGGATACAAACATACCGGATATGAGGTCGACCATCCCATCATTCCGCACGGTGTTTCCGTCGCCGTCACCGCGCCGGCCGTGTTCAAGTTCACCGCTGCATCTAACCCCGATCGTCACCTTGCTGCTGCGGAGGCATTCGGTGTTGATATCTCTAACGTTAAGCGGGAGAGCGCGGGTGAGGTTCTTGGCGCTGCGATCGCTGAATTTTTGGCCTCTTTGGGTGATCAGCCTCGTGGTCTTAAGGATCTCGGATTTAAGGCTTCGGATTTGGAGGGACTTGTTGAGGGTACCCTTCCGCAGAGGCGAGTCCTTATGCTTGCGCCCAACTTGAGTGAAGAGCTTGAGGCTGAAAAGGGAGAGCTAAGAGGTCTCTTGGAAGAGTCTTTGGACTACTAAACTGGTCCCAAAATTATCGATCTGAAACTTCATGATGCGATGATGATTGGATGTTAAGGTCTTGAAAAGCTGATGAGACGCTGTATATAGAACACAAATAGGTAGTTTCCGCCCGTGACAAATAAGAAATTGGATATCACTAGTTTCAAAATGCAGTTGCGCTTTGCAGCAAGACAAAAATCCCAGGGCCTGCTTGGGTTTATGGAAAGGTTGATTATTTCCAACGACAGAAGATAAATCGAGATCAAGGCTGTATCAGCACGATGACGATGTTTCAGCTGAGGTGTCTTCTTCAACACGCTTGACGGACTCTTCTAACTTGACACCCATCATCCCCATCGAGGAAGCGACGCGGTCTAGCCAAATCACGGCGCGTGGATCATTTCGATCGGATGTTTGGGAAGGACCTCGACCGAGTTCGGAGTATATACGGAAAGGGAGGGTGAATGTCTTCGGATTTTTTGCTGGCGGTGATGGAGTGTCAACGCTAGCATCACTTGGTGTTGCAATTGCAGAATCCGAAGAGAGCTCTTCGATAGTGCGACTGCGCTTTTGATCTTCGATGCGATCGTGAACTTGACCAAGGGCCTCGAGGATGCTTTCTGATCCGCGAAGAAGCAAGGATGGACCCGTTTCTGGGAAAATCTCAGGCACAGGACCAACAAAACTCTCCGGTCGTCGTACAATACCTTGCTGGCGCTGACCATGGGCGCTGATACAAGCACGCAACTTGGTGTTGAGATTGTGTAGTTTTCGAGAGGTGCTATGGATCCGGTTCAGAAGAGGTTCGACGATATCTTGTTCCCACTCTGTCCGACCAGAGAGGATTTCCTGAGCTTCACTGATATATCTCGGACATTTGACAATCTCCATGAAGACTTTGTCCGAGGTCACTGCGTATGCAGACCACTCCCCGGGCTTTTGTGCATCTTCGGCCATAATTTTCCGGGCATAGTTCTGCCACACTTCTTGGTCCAGAAAACAGGGTGTGCCTTGGTAGACAGCCGTTGCGACATGAAAGCCCCGAAATGCGATATAGCATGACCGGCCGAATCCAGATTCGTGCAGTGCAGGTCCACGGCTGATCATCAGTCGCCTCACGGCGTCTGAATGAATCACCCAGGCACCGGGGCTGGTTTGCGCGTACATTTCAAACACACTCAGCATCATGGCCGTGCAAACCATATTATCGGACATGGCTCGGTCGGGATTATTCAGAGCGCGAACAACTGCCTGTAAAGAAACACTATACATGCGACGACTTGTTCTCAGAAGAACTGGGTCTTGTGAGAGGTGAGCAAGATATACAGAACTCAAGCAGCAAATAGCGGAATCCATAAAGGCATCTTGGCCAAAATTGAGGACGATGAATTCAGCGAAGCCAGGCTCATTTCCAGCACGAAAATGATTGTGAAAATAAAGCGTGGGAAATGAGGTGCTGATGAAATCCAAAAATAATTGTGGTTGCGCTGCTTGGACTGTTTTGCGCACCAGCGACGGCGAGACACTTTCATCGAGTGAAACAGAGGCAGAATGTCGGCGCATCAGAGCTATTGCATTATCGCGCACAATTGCAGCGACGCCAGCGTCGTAGTCGATAGAGCCAGAGCCAGAACCGGAGCTATCAACGGCATCAAGAGGTTCCCGTGAGGATGACGTTGAGGCCGAAGCGACTGTGCTTGGCGTGGTGGGCCCCGTTGAAGCCCCGCGGCCACGTCGTCGTGGACCACGATGGCGTCGAGCCAAACTTGGGCCCTCATCTTGGAAGCGAAATGTGCGACGATATCCCGGACAGGTACGGCCGTATCGCTGGCATTGAGTGCATTCGGGGACTGCTTCGTCGCACTGAATTGCCCCTCAATTTCCGTCAGCAAGCGAGTTCCAATATCAACTTGAAACTTGAACTGTGTTGCCTAAAACTTGCCTTGATGTGTCTGTCGCGACAGAGAGAACAACCAGTACTGTGCGGTACCCCCACCATGGTTGACAACAGGAGAATCAGTCCCAACTCATGACTGAAGTGGGCGCTGACCCGAGAAGGGTGCGACTTTGTGCGTTTGTTGACCTTTTGAACAGATCACTGGAAGCTGGGAGGCTATCCCAAGCGCTGGGGGATGGGATTTTGGGGGCCGGGGGTGGTGAATGGACCTAAAAGAAGAACTTGAAGATGATAAGATGACAAGAGGCTGAATTACGAGCCGGAGAACAGCCGACAGGGCGAAGTGGAGATGATGCCTCAGCGACTCTCGCGCCGCGCCGCTTGGCGGGCCAGCCGTTGCACGTCGTTAAAAATACGGAGATCGTATTCATACCGTCGATCTGGGGGCGAGCTTCTATTTAAAACTTCCGACTCCCAGACACGAGTTGATCATCGTGAATGGAGGGATTGTATGGAGAACCTTCGGTGAGACGAGTCAAATATAGAACACGGTGCGTGATGGGGTAGCCAGTCCAAGATTTTATCCTTGTATGCAGCTTTACGGAGTAATATAGCACCCCATACACTGATCGAAATTACCAGTGCCTTGCATCTTGAGATCTGACGCCGTTTGTACAGTATCTGGCCGGCGCTCGGACCTGTGGGATAGGGGTAACTTAACCGGTCAGATCGACATCCCCTCCATTTACCTTAATTTTTTGTTCTTGTCGAAAGTAGTACTCATGTACTCATGGATCAGTATTAATATCTAACAATTACCCAGGTGAATAGTATTCTTTCGTTGCGATCGAAATCAAACTTGAAGGATACCACCAGGAACCCCGAGGCGACGATGTACATAAATCCGGCGAACAGCTGCGAGCCAAGATATCTTTCAATGGCTGGTGAGCCCTAGTTCTGCTATCTCATTAGTGAGGCTATTCTAGTCCGAATCTCTTTACAACTTCAAACCTTGGAATCGTCCAGCCCTGGAGGTGCGAATCTTAGAGCTTGAAAGTTCCAAGGTTGATCCTAAAATACCAGAGTACAAACTTGTGAAAGTAGGTACTTTATAAATGAGCACTAGTAGTACCTACCAGGTAGCAAGATACCAGCTGGTATTGAATTTTCATTCACAACCTTAGAGCTTCAGTTGAACTTAAGGTTAACAGTATTTCACCATCCGTATCTGGGACGCTTTGAATGCGTGTAAACCTTTGTTGCTAGGTGTATTATTCACAAGGAGATAATATTTTTAACTACTAGTAGAAACCTGTATCATCATCACCCGAAAAATTATGTATTGTATCTTGTAGCAGCGCTCGGATTTTCTCGGGCACTTGCGGCAAACCCACCTGGGCACGGGCGGTCTTTCATTCCTTAGGATCGCTCCATCCACTTCTGCAAGACAGCTGCAACTTGTAAACTGTTCTTTTCCATGAAGACCATATGTCCATTTCCATGAATACCGATATCGCTCAGCTGAAGATGCTCCGCTGGGACACCAGCCTGCTTCAGGAACTTCACCGTACACCAATCATATGGTGCGTGGTAAGATGATTCGGTCGTCATAACAAGGACAGGGGTCTGGGCGAGATTAACAAGCTGTCTCGGCGCGGGAGACTCAGCCTGGATAATGCAGTCGCTATACTCCGACGAGTTAGAAGGAATGACGTGCTTCACAAGATCGGAGGGATCGTTCAAGGTGGGCGAGTAGGTTATCGGGATATCAGTAAGCCCATATGGGCGACTAGATTTGTTGCTGAAGATAGCCTCTTGGAATGGAGGGCCAGTGGGCTCGAGCGAGACAATCGAGTGGACGAGCTTCGGGCGCACATCTGCAATAAGCCAGGGCATACATCCACCCTGGGAGTGGGAGAGAAGAATGACCGGGGTTCCGATGATGTCGAGCAGAGCAGCACTAGCAGCTTGCACAGTTGACTGCTGGTAGGTTGATGAGCTGAGGAACTGGACAGTTGAGGCATAGTAGGCATCGAATATAGGATCACCCATGACGCCCGTTCCGTTCCATTGGGTATGCAGGGAGGCTTGCGGCCAGAGATTGTAATTCTTGGGCGCTGTGAAACGTTGCTGCAACACCTCGGCGCTGTAGGTGCTCAGAGTCCCATTATCAGGGAACCAAGGACTGCGGCCACGGAAGGTCTGGTCGATGATATAACATTCATATCCTTGGGAGAGAAAGTAAGAAGCCCAACCTTCCCCTCCATCAGGCTTGTTAAGCCAGTTTACTCCCGTCTGTGCTTGTCCGTGGATGAACAAGATCGGATGTGGCTTGGTAGTCTTCTCCGGGGTCAATTTTTCGACATACATCTGATCGGCGAAAACATGCCCGCCCGAATTATCCAATCTGTATTGTCCGCCAACATACATGTACGATCGCTGTGCCGGTACCTCGCCCCTCCAGCTTGAAGCCGTAGCAGCAATTGCCCCGGCGATTAACAATATGCCTGTTTTCATATACATGTTTTTGGGAGGATCGGAGATGGACGACGCAAAACGAAATGCATCAGGGGTCGCTTTAAGTTAAGCTGAGGCCAAGCCAGTATTGCAGGATTGTTTTGCCGAATTTATCCCGTGAGCTTGAACGTCAGATTTGCCCCCACAATGACTCCCCACAGGACGGGTCGTACAAGGCTCCAGGGCTAGCATAGTAAGACCAAATAAGTTGGAAGTGACGACAGCCTCAGACAAGCAGATTACCAGACTTTTGAGTATCTTAACATAATCCCTGACTCGGACTCAGAGGACTCAGACTTTCGATGGCCGCCAGTGGCCGAGTAGAGGGATAACAAGAAATTTCTAAGGTGGCCTCCTTAGAAAATAAACATTTGTGTCCGTGGTCAATTCTATTGGCCAACAGAGACCCGCTACAGGGGTCGATTCTTGAGGATGAATTTCATTCGCCAGGTTTTGAATCTTATTAATCTCTCGTAGGAGATAAATAATGAAATTTGACGCCGGAGTTGATTGACCCACTGCATTGTACGGTTTTTCCCGTGTCAAACCCTAATAATCGAGAATAAATGGACCACAGCCTTTGCCAAGTGAACCTTGAATGTCGTTGGCGACTTTCCTCTCAGGTCTTGGTAGATGAGATGGGCCCTCAAACCGTAAAAGGTTCCATTTCCGATGTTCCCGAAGTCCTTCGTGATGTGACAAAGAAGATGGCCATGGGAAATTTCCCTCGTATCGCCTTTTGATATCGTCTGTCTCCATCTCAGTCCTGCTTCTGGTATTCCTTTTCGTTCGTCTGGGACCCCGAGAGGCCATTTTTAGAGGCATGAGTTCAACTCTGATTATACATTGGTTGTTCACCTGGGTGGCAATCGGCTTGATCGGCTTGCGGCTTCTTATGCGGAAGTTGAAAAGGTTGCCTTTTGTCCTGGGTGATTATTTTTCAATGGGAGCGATCCTATGTGCACTTGCGCGCCTCGCCTTGGTCCATGTTATTCTGATATGGGGGACCAACAATATGACTCCCACCTTTCGACAGACACACCACTTCACCCTCGAAGAGATCCATCGCAGAGAGATTGCGAGCAAGTGTGTACTCGTCAATCGAGTTTTCTACAACTCATAGTAAGTTTCGCGTTAAATGCAATGGCCATTTTTATGGTGAAGTTTCTCATATCTCTTCTAGTCTATGGCTTCAAAAAATGGTTCTTCTAGATACGTACAGGAGGTTACTTACCCAACTTAGTTGGGAGAAAATCACGATGATCTCCTATATTGGGATATTCGCAGTGTCCTATGTCACGGTCCAGGTTGTGACCTTCACTGAGTGCGATCCTTTCTCTCACTACTGGCTCGTATTCCCTCAGGACCCAGGAGTTTGTTGCCAAGCGCAGCTCCAATTGATCGTCCTCGGTATGTCCCCATTTGGAAATTCGCGTCAGTTCTATGCTAAGTGTCTCAGGCGTGCTGAATATCATTACCGATCTGATGCTGATCGCCTTGCCGATTCCGATACTAGTTATGGTCAAGCGATCTACCATTGAGTAAGCTTCCCTCGGCTTCCATTACTATACCCCGTATGCATCTCACTAATGTGTTATCTGTATTAGAAAACTCCAACTTGCCGTTCTCTTCGGGGTCGGCCTATTCATCGTTGCAATCACGATCGCCAGATTACCACAAAACGCCAAAAACCCGACCGCACAAGTTAGCAGAACAACATGGGCGTCAATCGAGCTACTTGCTGCCGCTGTTGTCGCTAATGCTCCCGTCCTCTATGGACTTCTGAAAGGCCGGAGACAAAAATCGAAATACGCGGCTTCAGGAGCTGGTTCAACCGGGCCGTCGTGGCAAGGACTACAAAAAAGATCGATAGCAAATGAGCCTGGGTTTGAACTTCAAGGGACCGCTCATAGTAAGAGAGGGTCTTCTCTTGGCTCAAAGCTATCATCTAGGAATTATGTAGATATAGATGGCCAGAGCAGTCAGTCCTTGACAAGAAGCCGGGAAACATAATAGAATACCTAGTTAATCAGGAATTTATAATAATTACGAAAATGAACTGCGTGTTGAAATTTCCAAAAAAGATTTCATGAGATATATTTACGTTCACGAGGTCAAGGCGAATTGTAGATGCCTCCAGGCAAATGACTTCAGGCGTTAACTTGAGTATTATGCTGCAATTGTCGAATATAATATTTCCAAGGTTGATCCGATGTACTAATGAACCACGATCAACATTCTTTATGGTTAATAGCCGGCTTCTCTCCAATCGACTTACCCAACTTAGTAGGACCTCAACCCTTTGCCCACAAGTCATGAATGGATCCAATTGAAACTTCACGCTTCTGACTATTCCATAAATCGTGAAGAGAATATACGGCTTCCGGGATATTGTGCTCATAATCTAGAGCAAATTACAAGAGACCCAGTTTTCTATTTCATTACTACTAGTACCCTATTCGCGACATGCCCAGGTGATTCCGGTTCCATTCACCTCTGGGTTAAGTTATACTACTAAGAGATACCTAGGTATTATATCATATCAGAGTATTGAAATTGTACCTAGGTAATTTCTGAATGTTCTTTAATACTGTATCCATCAAGTAGAGATCAGAAAACTGGAAATTTCCAATCAAGTCTTGATTTATAATCTTTCTGGCAATCTATTGGCATTTGTTTTTAAATAAAACAGCAAGAAGCAAAAAAGGAATGGGGCTCAACGAAATGACCTCGGGATTCCAGATTAAAACTTCTCAGTTACTGTCATCTCCGAGCCCTAGAAGTTTTAGCAGCACTTGTCGGAGGAGGCCCTGTTGAGAACCTTGGGCGCTTGTGTAGTATCCAACCTACAGAAGCATGATGACTTGATCGGAACGTCTGCTACTGCCAGAGCTAACTTTGTTGAATGCTCGAGCATAATAGCCTGTTCTGTATTGCCCAAGCGAACAAGACATTCGTGATATCCTTGAAGTGACCAAACATTGTTTGGATGGCGACGAGGTCGAATAACTGATTTGTCGAATCCGAGATCGGCACGATAGGTTTTTGCCGCTTCTTCCAGATCACCTTGCTCCATCAGTAACGCAGCATAGGCGTGGCGAACAGGCTGCATCCATGACCAAGGCTCACTATATGGCAGCTTATCCTCAATATCGATCGCACGGCGAAGGGACTCAAAGGCCTTGTCATAATTTTGGCAACGATATTCAATTTCACCTTCGAGCATTGCAGCAGCGACCTTGAGCACATCGACTATTTTGCCATTATAGGCGCGGCGGCTTTCGGGAACTAACGCCCAAGCCTTGAAAAAGAGCTCCTGCTCCTGTCGAGCCGAGGCGACATCACCAGTGGCTGCATATGCGAGACCCTTAGCATAATGAGCAGTGGCCGTTGTGCCTGCATAAAGCTCTTTATCATGGGGGAGACATTTCTGCTTCAGTTCCTCCCACATGCCGAACCGTACCATGACATGCCAACGAAGACCTAAGAATTGCTCCAGCCAGTCGATCATAGGGGGCGATTCGATGCGAAGAACCTCCTCGGGCACTGTTGATTCCATGCGAGTCACTGCATCAAGGGCAGCCTTTGACTTTCCTGCAAACATGGCTGCATAAACCAAAGAGTGATAATCGTGCAGTCGATAAAAGGTATAGAAGTTCTTGCCACCCGATTTCCGGAAGTATTTATCGTCTGCCAGAGTCGATTTATAATTTGAATCCAGAGATCTTCGCCAGTCACCCACCAATATATCGAGATGTGTGGGCATGTGCCGAACATGACCTGCGTCCGGTACGAGATCACGGAGTTTATCAGCAACGTTGATCCCCAATTCTGGTGTTGGAGACATTTCGATGAAGTGAATGTAAAGGTGGAGTAAGCCAGGGTTGCGGTCTGCGCCATCTTCCTCTTGTGCCAATGCGCGCTCTAACACGGTTTGCGCTTCAAGTGTGGCGGCTTTTGGATTAGGCAGTCCGGTAAACAGATCCCAGAGGGCCCAGGGCGTCATGTTCATCAGGGCATCGGCATATAAGGTGGCAACATCCAGATCATGCCCGTACTGCTCGTAGACTAGCTTCATAGCACCGGCATAGCCCTTGTTAAGAGCAGGATAATCACTTGCAGGTTTGTTGGTCAAAAAGCGGTATTGCATAGCCTCAATAAGACCTTGCTCGAGAGGGGTTGCGTTTGCCGAATGCTCTTTGGCCTTTCGCGACGCATCATAACCCCTTTGGACGGATCTGTGGAGATCATTTTTGTCGAACCTCTCCCACGCCTTATTGTAATTGCAGCCCACAGCGTAGGCGACGCCCCAGTATGCCATTGCACATGAAGGCTGCCATTCGAGGGAAGTTAGCGGAGTTGTGCATGATAAGATGAAACCCTAACTCACGTCATGAGCAATGGCTTGTTCGAAACAAAAGGCCCCTTCCACATGATTGAATGAATAGACCCAGGTCAACCCTCGGTTGAACCAGGTCTGGGCATCGGAGCTGGTGGTGGTCACTGTATGGCCGAAAGAGCCCAGGTCATAGTAGTCGGCGCTGGCCGGGATAGGGGACACTTTTTCTTGAGTCATGGCGGCGACTATTCAGTATGAATTAAAAAATCGACAAATGCAGAAAAAGCAGTAGTGCTTTGAGGATGGGTATTATATAATGTCCTGCACGGCTGTGGCGGGACTTGCATCCCATTGGAACTTCAATTTGAAGTGGAGTATGGCGCGTGACTCACCCTAGAATCAAAGACCGATTCACCTACTAGTACAATCCCCGGTCGCCGAAGATAAAGATTAGTCAATGTCTTCGAAAATCATCAGTAATAAAGACAATCAACCCACCTGGGCACGAAAACACAACCTTGAATTCTGCCCAGGGTGATGGATGAGAGGGAAAGGAGGGAAAGGTGAAGAGGGTGAAGTGCGGGGAAAGCGATATCCTTGCCTGAGGCCACAACTCCCATCCTTAATGCCGTACTAAATAGTTATCAACTACCTACTAGTAACCCAGACGAGCTCTGGCGAGTAATAGTCATTGAAGCTGTTCACAATTCTCTCGGAGTTTTCAGCTAGCTCAGGATCACCGTTGTATACAGAATTGCCATCAGCCTTTGATGCAATGATATATACTTCAACAAACAAAGCACCCACTTGGTGGCATCTACTAGTATCATTTGCTTTATGCAAGCAGACTCTAGCATGTATAACGCCAAAAAATATATTCTTAGTGGGTTGGAAATACTAACCTTGGAATAATTTAATGGTTTGTGAGAAGAACTTGAAGGGGGAGGGCTGGATACTACCAGGTTGTTAAACTTGAATTCATGTAGATGGATACAGTAGAAGATTTTTGATTTCCTTCCACATATCCAGGTGCCAAATCGAATATATCGAACGTAAACTAGAACTTGAACTGATCTAAAAGATTCCACCCAATCTGCAAGTGGGGGAGATTCAACTCTCAAACCTTGGAAGGCCATCAGTTATGGATATTTCCATGTTTTCAGCTGCTTGCAAAGCAACCATGAAACTTTCAGCTTAACCGAAAGCATTGCTGCATAGATTAGCGAACAATAATTATGAAGCGGGTAAAATCTATAAAAGCTCTTCCCTCCTTCCTTTGAAAGAAACTTCCCATCGGCGATGACAGTAGCTTTGTTTGAATCAATGGATCTTCTATAGTCTCCGACCAAGACATCAAGATGGCCTGGCATGTGACTCGTATGACCCGAATCGGGAACTAGAGAACGAAGCTTATCAGCATCTCTTCGATTGTTTGTTCAAATCGCATACAATATCCCCGCTCGTTGCTTTACATGGCATGTTGTGGGAAGCAAGGGTGTTAGTATGTGCTTATGATGCTCTTGCGACGAGTTTGGAACGCATTAACTATTATCTAATGACCTAACGGCATGCCGATATCTCCTGGGCCAAATGGAGATAGAAACTGAAAGGCAGGATGCAGAGCGATTTATCGAGGAGTTAAGACATGGCGTCAGGTCAGTGTGGGATTTCATGGCATCCAATGCAGTCTTTGGAGGAGTTTCTGACTTGGCGTGAGAGGTTGAAACCATACCTAGGTATACTGCTCATTTTGATGATTAATTTCGAAATAAGAATGTGGATAGGTAACTGGCATAATGATAGAATAGATAGTTACCCGGCCCACGCCCACGCCGAATGAAGTACTAGTACAGTGTCAGACCGTTGGCAGACAACTAGTAAATGAATACAATCTCTTCAATATCTTGTAGCACCTTTTCTCCGTGGCTCTTCGGGATCGAATCGTTGGAACCACCGACATCGCGCCGAGTCACCAATCATGGGCGTCATGGCTCAGCTACCCCGCGCGCTGCTCACTCAAGAGGCAATTTGATGTGACACGGTGCAGCTGGCGATGATTGGATAATTACTGCGAGAATCGCCAGACTGTCTCTTTTCTATGGTCAATCTGTCAAACTGCGATGTCGCCCCGCGCCTGGCGCCCAAATTAACAAAGGGGATGAAGGCAGAACTGCAGCTGATGGAAAGTACGACCAGAACCACCAAGGTAATCAATGTCTTTGACGCACTCACTCGTATAAAATCAATCCTTGACCCCAATTTCTTCACCTCTCTTTCAACTCTCTTCACTTCAATTGGTTCATCCTTCTACCGCCACTCTCCATCTCCAACATGCCCCTCTTCAAAAAGGGCCTACCCAAGGTCCTCGTACCTGAAAAGTTGTCCCCCGACGGGCTTGCCCTTTTGCGGAGCTCCCTGGATGTTGACGAGCGCAAGGGCCTTACTCCTGAGGAGCTGTTGGAAATAATTCCGAACTATGAAGCTCTCCTTGTTCGCTCTGAAACAAAGGTTACAGCAACTGTTCTTCAGGCAGCTCGAAACTTGAAGGTTGTGGCGCGAGCCGGAGTGGGAGTCGACAATGTTGGTATGTACGAAGGGGCACCTAGCATGTTACATTTCTGACCTTTACTTTAATCATAGATGTCGAGGAAGCCACCAAGCTCGGTATCGTTGTTTGTAACTCCCCCTCCGGCAATATTGGTGCCGCTGCAGAGCACACGATTGCTCTCCTGATGGCCATGGCTAGAAAGATACCAGAGGGATGTGCTAGTCTCAAACATGGGAAATGGGAACGAAGCAAGTTCGTCGGAGTGGAAGTCAAGGGCAAAGTTCTGGGTATTGTGGGTCTGGGGAAAGGTATGGCATGCCCTGGCATCTCCACTTCCGGAGATAAGTCAAATTACTTATCTGATAACCTGTTTGATCTCATCTAGTCGGTCTGACCGTCGCTCGCCTGGCCAAGGGCCTCGGAATGAACGTTCATGCCTTGGACCCTTATGCTTCTCCAGCCGTGGCGGCCTCGGCTTCGGTCACCCTCATCTCGTCACTATCAGAACTTCTCCCCTCGGTCGACTTTCTCACTATCCACACGCCTTTGATTGCTTCCACGCGCGGTATGATCAGCGATACCGAACTGGCTCTGATGAAGCCGGGATCTCGGATTCTCAATGTAGCACGGGGTGGTACAATTGATGAGACTGCGCTTCTGGCGGCTCTCGAGTCTGGCCATTTGGGAGGAGCAGCGATTGATGTGTTCACTTCAGAACCCCCAGTGTCAGATTCGACTGCTTCAAAATTGATTGCGCACCCACGAGCTGTTGTGACACCTCATCTCGGCGCCTCGACGGTTGAAGCCCAGGAAAATGTGTCAGTGGATGTCTGTCAACAAGTACTCGAAATACTCGCCGGCTCACTACCTCGGAGTGCTGTCAACGCACCCATCATCTTGCCAGAGGAATACAAGAAGCTGCAGCCATTTGTACGTTTGGTTGAAAAGCTGGGCAGTCTTTATACACAGCACTACGCCGGCTCGCCGGGAGGATCAATGACCTTGAATACGTTTGACCTCATCTACAAGGGCGAGGTGGCCGGTATCAACAATACGGCCCCTCTATTTGCTGCCCTCATCAAAGGCTTACTGTCCCCGATTAGTAGTACGGAGGGCATTAATATCAACATCGTCAATGCTGAGCTTGTAGCTCGTGAACGTGGAATCTTTGTTTCAGAACAACGCTCTCGCGATCCGGCAGATGAGTCTTCCTATTCATCACTGGTCACTCTTGTAGCTCGACCACCATCCCGTGCTTCCTCTCGAGCTCCGGCGGGTGACGTTGCCGGAGGTGCAGCCCAAGCCCAGCATCAGCGCATCATATCTGGCACATGCTCTGGCGACCAGCCATTGATCACCCGCTTGGGTCGATTCGAAGCGTCCTTCGAGCCCAACGGAACCCTTCTAATCTGCGAAAACTACGACTCTCCTGGCAAGATCGGCGTGGTTGGCAGCATCCTCGGGCGTGAAGGCGTGAACATCAACTTCATGACAGTCGCCCCGGTTTCTTCCAAGCTGATTGCCGGAAGTGATGTCACGGATATCAAAGTAACAAAGGAGACCTTGACTGAGGAAGATAATCCGATTTCGAAAGAAGCCTTGATGATTCTCGGCATTGATCGAAGCGTTTCGCCCAAGGTGACGACTGACTTGGTCAAAGAAGGCGGCGTGCTCAGCGCTTGTGCCGTGACACTCTAGACGCTTTTTCCTGTCAGTGACTGGAAGTCTCCAAATTGCGAGCTGATCAGATCGGACTTTCCTCCTCTTTTACTCAACGCTATTCGCGAATATCCTTCATTTCTGAATTTCAACACAACAGGAGTGACATGGACTTTTTTTTTCGGTAACTATTAGTTATAACCCCCCCGGACTGCAACTTGAGATCAAACTATTTTGCGCGACGAATTTATGCATAGAAACCTCAGCAATAAAAAAAAGCTATTATTCGGAGTGTCAAGTTCACCTTCAAGTTATAGATGAAGTATTTGAATAAAGTTCGTAGATCCGTACCATTTCGGGGTCGTTGGCATTGTACTCGAAGAAGTTGAATAGGTATAACTATGTTGATTTGACTTTATTGAACTCTACAAACGTCACGGTAGCACCCCAAAGCCCCTGCTGTTCATAGATTATAAAAGACATTCTAACAGCAAGGTATAAAGTCCTGGGTCATGAAAATGAACAAGGGGGGGGAAGAGGCGTAAGCCAAGGTAAAGCAAAGACTCAAACCGCCGGACACCATACAATAGCCAATGTGCAGATCGTGCTACCACTAATGCAAGATGGGAACAAAACGGAAAATGGGCAAAGGGCAGGGGGCATAATCATCGAAAAGACTGTCTCTTTCCATTACATCAAAAAGGACTATTACTCCCAAACGTTGGAAAAGAGGTCATCCGATCCACCACCAAACCCGCCAGCCGGCTTGGTTGAGCTATTGTTGGTCGTTGTCGCAGGCGTGATGGGAGAAGCGCTGGTCCAGCCGCCAAAGTCTTCGTCCGCGGCCACGGCGGGGGCAGGCTTGGGAGGTGGTGCTCCCCAGCCACTGCCAATGTCGTTGGCAGTCAGTGTATCAGGGACCTTCATCATGGAAGCGCCGGACGAGGCGGCCGGTGCGGGAGCGGGTGCTGAAGCGGGTTCGGGGTTGCTCCAAGCATTGCCGCCCCAGGGGTCCATCATACCGGCGGCAGCGGCGGGGACTGCAGGCTTCTGGGCCTGTTGAGGGGGAGGAGACCGCACTGGTGGGCTAGAGATATTGAATGCGGAGCTCATCTCCTGCTGGGGAGATGACACAATAGGCTTAGGTGGTACTGCGGGTGCGACGGGCGGAGAAGAGAAACCCCAAAGGTCATTAGAGAGAGATGAAGATGGCGGGTTGGGCTTGGGCTGGGGCGGCGGCGAAGAAAATCCTCCAAATCCGAAGTCTTGGGAGTTCGAGGAAATAGAAGTGGTTCGCGACTGGGGCTTTGTTGCAGACATGGTGGGAGAGGTCAAGCTCGCGAAAAGGTCACCGCTAGCAGATCCAGCAGGAGAGGTAACCTTGGGAGCAGCCGGTGTCGACTTGGCGCTGCCGAAGTTTGTGAGGTTTGCAAATGGAGATGGCTTCTCGGCGGGCTTGGCTGGAGGGGGGGGAAGTTGTGGACGGGAAGCTGAGTCCACTGAAAGCGTCGGTCAAACCACCCATGTTTGAGGATGAGGTGGACTGCGGAGATGCCATGTCGCCAAACGAGTTGTTCCGCTCATGTTGAACCGATGCAGGCTGCGGCTTCGAATATAGAGACAGAATCGATTGCTTCAAATCGGGGCGGGACATCCCGCTCGGCGCAGCGGGTGTGGATGAGGTGCTAGTTGGCCGGCTTCCGGCAGGCGGTTGAGCGCTACCAAAGAAGTCCAGGCCAAGCAATGAATCACCCGTCTTCTGGGCCTTGTGCTGTGTAGGTTGAGCTTGTCGCGGGGGTGGAGGTGCACGAGTAGAGGGCTCCGTCGTGCTGGGTCTAGGCGGGGCAGCCATCATATCATCATCGGCAAAGAGATCAATGGGAGCTTGCTGGCGCTTAGGTTGGGGGGGGAGGAGCAACTCGCTGGGAGGCGGAGCGTTCAATCTTCGCTTTTTCCTGGACAACTGCAAGAGGCTAGTAGGGTCAGTGGTTGTTTGAAACATTGTTCGGCGCATGGTCCTCAAGACTCACAACATCGTCATCTCCTTCACTCAAGGTGGAAGGATCCGGTATGCCACCTTCCATAACCCATCGCTTGGCCTCGTACTTGGTTCGAATGAAGTTCTCGATTTTCCTGGATGGTTTTAGATCAGCAACTTATTCCAGCAGCCAGTGGCAAGGCAATTAATCACTCACGCATCCGACGGAACATGGCCAGGTGCCAGCTTCGCTTCCCAGTACCTATAAAGCATGAGAACAGAACATATGCAGTCAATTCCTTATCACTAACTTGTTGGCCCTTCCATTGCCCCATTTCAGCACACTCTGGACTTGTTCATCGGTCCAGGCATCCAAATCCACCGACTTGACTCGACTGATGTGTGTACCCATTCCTCGGTGAATACCGGAGCAGCGAATGCAGACGAAGATACCCAAATTCCAAGAGGCCCATCGTGGATCTATGGTGCAAGTCCCAATGTTAGTTGGCACGTTCACAAAAGGAAATGACCTATCGCATAGCCGGCCGCTCGGAGACGAGGGGGGGGGGGGTGATACTCACGCTTGTTGCGCTTGCAGTCAGCACACACTTTATTGGGCTCAAGTTTCAGCAGACTTTTGATAGTCTGCTGATTCTGGGCAGCTTGGCCCGGGGTAGCGCGTCGAGACATAATCCGTTGGCGACTCGAAGTGATGATGAGAAAGGAGAAACAATGGCCGCAATGCGCAGGTGGCGGTCGGTGCTGCGGCCTTAGGCTGCGGCCGGGGGTTAGTAGGGCCGGGCGAGACATGCCAGATGTGCAGTTTGAAGTATATTGCCTCGGAGGCTCCTCTTTTTGATTCAATCTCTAAAGATCAGGGTTCTAATTTTCCTTACTACGAGGACACTCGTGGACATACCTTAGGCAGTACTATATTTTGTTCCCAAATTCAACTTCTCTTGCCAAGATCATGCAAAGAAGTTCACTTCGAGTTCAAGTTGTGCTATATTTTCGCCATACTAGTACTGGTAGTACTACTCTAGAACAACTTCAATTCCAAAGTTTGAACTTGCTTCAGGTTGAATATGAGAAAACTCCAGGGCTCAACTTTTCAACTTTTTTTTTGACAAGTTCACATCTTGATGGCTATAAATCCATCACATGACACTAACTATACAACCCCGAGGTACTCAAAACAAGCGTCTCCGCCCAATCCAATCAAGTTCCTACACCACCAAGACCTTAAATATGTTTAAACAACTTTATACCCAATCACGCCTTGGACTTGACCTTAGGATCAGCGTCCTCCGAAAAGCGCAAACTGATACTGTTGACACAGTGTCGCTCATCGGTCGGCGTGTTGAATCCCTCGCCCTCGAAAACGTGCCCAAGATGACCGCCACAGTTGTTGCAAACAATCTCGGTCCGCTTCATGCCAAAGGTGTTATCGACATGTCTCTTCACGGCACCGGGGATCGAATCAAAGTAAGCGGGCCAGCCACAGCCAGACTTGAACTTGTGGTCGGCAGTGTAGAGGGGCGCATCACAGCCGGCGCAGTTATAGACACCCTTTGAGGGATAATGCTTGTCATATTCACCGGTACCAGCGGGCTCGGTGCCCTTCTCACGGAGAATCCGAAACTGTTCTGCGCGTAGACTGGCGGTTAGAAACGTGTTCGTTGCTGACTTTACGGAAAAGCTAGTTCCTTACCGGGATTCAGAACTGTTCTCCATTGCTCATCGCTGCGCTTGTCCGGGTACGACATGTTCTCGGTTGTATCGTTGGAACTGCTGCTTGAGCCGAATAGTGCACCGAGGAACGGCAAGGCTGGGGCAGCGCGGAGTGTTTTGGCGCTCGTTGGACCGGGTGTCTTGCGCGTGAATATAGAGTAATGCCTAGCAGGAACTGCAGTTTTAACGAAGGTGAGTTGCCTGATGGGTGCTTGCAAGCTTCGGATTATTTGATGTCGCATAGAGAAGGTCGTCAGCAGATTATGCAGTTACTGTCGTTGAGGGGCGCGATGGAGCCCGGTAAGACATATGTGGTTACGTCATCATGCGGGGAGCTCGAATTTGGACTTTATTACAATTTGTTTAGACGGTCATACTGGTACTTGTGGTTTACCCTAGGAGATTAAAAGGCCAGTGACCAGTATAGTATAGAAAATGAGCCAATGAAACTCCAGTAATGCATTTGTTTATGGGTATCCTCTAGCAAAAGAAAATCGTGCATATATGTCAAGCTCTCATCATGATGCCAGTCAATATCATCTGATGCCAGCCTCGGAAGAAGCCATAATATGTCAAGTATTATCATGGAAATGATTTGAAGATGTTCCGATGAAAGGTCCATGAACATCACTCCAAATTAGGTGCTAGCGCCGACTAGCACCGAGAACAATCAAAGACCCAGGTGTGATACTTATTCGCCATCCTTCACTGATTAGCATCTTCCCAACAGCCGGGCCTAGTCTAGAAGTGCCATCCCGACTATGGCGACCAATACCGGTGATGATTTTATAGCCGCCATGAACATCAATACCTCCTCCTCGAATATACCTGGCATCTCCAAGGGAATCCCACCAGGCAGCAACCCGCTCGCGAACGATGCGCTTTGCATTTTCAACATTGACACCATGCAAGTCGAGATCACATTTCGACGACTGTTTGTCGACAAGCCGATCAGATGCGGCAGCAAGTTGATTCATTGCGCGCTCCCGATGCTCCTGTCCAACTTGGCGGTAATACGCCGACACTCCGCCGTATAGATGGTTGGATCTTGAGCGACGCGCAGCTTGTGCAGCCTGCATATTCGCAGCTGAACTTGCGGCAAAATTGGCATTTGCAGTAGCTTGCAGGTCTTCATATTCGATATTGTCATGAGAAGGCTCCTTGGGACGATAGGAAGCTCCAGAGAGAGTATTCTCCTCGTCTTCATTAAGATTAAGTGGCGCAGGCGTAAATTTGATAAGTTCACTGATCTCAGCCTGGGAAGGCTGCCGAAGCAACACCGCTGCCAGTTCATTTGCCGGTGTTACCATATTGCCCGTTACCCGAAGTAAACCGATCAGTGTGGTCTTCGAGATGGTTGGATAGACAGCGGTGAGTTCAGCAACATGTTCCATTGTAGCAGGGTCCTTATCAACATCGGAATCATCAAGTTGGCCATCAAGAGCCAAAGCCTTGATCGTCGCACGGAGGTCCATCCCTTTGCTGTTGTAGATGGCCGAGATCTTTCCCCTGGGAAGATCAGGGATGCACGAGCAAATAAAATCGATATCAGCCTTGCCTGTATTCCACTTGTTCGTGGTGGACGCGTCTTGATATGATGAGGAACGCGCCAGAGGGATTTTTTGGTTCTTATTGCGCTTCTTGTTGCGACCCTTCTGCCGACCGATGTCTGCGTTTCCTGCATAAAAACCATCAATGCCCTTGGGCACTGATATGTGGCTGTCGTCCCCGGTAATTGAAGTCTCTTTGAAAAAAGACAAGTTTAGCAACACGTCCATTGATTTGTCGACATCACCATTGCTCTTCTTCAAGCACTGCTCTATATCAAGGAGAGAGACACTGGGAAACATTGCAGCTAGCAAGGCCACTTTGTCGTTTGCCGATGCGCCGGTCAATTCCAAAGACCCATCAGCGGCAATAGTATACGCAATGTTCGGGTTTATCGGCGACGCAATGTTTCTATCAGAGCTTTCTTCAGAAGAAAAATGCGACTCCATACTAGTAACATCAGTGAATGTGCGTAGTGAATCTCCATGACCTGAGGTCCCAGCCTCAGAAAGGATTCCTCCCATCTCGCTGGCAACCTGCTCATTTGCCGTGCCTGAAGGATCGAATGGGTCATTTTCTTGGAGCTGAGCAGATTCTTTTAGGGAATCTAAAATTTCCCGTAAAGCAGTGACATCGTTGGAATCCGTAAGATTAAAATCGGATGAAAGAGCAGCAAAAAGAGCGGAGTCTAATGGAGGGCAATATGTTTTCTCCAGTTCCTATGGACCGAGTCGCGTCAGATACCCCACTGAGCCATATTCCATATTAAAGAGAACTTACAGATCGAAAAGTATCGCTGGAATCATCCATGATGATGAATGTCGTCAACAATATTGGAAATGTCCATATGTTCAAGTGACATGCCCTAATTCTCTAGGGCGAAAATAAGAGAGTGAAAGAATAAAAAGAAAGAAAATATAGGAGAACTAATCGGTAGCGTTCGTCCAAAGCTCCATGAAAGCAAAGCGTGTGCGACAGTCCCTAGGTCCAAGTTGCGGAGGGAAGGAATATCTCCGAGCCGCGTGGGGGAGTCTTTTTTATGCCCCTCGCCACCGCCAACCTGATGGGCCCGAATAGTCTTGGTAGCATTTTGATTGTTTTGATTGGCTGAATTACATTTCTATGGCTGCGCTACATAGCCTCATTGGATAGTGGGGTCTCTTGATGCCTCGTTCATTCTGGGTGCCTATCAATATCACACTGTTAATAAGAAAGTGCGATCCCGTCAATTATTGAAACAAACGCCATAGGCTACCCCCACTTCATAGTAGATCATATTTAGTCTAGTCACCTCTCCGTATTCGACCTTTAGATTTTCTCAACGTTGAGTCAGGTACCAGTTGAAATTCGTCGCCCTCGTTTGAAACCTAAAGAGGCACAGAAAGCTCCAAGAGAACGGTAAATCCAGCAGTATGAGCTGATCAGTTACTTTCTTTGGCCTTGTACTAACGACTTCTTAGGATGCGAAGTCTACAAAGCCTCAAAGTAATAGGCAGGGGTATTTTCAAGTTGTTCTTGAACAAACGAAGCTCCCGGATCCTACGTCATATATAACAATGAAGATAGTATTTAGGAGAATCAGTGGGTTGAAAAGTGGTTCTTAGATACCGCATACCGGTATCCTAGGGTAGCGAATAAGTTGAATCCGACGGCGGAAGGACTATCGGAGAGCACGGGTACGTGTCAGAGACCGAAGGACCACAACCTCTCAGCAAGAACAAAACAGGAATCCGAAGTGCAACATAGGACGCCGATAGGCACATTTGAATTCAATCCAGGGAGAATCCAATCAAGATGATTCCGATCCGAGGCTGTATCCCGCTGTGCGAGTAGCCGAAATCCATACCCTCGCCCTCACAATGAATGGGGGGGTTCAAAAGGAGGGATATTGTTGCTATAATGAATCAAATAGAGATTTCAAGCAGAAATTGTGTTTGCGCTCATATTAACTAGTACTTATTCCCGTGTTGCGTGAGGGAAGAAGTCAGGTTGAAAACATACTAGTAGCTGGGCTCGGCCATTGGCTTTTGTCCCACATAAATTCATGACTTCGATCCGAGACCATGCGCAGGGAACCCATCCATTCCGAAGCGCTATGACCCCTCGAAATAATTTCCTCTCCTTCGGGATAGGATTGGAACAATATCGTGAGGTGAATGAATAGCCTGCCTCGTGGGTCATCAGTTTAACGCCACAAGCCCAGTCTTTGCAAGAATGTAGAGAATTTACTTGTGCGAGATATGAAGCTAGTATTATAGCTGGGAGAAGAGCCTTATTCTTCCAAGTTTTGAAAAAGTCAGCCGACATCTTATCTTTGCAAAGCTACCCTGGTGACCACTACCTATCTAAAATGGGCTGCAGCGGTGATCCCAGTGACAGATACCTAAAAGATTTGTTTTGACCACAGAAGCTTATGAATTGCAGCAGTATCCCCTCATTTTTCAATATGGACAGGTACTGCACAGGAACTATGACGCGCGGCCGGTCGCAATGGCGTCGACTGTGCTGCACAAATTCGCCGGTTGAGAATTCAAATCTGGACTAAAGTTGATTTGTTGCAGCTACAGTCTACATACCTTTGAGAGATAGAAGATAGTACCCGTGATAGACTGTGTATTCTGCCTGGGTGGTAGGGGAGTACGGCCCTTGCTGGCTGCTTTTTGTACTCCCCTAGATATGGAAGCATGAGACATGACGCATTGAAGCATCACGAATAACCTGGCTCAGAAAAGCTCAGAATGGAATTGGCCAAATGTTGTGCAATGGGTGGCGGTTTCTAGTTATATGAAACTTATAAACCATTGCTGCCCCTCTCAAGTCTGCACTATTCTTCTCCTAAGCTGACCGTCCTTTTCCTCGATCCAGTCCGAAGATTTGATTGTGCATATTTTCTTATTGTAATCATTGCAAGACAGGAAGTGGGCTAATAACTCAAAATGCGAACCACGATCATCTCGTTCCTGATCGCCTTCACGGCCACGGCTGCAGGTACGACTTCCAATATTTGCTCGACATACAAATCTAACAGACTTTGATTAGGTCTCGTCATCACCTCACCCGTCGTGGGCCAAAATGTCGACAATTCCAAGTCTGTGACGGTGAAATGGCACGCCGTAGAGTCTGTCCTCTCCTTACAATGAGTTGCATGGCTTGTTAGTTTTCAAAGTCACTAATCACAAGCATAGGACCGACCCTGACACCTTCTCCATCTACCTCGTCAACCAAAATGTTTATCCGCCCACCCAAGAGCTCGTGGCATCAGATGTCCCCAAAAACAAGGGGTCATACACCATCAATGCCAAAAGCATAGACGGTGTCGATACTGGGTAACCCAACTTCGCACAACCCCAGTTTTTAGTTGGCAAGATTCTGACGATAGTTGTTGCAGTCGCGGATACCAGGTTAACTTTGTCTCGGATACCGACGCCCAGGCCATTTTGGCACAGTCATCGCAATTCAAGGTGGCTGATCATGCCGATCTGACTGCTAGCTCTGGTAAGGAAACAGCCACTGCTACCGATTACACTTCTGCTACGAACTCTCTTTCTATTACCGATTTCACTTCTGCCACCGATTCCACTTCTGCTGCTTCTGAAACTACCTCTCTCTCTGCTACAACCTCTATGACTTCTTTGTCTGCGTCGACTACTTCAGATTCCTCGACTGCTTCTTCCACTTCTCCGACCACTACTCACACCCTCACCAGTGCGTCTACCTATACCACCTCTTCATCTACTTCTTCACCTATTTCTACTTCTACCCATACTTCATCTTCTTTAACGACCTCTACTACCAGTGCGTCCACTTCTTCTTTATCTTCCATTCTTAGCTCTACCACTTCAGCACTTACCACATCCTTCTCTTCATCGTCGTTTATAACGACATCTACACCCTCTTCCTCTTCCTCAATATCAAGCACTGTATCTACTACAACCTACTCAACTTCGTCGGAGTCTCTTCCATCTTCTACATTGCACAGTTCCACTAAAATGCGTTCTACCACATCAGCCACATCTACTTCTACCTCCACCTCCACCTCTACATCTCTATCTACTTCCACTTCTACTTCTACATCTTCTCCTACATCTACGCATACAAAAACTACCAGCACTTTCAGCACTTCTACTTCTACCTCTACTTCTTCTTCCCCTACATCTACTACTACTACTACTACCCATACCCGCACAAAGACATCCACCATGAGCACCACGGGTCAGTTATTGGTGCCACCTCGGGCTTCCAGATTCTTTAGTCACTGCAAAATTCACTCCCTCAGTTGTTACGAGTCGCTGACTCTTTCATTTTCTAGGCGAAACCACCATGACCACAAAGACTCATTCTTCTACTTCTACAGAGACTTCGACTACTACCTCGCACCATACGAAGACTATGACTTCCACTGCCACGGAAGAGGCTACCACAACTTCTAATGCAGCGGGATTGTTGATGCCTACCAACCATGCCGGCAGTCTTCTTCTGGGACTTGCTGCTCTGATGCTCTGATGACTCGTAGCGATGAAATCTTTTATTCCAAAACACTGATACGTGGTGCTGAGCTTTATCAATTGAGAATGTCAAGGTGTCTATTATGGTTTCAGACATAGTTTGACCGACGATGGAGGGGGAAGAATAAAGTTTATTCGGGCTTGCTTTTGTTGCTATTGGGGCTTTAATTATTAATGAATTCTGCAATAATCGATCATGATATTTTGACGACTGAGAAAGCTTCTTCGCTATGATCGTAGCTACATTAGTATCGGGTAGGGATTATTCAACAACTCTAAGTAAACCTCGGCATCGGCGCGCCGATCGACCCATTTCCCCGCAGTGAAATCAATTGCATAGACCGCATAACTTTCTCGCAGCTACGTTCTATTCTCTCCACACTCAACTTCTACAATCATCGAAGCTTCACTCTCTGACCCAACCATGCCGGTCTGCACTCTCCACCTCCTCGCTTTCAACCAACCAACCAATCCACAATCCTACATCCAAGAATTACAAAAATCAACCAAAGTGATCCTAGCCTCAAGACCCCGACACATCGTAATCCACCCAACAGACCTGGATAAAACCCCCCCTAGCAACAGAAAACTGGGATCTCTTGCTCCTTCTCCAACCCAACAAAAACACCACAGACCCGATCCCAACCCACCTCCGCACCGCCATAAAATCAGAATACAAAATCCCAACAGGGATTCCCTCAAAACTCCTCGCCAACTACACAACCCGCAACAAAGCCTTGCAAGAAAAATCTGCCTCAACCGCCCTAACAGGATCATTAGAAAAACACCTCTCCAACAGCAGCAAACCAAGCTCGCAAAATCTCGAAATCTCCCCAAGCCTCGTATCCTTCATGAACGAGTTATCCGAGACGCACCCCGGCCCCGTGACGATGCTCAATCTGCTACATTTTCAGCAGCCCACCGGTAAGCAGAGTTACTACCAGTACGGTCAGGCCTTCGTCCCTGTCGCGGGCAAACGCGGCGGAGACGCGAAGCTGGTTGGTAATGTGGTGGTGACACCGCAGCTGCAGCCGCAGCAGCGCGATAGCAAAAATTCCAGCCCAGAGTCAAGTTGCCGCGGCGATGGTGCGGCGGAGGGGTGGTGGGATGAGATCTCCCTCGTGCATTATCCTTCTATTCGGCATTTCTGCGATATGCTCGCTGGTGATGATTACCAGGCTATTAATGAGAAGTATCGGCTTTCGGTGAGTTTGAATCCCCTCCTCTCGTTGTGCTTTTGTCCTGGAGGCTGCTTTGTTCTGTTGTGGATCGGATTCTTGCAAATCGGGTTCAAGGGATCAGGCTGACTGTCCAGGCACTTCGTGATACCTTTCTCTTGTGTACCACCGAGTTGAACCTTGAGGGGGTGTCAGTAGGTGCAGATTCGAAATTGTGAGACAGCGATATCGCCACGGGGACGGATGTTAGTCGGAAGAGTTGATTGAAGCGAGTAGAAATTAAATTGTTCAAATATCAAAGCAAACTTGGAACTTGAAAATTATGTACTGGTCTCGTCCTCTTTTCTGCTTGATAAACTGGGTATCTGAAATCATGGGACGGGTAAATCTTGTCCCTCAACGCTGGGAAATACTATAGCCACGCAATAACCTTCATATATACTGTCCAGCCTCAAAATACTAGTAGAATTGGACTGAGCTAATCTGCGAAACTTAAAGTTCAACGACGATTATCCTGACTTGATAACGCTATCACTTGGTCGATCCCAAGTGCGAATGTGGCCTGATAGTGTCAGTAATAATCTTCGTGGTTCCGGGAAGTTATCCACAAACCTTCGAGAGAGGATGTCATAATAGAATCCTTTTGGAAACCGAGCCAGCAAATAGGATCTTCTCCGACAATTTTGGACTAGGCATATTGTTAGGATGAATGTAAGTTCAAAGAGGCTGCTTGGAACATACCATAATAGGAGGCAACATAGCAGTCCGAGCCCGAGGCTCAACAGGATGGCTAGCCATCGGATCAATAATGCTGTCGAGCTTTTCGGTTTTTTCCGAGTCCGAGCGAAGACGGTTACCGCCACTGTCAGCCCGATAGCGATTGCCGCCTTGTGTGCTCGGCACAACAACACTGCTTCGGTGACGGGCAGTACTTTGGTGCTGTTGAACAAGGTTAGCAGTTTTGATCGGAGACAATATTGGGATGAGAAAAAAAAAACGAACCGCACGAGGTCTATGAAGCATGCCGACGCTGAAATCCCACAAGAGGAGCCTGCAGTCATCACCGACGCTGCCAAATCGATAGGTCTTCTGGTCACAACGCCACGGATCAAACGCGACCGCGGAAACGAAGGAATTGTGTCCCTGGCAGCGAGCGACGATTTTGCGCTCGGGGAAAGACCAGATAGTGAGAAGGTCGTCTTGGCCACCAGTCACAATGTATTTACCGTCGGGCGACCAGCAAACGCAGATTATACCACCGTAGTAGCTGCGGAAGATGTCCAAAATCCTGTGTTGAACTGGTTAGTACTCATTTACACAGTAGGCTCATGAATTCTTAACATACTCCTCTTCCAAGTAGTCCATTAATCGGAGAGAACCATCCTCCAGGACAACTGCCAGATGTCTCTGATCAGGCGCGAAGGAGAAATGGGAAATTTTTTGATTCGCTAGCTTCCAGAGACATATCGGGTTGGTCTTCTGGTTCTTCGATTGCACTGATTTGAGAACCTCCAAGGGAAACTTGCTGGGGTCATGGTCGGGAGGGGGTATCACCTCAGGGGTGAAGAGTGCATCCTCCTTCTCCTTATCGTAAACGACCAACACGCCATTCGCATGCGATGCAAGGAACAAGTTTTCAGATCCCGGGAGCCATTTGATATGGGTAACAGGGGAGTTGTTAATCACACCATTCTTATTGATGCGGGCATATTTCTGCGACATCGGCTCATACCAAATGATGTCACCGGCGGAGGAACCCATCACAATATCCAGGTGTGAAGAGGTCTTGGTCAACTCGTTGATATCGTGACAGAGCATGTGCGCTTTGGTGAAAAGGACTTTAGTGAGATGTTCCTCCTTCTGAGCCGAGTTAAGGTCCAGCCATTGGAATGCTCGGTTGATGTTGGCAAAGGCAAAAATGCCATTCGGGTCACGTTCGCTCAGGCGCTTGGCCGATGTTTCGTGCGTTATTACCCGAGACACAAATGAGGAGCTGCTCTTGATAATATTGTTCTTAGGTTTGCGCCGCTTCAGCGCATCCTTTGCCGGTAGCACGGGGGCCGCAAGTGCGGGGTTCCCATCTCCGAACGGCGGTGCTACAATGGCTGTCTTCAGGAAGGTCGGAGGTTGCTTGCGATGATCCAGGCTGACTAGCGATAGCTTGACTCCAGAGGTGGGAGGGTTTGGAACAGTGGCCAGTGGGTTGGGGTTGATAATGGGTGCTTCGGAAGGGTGTGGGGGTGGTGTCGCGAGCAGAAGGTCATCCTTGAGGGTATAGGTACCTATCGTCAGGATTTTCATTAGCAGTGCACTTGAGCCGAAAGGAGACGTGAGGGGGAAGGGCCTCGACGACACGTGTGAACTGGAATGCGATAGACATGCATGCACATACCTTCTCCGACTTGCAGGGGACATCCGCTCTCCGGATGAGAGATGGTGTTGTTCGTTTCGACCACAGGGACTGCCATGCCGTTCGCCGCCCCCGCCGCATAAGCGACAGGGATAGTGTATCTCGGAGGGGGAGGTGGTAGGACACTGGGGGGTGGTTGAGTTGGGTCAGTATGTGCCTGGACTGTGGTTGCTATCTTGATCGGCCCAAGGGTCGCGGGGAAGGTGACTTTTCGGCATAGGACGGTCACATCATATCCCACATCAAGTATGGAATATGGAGGAGTATAGAGAGGAAAGGAAAGGATTGAAAAGAAGGAAGGGAGGGCCATCTTACAACATGGTTGCGTTACCGTCTCGATTTCGACCGGGAGAGACCTAATGTCGTAACACGGGCTAGGAAGCAGAACACAACAACAGCGCTACAGTCAGAGATAGATCCTGCCGCAAAGGTGAGATAGTTCGTCCCAATTTGACGTCGAATATCAAGAGCTGAAGAGCCTCGATGTGGCTTCTTTGGCGATGTCGGAGGAGATGAGGGGAAGAGACCGCACTGGCCCGGGGATTATTCAATGAATCCGCTATGAAGAATGGGCGAGCAAGGGATCTATATCGATGAAGGTGAGACCAAAACAATTTCCCAAGACCAAATGTAGAGAAATGTAGGGAGAGGAGAAGCACGCAAAGGTACGGAGGAGGAGAGGTGCAGTGCAGAGATCAGCGGTCCGGGGTAATTGCGAAGCGGAGAAGTTACCAAGTCTCGTGCCTGAACTCCGGGGCTTGGCGGGGAAATATCACGGGGGTGATTCCAAGGTTTTATACATAGAGTATACTACTATGACTTTATAATTATATCCGAGTACCTAGGTAGTGTCTTTTTAATCTTAGAATACTTCATCTCCATTAATACATTTGCTCTGCCTTGATTGCCTTACTAATAGCCTCTTGGTTTAGATCTCTCTGCATGATGTTTAGTTACTAATATGTGATTATATAATGGTTTGCTCAGGGTATCAGGGTATCAGGGTATTATTATATCACTATCATCTGATTACTAGTAGTACTACTAGTCCAACTCACTCATTGCCCGCTCCCCACTCGTCGCCAGATCATCACTGCTGCGGCCCCGGCACAGACGACCGCCCCCAAGGCGATACCCCACGACATCCATTTGCCTTCAACATCCTCTTCACTGCGCGGGAATGCCGTGCTGGGCTCCATCGCGGCTTCCGCAATATGCACAAAGACCTCCTGGATGGAATTCCAGGTCACGCTGACATGAAGAGGGGGGCTGGGGATATTCAGCATCGCTGTGTATTCGTGGGGCTGATGCTCCGCCCGCTGCGTGGTCCGGTCCAAGTCGGCCTTGAGGGCAATAAACACACTCGGCAGTTCCTCAAGATGGGGGTACTTGGCTCTTAGCGCAGGTATATACGCAAAGGAGTCCGGATCAGACGAGTCGTATGTATAGGCGACCACATCGCATTGGTCCAGTAATTTCGCCTGGTTCTCAAGAATTGCAGGCTCTAGTTCACCCAGTTCGTCCATAATCAGATAGCACTGTTTGCCGCCTGGTAGCTCAACTGTATTCACAGCTGTGCGGGGTTGAATGGTGGGATGATATGTCGAGCTAAATCCACGCGACAGGAGCGCGTCCAAAAGAGCTGATTTTCCTGACCCGGCAGCACCCAAAACGTGGCATTGAACTACATTTCGTCCGACGCGTCCCGGGCGTCGCCTTCTCTTGCGCGGTCGCGTCACCTTCAACGCCGATGTGATGGAAGGATTACTTCGGTCCGACGATTCAAAGCCGAGGTAGGCCAAGTATTCTAGTGTGGTCTTGGCAGACATGAAGGTTGTCATACTCCATTGCGCGAGCCATCCCTGGAGTGTAACATGCCCGGCTTCATTGCGGACTGTTGAAGAAGGGAACGAACCGTCGGCCCAAGATGCCGGCAATCCAGGGGTCGGTGCGAACAAGGACGCCAGTTCGGCATGGTTTAGACCACCGTCATTATCCTTATCGGATAGTAGAAATAGATTCACGAAGAAACGATACCCTTCCGGCGAAAGTTCTGCCGAGGCATAAGGTGGGACCTCAAACCGGGGGTGTAGGAAGTTTTCTTGTAGGGATAAGTTGTCGGTGTACTGGAATGCTCGTAGGATAATCCAGACCGTCTCGTGTCGACCCTTTTCCGCGTACAGCTTATTTAAATGGATAAAACCAGGGCAGTCGATTCCGGAGTCGTTTACTGAGTCCGGGAAGCTCCGTTGAATGGTTTCTTTAATATGGGCCAGGTCCTCCTCGCTGAGAGGCTTGCCGAAGCATCGGGTTTGGAAGTCCGCGATCTCCTTATCCGACAGATATCCATCCCGATCCTTGTCGCTGAGGTAGAAGATGCGTTGAAGTGCGGCGACGGCGGCGGGTTTTAATGCGGCTTCCTTTGAATCGAAAAGGGGGGCGATTGGGTGGGTGACAGCCTTTTGGCAAACGAAGAAAGCTTCATTGACATTCCGATGCTCACGTGCACTCGTGCGAATGCAAGAATCAATTTCCTTGAACTCCGACATCAATGGAAGCATTTCCTCTTCGATAACCTGTGCCTCGCTGTGGCTCGCGACGAGGTCCGACTTGTTGGCGCAGAGCACAACGGGGACATTGACGCCCAGGGATCGGAAATAGGGTAGCCAGAATAGGGCGACGCGTTCATAGCTATAGTGGTCGGAGTAGACCAACAAGATCACGTTGGACTTGCGAATCTCTCGGGCCAGGTTGTTTCGTTCTTGCGGGAGAGCGGAGGTGTCGACGACAGTGGTAGTAGTGACATTTTCGGGGGTGCCGATGGTAGGAGGGATGGTGATCTGAGGTAGAATGGGCTGGATCTTGTTGGTGACGAAGACACCCTTGACCAGGGAAGTGATCAAGCTGGACTTGCCAGTGCCTTCGTCGCCGCAGACGCTAATGCGGACTGAGGTTGTCACCAAGGTCAGTTAGGGGCGCGGGTGCAGTGGAGTGAGAAGGTCGTACCTGTAGCCATTGGCAATGCAAAGGTATCAAGTTTCGCGAGGTCTATGGTCTGGGCATGGCCGTACTGCACCTAGTCGTAGGAGGCGGTTGCTGTAGGGTCAAGTCGTGCCCAGGTGTGTTATGAATGCGATAAGAAATGGTCTGTCTACCTTAGCATCGGGGCCGACCTCGTGCCAAGCCATGCAGAGTGGAGCTCGGCATCGGCAGTATCGGTACAAACGCAGCCTACAGTTTCCGAGTACCTAGGTATACTATTACCAGAATAATGAAATCCATGAATGGGAATCCTCCATGGGTTTGTAGTTCAACTTGAAATTGTTCCATGTGAACCTTGGAATACTAGTAGTATTTTTGAGTTGTATATAACCACTAACATGAGTCAACGGGTCCCCTTAACTATACTAAATTGGACTCGGACTAAGCCAGTAGTAGTAGTACTTCTACTACTAGTACCGTATTATATACCTGCCAGTGTGGTATAGACGTGGAGGGTGGCATAAATGATAATAGTACTAGTAGCTCCATAATAGTACCTAGGTATGTAACACTTACCAGTAGATAACTAGTTAGTACTCTAGGTATACTTATGTACTTAGTAGCACGGCCCTCTAACCCCGCCGGGAGAGTTGCCGTTGGAGAGTGACCCTGCTGCGCCACACCCAATGGCACACTTTAATGAATCGAATGGGAGTCTGTAGGCGTCATATATCATTCTCAACACATTGCCTTCTTGCATAAGCTCAGGAACCAGCTTTGTGATCAGAGTCTCATTTACCAAATCGGGTGGTGTATTTACTTCTATCTCGTTCACTACCTAGGTACTACCTGTACTACTAGCCACCTCCACGAGTCACCCGTCATCAGGCCCACACTGGCCCCATCTCACTGACTAACCTGCCCGAACCTCCAACTCCGATCCAACTCCTCCAAAGTCCTTACTCCTCTCTCCCTCACCTTCATATAACTCCCTCCCATCAAGATGCCACTTGGGATCCACAACCCCCTGCCGTCGTCTCTGAGCAGTATGTAATGTCCCTGTCCTCTCACTGTTGGCTTCCCCGCAATCGCATGCGGCATCTCCGGCTAACGAACACCCCTCCTCGTGAACAGGTGAATGCAAGAAGGCGGCAAAGATCTTAACCTCCTTCGTGGACCCAAAGCAGGCCTTCGGTCCAGATAAGGTCATTCCGCCCGAGATTCTGGCCAACGCAAAGGTGAGTCTCATATATCGCGGGGTAGAACACCGTCCACCTTGTGGCTCAACCCTAATCCTTCCCTTCACCAGGGCCTTGCCATCCTCACAGTTCTCAAAGCCGGATTCATTGGATCAGGTCGTTTCGGTTCCGGTATCGTTGTCGCCCGCCTCGCCGATGGCTCCTGGTCGGCCCCCTCCGCTATCGCGACCGCTGGCGCCGGTGTCGGTGGCCAGATTGGTTTCGAACTGACCGACTTCGTCTTCATTCTCAATGACGCCTCTGCCGTTCGCACATTCTCTCAAGTAGGAACCCTCACACTTGGTGGCAATGTCTCTCTCGCGGCTGGCCCGATCGGCCGAAATGCCGAGGCCGCCGGTGCCGCCAGCACAAAGGGTGTTGCGGCCATCTTTTCATACTCAAAGACTAAGGGTCTCTTCGCTGGTGTCAGTCTGGAAGGTAGTATGCTTGTTGAGCGCAAGGATGCCAATCAGAAGATGTATCAGAGTCGTGTTTCGGCGGGCCAGCTACTTCAAGGAACGGTTCGACCGCCACCATCTACCGACGCGCTCATGCGTGTACTGGCATCGCGCGCCTTCTATGGCGGTCGTGGTGGCCCCAATGGCTCTGCCTCCGCGGGAGGGGATGCGATGTATAACGACATCCCGGTTTACGATGATAGCCACGACGATGTGGTTTGGGAGGGACGTCGCGGAGAGGCCTATGGTCAGGGGACGCGAAGGGAACGTGCGAACACCCAGAATGATGAATATGATTACCGCGACAAGCCGCGTCGAGCGAACACCTGGGCTGACGATGTGTATGATCGACCGGCTGGAGGCCTGGGTCGGTCTGCGACCACGCGAGAAGCGCCGGGTGATACATACGGACGCAGCCGTAGCAACACCACGCCATATGATGATGATTATTCCTACTCGGATCGCAGACCGACTCGACCGACCGCGCCCAAGCCGGTCTTTGCCCGAAGAACGGGCCAGGGCGCTGGGTTGCGTTCGGACCAGGCGGTTGCGCTGTACACCTTTGATGCGGACCAAGATGGTGACCTGGGATTCAAGAAGGGTGAAGTGATCACGATCCTCAAACGGACAGAGAAGGCGGAGGATTGGTGGACTGGTCGGATCGGCGACCGTGTGGGCATTTTCCCTAGGTAAGCAGCAGGCAGGCAGGCAGGTGAATTGCATCCGAGCCTGGCCAGAATGAACCTCAGCTGGATGAGAGCCAAGCTGACATGATCACAGTAACTACGTCGACGCATCATCCTAGACACATAGGAACGAAATCTCACGGGTATGCCCGTATGCTCATTCTTTGCAGTATAGCTCCCGGGGATGATGGCTCGGTTGGATATGGTATGGGGTATGATGAACATATTTTGGGCGCATTTCTTATTTTCTTATTTTCTTTTTCTCTTTGTTCTTTCTTTTTCTCTTTGTTCTTTCTTTTTCTCTTTGTTCTTTCTTTTTCTCTTTTCTTTCGATTCCCTTCTTCTGGATACCGCCTTCATACCTCGAGCGTTGGAGTTTCTCATTCTCGTCACAAAGGTTTCTTCTTTGCTTCGCAACATCAACGGATTTTGTGTTAGCTTTGCATGTTTCTAGAGTTTCGGTCCGAGTGCTTTGATTTTGCTTCCTTCTTCTTCTTCTTTCTCCTCCTCTCCGGATTCCTCTTCGGATGCTTTGTGGAAATAACGTTTCGGCCGGGGGTCAGATTCCACCTTTTCTTCAGCTTAGACCAGCCCCATGAGCATGGGCCGTTCCAGCGTGGCGCTCAGGACCTTTGGAATAACAGACGCCAATCAATTGCACCTCCCGCTCTGCCGTAGCCAGTAGAGTCACACGGCAGCGACCTAAGACTATCACCATGTCCCCTGACCCGGTTGGCACGGGGCAGATTGATACTGGGTGGGTTCTGGTTCGAGGGCGATCGCGTGGTTTCAGCGTGAGACCACACCATGGTGTATTTCTCACCGATTGTAGGGAATTGAATTGAAGATATCAGGCTGTCGATGGCTCATCCTGATGCCTAGTCCTAGTCTTTCCATTGCTAGTAACACTAATTAAGAGTCATTCGCCATGTCAGAAAATAAAGAACCAAACTATTGGCGGGAAGAGATCTGACGGGCCCTTCAGCCTCGCGTCATGATCCATCAGTCAGTAGTAAGTTTCAGGAGTGCCACAAGGTCAAGGAGATAGAGAACCAAGGAGACCGGGTCGTACTTGTATACCAGAGGTTCCAATCCGAACTGTGAGAGAGTATCTGTAGGTAGGCAGTATGAGAGAGAGAGAGAGAGTAAAGAGAAAGACAAAGTGTCGATCCTTTGATTTCTCCAGATCGTCCATGGACTGGCCAGGCTTCCCGTTTCCTTTTGGTGGAGCCTCCACGAACTCATCCAACAACCAACTCACACACACACACAGACACACACACACCACTTCTTTCCTCCCACCAGTTCACTTCTTCGTCCTCCCACCCCCCCATATGCCATAAACTCCCGGTTTCTTTACTCCTCTTCCCTTTTCTCTCTCCCCGCTTCGATGATCGCTCGTCTTCAGGTGGCACCTTGACCTGCCCTCTCCCCCTCTCCCCCCCCCCCTCCTGGCTACCCTCTGGTCTTAAGGGTTTCTTGGCCTTGGTTTCCTGTATAGCTGGTTCCCATGCAGGTGCGTTCCTCATTATATTCCTCCGACCTCATCTTCAATCTCATCCCGCCCCGCGGTTGCTTGACCTCCTGCCCCAATTATCGCTGCTTTCGTCTCCTCCCCCGAAGCCCTGAACTTTTGAGATCGAGTCTCCGCCGCTGTCAGCTCCGCATTAACTTGGCACCGCGCGTGGGATGAATGCTTTTGTTGAAGTCTACGGCACTGACTCTTTTTTTCTTTTCATTATAGGCTTCCACGAGTGCCCCTGAGGCAGGCGGCGGACACACGACTCGGAGAGGACATTCACCTCATCTCTCCATTAGCGACCCAAGTCACCATGTCACCGAAGCTATCGGGCATATGTACGACGATGACTACGATCGCAATGATCCGAGGCGTCTCAGTTATATAGCGTCACCACTAGGCGAATCAATATCAACGATTCCGCGAGCCGCCGACTCCGCCGCCCCCTCCACCTTATCACCTACGCATACACATACGCAAATGCAGAAGCAGAACTCGCCGGTCGAGGGACAGCCCAAGACAACAAATGGTCACTTACGCCCACCTCTCTCTCCTCATCGGTCATTTGACCGCGACAACGAACCCGGATCCCCAGACTCTACACGATCAGTGTCGGAAACCGCGACCTCCTCCTTCCCTTTGAACGATATCGATTACGAGTCGGACCCGGCCGCCGTTGTGCAAGAGCTGAACAACCTGGCCGCCATTCGCCGTATGTCCATGGATGTCGCAGCAACTGGCGATCCCGATCTTCCATCCTATGGCGGCAACCTCTCCGTTCCATCCGTACCTCCCTCCCCCACCGCTGATGAAAATGACACCTCGAGATTATTTTGGGTCCCGGCCAGTCTACACCCCGAGTTGGCACCGAAGGAGTTCAAGACATTCTTGGAAAGCAAGGCCGATATTATCAAACGGAAATCGGGCGACTTTTCGTCTCTTGGGCCCGAACGCCAGGGATCGGGCAGCGGCCTTCGTCGCAAACGGTCTATGCTGTCTCGACAAATCGACAGCTCCTCTGGCTATACGGATGGTGCGGATCGATTGGAGCGACAGCGATCGCAATCAAGTCGGCGCGATGGGATGCTCAGTCCTAACTTACAGGAGTTGGAAACTATAGTGGACGATTCGAAATCTACCTCCCCGGTCGATCTCGTGCGAGAGATGCAAAATGCGAGCATCGCGGCCCACGAGGACAAACCGATTCTACCCCCAGCACCACCAGGACACAGCCTACGAAGATCGACCCGGACACAGTACAGGAAGGGCAGCTTAAAGAAGGGCGAGAAGCCTCCCTATTCCAAACGAGTGGGTAGAGGTCTCTCTGAATCAGCTGGTTCAGCTCCTCCGATTATTACTCCATCCGATGACCAGTCAATTCTCGGATCTACTCGCGCGTCCACGGACTCGGTTTCCTCCACATCCTCTCGGCCAACGCGTGGGCCCTCGACCTCTTCCCGTGGCACGACTTACTCGGCGAATGCCCTTGGCACTGCATTCGACTCCATTCTTGATGATCCGGAAGCTGAGCGAGAGGAGGCGAATGCTCCTAGCGTCCACCCGCAGAATGACTCTTTCAACCAGTCGAATGCAACTGCATATGACCGAGAATGGAATTCTCGCGTCGATTTGAATGGCCGATCTAATACAAACACTCCCCAGAATCAGCAGACCGTCCCTGCGATTATCGAGACACCCCCCATCGACTCCTACCGTGAACAATCTAGCCCCAGTCCACCTTCTTCGCGATCAGCCGAACGCAATGCACCATCACAATACTCGGCCCAAACATCCTCAGTTCAAGACTCCACCCCCAGCAAGCGTACTGCGATGGGCCGGCAACCAGGCAAAGACACTACTACCAACACGCTTGACGACTTTAGCAATAATCCTCAGATGATACCCGGCAACAACACACGGACGGATAGCCTCTCATTCATCCCGACCATGCCGGAGGAGCAACGGAAACCCGAGGACCGTAAATCTGAGGGCAAGAAGTCCAAGAAGGAGTCCGAGGGGCGAAAGTCGAGCTGGCACTGGTTGCTGGGCAGTGAAGAAAAGGATAAAAAGAAGGATAAGGATGGAGACTCGAAGAAGTCGAGGTCGAGGTTCTCCGACAAGATAACACACCATAATTCTCGCATCGAAACACCCACGCAATCATCCATGGACAACAGCCCGAAGGGCAGGGAAAGTCTCATCCTTGATCGCCTTGACCCGAAGTTGGAGGAAGAGCGACGAAAAGATGGTGTTCGAAGGGCTTCGGGGGAGTCCAAAAAAGAGAAAGACGGCATCTTCTCATCGATTTTTGGTGGTGGTAGGAAAAAGCATAGCGGGGAGGGCCACCATCGAAAGAACTCTTCGCGCAATCTCTCTCCTGATCCCCCAGTGCGGGTGCTGAAGGCAGATGTCGACTATCCTTGGACACGATTTTCCATCTTGGAGGAGCGAGCAATTTATCGCATGGCGCACATCAAACTTGCGAATCCGCGACGTGCACTTCACTCCCAGGTGTTGCTGAGCAATTTCATGTACTCATATCTGGAAAAGGTACAGCAGATGCACCCCCACATGGTGGTGGCATCTTCTGGGTCTCAGAGGTCTTCTCAACAAAGGGACCAGCCTGATGAGTACACTCAATATCAGCGATACCAAGAGGTTAGTGAAAAACTGGATTCTAACGAATGAGCTGGGTGACTGACTGCATACCTTCCCATATTTTTACAGGCACAGGATCAGCAACAACAACAACAACAACAACAACAACAACAACAACACCAATACGCGGATAGCGCATATGATGATCCATCCATGTATGACTACGACGACGATCCGCATGATCCGTACCAGTCCCAGGGAAGCAATGGTAAACATGGCTACGAAAATGGCCATGTTTACGACTCGGGACATTACCAGTACGGGCACTCGTCTTATGGCGGCCATGGCCATGATGCCCATTTGGATGACGACGATGACGATGATATGTGGTGAACCAAGAGCCGGTGACTTCACTCATTTCCCTTTTTTGTCTGCCATTCTGATTTCTCGTTTTCTGCGACCCACGGAAATACCCACGCGTTTGTCAGTCCTGGTTGATAGTTGATACTGGAACATTGTATAAGCCTTGTTGCCTCTCTCCTATTTTCTTCCTTTTCTTTGCCACCATCTCTATTCCTTCCTTTCAACCGCCTTTTATCTTCCCCTCTTCTCGAATGACGGGTCATCTCGAGCCATGGGGCTCGTATCTTTGCTTCACGCACATTTCAGGATTCCAGGGACATTAATCGGCAGGAACTACGATTGGGGGCCTATTGTGCCATTTTTTTTTGCCCTGGGCTCCTTCTTTTGCCTGGCCGTTTATAGCCCTTTCCTTTCTGCCTCTGGCCTCTTGTCGTCTTGGGCCTGTGCATTGCCATATAGTTTGTTCACACACATGGTCTGATTTGTCACTTCGCATAGCGTCTGGGGTTTTCTTTTTTTTTCTTGTGTTTTCTCTTGGTTCACCTTGGGTCCGAGCAGCTTGGACCAATCTCTGTATTCCCCCTTTTCTCACTTAAACCATTACTCTTTTATTTGATGCCATTGTATACCATTCGTACAATGTGGATCGATGGAATAATACAGGCAATTAGCAACATTGGTGGGTGCCGTTCTATTCACATTCAAAATCTTGGGATATCCAGCCAGGATGTAATCTGTATAGGTATCAATGCTATCTAGTACAAAAGAAAACATAGAAACATAGAACAATAGAAACATAGAAACGGGTCATAGTCTTCGTAAGAGTAATCATCATCATAGTCACTTATCATGTGTCGCATCACATCACATCAAACCAGCTGCGTACTACTAGTAGAAGGACTCGAATCCTCTAAAAACGCACACGACTGAAACGACGCCCCAAGCCGCAAATGCTCCGTCGTATGCAACATCTCCCTCTCAAAAACGCGCGCATCTCTCACATGAAAATCATTATTAAAATCAATCGCAACGGCAAACAACTTCGCCCTCAAGACCGGATCAGACGTCGCCGCCCACGCCGAACTAACGCAGACAACAATATAAGCCGCCCCGATAGGCTTCCAAATTACCGATCGTTTCGCCAGAGCAAGCACCTCCTCTGACAGATACGTTGCGTCGAACTCGGTTATTCCACCACCAGCACCACCGCCCTGGCCGGACTCGCGCCGGCTCCCATACGCATCCAGCGCAGAAAGAATACAATTAAACACAAGCGTGCAAGCAAGACCAATCCCATACGTACGCTGATAATGCGCGAAGCCGAATTCCAGGATGAATTTTCGGCCGGCGGGACTGGCGGTCTTGTAGAGCTCTGAGAGGTCATTTTCGACGGAGCGGTGCTTCATTGTGCTTAGGTTTGTTTTGCAGTCTTGGTATATTGACCAGACTTCGTCGCGGAGGGAGGTTGTGTCTGTGGCTGTGCGGAGGGCTTCGCGGCCGCGCCGCATTAGGTTTGGGGCCTTTGAGAGGTTTAGGAGCATTTGGCCCTCTGGAGTGCTGCTGTCGTAGTCGTTTCGGACTAGGTTGTCCCATTCTTCTGGGGTAAGGTTTATTCTGTCGTTGAAGATGCCTTCGAAGAGCTGAGTGGGTTGGGGTTAGTATGGGGGTGTGTAAAAGCAGGCAGGCGTGTGGACGTCCAGCGAAGAACGAGTGGAATAAAAGGAAAGAAAATGGAATGATAGGAGAGAAAGAAATGAGACGAACCACACTGCCGCGCATTGATAGAAATAACTTCGCCTCAAACGCATCACGGGGACCAAAGTCCTTCCGTGCTTTGAGAATAGCCGCCGCACCCTCCGCATGGCCCGAGAACTTTCGATTCGAGGGTCCTAAGAATAACTGGCAGATCAACAGGATCATCACGGCAGAAAGCGTGCTGGATGACTGTGCATGGACCCTGTCGTCTAGGTACACGCTTAGCGTGCGGAGAGCACGCGAGTGCTTGGATAGCGCCTCCACCGAGGGGCCCCGGTTACATGAAAAATTAGAGTGCGCGGTTGTCAGGGTATCCACCGCACGGTCAAGCGCCTCATTAGTCCCAAGCCGTCGGGGTATATCTTCAAGCCATAAGCCGAATGACCACCAGAGGTTATAGCGTAGGTCGGTGGTTCGCTTAATAGTCATGATAAACCCGCCGGCCAAGGAGGAGATATCGCTATGAGGCACGGACTGTGGGGACTCTGGGGGCATTAGTTGGACCTTATCTGGATGTCTCTGTTTGCGAGACAATAATTGTAATATTTGTTTTTCGGTAGCGGCGGATTCCTTTACAGGCGAAGACTGGTATCGAGATTCGCAGGAAGTATTAGGTAGACTTCCGGAGTCTCCATTGGAGCTGGAGAGCGCGAGCTGTTTTTTCACGCGCGTGGAGTACTGCTTTTCTTCTTGGAATTTGAATCGCAACTTGCCTGATCCAACGCAGGGGATCTTTAGGCGTAGACAGCGAGCACAGGCGGGTTGCTTTTCATCACACTGTTGTCGTTGTCATTAGTGGGATTGATCGCCTGGTGAATACGAATCTGGATCGATGCAGCGGACCTTTTTCTTTTGTTTACGGCAGGCATCACAGGCCCTTCCTGTTGGTACGCCCGGCATTTCCTTTTCGGTGGATCTGGATCTGGGAGGGGGTAAATCATGTACAGTAGATGGACCCTGAGGGAAGTGGGGATCGGTGCGGATCTCTACCGCTACTGTGATGCACACGGATTGATGTCACAGGCTGTCAGGGGGAATTCTTTGTCGACCACAAATATGCGGTCTGTACGCTAAAAAGCACAGGTGTGAAGTTATTCGAGAAGTTGGAGCTGACGCTGCGCCATCAGCGTCATATTCAGGGCTCCGCTTGGCAAGTGATGAGGCTAACCGTGTTGGGCAGGATGTACCGCTTCAAGGCTGAGTTGGCGGCCTACGATTGGGGCGGATATTACAACACATGGCTCAGGCTGAGCTTTTTTGGGGGGGCCATTTGGGGGCCGTTTAGGTTTCCTCAGGGCCCAGAAATAATTTTAAGTATGGGGGCAAAGGCGGGTCTGCGCCTCAGGCTGATCTCTCTATACTCCTTTGGGCGCGATGTCGCGCTGGCACGAGCCATAAGTTCATTGTTCATCATGATAGTCAAAATGTATTTAGAGAAGAGCGAATCCCCATAGGAAATCCTCAATCAAATATTCAACCATTCAAGTTCAAGTCATTTACCAATCATGGCTGTCGACGCTCAAGAAAGGCCTCATGGCTACTATCTTTACAAGCCCAGCCATATCCTACCAGCTGTGTTCGCGGCGCTTGTGGCTATTTCTTTAATTCTACACACTTTCCAAAATATGTACGTTTTCATGAATTCTGAAATATGAATCCTACTAGTATACGCATACTGATTTCTCCCTACTATAGTCGCTATAGATTCTGGCGTGTTACCTTCTTTATCAGCTGGGGAGGTATCATCTTTACCACCGGATGGATCCTTCGATGTATCTCCAGTTACTATCCTGACCATTTGGGACTCTATGTCGCTCAGGCAGTCTTTATCTACCTAGCTCCACCAGTTTATTCAGCTGCTGCATACAACATAGTTGGCCGACTGATGAACTATCTCCCCATGCACGCAGTCCTGAATCCCGATCGCGTGTTGATCTTCTTCGTCTATCTTGGTGCCGCAGTGGAGGGCATGACTGCTGCTGGAGCTGCCAAGAATGCAGCTGCTGGAAAGGAACTCGACGAATACAAGAAGGGCGGCCAGCTTATCGCTGCCGGTCTCATTCTGCAAGGTGTGGTGGAAATGCTTGTTATCGCGATCGTGGCAACGGTCCATCGCCGCGCATCTAAGGCCGGCAAGGTAGCTCGCAACGTGCGATTGGTCTGTTTTACCCTATACGGCACCTCTATCTTCGTGGTTCTGCGCTGTATCTTCCGCGCTGTCGAGTCCTTTGAAATGTTTGACAAACTTGGCTGCACCGAGAACTGCGGAGCCATCCTCAGCAACGAATGGTACCTATATGCATTCGAGTTAGGCCCCATGTTGATCTTTACATACTGGCTGAACCTATTGCACCCTGGACGCTATCTTCCCAAACAAAAGCACCGCTATCTTGATACTGATGGCCAGACTGAACGTGTTGGACCTGGCTGGCGAGATCGCCGCAGTCGATGGGAGACTTTCGTCGACCCCCTTGACGTAAAGGGCATGTTCAAGGGCCAAGCCTCGCATGAGAAGTTCTGGGAGAATCCTGGGCAGTGGGATGCCTGCACAGATGGCAGTTTTGCGGAGGGAACCGCCTCGAATGCCAAAACTCAGAGCTATGCGAAAGAAAATACCTTATTTGCCAATCAAGTCTAGGTTGGTCGATTTTGGAGTTACGGAAGATGATATACGTGAAGCGCAGGCTGTCTCTTTAAATCACAATAGGTTACAGTCACTTATATTCTGTTCAGCCTTTTATTTTGTTACATACCAAGTGAGGTCTTTGCTTCTTTTATTTTTTCTTTTATTTTTCATCTTGGCGTTGAAGCGGATGTACAACTGGCGCATATTGTACTACTAATTTGGGGGCAACATTTCAAATAACAAACTTTTTCTTTTGATAATCCGAGTCAAAGGGGCACATAGAAATGTAATTAATCTCATTGTAGGCGAGGAAGGAACCCGATTAAATAACTTGGAAGAAGTCTAGTATCATTACGGTGATAAGCTGAGCGCTCTCCGGGTTTTTTCCCGCTTCCGCCCCGCTCCGTCTTTTAGCCGCGCATCCACCTGCAGTTTTGCTGCAGATCGAACTGGACAACGCCTTTGGAAGCTATAGATCCCGGTCTCATTATTCTGATCCGGCCGGAACTTGGAACGTCAGTCGTCTCTTACTAATGGCCACCACGGAAGATGAGCGTCCGGCGAAGCGCGCCCGTCAAGCCTGTGAGCCATGCCGGTAAAGGCCCAACTCAACTTTCCCGGCCTGGCGGATTTTCACCGGATACTGACTTTCAGACAGACGCAAAAAAACAAGATGTCCCGGGGAGAAACCGATCTGCTCCTTTTGCGAGAGACTAGGCCAAAAATGCCTGTATGCGGGCACGGATGTTGTGGAAGAAGGTTCCGACTTTGCAAGGAATATGGTGAGAATGCCAGGTCTAGCCCCAGTGAAACCGCCGAAAATCCGCTTCTAACAGGCGCTAATAGGAAGATCGCGTTTCGCGGATCGAAAATAAGCTAGAGAAATTGATAGACTTCATCACGTAAGTACTCGTTTGGTCTGCCATTCGCTCTTCTCTCATCTTCGAATTGCAGCCAAAATACACAAGAAAATTTGAAGGCTTCCGGGCCTATCTCCGAAAGACTGACGCAAGAGGAGGAGCCTTTGCCAAATCCGAGCCTCTCAACACCAGATACCGATCTCATGTAAGATATCCAACTTTCGTTTCATCTGTTCAACTTCCAAGGTTCTCGCACTAACAGATCTTCCAGTGAACACTCGTCTGATGCACCAGCTCTTGATTCATATTTCACTTTCTGCAACTCTCAACCACTTTCTTTATTCCCTTGTGGGGTACTATCTCCTGAGAATCTTGGGAGGAGAGATCCTGAACTACTTCTTGCCATGGAGGCCTTAGGCCTTCGATTCCAGGGAAGAGGAGTCAAAGACAGCCAAATTGAATCTGAGATTCAAAGCAAGATCAAAAAGTCCCGTCAAGCGGTCCTGTCGCGCTTGGATGATGGCAATGTGGAGCTTTCCACGATACAGAGCCTCTGTTTGCTGAGTATGCTAGAATACACAGGTGAGCATGGCTAGGCGCGGAACAAAATTTCCATTTTCCTCATGCTGACTCTCAATTAGCTGGTAACCTGATTCGCGCTGGTTTCTACTCTCGCATGGCTGGATATTTCATTCGTAGCACTCGAGTGGGCGATATCGAGTTCGTCAATACTTTAGACAACGAAAACGACGAGCGGAAGCTCTGCCACGCGAGTGTGATATTGCTCCAGAATCTTCAAGGAAGCCTCCATGCCTTTCCACCAAAGGACACCACAGACCTTTCGTGTGACACATGGCTCGCGACACCATTATTTGAAACAATGATATCAAAAAAGGACACTCGGCGGGGAACAAGCGGCTTGAAGCTAGATATCGGAATCAAGGCTGCTAATATGCATGCTAGTGAGCTATGGGCTCTAGCATGCAAGTACGCGATGGATTATCGTGTCGATGCCGATCCTCCATGGCATCCGCAATCTCACTATGGTATGATCACATACTGGCACACTGAGCATGAGAGCTGCATGCCACTAAGGTTTCGGCTGCATGCAAGCCGGTTTCAAGACTATTCCTCGTCAGATCTACAGAAGTATCGAAACTACTGGGGCCCATGGTTATTCTTCCAAATAATCTGGCATGCAGTTCCGGCTCTTCTAAACCACCCCTTTCTCCTTTCTATGCGCCTAAGAAACTTCCGGAGAACTATGCCCCAAACATTCCTTCGCAATTCCTTCGAACAACTCACACTGCACTGTGGCTGGATATCGCATTTTCTTGACCTTGTGGAGCATAAGCGATTTGAAATATCGGACCCCACGCTAGGCCATTGTGTGGCGGTCGTTGCAACGATCTACCTTCAACATAGTTTCACGGAAGACGAGGCATTCAGCAAAAAGGCCCAGATGGGATTTGAGAAATGTCTTCGTTTCCTACATGCAATGGCCCGTCGATGGCCACACATCGCACGACAAGTGAGTTGAAAATCTAGTGATTGCGGTTTCAAGGCTAATAATGGTATTCATCAGGCACAAAAACTCGAGCAGCTCAGAGGCAGCATCTCCCCTGGCGGTCTATTTACCGAGCCGGGTGCAGCAAACTCCCCCTCCAGCCCCAAATGGTCCGTTAATTTCCAGCTTCTATGGGAAATATTAGTCTATCCGCACGCAAGCAAGTCGCCGGACTATTCAACCGATATATTTGGCCCTATATTGGGCAAAGACAGCGTTGGGAATTCTAGAATGAATTCTGCTGGAGTCATTGCTGAACCTGACTTTGCTCTCATTGGGTCTGCTGGTCTCTCAGGGCACAAAACAGTAGCATCTGAATGTGTCACATATCCTCCAGAGCAGGCCGAACACATCCCACAAGGCCAAAATGCAGTGGGTCAAAACTCGGCACCTATAGATCTATCGAACTTGCCGGAGGATCCGGCGTTGGATTTGAACTGTGGAGACACATTGTTCCTACAACTTCAGGATTATGGGCGAGCATTTGAGGACTGGCTTAGTGTGAACCCAGGGTGAGAACAGATAGCCGATGTATTCTAGTATAACATAATGATGCAGTCTATCATGAATCCGGAACGCAAGTATTTTCTACCAGACCCGGTCCACTTCCGTCTTCCCCGGGCGCCAAGACCCGGCAACACCCCGGGGGTTCCTGTCAAACCTCCACATTTCTTCTTTTAAATGTTCGTGTCATCCAGCACCTTACAAAGCCTCAGAGTCTATCCTATAATAGTTCTCGAAGCTTCAAAATGCCTGCATCCAAGAATGATTCGATCATCATCGTGGGCGCCGGCGTCTTCGGCCTGTCCACGGCACTAGAGTTGAAGCAGCGCGGATACTCCAACATCACAGTTCTGGACCGGTACACGCCTCCGGCTGTCGACGGAAGCAGCGTGGATATCTCCCGAATTATTCGCATCGATTATGCTGATCCGGTCTATTGTAAAATGGCCGCCGAGGCCTATAAAGGCTGGAAAACCGAATACTCCGACCACTACTACGAGTCGGGGTTTGCGCTGCTTTCGGAGACGCCTAACAACGACTGGATCACCAAGTCTGCAGCCACTGTCAAGGCTAATGGCGGTACTATCGAGGATCTACCCGACGCTGCCGCGCTTCTTAAGTCATACCCGAACATCCAGTCCAATCTGTCCGGCATGAATGGGTACCTCAACCGACGAGGTGGCTGGGCCAATGCCGCAGGCAGTATCCAGCAACTGGCCTCGCGATGCAGCGTGGAGGGAATCTCTATCATCAGTGGCCCTCGCGGGACTGTTCTTTCCTTGCTTTACGAGGGCTCACGTGTCGTCGGCGTCAATGTGCTCAGCGGTGGCTCGATCCGTGCCTCTCAAGTGATTCTCAGCACAGGCGCTTGGACAAGTCGACTGTTGAATGTCGCACATGCCGCTTCATCCTCAGGCCAACCCGTTGGTTTCATTCAATTGACCCAAGACGAAGCTCGAGCCTTGGATGACACCCCCGTCATGATCGACATGACTACCGGTGTATTCGTCTTCCCGCCCACCCCTGGCTCTAACATTCTGAAGCTCGCCCGCCATGGATACGGCTATGCCAACGAAACCACCACCACCAACGATGGAAATCGAACCATCTCCGCTCCAAAATTGGAGAGCAGCAACTCGCAGACTGGATATATTCCAAGCGACGCAGATGACAGCCTGCGAGAGGGCCTGCGTCGTTTCTTCCCTAAACTTGCCCAGCGTCCCTGGTCGAACCGCCGTCTGTGCTGGTATACTGACACTCCCAAGGGCGACTTTATCATTGACAACCACCCGAAGTATGAGGGTCTTTTCGTGGCCACCGGTGGAGCTGGACAGTGAGTATCTCTATATCATTCATTTGCGCTCGGAATTCTTCAACTAACAGCTAATAGTGGTTTCAAATTCCTTCCGATTCTGGGAAAGTATATTGCAGACTGCTTCGAGGACAAGGCCTCTAAGGAACTTCGCGAAAAGTGGCGACTGCCTCCGTCGCCAGGTGGCTCTCAGGAGAACGATATGGCGGGTGATGGAAGCCGAGCTGGTCCACCTTTGAGAAAGCTCAACGATTTTGAGAAAGCTCGCCTGTGATTTAAACGTTTGACGTTGGTGTAAATTGGCATCTAGCCCGACGAAATTGAAATTCATTCCGTGGGGTGTCCCTTCCATGCTAGAAGTGAGAGCCACATCGGAGCCACATCGGAGCCACATCACATGTGGGATCCAACCACAAAGGCAGGATGCTCGGATCCCCGAACATCTTCTCCACCATGTGCTGCAGCTTTTGGTTGTGGGGAGTAGATCACCTGGATTGTAACTGGACCTGAATATTTCGTCACACAAATCGATGTGGGTGATTGGCAGAGACGATTGTGGAGGCTGTTGCTTGGTCAGATTGCGGGGGTGGGGATATGAACAGGCCGGCTTTCTCTGACCTGCTATAAATACGGCTCCTGGGCCATAAATTGGGTTAAACTCAGAGCTGAAATCATGGCATTGAAATTGATAGATCAGCCGATTGAATGCGCCGTGGGGATACTTGTCGTGTATATTTCTGGATATATAATTTACCAGCGATTCTTCCATCCGCTCGCAAAATACCCAGGTCCATTCCTCGCCTCGCTGACCGACCTATGGCAAGTGTATCAATTCATGACATTGAAGCAGCCATACACCCTCACAAAACTTCATGAAAAGTACGGATCCATCGTTCGGTATGGCCCCGATAAGTTGAGCGTAACCGACGAGGACGCTGTCCGATTGATCTATCAGACCGGGGCCAGGTACATGCCCAAGACTGAATTCTACGATGCATATGGTGCAGCTCATCCGAACGTCTTCGGCATGCGTGACGAAGCGGTTCGTCGATCCTCTTCTCCCGAGCCTGAACGTTCTGCTGATGCATTTTCAAGGCCCACTCCATTCGACGACGGCACATGTCGCACAGCTTCTCCATGAGCTACGTTAAAGAAATGGAGCAATACCTCGATGCAAACATAAAGATCCTACGGGATAAAATATCCCGCCACGCCCTGAATGATGAGCTGTTTGATTTGAAGAAGACATTGCATTACTACACTATTGATGTGCTGGGTGAGCTTGCCTTCAGCCAGACTTTCGGCATTCAAGAATCCGACGACGAATCCCGTATACCGCCCGTGATTGAACATAGCCTGTTGGCAGCCGTGACAGGTGCCTGGCCGGCTATGACAATGACTCTCAAGAAATGGCTTCCGAAAATCCCACACAAGGGACTCCAGGCTCTATTTAAAGGTCGCAAGGCCTGCGCAGACCTAGCTTCTCGATGTGTCAATATCAGATTGAGCACTCTGCGGTCTAAGAATGGAACGCCGAAGGATCTCCCTGAAAGGAAGGATATTTTGACTAATCTGATCAATGCTAAGCATCCCGATACGGGGGAAAGTCTGACCCAGACTGACTTGGAGACGGAGGCTTTTGGCTTTATGTATGTTTCTTTTCCACTTCTTTGCCTCACGTACCACCACTTCCTCGAAAGGAATCCTTACTAACTTGAGATACAGCATCGCGGGGACTCATACAACAAGTGCCACAGCGACACTGCTATTCTACCACCTCCTACATAATACCAATCTGATGAACCAATGCGTCACCGAGATTGACGAAAAGTTGCCCTCTCTCCAGCCCAACCAAAGCGCGTACTCAGTGACAGACGCCGAAGCCTCGTTGCCATTTTTGCGCAATTGCATAAAGGAGAACTTTCGAATAACCCCCGTCTTCACGATGCCCCTCGCAAGAAGAGTCTTAAACGCTGAAGGTGTGATAATTGCTGGGAATCATATTCCGTGCAGGGTAAGTCCGACTCCTAAGGGACCCTTATTAATGTCGGAAACTAACCTGGGATCGAAACAACCAGACCTCTGTCGCAGTCTGTAATCACGCATTCCATCATAATCCGGAGGTTTGGGGGGGCAGACCACAATGTTTTCGACCCGTCGCGATGGGATATACCCGGGGTGGCGAGCAAAGGGCGGCTCTTAATGCATTTTGGCCTCGGGGGTCGGCAATGTATTGGGAAGACTGTGGCTATGTCCAATATCTATAAGTTGATGAGTACGCTGCTGAAGGAGTTCCAGTTTGAATTGGCGGATGAAGAGGAGAAAGCGAAGGTACAGAGAGGTGGCTTCCAAGGGGAAATCCCGGAGATGATCAGTGTCGGTATTAGTGATCTCGCCTCGCCGCTGATGGTGAAAGCTCGGAAGAGAAATTAGATGATATGAAAAAAGGGTCTCAAGAAAAATCTATTGGAGGCATCTAGTTGATTGAAGAACATCTTATGGGTGGTATTCGCGGATTATTAGTCAGTATATAAGCAAAACATACGTCCCAAAATGGTCTGAGCAGATAATTCCACAATCCACTCAGGCTCATCATGAGCAGACGGATTGAATATTCAGAGCAGAAAGTAAAGAAAAAGTCGAAGCTGAAAACGCATCACTGCAATCCATCCAATGCGTATGTTGTGGGGATGCAAGGCAAGCTGAGTCGAGACTAGACAGAAATGCAGACCCGAACAGGGAATTAAATTCTTCATGACTTCTCGGAGCTTCCTGCCACTGCAGATCCTCCGGGAGAAGTGTGGAAGTGACTGGCAGTGCTGGCAGTCCGGCTGATACCGGGGGTGGGGGCCTTCTCCTTGGCATCGATGGCGGGGGAGGCAGGGGTCGTCGAAGCCGGGCTGCTGGCAGTTTCCTTATCCTTCTCGGCGTATACCGGGGGCTGGTTCTGGGTGGCGCTACCGGAGGGGCTAACAGCAGCAGATGGGCTGGTGGGTGCAGCAGCAGCAGCAGCAGTTGGCGAAGCTGCGGTTGGCGAAGTTGCGGTGGGCGATGCAAGAGATCCAGCGGTAGGGACAGGGCTACGAGTGGAATCCTTGATAACGGACCACCACTTCTCGGCATCAGCGGCCGAGTGTGCCTTGAAGCTAAGGTCGGTGGTGGTGTGGAATGCATTGCCAACCTTACCGCTGGACACATCCTTACCCTTGACGTTGAATTTCACACCATCAATGGCACCAACAATGGAGTCGGGCAAGTATAGAGACAGCTGAGGAGTAGGATCCTGGCGGAAGTCGTCATTGTCCTTGAACTCATGCAGGTAACGAGCTGGCGTGACAACGTAGTAGCCGGTGCTGTAACCCTTGATGACAGCACGGGAACGACGCTCGAGAGAACCTTCTAGGAGAGGCTGCGTAGATTTGTGATCCATGTTGGGGAAGGTGACACTCTCGAATGTGCGGGGAGGCGAGTCCGGGTTAACCAGCGTCGAGTCGTTGCGAACGACAAAGTTGACCCACTCAAAGTCAGGCGGGATGCGTTGCGCGGTGGCCAGAATCTCGCCATACATTGCTCGTTGGCGATCGAGCTGCGCGCCCATAATCTGGAAGAACTGCTCCAAGGCGCCTTGCAAGGTCTGCAGCACATGGGCCTCGAATGACTGGAATGAGTTCTGCACGGCGAGAATATCATTTCGGTGATTGTTCTCCTCGATAATTTGTTTGTTTAGACGGTGATTAATACCGCGCTTGAGGATGTAGGGGTCGTGCGCGGTCTCGATCTTGTTGCCGAACGAGGAATCGTGGGTGGCAGAGTTCTGGCCCAGCAGCTCGATGTGCTTTTGGGTCAGTTGGCGGGCCTTTTCAACGGCTTTGGCACCCTTGGCCGCTCCTGACTTCAATTCCTTGGATTTATTCTTAATCTCTTTGTGCAGACGTTCGAGGGTGGGGAGAACGCTGCCCTTGAGGTTCTTCTCGGTATCGAGGTACATGTTGACCATTCCCTAGTAACAAGTACACACCGGTCAGTCCTGTGCGGTAAAACAAGCCGATAACTGTTGGAACTTTACCTGAGAATTGTTGCGAATATTCTCGACCAAGCCTGCTACACCACCAGCACTGGAGCTGAAGTGGTGTGCCTCTTTCAATGGATCATTAACCGTCTGTTTAGAACAACTTGGTGATTAGCTTGGAGATTGCGGTCTCGCGTACGCGGCCACCGACCTTGAGGATTTTCTCGTGATCCTTCGACTGGGACTTGGAGATCTTAGAAGTGACGTTCAAATAGTCCTCCAGGTTTCCGCACACATGCTTCCACGCTCGTAGGCGTTCGATTAGGAGGTTGGTAGTCTGTCAAGGCATCAGGCCAGGTTAGCAGCCGTTGCTTCCCTACCGCGGGGGGGGGGTTGTATGGCGGGTCCGCGCGGAACCGGAATGCATAGGAATGGCCCTGACTAACCTGGCTACTATCGGTATCGGGGATGGCCTCATCGTCACTCATAGAGGTGCGACGGGTGAAGCTGCTGGAGACAGTCCCCGACCGCTGGGGGAGCTTGTGCTCAACGGGGCTAACCGGGGTCGACATGGCGGATAGCGGGGAGTAAGGGGAAACGGAGGAGGAAGAGGAAGAAGAGATCGAATCAGGAGGACACAAGGCTCGGAGCTCAAGTCACAAAGCACAAAGCACGAAGGTGTCACAAAGTAATTGTAGGGTGTGTCGATCGAGTCGAGCAGTTTATGGACAACTGTGGCTGTGGAGGTGGTTAGAACCGAGAGCGGAATAGAAGCACTAGTCTTTAGCCGGACTAGTGGGACGGAGGAAGAGAAAGAGAGAGACTCACCCCAGAGTGGGTCAGAGAAGGACAATGGAATGGAGGTTGGAGGAGTGGAGGAGTCGAGGAGTCGAGGTGTATGAAGTGGGTGAAGTGGGATGTTTTTGTGCATTTTGGGAATTTCCCCTGCGATCGGCGATCTTCGATGACCTCATTCTGTCCGCTCTCGGCGCTTCCAAAAAAATCCCAACATTTCAGCCCGATTGTCTTTCTCGATTTCTTATTCTTCCCTAATCCAATCTGATTTGTTAAAAGGAGGGGCACACGATTTCCGCCAACTCAAATTGTGATGCCGATACTCAGCCACGTACCTGTTTTCCCCACAGTCACCGCGTACCGCGTCCTTGGGTGGGCGCCACAGACGTGGTGGAGCCACCCAAGGTGCGGATCGTGAGGTTGCATCGGTCCTTGGTAAAGGCTAAATGGTGATTTCTTGTTTCGATGAAAAGTGGAAGATACTGCTAGGTATAGGAGGTTCCAGGTGATGAGTGATCTAAGTATGCCGAGACTGACCAGTGATATCTATGGCAGCATGAGAACAAAATGACCAATATTATACTAGTACTAATACCGGTTCTACCGATGCAAGGGCAACACACCTGGGCACATAAAATGACTCCCATTCAAATACCTAGGTGTTCATCAAAAAAAAAGTACTATGTCATCATCATCCGAGTCCGAGTTCTCTTCACCATCCGAATCCTGAGCCAAGTTCTGCTCTTTCTGCTGCAATCTCGCTCGATACTCCTCCAATGATCGCCCACGAAACAATCCTCTTTCGGAAATCCGTCGACCACTAGTCACCGCAGTAGGCCGGAGATTGACAGTATAATGAGACCAGATGGTATTAGGATTCTCAACAAATCGAGTATTGGAGAATGGGGTAGCTAAAAGTAACTTGAAAGCCGGCCTCAGGGACTCATTCAGCACAATCTGGTTTAAGATGAATAAAATCTCAATCATGTCAGCTTTCCAGATCTCAGATTCGAACCGATTAACACCATCGATGATGCAAATCACAGTGACGGTGTTCGGAAGTTGCTCAATCAGCAGCCGGAATATACTGCAAAGATCCTGCAGATGGTGTGACTTAATCCCTTCCGCAAATGCTCGAGTGTTGATACAGTCGAGATTCAAGTTGATACCAGAAAGGAGCAATTGCGCGATTAGGCTTCGAATCAACCAGTTCGGTCCCACACTTTGATGACTCTGGGCTTCGTGCAGACCACAGAAGGCGTGAAGAACGACGTAATCGGTGTTTTTTATGAGATTGAGGGAAAGAGTCGCAAACAATGCTGACAACACCGAGATACGGCCGGGACCGACCATTTGAAAATGTCCCTTCACAAAGAGTGTCTCGGGAAGAGGTGATTTCATCCATCCCATAAATTGCTCGGAGGAAAGTAGCTGCTGTGCCTGGGTTTGAGCGGCGATATCAAATTGATCCCGATGTTTGAGTATGCGTTCGACGTCTTCAATCGACTCATGAACTTGCACTCCGATAGCATCAAATAAATCGGTGTCAGTAAGAAAGGGCTGTAGGTATTGCGGTTGACTGATATATGAGCTAGCCAGGAATGGTGCCTCTAGAGCTAAGATCAGCAGGGTTATTTCCACAATGGGGGGAAGGGGGGGCAACAACACAACGTACCGGGGGGATCAGATCGAACGAACCCAAGAAAGAAGTTTTGAGAATTCACTGCATGGCTGTGCCGGATTTGTTGCTCTATACGGCTGGCGTCGAGGCATCTTTTCAGAGATTTCATATCTTGTCGAATATGTTCAAGTTGTTCTCCCATATTTTCCGTATTCTCCTGGATGATGGACCCTTGATCAAGAATCACCCTGCTATTCTCGTGGGTGGCCACAATATACTCATCGCGTACCAATTGCAAACAATCGCGGAACTTGCCAACACTTGTCTCTACATCACCAAGGAGCCCATCTATTTCTGCTGCAGATCGGTACGGAATGAACTTCTTTCCCAGTCTTTTGGCTTTTTCTCTAAACTTTTCTTTTGACCTGCTTGGATTAAGGGTTGTGATCAGGTATGCGAGGCAATGCGCAAGAATTTTGTAAAGATAAATCGCCTGGTTTCTGATTTTTGGAACCGCAGAGAAAACCTCTTGTTGCTTCTGAGTCTGAAACATCACATCGGGGATTTCATGCAAGGCGCCGAGAATCTTCTTTCGAATTTCTGCATTTTTCTTCGCAATCTGGAGACCCGTTTAGCTTCATTTTATAGGACATGGTGCTCTCAGAGGCTCGCTCTCGATCACATACGTTCAAAATAGCCTTTAGACCACCGGCAAGGACACTCATTCCATGGTCGTTAGGAATCAACTCTAGCCAAGGGAGGAGAGCATCCGCATTATTCCCAGCAAATCTTCCAGCATAACGATGGGCGCCAGCGATGCCTTTTTCTTTTTCATTATACCGACCATCTGCTTCGGCTATCTCAAGAAGGACTTCATCGAGAGTATAGGAGTCAAGGTCTAGTCGGTATTTCTCTTCGGTTGTTTTATTGTATTCATAAAGAGCGATTTGTAAATCGTCTTCGGCCTTACTATATGGTGAATCTGGAATTTCCTCGAACCAGGTTGTCACTTCGTTATAATGTGCTTTGACCCCCAAAGCCTGATGGTATTTATCTCCATTTTCCTGCAAAAATTTGGCGTCGAGGCCAGCTTCGTTTGTGGTAGATTTTAATATGGTAGAGTCTAGGAATCGCATTTTTGAGGGTGTCAGCGATTCGTACAAAATGTGTCAAGGTTGGAAGTTGGGAGAGGCTTCGATGAAAAGGGAGCAAGGATTCCATTTCCACCCTGGGGTGGGATAGGAAACACATCCGGGGCTGGGCAGTGCTAAGAATACCCAGGTGCCTCACCAGGAGATGGCCACCCTATGATATCCTTTGCTGACGCTCCTGTTCGTACGTGGGGGCGTTAATTTAGCGCCTCTAATTCGGCATGTTGACATATCCTGCTGACGGAGTGCAGACGGCGCCTGACTACTAGTAGTTAGTACGAGCGGTTAAGGTGCCTTGGCCATTGGTGTTTTGGGAATCCTTGTAAGCTATTTATGCACTATCCAGGAAGCTGGTGCATGTCCTGTGTGCCCAGGTGGAGATAGCGCTCTTCGGCGTTACTAGTCTTTGACGTGGCCCTCTCCTGTTGCTGTGCTTTTCATAGTGAGGGGTATGGGACTGAAAATCACCAGCCGCCGCGTTGAATACTATAAAGCGAGAAAGAAAGAAAGAAAAATACCTCTGGTTCACCCGTGGATACCCTCGATTCCTTCCAGTTTTCTCACGTTCCCGCATTTTACAACCCTTTCCCCTTGGTCGACCTTTTTCGTTATGGAGACTACAGAAAATGTCGATTCCAATGTCCACAGAAGCCCCCTGGCGGCCCTTGAGGATGCTCAGGCTGCCTACATTCGAAAGCTTGAGGATCGCCTCGACGCCTTGGAGAACAGAATGCTCAATATAGAGGAGGCTGGGCCAGGGAATGATATCGCAATAAATGAAAACGAATCCTCTATGGACTCTGAGTCCGACGACTCCATAAGCAGCGACGGCAGTTATGTGAATAAGAAAGAAGGTGTAGAAGCGAACCATCCACCTTTCCCTCCAACTGTTGCAGAGGTCCGAGGTGTGGATTTTGTTCAAGCCACTCATCATGTCTTCATGGCATCAAGTATACCAGCAATCGAGTTCGCAAAGTTTCCTGAAAAGGAAAGTGAAGAAGACACGAAACTCGCCACGTTTAAGAATGCTTTCAAGGATTTCAGCCCCAAAGAAGCATTAGAAATGATCAATTCAAATTATATGAAGCCCCATGACGTGGATTTGAGGTTGCTGTTCGACCATATCAACATTCTTTCGATGCCACTTTCTCAAATACTGTGGTCGATCTACTATGACAAAACCTTGCCACCAAATCAAATTGCCCGTTTTGTAAGACCATGGAGAGTATGTATCTATCATCACAAGCATGTTAAGAGAAAGCTTTCGGAAATGGAGAAAGAGCAAGAGCGAGCATTGGATTCGAAAGCTGAGCCTTCGGGCGAGATTTACAAGAACAGCATGCTACTGGACGAGCTCAGAGCATATGTACGACTGATGGAGGATACTGTCATGGAATATTATGCTACTTTCAAGACAAAGACAGCAGCAGACAACTTGAAAATTTACTACGTGGATATATGGCATTTGTTTGAGCCCGGGGAGATTATCTACTATTCAGAAGCCAAGGACGCACCTTCCAAGATGGACTACAGCAAGCTCGAGAGGAGTAAACGACCGGACCAAAAACTATGGAGAGTCTATTCGAGGCTTCGGTCGGATGACGGCTGGTGCGTGAAGGCATACTGCATTGATTACGATGGTGAATCATACGTCTGCGTGAAAGAGTGGTTTATGATTGAAAGTTTCGAGGGAAGGAAGAGCGTCAATTCTCTCAGGGTCTATCCCGTTCGATTCGCAACCAACGCTAAAAGGCTAATGGAAGATGCCACGGAAGCTGGCAGAGGATTTATAAAGAACCTAGATTCTAAACTACTGGGCCATGAGGGATGGACTTGGGTTTCGGATCAATCCTCTGGTACCAGCCTCATTTATGTATCCGGCGATGTTGTGATCGATTTTGCGGAAGCTTTCAGAGTACATCCTGACTGGAAGCCTATTCCTATGGCACCCGCAATCTACTATGGGGGTGGCTGGGGGACGGATAACGATGACGATGACAGAACGAGGTGGTACTGGACTGATGGTCACGAGCTTAAGTGGTTTCATCCTCGAGTGATTTCACTCTCTGATACCAATGCTCCGCGGCTCACCAAGACAGAGTATGTCTTGGAAAAGGACAGATTTCTATCATGGATACTTCAGAAAGGATCATCCGAGTGGACTCCGCAAGAGGAAGATCTATGTCTACTTCCTAGTAGGCCTTTCTGTTATTCACTCCAAGACAGAAGGTTTGTCGCTGTGGATGTCAGAAACCTTCGACAAATTGAAGACAACAAAAACAAATTCGATAATCTGATCATCAATCCGACTCATAAGGGTATGCTTCAAGCATTGGTGGAATCCCACTTCAGACGAAAAGACCTCGACGGGACTATCACCGTCTCTACGAATCAAGATATCGTTCAGCACAAAGGCAGGGGCTTGGTCATTCTACTACATGGTGTTCCAGGTGTTGGCAAGACATCGACTGCGGAAATGATTGCAAGTAGCTTCAATAGGCCTCTTCTACCCATCACCTGTGGAGATCTGGGATTGGATCCTGCGACGGTCGAGAAGTCTTTGAAGCAAATGTTCCGGGTGGGACAGCTTTGGGATTGTATCTTGTTGCTTGACGAGGCAGATGTATTCCTATCCCAGCGAATATCATCCGATTTGAATCGCAATGCATTGGTATCAGGTTTGTGAAATCTGCCTCAATCAGATTGCCTCGGTTTCACAAAACTAACTGTGTACAGTCTTCTTACGAGTCCTAGATTACTATTCTGGCATTCTCTTTCTCACCACAAACCGTGTCGGCACCATCGATGAAGCCTTCAAGTCTAGAATCCATATCAGCCTGTATTACCCAAACCTTGGCCTCGAGCAAACCGAGAAGATCTGGAAAGTCAACCTTGACCGACTAGAAGCCATAGAGGCAGAGCAGAGCGTTGCCCAACCACCTCTATCAATAGACCGCAAAGGCATCCTCAGATTTGCGAAAAAGCAATACGTGAACAGCAATTCCGGCAAAGGTGAATGGAATGGAAGACAGATTCGCAACGCATTCCTCATCGCCTCGGCGCTCGCGCACTCCGAGAAGACAAACGGTGTTCCAAAAGGCGCCAACAAGTGCGACCTTAGAGCCAAGCATTTCCGAACGGTCGCGGAAGCTCAATCTGGATTTGAAAGATACCTCTTTGAAACTACTGGCACGACAGATGAAAAAGCTGCACATGATCAAGGTACTCGAGCCGATCACGTCGTGTCGGCAGACGGCAGAGTCGCACCACAAACACCCGTGCCAACACCGGCACAACCTGTCCAACCCCCAATTCATCCAGCTGTTATGGCGAGTCAATACCCTTCTCATCAGCCCCTCACGCCTACGCGAAATCCCACGACGTATAACCTCTCACATTCGCCCAACAATGTGTATCTTCAGCAGCCGCACCCACACCCACACCCGCAGCCGCAGCCGCAGCCCCAACATTATGTCTATGGGCAAGCTCCGCAGGATACATTTGGTCAACCATCAGCCACAACAGGTCATCCTGTGCAATGGGCACTAACGCCGGGATCGTCTCAGCCGCAGCGGCCGCGGCCGCAGCCTCATGTGGCTGATTCGGATTCGGATACTTAGACGCACACGAAGCCAGTAGTATGCAATGAGATAAGAACGATGATGGAAAAAAAGCAGAAGTGAAACCTTGAAAGTAATAGTGTAAAAGTAGAGCGCCTCATGGGCAATAATTTCCGAAATTAAGCGACACAAAGTGTAGTAAGATACATGTGTCTAGGGTAAGAATGAATAAAAATCAATAAAGGGCATCTGTGCGTATCTCGTGGCTGCGGGAGTCTGGTTCTCGCCGCTGAGCTTGAATTCCCCTGAAAAAGCAAAGCGAGGTGTGGTCATGTCCCGTCTATAAGATATCCGATCCGTTTCTATGAAGTCCGAACGCCAAAACAAAACGAAATAAAGACGAAAGAAAAGACTTGATGCAGGTGGCAGACTAGGAAGGTCGGCCTGGGTAAAAATATGGATATGCAAAGCGTAGAAAAGAAAACAAGGTTCAGTGCCAGCACTGATTTCGCATGGGACTTTTCATGGATATGAGGAAGAGGAGAGAGAAGAGGGTGAGGTATGGAGATGGCGGTGGTGGAGAAGGGACGAAAGAAGCAAGAATATCAGGCTCTAGCGCGCGCTTGTACTAAACGGAGTCTGCGGGCCATGTCGTCAGCGTTGTTGTTGTGCGATTGGAAGAAATTTGATCGATTCACCTCTAATGGCGTTGTTGGCGTGGAAAAGCCACTGGGGCGAGCGCTGGTACGACCACTCCGAAGGTAGGCTTGTTGTGGTGACTGAAGTGTCGGAATGTCATTGGCCATAACCGTCTCGTAGCCAGGGAGCTGCGAGTCACAAGGGACAACGGCAGCGCGCACCGCGGTTGAGTAGCTAGGCACTCGGCTCAAAGTCTCAACCTCGGCATATTGTGGGTGGAATGGGGTGGCCATTCCGGAGGGAATTGCCTCATGGTCACCGTCATCAGAGGGTCGGCGGGACAGCTCTGGGCTGGCAGGAGTATGCGAGCCGGAGTTTGGAGCTGACCCGAAATAATCACTGAAATGCACATTCAGCTGGCGGGAGTTAGGGTGGCTCTCGGTTGGGGAGTCATGAGGTTCGTTGGGAGAGGGGCGGTTTGCGTTGAGATTCGTCAGGCGGGTATGCAAAGCAGAGGCTGAGATATCGGTATTCGTCAACGCGTTCATCGAGGCGAGGTTCTCTGCAGAAATGTTGCGACTAAGTGGGCCAAAAGGCGTTCCTGCCCCGCCGCTGCCGGGCCCTGGTGTCCGATATCCGTTTGGATCCACCTGGCTGTAAAGTTGATCGAATTGATGCTCTCCATATAGGGGCGGGGCTTGCTGGGAAACCTCATCGGCCGCTCGGCGGGCTTGTTGGGGCGTGGAATCGCGGATGTTGTTGTTTTCGTCAATGGCAATGTTCGGGGAAATGTAAATCGATACAGGGAGTGTCGCGCGCAGCTAAAATAAAATGTTAGGGTTGAAACGAAACTTCCGAGGGATTTCTCTTGAAGACCTACCTCACTGATATGCCCATCAGGATTGTGTAGTTGAATGCGGAACTTCATCTTATGGCGAATTTTGATACCCTTGGTGTCTGTATCCTGCAAGCACCGGGTGAGCGTTTGTGGCATGTCGAGGTATCGCGTGAACTGATATCCCTCGGCAGCCTCGTCAATGACTTCTAGACTTTCGTCTGCCAATTCATGCTCATCAGTCATGATGGTTCGGGTAATTTTGTAGGTATTCCGTATGGAGTCGGAATCTTCCGGGTTGAGGGTCAGATCATGACTCTCGATAAGCTGTGACGTAGTTTGTCCGATTCGGAGGCCCTTGAGTAGAGGAATCAATTTGAAGTCGACACGGATAGAGGTGCCGAAAACAACGGCCTTGGTGGGCGTGCTAATGGAGTATTCGATCTTGTTGGGCCAAATGTTGTCGACCGACTATTGAGGTGGTGAGTATGAAGTCAATCTGCGGCTCGGGAAGGGGGGGGGGATTTACCATAGCATGTGATAGCTCGAGGGCACTGGGGTCGAGTGTTCGGATGATGCGGAGAGGTTTCCGAGCCACGATGTCTTTGGCGTACTTGCGACCGATCTCGGCCTTGAACCGGTACATGACCCAGGTCTCGGAGAGGCCTTCGACACTCTCAGGCATGGAGCCCTCGAGTACGACATCGAAGGGGTATTCGTAATTACCGGCCGGGAGGATCTCGGTTTTGCCTTTGCCTGCATCGCGGAATTGCCAGGTTTTCTCGTAGAAGACGCGCTCTCTCCAGGATTTGCGGCCGCCAGCGGTCGAACTAGATGGGAGATGCCAGCTGCGATGAGTCAGTCAATCAGGTACTTTTTATCTGAACGTTGCCCATTATTTTTTCCGTCTGATTTTTTGGCACTTCTTCTCTCCTTTTGCAAAGGTAATGCGAATGGGGATCTTACCAGACACGCGACATGCCAGTGAGGTGCAGTCGCAGGTGTTTAATGGCGAGAGGCTCAGATAAGCAGAGGACCAAGGTCCCCTTTAGGTGAGCGCTGGCGGATTCATGTTCGTTGCCACGAAAGACAATGTAGTCATCGTTCAGACTGAAAGGTGTGTTAGCTCAAGAGCCGCAGCGCAATGCAGAACATGTAGATGCCGAGTCCCCCACTCACCGGATATCGAAATACTTGGCGTTGCTTGCGCTCCCGCCACCACTAAAAAAGCTGAGAGCCATTTTCTGACAATAAGCCCGATGCGATCGGGCGGGCAAGGAAGGGTGAAAGCAGTGGAAGTGGGAGATAGGAGTTGGGGATGGAGGAATGGGAGGAAAGGAGCGAGGGTAACACTTCAAGAAGAGGGGTGGAGGGGAGATTCAAGAAAAAAAATAATCAAGCCGCTATGACACCACCGATGGGAAATTTGCGGATTTCCAGCGACGGGCGATCTACCGGAAGATGTCCAGAATCGCAATCCGGTCCGACCAAACGGGTTCCACTTTGATGGTTCCGCTTCCGGCAGAGTGGCGATTTGATAGATTCGAGACGATAAGGGTGGATGTGAATGTGGATGTGGATGTGAGATTCTTCTAGGGTAACTACCCAGTAGGGCGGAAGTCGAGAGCTGCCAGTGTAGAGATGACTCGGAGTAAAGATGAACTTGAAGTGGTGAGGGAGTGGGTGATGAGCATTTACGTCAGCACTCAGCTGAGTATCTAGGCAGTTACGCACGTAGGCACACTGGTAAATATTAATTATATTAACTACTATCTATCTTACCTAGTATCCTACTCGGTTATATTGCACTCACTACCCTGAAGTATTAGAATCAAATGACCCTAGACTGCGGAGTGCCGCTATGGAGTGCCGTGGAGTGCCTAGGATGATGCCCCATTCTACCTTATGGTTATAGTTATAACCGCCAGTTTAGTTAAAGCTATTCACAGTTATACCTAGGTAGGTAAGGATAGTATACCCGATCAGCCCATCTTCAGCGTGGACATCCATTTTTGCGCCCATCACGCCATCCTCGGTATCGCCTGTCCCGCCCTTGATTACTAGTACTCCTTAACACATGCATTGTATGCACGGAGTACTCCGTATACTCTGTACGGAGTGTTAACTACCTAGGGTACTCTGCGATCGATCCTCTGGACGATCTTGTACCTGGCCTGCACAACATCCATGTTACACAACATTATCTTCCTGTTTGCTTTTTCCCTCACTCTGCATAGTACATACATGCATACATACTACTTACAGTATTCTGTACAGCAATGACACCCTGATAGGCTAAGGCTTCTTCCAAAACATCGAAACTCGGACTTAGCCCTACGCTGATCTGGTCTGATATGATCATCGTGATGCATGCGCATGTGCATGCACATGTGCAGCCAAGGACCAGGGATACATGGTACATACATGGATTCTGCAAACCCCCAAGCAGTCTGTCACGCAAGCGCAGCACTGCCAAATTCCTCCCAGAGCGACTGGGAATGTGCCTGACAACCATGTGGACAATACTATGCAACCACCCTAGTCTACCCTGAGATCCGTGCACCTCTCCAAGGCTGAATGCAGCCATTCCCCATGAATGAACCAACTCGGCGATGTGTTTGTTTTTGTTTATTGGTATATACTAGTAGTACGATAATTTTCCTATCTTTCTACTCTCACATTGTGATCCCACTTATATCTGTAATTACTATATTTTATTCACATCTTAGTTCCAGTCCCTGGCGGTAGCAGCGGGAGGCCCTCTGCAGTAGACGATCCGCCCAAGCCCCACCATCTCAAGTGTCAGCCTCTTCACCGGTCGCATATCCAGTCTTTGGGTCCCGCACAAAATGACGATGATTTGCTAGAATTGACGTGGGTGGTCGTCTTGACCTATGGATGGATTCCAACGAAGATAAGTTCGAGGCTGCCCAATGGACCCAATTCCACTTGCTGATGGGGCGCCGCGAACGTGGCGTTCGAGAGGTTTATCACATATGAAACCCTTGACAGGAAATGGTATGCGGTTTGCGCCGCTCAGCAAGCTAGACAGAGAAGCTGAGCAAGCCGATGATTCAGATTGGATAACCCTAAACCCCCCTACAGTTGCACTGCCCTGCCTCGCACTGGTCTAATCCTCGGGTCTCGGCCTGAATGCCGACCAACGGGGTCCATCGGGATGCCTTGAGTCTTCGGGCAATCCCGCTTCACCGGAATCCCGACCTCGTCCCGATCTCTCTGCCCGATACCATTGCGCGTCCAAATCGCCTTCGCACCTGCTCCTGACGATCAAATGTTGCTAGCCCGTTTCGCAATTTTGTTCCATGTCAAAGGTACGAAGCCCTGAATATTCAGTACGTATACTGATTCAACATCACACAATTTTAAAAGGATGGAAAGCCAAAAGTCTATCACTACATTTAGCATAATCGGCGTAAGAGCCATAGCGTTCAACCCATAATTATGACTCGATATTCCTCTAAAAGCAAGATTCAAGTGAATATACATATTCTTTCGACTGATTGCCTTTTACGGAGTCCACAAAATGCTCCGGCTATCATCGCAAGGTCCTCGACAGCATTTTCTTCCCGGGCCCACTCGTACCAGTAGATCATGGACGGTGAGCTCTTCCCGCCGGAGTCTTGTACTCCTGCCAGTGTCTCGACCATTCTGAGAAATAAAAACTAGATCCAGCAGCCGGTGTGGCTATTGAGGTTCCAGAACCACATCCTGTTTCTATCAAAGCGGGTACAATCGCATCATTGGTGTTGCAAAAGCTAATATTGTGGAACCTGATTGGCGCAAGACATACATATTTTTGCTTTCTTTGAAGCTTCAATTGAGATAGTTAGCTGGTCGTGCAAAAGAACTTCATGTGCTTCGCGAAACACATCGGGCACCCTTTGTTAGGCCCTCGGCCTAATCAGTCATGCCACCACCCACCCCTGCTGTTGTCAAGCCTAGAAAGACCCGCTCGGCAGTTCCGACATTTTCGCCGGAGAAACGCTTGAGGCAAAAGGCGAGGGAAAAAAATACTCGAAATAGATCGAAATAATCCCGATTCGTTTCTTTAGCCAGGGTTGGCCAGCCTTATCAGCTCGGTTGAAGCCTTCCGAATCAAAGATAGCTATGCAATAGCTATGATGTGACAGCCACAGCCAAGACCCAAACCCCTGTGGAACCACCAAAGAGAAAGGAGAGAGAGAGGGTCCTTCCTGATCTTTCTTGCCAATAGCCGCCCAGAATTGCGGCACGCTCACAGAGAACAACAGATCTCTAGACCCACGGCGGACTTGCTAGCAGGATTTTCCCCGATTGGATTGGCAACGGCAATCGGAAGGCGAGAATCGGCGCCTTTAGGAAATTAGATATCGGAGAAAATGCGAGCTCTTTGGCCTTTCCGGCCCCCTGCTTGGCAAAAGGTCGGCAGGATAGTCGGTCGCACCCTTGTTCTTCCTAAGCTATGGTTAATTTTGAACGCTCGGTAGATTAAGTGCCGAGGGCGGCGAGGGCGGAAAAATGGTGTTTCTGGTGTTCTCCGATGATCGACGGTTGTTTTCTAGACGCTTTCAATTTCCTCCAATTGAGGGGGATCGACGTCTCCCTGCCAAGACCGGCGGGATAAGACTTTTTGCGCTGCTGGTTTGTTGTCTGGTGTTGTTGCACCACATTAATTGAAGTTTCCATAGTACATACGAATAGGAATGGTCTGATAGAAAATGATTCTGTAATATTTTGCTTTTTTTTATTTCACGAATGAAAATTGTTTACAAACAACAATGAATCTAGCATGCATCTATGAACTTCCCAAAGACAAAAACTCCTCCGTATATGCATTAACCCGTGGACAAAACAGTTCAAGATAAGACTCCACCAACTTGAAGTCAAAAGAAATACAAAAGTCACATCTCATAAAAGCGGCGTAGTCCAGCTCGGCTGCTGAAAACTAGGAAGACACTTGACCATAGGCGGAGGCGCAGACTGCCATTGAACAATCTCATCCTGGGCCAGACTCGGTCTAGACTGTTCGACATGGTCACCAACATAGCCTCGCATCATCTTGGTACCAACAGCCTCCTCATCAAAGTATGCGACATTAACCGCAGGCACAGCCAGAACTTCCCAAGACCCTGTCGATACAAATTCTTCGCCAAAAGCGTCGGCTCACCCATGTAACACTCACCAGGGTCCGAGGCACGGAACTCAACCGTGTCATCAGCAAACGACGCCGCAATAAGGGCAGCCATCCCGCCCCGGCACGAATATATCTGGAAAGGCTTGTAGGCCTCCAATCGCTGTCTAGCATCTGGATCGCTCCAGAACAGATCCTTCGCGTATGTCCACGCGCCGTCGTGCGGGATTTCAAAGAACGTATCGCCAACCAACGAGCGCGATACCCAAGCGTCATAGAACGCCGTGCCGTTGAAGATCCAATCAAATGCACAGGTCATATGCGCCTCCCGGTTGACGTGCTGGAAGACCAGTTCGAGGATATCTTCCGGTCACAGCGCGATATCATTGAAGAAGATAATGACTGCATCCGAGGCGTATATTTCCGCCAGTTTATCGCTCGATTCCGACGAGGTCGTCGATTTCAATGGGCGGAGCGCCATGTTTCGTAGTTCGGCCAATGCTTGGATACGGTTTGCGCCATGCATTGGATCAATGTCGCTGGATGATAGGAAAAAAAATACCCGCCCATGGTTTCGATGCGCTTTTTGAGTTCGGTTAGGATCTCGTAGGTTCCGTCTGAGGATCGGCCTTCGATGACGGAGATAGCGCAGCTTTCTGGGCCGAGGAAGCGTATCGTTTCTACGATGCTTCTCATGGGTCGCGAGGTGACCGCGGCTGATTGGTACAGATCCAGTGCGAAGAAGTATCCGATTTTTCCGTTGTCTCCGTGTGTGGAACTCAATTGACTGTACCTATAGGAGATCTCTGATGGGCAGGAGCTTCGATTGAAGGGCACATCGTCTTCGAAGTCGAGAATCGAACTCACATATCTCTCCACATCCTCGGATGATATGTGGACATTCGATGGTTTGGGTCCATTTTCAGATGAAGTTTCATTTGGCGCTGTCGATGGTTGTGCATTGTCCGCCTTGATGACATCTGTTTCGTCAAATGACTGTCAGTCTGAGGTTCGTATTATAATTGAAAGCTGTTCAAACTTGCCGTCATGAGAAATGATCCCGACAGCTTGCTTCCAGCGCGGCTCGAAGTCTTAAAGTCGTGTCGTCAGGAACCCAAGTCCAAACGTGATGGTGGCCGCGGCCACCAGGACCTGGTAAGGCCGAGGCCTCATATTGACCGTCAAGTTTCAAGGACACCACTGTTTGTTGCGTTGGGAAACTAAGCACTTCTGGCGGTGTTTACATCGAATGTGACTGCAGTCCTCAGTCCCATCTTCAAAGTTGAGGGGAAATGGAGTAAAGCCAGACATCAGTGATGGAAATCCCCACAAGGAACCCTGGAGCAACAAGTAAGCTTATTGCCGCATCCATTTTGCCATCGACTTCCATGACACTGTCGATAAATAACTTTTTATAGAATTGGCCGCATTGGGTGAAATGGAAGACCGCGCGGTGAGTTTTGGGATGGTGGATGAATGAATACAGGACGAGCATTCCAGCGGGACGGTTGCCGAAAACGGAATTCCTGGGGTTGCGGGGACCAGAACACTACATCAACTCCACCACTCCTCAAAAGTTTAATTTAGAAATAGAAACTCCAGTTAAGCTTTTTCGCACTGGATAGCTGGACCGTTCTGGGCACTCGGATTTGGGATTTGGGATTAGACCCAGAAACCTTGGAACCCAGGTATATCGACTGTTCATACACGAAGCCCCCATGATTTCGCAATCCCAGGTTATGCATACAACCGCGATCGGGAGTTTGGCCAATATTGAAGAAAAAAGAATGCGATTCAAGTAATAATAGAGGCCACTGACGGTGGAAAGGATTATGTTCACTCTAGGGAGGTAATTTCGACAAAAGTAATAGGACGGAATCAACAAAGCCGACTCCTTCAGAACAATGCAAGCAAAAAAAAGCATTCTGGCTCATTTCTGAACGATGGAAGTGTCAAAAATATCGAAGAGGACAGGTCGTAAAGCATCAATCGAGGTGGAAAGGGTCCGAGGTATGAATCCACGCCGCCAAGAGCCTATGTCCGGTTTGAGGGCTTCTGAATTCATGTGAAGGTTTTATTGGCAAGGTGAGCGAAAAATTATGGTCGAAAATAGGGTTATAGGTTGAGTGGGCTATGCAGAGCGTCCATCGAACAGTCGGGGCACCTTGAGCCAGCAATAGTGCCCATTATCGATCTCGTCGTGAATATAGGAGACACTGCGGAGAGGGTATGGAATAACCATGGAGAGGACTTTGCTAGTGTCACTCCCTCAGAAGATCCAGCCCAAAATAAGATAGATGGCCGTACCGGCCGCGATGACGATACCTGCGACCTTGAGCACGGCGGTAGTGTCGCCTTGTTTCGCCATTCTGGTCAGTCGGGAGGCACTGCCTTTTAGATTCGTCGAGAAGGAGGAAAATGCTTCACTCTAGAGAGATGAAAGCCAGTCAGTTCTGCTCTTGGTATAACGATCCGATCTGTAGGGGTAGGGATGCAACGGCACCCTGGCAAGGCTGTTGCTCTTTGGAGGCTTACCGAGTTCTCGATCATATCCTGATCACGGGCCTGGTCGTGAATATCGATCGTTACCGATCGCAAGGCGGAGACCTTGGAGGAGAGAGAGTTGAGGAGCGCATTGTTCTGCCTGAAAGGGGCTGTTAGCGAAAGTTGTCTAGTCGGTGCCGCTCCGGGGGCGACTGAGGAGTCTCGGAGGTGACAAGACAGCTTGCAGAGTTTCATAGCAACATATGGACACATACTGTTCGCGCTCATATCCTTCGCTCATCTTGATGGGTCGGATGTGTATCGGCAGCCTCTTTCTGGGCGATTTAATATGCTTGCGTGGCGCTGGTGAAGATCAAAGCAGGCAAGGTGGCTCGGCCGGGGTTGACGAGGCCGCCTCAGCGATAGGTCACGTGCTCTAGATCTATACAGCGCGATGGTGAACTAAGAAAAAAAAGGAAAAAAATAACAGCACGCAGAGGGGGAGAGAGAGATATTTACGAAACATAATATTGGCAAATTTGAGTCATTTCTGTTTTTCATAAAGATAATAATGATTGAATATTGACCTTACTCTTCAATTGTGTCGTGAATGGTGTACAAAAGTTGCGCGTAATCAGCCATCCAATGAGACCCAACTTCGTCTAAAAGACCAGCAAATTCCAAGATGATACGCTTAGCATGTCTGGCTCCAGGTTGATAATTTTTTCCATCCATAACTATCGGGCCACCAGACTGAATAAATTGAAGGGCTGTATTTTCAGAGTTTAGAGTTGCTAGCGGTTCAGTAAAGCCCTCTTCCCCGACGATCTTCCAATCAATACCGGCATGAGACAAGTCAAATGAATCATTCTCATCGACGGGTGAACATTTGGATGAGAGTTTCTTGGCAAGAAGATAAAATCCAAGAACCATCGCCGACATGAACAGAGCTCGGACGGACTGGAATGCCGTTCCATCAGCGGGCTTGCGATGAGATAGTATCCGAAATGTCTGAGCTGCATGAATACATGCCCGTCGTGAAGCTGCTGTTTCTGTCCAGGTTATCAATTCGTGTCGAGCCTTATTCATAGCACTGGTACCATCACGACCAGCAGCTCGCGATAAAAGATTGTTATCCACGCAGATAAGCATACAAATGCAGTGCCAAATGACAATGCAGTTTGGATTTGATTCGCCGAGCGTATTCTCGTACTCGTAAATTATATTGCTTATTAGAGGCACGCCAATACTCGCTCGCTTGTCAAGTCTGCAAACCCTCCAGGGGACATGGCGATGCTGGCTCGATGGCAGTAATTCGGATTTTGTAAACAATCGATTTATATCATTTGAGATTCGAAGGAGAACGGCACAAAGAATGCCATACATTGAAAACGCATGGATCGGTCCATCTAGCTGAGGAAGATGAAATTTGTGAGGTGATAATTTGAAAACATGGCTGGTTTTTGAGTGTTGAGCAACGAGTTCCGCCCATTTACTATGGTGATTAACTCGATAAATATTGGGATTTGCGGGTATCGTAAGCCTTAGGTTATCTGGCCGAATGATTGAGTTCATTGAGAAGAGCTCCGAAAGCCAAGAATCGTGAAGTAAAAGACCAAGGATTAGGCTGCGTTGTCAATCAGTCAGACCTGAACGAAGTCATTCGAGTTGGATAGTATAGGCACTTTTTTGTTGATTCCACCCGAGCCCATGCTTGCCACCTTGAAACCACATCTAATGAGGACCCAAGGATAGAATAGTCCACCTCATTCACGGTCGAACAGAATAGACCAAAGTGACATGCCGTCTAGAAAATTATCAGCCCTAGATCCCTGAGACAACTGGGATGGCATACCGAGAGAGCATAAATATAAAAGGCTCTAGACTTTTCTCTGCAAATGGTACCCTGCACTTGAGTCAGAGCTGTAAAACTTGGAACCAAAATCAAGAATAAAAATTGGCCACCCACACCCGTCGAAAGAAAGAGGAACAGAACATGATGGCAAAGGACTAGGGTATCCAGAATTTCGGTCGGTTTCTGGTATCTTGAAGCTGCAGAGATCAACTGCGTAAAAGCCTCGCCCAAAACATACTTTAAAAAAGATGGAAAAGTCAGTGCTGAAGTGTATAATGACAAGGTCACGAAAAGCAGCATTCTCACTGGATACGCCATTCGGATGAAGGTAATAGCCTCTTCTGTTTTTAAGAGCGAAACACCAATCATACACATCGTGAACAAGAGTATGTCTGAGACCTTTTCCAAGTTGAAGGTCGGAAGATGGGCCATCGGGTAGGCCGGTTGGTATTTGTGTGTATAAAGATAAAATCCTTGGTCGAAAACCTCCATCGTATTTCTACACAGAGAGCCTTTATCACAAGTCACATTGTCATCAAAAAAATTGCTGCAATGACATATTAAAATGTTCTGTTTGAGAGTCTTGAGACGTTCCTTGGCAGCATCTGTAAGATTGATCTCGGTTAAAGGGGACTCCTCAACAGAATGCGCGTTGTCGCTGCTTATAGGAAATACATCCGTCGACACAGGAGAGCTGTCGAAGATGTTTACCGTCGATTTCAGTATAATTTCATGCCACATATTTTGTTCCTCCGCTTGTCGAACACTAGTTGGCCAGGAATTCTGAACTTTTGATGTTGCTCGAACTTGACTGTTCGACTGGGACATCAGCTCTCTCGTATATACAGAGGATCCAAGGGCGTTTCTCAAAATTGGAGGCATCTGGTCGCCTCCTGAGTAGCCTTGGCTATAATCGATAGGTGTTTGTGAGGGAAATGGCAGCGCAAGAGAAGAGTCGAAGAATATGCTAAAAGATCCGTTTGGATCTACACCCAACGCAGTGTCTCGGATACCGTCCAATTGTGTCCCTGGAAAATTCAAGCCGCCGAGTATTTCAGTGGTGGCGATTGGACTATTAGACCCGTCTCTGTCGGTTCTCAAAATACCATCGTCGGTATGGCCATCCATGTTCGGCTCGGGAAAGGGTGGAGGAGGTGTTTGATGAGACAGAACTTGGAAAGGATGCGGCTTATCCTGACCATCAAGTCAACAACAAGGGTCATATTTCGTGCCAAAATTGACTAAGGTAACCCACCGAATATTTTGTGTGATCGTGCCCGGCATGGCTCCGGTGATGTCGGAGAAGAACATCTCTGAATTCTTAACGAGGGCATCCAGACTGTCGTAAAGATAACTCACTTCCGAGCAAAGCTTTTGGTACAGGTGGAACATTTGTATGGTCGCTCGCCGGTATCTGTTGTGAGTTTAGATTTCTTTCTTCTGGAGAAATAACGATAGCAATCCCACGAACAACTCACGAGCCAATTTGTGGCGGTTAAGATGTTCCATTTTTGAGAATGTCTTGTCACATCTCGCACATGAAATCCTTCGCGCCATTGCTCCAAAACTGTTTCGCCAGGTTGGAACGCTCCATAGGTGATGCTGAAATTGTGAAATTGCGGGGAAATTGCCCAAGGGTTGATGATCTGCGGGGTTGAGATTCGCATGACAAGAAAGGCTTAGACTGCCAGTGGATATAAAATAGTGGATGAATCTTCTCCCGGCTTTGATCACCCGAGAGTCGATTTGGGGATGAGTCATCCTCAAGAGTCTCAGGCTGGGTCAGAATCTATTTGCCTTGGGACTCCAGACACGAATAAAACTATAATAACTTGAATTACCCTCAAAAAAAAAACAAAAACAAAAACAAAAACAAAAAAAAACTTGCTCAGAAAGCCTAAAAAAGCAATAAATACTTGTTTCCAATCCTCACCTAGCTCTGATGTCGATCCTTCGATTACCCAATGAATTGCTTCTTCATATCGCCTCATTTCTACTCTTTGATTGGGACATCGCCTCTCTTCTGCGGGCAAACCGCCGGCTGAAAGATCTCCTCGAGGTACCTCTCCTCCAGAACAATTTATCTGAACATGGGGGCTCGGCACTACCCGTATTCGCCAAAAATGGTCGCAGATCGGGCGTTCAAACCTTCCTAAAACTAGGAGCAAGCGGATACGAAGTTGATTTCAACTTTCGTACCGCGTGGTCCTACGCAGCCGAGAACGGGGACTTCGAAACCTGGCAAATGCTTCTGGACCATATGCTGTCCCTTGGTCGTGAATTGGATTTGAATATCTCCGACGAACGTACCCCACTCAGCTGGGCAGCGGAAGGCGGTCAACTCGAATTCGCTCAATACTTAGTCCAACTTGGGGCAGATGTTAATTCAAAAAGCATGGAGAAGCGGACTGCCCTGAGCTATGCAGCCCAGTCAGGGCACTTCACGATCGTTCGGTGGCTGCTTGACCAAGGGGCCAACACACAAGACTCAACTCAATCATCAGACATAGATGGCCTCACACCTTTGCACTACGCAGCTTTTGGAGGGCACGAAGACATAATGGGATTCCTCATATCGATTGGTGCAGGTGTTGACCAATCGGGGCTCGACTCTATGGACATAGGAGCGCAGACACCGTTGATGGAAGCAGCTCGAGGGGGGGCAATATGCAGCGGCGAAAATGCTTCTCGAAATGGGTGCAAATGCAAATGAAGAGGACGAAACAGGAATGAGCCCATTGCAATATGCTGCGCGAGCAGGCGTTGGTGAGCCTCTGAGACAGAGTGATTATTTTACTACTAGCAGAAGCGACCAGCCAGGTCCCGGGTGGTATTTTGATGGAACTGGATATCAAGCACCCCACAAGTCTGGGGGATTCAGAGACTATCTCGCCATTGTGAAGCTATTAGTCGCTCACGGTGCCGATCCCAACAAAGCACACGACGACTATTGGAGGGAAGCTCAGGGAGGTCCTCTTTATTGTGCGGCATGGTCGGGTGCGACTGAGATCGTCCAGTTTTTGATTGATGTGGGAGCTGATGTAAATGAAATGCGCTTCACGCTAAACACTACTGCGCTTCATGCTGCGGCGCGAAATGGCCACCTTGATGTGGTTGGAAAGTTACTCGTCAATGGCGCCAATGTCAATGCGAGAGATTTGGTAGGACATACACCCTTGGATCGCGCGAAGTTCGCTGCAAAACTGGTTGATGAAGGTAAAAATCATCACAGATATGGATGTGTCTGGGATGAGAGAACTATATGTCTTTTCGAAGCAAATATTCCAAACTATCATCGGGTGGTCGAAATGCTCATTACCCATGGGGGTGAAGTCGGAAGAGAGGACTTCAGACCGTGGTAGTACTACTACTAGTATTAGTCACTCCCTACACCCATACTAAGTTTATTACAAATGTTTCCTCTAGAATCCCTAATGAAATCCTGCATGTATATACCCATTTGTGACATTTGCCTAAATTAAATCCATGGATGTACCTACTAGTAGATAGAAATCCACTGAATATGTAAGTATTCAGATGTTACCTATGTAGAACATGAAATAATTCAAGTTTAGATTTAACTACCGGCTGGGCGTAAATTCAACTTCCTATTCCTCATTCACCTTTAAGTTACAGTTATCATTGGAATTACTGAAAATTCAACAATTGATTTAATTGGGTGTTTGGTTATTTTGAATGATTGGAGGCTGAGCTTCTATTGATGCTCTTGGGGCCTCAGCCTGCAGCTCAGGCAGCCGTCACCTGTATAGCTTCGCTTTCATCTCTTTCGGTCCTGCGACTTCGTTTTTTGCACGTAGATGTCAGAGTGCAGCTATTGGAGAAGAAGCTAGGCACATCAAAAGTGGCGATCGGATGAAAAGAGCTATATCTAGGACGCTGCCTGAGGCGCGGGTGCCTAGGCAACCTTAGAACCCACCCTTAACAGTGAATCGATAGATAGATATTGCGAGAGCCCTGGGATTCTCCCCTCGCCCAGCTCATCCATCCTGCTTCCCATTCCTCACATATCAGTTGCGGGTTCTGAAGAAGATGTGAATCTCGTTCAGAAGCTGGTGGATTTCTATCTTCAACACTCTTGGACTATAATTATTGCAATTATACCAGGTACTAGTGGTGTTGACACCCAGGGCATTATCTAACGTGCGAAGCGTAATGATAAAGATGGTCTCCGGACTGTCGGCATTATTACCAAACTAGATCTTATCAACGCTGGTACGGAGATACGTATTGCTTGGCTTGCCAATAACTGCGACCGCACCACACTCACCCTTGGCTTTTTCATTCTGAAAAATCCCGGTCCGTGGGAGCTGAAGGCTGGCATAGGTATGACCATAGAAGAGTGACTTAAGATGGAGCTGGCATACTTTTCAACCGATGTTTGGAAGAAAGAGGATCTGGATTCTTCACGAGTGGGTGTCGATAAGCTGCAATCTTTTCTGGAAGAGATTCTGGACAGTGATATTGAGTGTGAGCTACCGAAGGTTCGTGAGGATATACGGGTTCTTTTCCGGGAGAAAAAGAAAGAGTTGGTTGAGCTTGGAGCAAAATAGAAGTCTCCAAGCCAGATACGTTTGTTCTGGCACAGATCGCCACTAATTACTACAATCTTATTCAAGCTGGTGTTGAGGGATTATATGGTAGTTGTGGTGTAAGCTTCTTCGAAATACAAGAAGGATGACCCTCAGTCTGGCTTTGAGCTGCTATCCATATAGAGAATGAAATGTTCTCCGATTATATGAGACAGTATGGTGAAAGTTGAAAAGTCGTCTTATCAGGCCACCCAGATGCCTGAAAAGAGAATTGTGGTCAGTATTTTGTAATAAATAAGGCGATGATTGACTGGATTTGATAGGTATAGCTTGCTGCTTGTGAGATAAACTTTCCTTGATACTAAGCCACGCAGGTATATGATCAAACGCGGGGCTAAGAGTTACCTGGTAACTACAATCAAGCTTTCCTTGTAGAGTCATTCCACGTTCAATCATAGAGATGGGCTGGGATTTCTCGAAAATATATTGTGGTGGTCTTGAAGATTGTTTCTGAGTTCGTTAATTCCGTGCTAACGAAGGCTATTAAAGATGGTAAAATTTGTAAGAATATTGGTCGCCTAGTGAGTACTATGCTGGAAGCGAATACTGAAGTAGTGGGGTATGAACTTGAAATAATACTTGAAGGCTGAAACCCGACAGTCAATCACTTACAATCATTACTACACGGACAACATCTAAAAGGCAAGAAACGAAGCCTCGCAGAGCCTCATCGAGGAATCTTTGCGTGATGCGATCAAGAAGGATTGGCACGGTTGTCTTAACTTACAGAACACAGAAACAGACATTGCTAAACTGTTGTCATCCCTCAAGAAGTGTGTCACTGTTGATGTGAAGGAGCAAGCATCTGTTGAAGCGAAAAACGGCTTGATTGCTTATTACAGGATCAGCTCTATGTGTTCAAGTTTTGAGTGGAGCCCCGCGCTGATCATCTATCACCTAGGTTGCGCAGGAAACGTCTGTGGATAATATCTGTCGTCAGGTTATTGAGTAACATATTATGGTCAATTTGGCCGATATATTTAGTCCTATGACTATTAGCTTTCATTCGGAAGAGGAGCTTATCAACTTGGCGGTTAAGTTCCCGCAGATTGGCCACATTCGTTCGGATGCTCGCCGGCTTAAGGCTGCTCTAGAGCAAAGCCCCTGTGATATAGCAGGATAGGTTCAGTGAGTTTCAAGGACTGCTCCGGCGTGGTTTTTTTTTTCTCGGAGTTTTCCCACGTTCACTACGCAAATGCGGGATTAAAGTCTAATTGTTCCTGTATTTCTTGACCAATGATCATTTAACTTTATTTCATTGTTTCCACAAATCCCTTGAAGCAAATCCTCTAGAGATACCTGTGGACTGTAGGCTTCAAGCCAAAGCCTTAAGAAAACCATCTTCCACTCTCGTAGTCAAAGGTCATTTTAATTTACACGCTCCATAATTACCACCCCTGGACACGTATTTATCTACTCGACTGAGATTAAAATGGCCAGATGAAGCTCGGGGTCGGGGAGTACTTCGGCTACGAATAAAGACAAAAGACTTTAGTGGGGAGAAAGAAGGGAATTATACTAGCTAATACTACGTACTTGCGATTGAAAGTTCGAATATTATGACACCAGGCAATGTAAAGGATGAAGGGTGCGGTTGGTCTACTGAGCACGTCAAAATACCAAGGATGGCTTATTTGCAAGGATATGAGAACGTCACTCTCTCATCGGCTTAATATTCTGGACGCTCAGCCTACAAAGAACTACCCAGATTTATTACGTGCAGGGATGTCAGTCACAAAGCATCCCACGGACAAATCATATTCCAGGCTGCTTCTGTCCAGAGCTTCGCCCTGTCATGGTTATTATACTAGCAGCCAATGACCGCTAGAGCTCAGGTTCACTCGGCTGCAAGCCGGTCGGCTGTCGCCTAGCCCTCGCAAAGCTTTCGATGTCCAGGGCCGAGACCGCACGAGCTAACTCAAGGCGTGCACGAAAAGCCCGAGCTCTGGGGGTCAGAGATGCGATGTGATCTACCATAAAATCCACTGCGGGGCCCCTCCTTCCCCATCCACACCCCGGATTTGAGCGTGTGGTGAATGAACCTCACTTCTCACGGGCTACAGAGAGTGACGATTGCTCAGCTCTCTCAGCACTCTGCTTGCGGAAGCCAGCACGCTATTTTGGAGAACTTCCCAGTGGGATCATCAAAATCATGGGTCGCAAACTCGGCCTCTTCAGGGCCGTTTACTTGGTCTCAGCTAGCTGCATGGGTTCCTTTGCCTTTGCTTTCGACACTGGAATCATAAGTTCGTCCAATACCTTCGGTCTGCAACCCCGATTTATTCAGAATCACTAACTCGGCGCTTTTCTAATACAGGTGGCGTCCTTTCTTTGACATCGTTCCAGGAAGACTTTAACTACTCTCATTTCACCAAAGCTCAGAAGACTACCGTCAATTCCAACGCAGTCTCCATCCTCCAGGGTGGTGCATTTTTTGGATGTTTCCTCATTTCCCCAGTTGCCTCATACCTCGGACGTCGCACGGGGCTTATCATAAGCTCTCTTGTGTTCACATTAGGCACAATCTTGCAAGTGATCAATACGGGTACCCTGGGGACTTTCTATGCAGGTCGGGTCGTCGCTGGCTTCGGGATAGGAGCAGCCACGGTTCTTATCCCTATTTACTCTGCAGAAATGTCTCCCAAAGAGATACGGGGTCGACTTGGTGCTTGCTTCCAACTATTCTTTGCTCTCGGCGTCATGATCGCTTATTGGACTACCTACGCCGTTTCAAAGGACCAGCCTAATGGAACCAATCAGTGGCAGACGGCACTAGGCCTTCAGCTTCTGGGTTCAACTTTGTTACTTGCCGGGATGTGTACTGTTAAAGAGAGTGCCCGATGGCTCGCTTCAAAGGGAAAGATCGAACAAGCACGCGAATCGCTCAAGTGGGTTCGTGGTGGAGAGGAAACAGAAGGACTCCAGAAAGAGTTTGAAGAGATCTTAGCTGGCATTGAAGAAGAGGCCCGCGTTAAAGAGAACCTAACCTTTCGCGAATTATTCCTCCTGCGAATCGATACCGATTCTTCATTGCCATCACAATTCAACTCTGCGCCCAGCTCACTGGCAATACTTCACTGGCTTACTATGCTAATCAGATTTTCCAAGCGGTAGGAGCTGGTGGTTCAGCGAAACTTGTAACTGGTTTCTTTGGCCTCGTCAAAGTGTGCGGGGTTCTTATATTCCAGACTTTTGTGCTGGATCGCATCGGTCGCCGCGTCCCGTTTATGGTGGGTGCCTTTGCAATGGGTTCGTTCATGCTGATCATTGCCATCATCCTGGCAACGCATCCGGTCAACCCAAATGCCACGAGTCCCACCTCAGCTGGTATTGCCTGCATTATCATGACCTATGGAGAGGCATTCAGTTACAACATGTCTTGGGGTCCACTACCATGGCTCTATTTGGGGGAGATCTTCTCCAGTCGATCTCGAGAAATAGGCGTTTCCGTCGGCGCTGCGTCTCAATGGCTCTTCAATTTCGTCATGTCTCAGATAACACCCCATGCCATAGACAACATCGGGTGGCGCACGTTCTTAATGTTTTCTATCTTCAATTATGCTATCATTGGATACTCCTGGCTTGTGTTGAAAGAAGTAAGTCCTGCTAGTATGTCGCCAGGAAGCTTTATGATTGACATCGTTGATAGACATCGCAACACTCCCTCGAAGAGATGCAAGAAGTATTTGGAGGACCGAAGCCTGCGGAGAAACACGTGGAAGATGCGAAGCCGGTTGAAAGTCGCGTGGAGTCTGCACCTAAGCAGTAAGCATTTGTAAACGATAGCAATTTAGGCCGATGGCATTGAGTTCATCTAGTACATTCCTTTTCTCCACAAACACGACGCAGTAACCTCACTCCACCTAAAAAGTTTCGCATTAGCCGTCTCTAGCCTGCTGGTCTCCCCACGATTGGCTCGCTCCCCCAGATTTTGGTCCCGCGGCGGGGAAATAGCGGAGTTGGGATGCCTTGGCGTTGCATCGTCGAGTTTAGTCTTTTAGTCCTTTTTCTTTATGCCTCACTGTGAAGTCTCATCTCGCACGTTCTACCATGAACTCCATTTCTCTAGAACTTTTCTCTGCAAATTTACCCCATTTTCTTTCAATCACAACCTTGAAGGATTCGTTTGTCCAAGGGGCCTATCCTAAATAGCGTATTTGAAAGAGCCAACTCGACTTAATTTAATGCGACGCCACAAACTCCTTCGAAACAGCACGCATCCTGAAGTAGCTCTGCTGATTCGCTAGCTCCCTGTTAGAATTCCTTTGTACCCGGTACGGAGCACACGACACAACGCGGCTCTCGAAGTCCAGCGACTCCAGTTTTAACGCTAGCATAACGCCACCTATTCCCTGAAAATTCTCAAAAAACCAAAGGCTGCGAGAACTCCCACGTAATGAAGATCGAATCTGATCGAGGATAATATTGGCCTGACTGGCTTTACCTCTTTGTTCGAGTGAGTATCTAATTTAAGGCGACCTAGCCTCAGTCAGCTCTACCTCGAATGTCTCGCGCTGGTGGCATTGCAAATTCAAAAGGGTCGCCTTGGTCCTCGATCTAGCCAAGCCACGTCCAGTTATGAAGTGTTCTAATTACGCTTCGGACTTCTACAATTAGAATCGCGCCTCGGGACTTTCCTTCCCCAGTGAACCAAACCTTAAGTACCGCGCTGCTTACGACGCCCTAAAGAACAAGTCGGCCCTAAAGAACAACTCGATTCGCCTCCACAGTCAAATATTTTCTACTTCTTCTCTAGGCCCTTTTTCATGTGACATGGAAATTGATTTCAAACTGTTTCAAACGCCCCTTGTCTCCTTTCCTGTACCTTTTCATTTTGGTAATGAACTAAGTTACCATGACGGACCGAGTTGTGCGGCCTACCGATCCCGACGCTCTGGTCCTTGAGGCATGGGGTCAGGGATTGATGGTCGGCAGTCTTCTGATCATGGCTGCAATTACTGCGGCCAACATGAAAAAACACATTCTTTTGCATAAATTGATTCTTGCAGAGGTAAGAAAGCACCACATCTAGGTATCCTCAGGGGCACCGATGCCCAGAAATACCCGTGACCAACTCAACTGACAGTTATTTCGCAGCTTATTCTCGCAATGGCTCATGGTACATTCATTTTCCCTCATGAGCCCACATACGGCTGGTATCTCTCTGTGACGGCAATTGGGTTAAATGTTTCTTGGGCATTACACAACGTCATTTCCTGGATGAAAATCCGACCTTTTCTTTCGCGCAAAGTCTCAATCTTCTACATTGCCACTATGGTGCTGTGTTGGCCTTACTGGGTACTGGAGATATATGCCAACTTCACTTACTTTAATAACATCAACGATATTTTCCTCAAAACCCGACCGCTCGAACCGCTCTTTCGGTATGATACTACCTTATATCCAGAATCCTTTTTTCCATGATATCCCCTCGAATCAGTTCGGCTGCATGTATTCATGGGCATTATCGTGGGTTGCAATTCATCACTAATTCTCCAACAGAGACCCCTGGTGGGTTCTAACAGGCCTTTGCCTCTTCTGGACGATCAAGCGTGAATATAATTTCAAAATTTGGGAGCTCATAATCGTGAGTCCCAGATTTGGCGTGATGCTTGCATCAATGTTTCTCTCGATTGCATTTATTGTTGTCGATACTTGCAGCGTTCTCAATGCATTCAAGGGCTCAGATCTTCCCACGGGTGTGGAGCCTTTCTGGAAGGTATCAATCTCTGCTCTCCATACAACTCGCAATCAAAGTCTGGTCAACGACTCGAACATTTGCCGGTATATATATTTTTTTATATTTTTTTATTAACAGTTTCCTCTAGCTATCCTTTATTTTCAAGTGTTTGTGCGACACCGTTATCCTGGACGATTTCAAAACAGCACTCGATCGACTCCGAACATACTGGCTACGCAAACAAGCTACCGGCGAGGGATTTTACCCACTGAGTGAACAAGGGCAAGGAATAGAGAGGAGCGGTGATATCGAGTCAAGTCAGAGAAAAATTGTCAAGCACAAACTCGTGCGAACGGACGATCCTTCTCCTATTCCCCGAGCGCTTCTCAGTCGGAAAGATTCTCCATGAGTCCATTTATGGATTCATTAATATTCCTGTGCTTCATAGAAGAAGGTTTTGTAAATAAAATACATTTGCAGTGATACCGCCTGGGCACATCTGAGGTTGTTAGCAGCCTCGAATCTTGGTTGCACGTGCGAGTCTAAATGCAAAATAACAGGTGACGCTTGCAACTTGAATAGGAATGACTCGGACGATCACAAGAAGCAGGATACAGTAACTCACGATGTCGTTTGTTTGGACAAAATTTTTATACATGTGAAAGTCTGACACATTTGAGCTTCAAGTTTGTGATACCACCAGTGACTTCTTCAGTTTTATAAATCCCATAGAACTTCAAGTTTGTTCAACTAAGCTCATGTCAAAACATATAAGATAATTTTGGTATCTGAAAATATCTCTAGAATATTGAAACTTGCCCACTAGTATCTCATAGTTCAAGTTTTTCTTTGTTATAGGAATACATCTACTGCTAGTGAACATTGCTCTAGCTTAAACATCATTAACTTACTCGGCGTGTAAGAGCTGAGATCCAAACATAAATGGATGAGAAAGTGATTTAATTAATCAATGGCTGGCGACCAAGAGATGTAAACATCAAAATCAAAGAACGAAGCAATGGAAACATCACGTGAAGTACTTTATAAACCATTCATAGAGTGTGGCCTGACTCAACAACAAAGACTTGAGGGCCTGAGTAACATGACACACTGCGAGCGACTCTAGCTTCCGCTGCTGTATTTCTCTTTCTGTTGTCTCAAATTCTTTTCCGCAAAAGCGGAGTTCGCAACGATGAAGATTTTCAAGGTTGTGGAGCGAGTGTGACTCAATCTCTGGGAAGTTCTCTTCCTGCGATTGATCAATGATGGTAGCAAGCTTTGTCCTCGCAACTGCACCCGGACAGTGAATGGTTGGGGTGATCGAAGTAAAATTAGAATTTTGGAAATTGACTCCGATATTGCGTATCTTCGTATGGGGAAGAACAAACGTGCCGAGATCCTGGGGTTTGAGGTTATAAGATCGTTATCCCGAGCAGTAACAGGGTCTATTACAGCTGGTGTGTTTTGAACGTCTTTTCAAATGCGCTAGACCGAAATCTCTGCGACAAGCTTGATGCAGTGAAGCTTGGTAATAATAATACGAAGCTTCTTCGATTTTTGAATTGGTCAAAGGGCGAAATGATGGAAGTTTTTCTGTAGGTTGAGGGTTGAAACCTCTCTTAAGCCGTACGCGATAGTGGTTTCCACCCTATCTGGTAGATGAATAACCTTATAATTTTATTTTGATTCCCGGTAGGCAACTGTCGGAAGCGCAATACTAGCAGTAATTAGACGAAGAAGAGATGATGGGAGAGAGATGGTGATGGGATGAGAGAGCTATACAAAGCTGAGGCTATCTAGATATGGCAGTCACACGCCCTTGGATGCCTGAGGCACCCATACTCAACAGCAACTTGAGCCAGATACTAAATTATATTGAATCAAGTACTCGTGGTTATTAGTCGTGGCTTCCTTCAAGTTGTTTACCCGTGGCCGTAACTTCTGAGTCCTCGTGGATCGCATGCCTCCCCTGTCCATCCCCCTGAAAGGTGGATGACTATACCCGAAGAGAGCGGGGCCAGTTGTTTCCAGATTGACCAGATTGAAAGGGCTGAAAGGGTCGAGAAAAGAGGCAACAAGCAAAACAAAGCTACCACTCAGTGAGAGGACCGGGCTTTCAAGCCGGCTGAAAGCGGCTGCAAAGATGATACCGCCGTCGTTGGTAAGTCATTTGTGTTCGTTCAAATGCATCCCAAGTCCCGCCACCACGCACGAGCCCCTCGGAGATTTGGGCTCGGAGAATTACGCTGACCCACAGAGTAGTATATTGAAGTATCGTAAAGAACAACACTACCTGAGCGCATACCTAGATATCTACTAGTAGTACTGGAGAAATACTGTAATTCTCCGGCTTGCTGCAGAACCAGTGCATGGGCCCTGGGGAGCTACTAGTAAAACTGCCCAGCACCCCCACGCAATTCCTCTTTACTGGAAAAAGCACTGTGTTCCTTATGCACTATGATATCCTGGAGCAATCACATAATTGATCCACTGCCATATACCCCATAAGCTTCATCCCACGCGCCCCTCTAGCCACATGATATTCACCCCATTTGATGAAAAATGAACAGTGGAACATGGAAACAGTACATCCTGAAATCATGATTTCCAAATATAAATAGGGCCTCATCTCCCATCCTTAATCTTTATCCCAATCACACTTTCTTATTCTGATTCCAAATCACAAATTTCACCTTCCACCATGGGCTCGATCGACATCCCTAAAACCCAGACTGTAGCCCTAGTCCGTGATCTCGGCGGCCCGGTTGAATTCAAGGAAGACTACCCCGTCCCGACCCCGGGCAAAAATGAAGTCCTCGCAAAGATCCTTTACACGGGCGTTTGCCAAAGTGGTCAGTACTAGTACCAATAAACACGTTCTCCCGCCCTATATCTCAGGCAATCTTCAAGTTGGAACCAACAAGCATCTCACCAAATCCTAGACCTACACACCAGAGCTGGCACCGCAGCCGGTCCAGATGGCAACCCAATCACCAAAATCAAGACGCCCCATATCGGCGGGCACGAGGGAATTGGGCGGATTGTCGAGCTGGGCCCGGATATCACGCATGACACCGGAATTAAAGTTGGAGCGCTAGTTGGGATTCGATTTTCGAGTCGAATTTGCCGCCGTTGCGAGTTCTGTCTTGCTGGGACGGAGCAGTATTGCGTGCAGAGTACGAATCACTTGCATCATGAAGATGGGAGCTTTCAGGAATGGATTGCGCTTGATGCGGATTATTTGACTGTCTTGCCTGATGATTGTGATCCTGTGGTGATGGGACCTGTCTTGTGTGCGGGCCTGACGGCTTATAAGGTAGGTTGAGGCTGGCGGTTTCAAGGTTTGAGGGAGAAACTCTCGGCTAAGATATATTAGGCTGTTTTGAATGCGAACATTCGGCCTGGGCAATGGGTGGTTGTTGTTGGGGCTGGTGGAGGTCTTGGACACTTGGCAGGTATGAATATTTCCCTGAGATGCTTGGGTGAGCGGATGTTGATTTACTTTCTCCCCTAGTACAATATGCCCGTGCTGCTGGTGCTTTGGTAATTGGAGTCGATGGACCTGGAAAGCGGGATTTCGTTCTTAGTCTTGGAGCGCAAGAATTCATCGACTTTGCGAAGGAAGACCCTATTAAGAGAGTGCAGGAGATTACTGGTCTTGGGGCTCATGCCGCAGTCGTCACGGCCGGCAGTGCTAAAGCATTTTCGCACGCATGTGAGATGTTGCGAGTTGGTGGGAGTTTGAGTTGCGTCGGTATTCCGCCAGGTCGACCCTGTCTTGAAACTCCGATTTGTACGATCGTCATCAAAGGGTTGCGGATCACCGGTAACTTGGTTGGGTCATTGAAGGAGTGTATGGAAGCAGTTGATCTTGTTCGACGGGGTGTGGTCAAGCCCGTCATCAAAGTCAGGCAATTCAAGGACTTGCCACAGGTATATGAGGAGATGGAAAGAGGAGATATTTCTGGGCGTGTGGTTCTTCAAATTGCTCAGTGAGAATCTGTCACTTGATAATAACAGTTTTCGCCTTTCGAATTTGAGCCCATTTTATCTTGCTCCATATTGATTGTAAGGCCGGGGTCACAGTCGAGCTCCATTGTCAACAGTCGAGCTGGTGCCATGACGAGTACTTCCGCCGTTTTCGCTCGAAGAATAGAGTTTAGCGCCGGATCTTGCTCCAAAAAAGGCGAAAGTTTTTGATAAAGAGCATGTAAGAAGTCCTTCGGCGATAGCTGGAAGCTAGAGTGTGAACCAGTGGAAGTAAGAAGAGCAGTGTCCGCAAGGGAGTTCGCAACCTCGAAACATTTTAACAGCTTTATTTGATGTCAGCTCGTGATCCCCTCTCGTGACAAATTCTCAGAAGAATCTCACCTGATCCCGACCCAGAGGTAGCAAGTCCGTCTCGGAAAAGGACCGCAAAGAATGAAGCAGATCGCGGCTAACCTTGGCAGGGAAGCTAAAGGTCATCACACCTCTCGATTTTGAGGAAGAGAGTAAACGCATAGACAATGCTTTCTGCCATAAGATAGTTCGCATCCACTCCCGGGTGATATGGCAGTCAGCTGTTCTAGTCGAAATTTGATCGGCAAGACTGAGGCATAGCGAAGATAGTCTGTTCTCGGTCTCTGTAAGATGGACCGCAGTGGTAAGTTCGTTTCCAGATCTATGGCAGAGAGTAATTTGATCAAATGCAGTGAAAAGTCTCACGAGGTCCAATATCCCTTGAACATGAATATCTTCGGACGAGTCCCCAAGGCCTGTGAGTGGTGGTGGATCAATGCATGACGGGGATAGGCCGAGATGCATTGCATATCCTCTATTCAATATCAGCCAATGAAGCTGATCTTCGGACGAAAATCAACTTACCTCTCTGAAACCCACAACAGAGGGAAAACCAAGTCGCGATTATGGGTGATATCATTTTCAAATTCCTGGTCAATTGGAAGCCATTCTGGATGTCCTAGCGTGTCATCTAGGTCACGGTGAAGAATCCGCGCACCCATGGAAATCGCCTCCTGGATGTAATTCCACGCAGTGCTGCATTGGTTGACCTTTGCATAATACACGTGCAAGAAGAATGATACCAGAACATTGGTCAAATCAACATGCTCTTCATTTTCGGAGCATTGGGATCTGATCCGGAGGCAAATCCTCGCCATAACCGTGGAATCCACTGTCCCCATCACCGGGTCAAGCTGTAACTGGGCCATGGTCGCCGCGCATAATGCAGTCACAAGGCAGGTAATATTCGCCAAGGCACTATTTGTGTTTTCAAGCTCAACATCTTCCATCTGTTGAAGTAAAGCATTGGCATTGATCACTGGCCAGACACTATAAGAATGTTCCTGGTAGAGACGCACAATACCGGCGATGGTTTCTTTGGATATGCGAGCCGGGAGAGAAATGTCTGCAGATATACCCTGCGGCGTATCATCAACTGAGAATAGATGATTATATCCAGGCTGGGTATTCTGAGATAATTCTGGGTCCCGTCGGACTGCGCGTCTCACCTTAGGGCCTCTTCTCCGCGGTGACTTGAGATAGGTGCATTCAACCTTCTTAATGGAATCGCAGCAAGAACCACAGGGCCAGGATCCGCTGCATTTGATTTTCCGTGCAATACACGTATCACAGGCTCGTTTGGGAGGCATGGAGACTCGGGGAACTCTGGTAAGATCTGTTGATACTGGAAGTGGGGAGGGGTTGGAGTAGTAAGTAGTGACTATGCGGGGAAGAGATACAACTACACTACGTACATGTACTTCGGCAGTGGATGGAATTCGGCATATTGCCGATCGATACAGTATTGAGTATATACTAGTAGCCGGAGCCTGTCATATCTTGTGCCTTTCCTCTATACTACAAACTCCGAGTTACTCTCCTCTACTCTACTCTATTGCCACCTCTCTGGATCCACTTTGAAGCTGGGAAGGTCCAGACGGATGAGATATCATCCCGCGCTCCACTTGAATGTTCCAGTCCAGTTCCAGACAATAAGGCTCACTCATTCCCTTCCTCCCTCATTCTAATACTCACTTTCACTCTTCTCCTCTACATATTGCTCAATTTCAATCCTCACACTCAAAATCACCTTCACAATGGCTCTCTCTGCCCCCAGCACCAACGTGAGTCCCTCCCCTCTCCTTCCCCCCCACACTTCCATGTACAATTCTAACAACCCCACAGCCCCAAGCTCTCATCGCCCAAGAAGTAAGCCCTGAGCAGACCTTCACCACCTTCACCGCCAGCACAGCGTGGACCCTAGGCAACGCTCTCCGCGAACGCATCCTCTCCCTCCCCGAAGGAACCCGCAGACCATCCCTAATCAACATCGCCCTCGCAACCGCCACATCCGGCGGCCTCCCGCCACACGTCGTCTTCCAGAGCGCAACGGAGAGCGGCACGATCCCCGACAACGAGAACTGGGTGCGGCGCAAGCGCAACACCGTGCTGCGCTGGGGCGTCTCCAGCTGGGCGATGAGACAGAAGAATGTCTCGGCTCTGGCGGCGGGTGCGACGGCCGATGAGGTTGAGGCTGCGTTTGTGAAGAAGTTTGCTCTCGCCAGTGCGAATGGGGGTGCTGTTGCGGATGATTATGCTATTCATGGGGGTGGGTATCCCATTCGCGTGCGTGGGGTTGAGGGGATTGTTGCTGTTGTTGTTGTTAGTGGGTTGAAGCAGGAGGACGATCATCAGGTTGTTGCTGAGACAATTCGGGATGTCATTGCCAAGGGCAATTAGGGACGTGAAACTTGACTGCAAAGGGTAGAATAACGAATAGAACGGGATATACGCTTCAATCTATAGGATTTTATCTCTTCATGTTTACAATACAGCTGGAACACTACTGTAGAACGTTGGTGGAAAGCTAGAAGGTATCGTGGTATTTAGGCCAGCTCAAGCCGACTCAATGCGACGGGTCTTTATCCCGTGCATGACTAGAAACACAAGCAGAATAGAAAGAACTCCATGGATAATGCCTCAAAAGATAGTTTTACAGTTCGTCGTGGTCCAGGGGCTCATCATCCTCGGAAGGAGCTCCAGAGCCGTACAGCTTGCTGGTGATCGGGTAAGCAACACCAGAGAGCTGCTCCTTTTGCTCCTCGAAGTCCTCGGCGCTGGCGGTGGGGCCGTTGTCCTCGAGCCAGTCGATGGCCTCCTTGACAGCGTCCAGGATGGTCTGCTTGTCGTCCTCGTCGATCTGGCCACCCAGACCCTCCTCGTCGGCGACCTGGTTCTTGAGGCTGAAGGCGTAGTTCTCGAGACCGTTACGGGCCTCAATCTTGCCCTTCATGGCCTTGTCCTCCTCGGCGAACTCCTCGGCTTCCTGGACCATGCGCTCAATGTCCTCGGGAGTGAGACGTCCCTTGTCGTTGGTGATGGTGATGGATTCGGCCTTGCCGGTGCCCTTGTCACTGGCGCTGACCTTGAGGATTCCGTTGGCATCAAGGTCGAAAGCGACCTCGATCTGAGGAACACCGCGAGGAGCGGGGGAATACCGTTCAGCTCGAACTTGCCGAGCTGGTTGTTGTCCTTGGTCATAGAGCGCTCACCCTCGAAGACCTGGATCAACACGGTGGGCTGGTTGTCGGCCGCAGTGGAGAAGATCTGCGACTTGCGGGTGGGGATGACAGTGTTGCGGGGAATGAGCTTGGTCATGACACCACCAGTGGTCTCAATACCCAGAGTCAGGGGGTTAACATCCATGAGAACAACATCCTTGAGGTTCTCATCACCGGCAAGGACACCACCTTGGACGGCGGCACCAAAGGCAACGGCCTCGTCAGGGTTGATACCCTTGCTGGCCTTCTTGCCACCGAAGAACTCTTCAATGAGGCTCTGAACCTTGGGGATACGGGTAGAACCACCAACAAGAACAATGTCGTCGACATCAGCCTTCTTGACCTTGGCATCCTTAAGAACCTGCTCAACAGGCTTGAGGGTCTTCTTGAACAGATCGTTGTTCAGTTCTTCGAACTTGGCGCGGGTCAGAGTCTCGGAGAAGTCCTCGCCGTTGTGGAAAGACTCGATTTCAATGCGAGTGGACATCTGGGAAGACAGAGTACGCTTGGCCTTCTCAACCTCACGCTTGAGCTTACCCATGGACTTGAGGTCCTTGGTGACATCGACGTTGTTCTTCTTGTTGTAGAGCTTGACGAAGTGGTCAATGACACGCTGGTCAAAGTCCTCACCACCAAGGTGGGTGTCACCGGCGGTGCTGAGAACCTCGAAGATACCATTGTCAATAGACAGAAGGGAGACATCGAAAGTACCACCACCCAGATCGTAGACAATGATCTGGCGCTCCTCACCGACCTTATCAAGACCATAGGCGATAGCGGCGGCGGTAGGCTCGTTGACGACACGCAGGATAGTGAGGCCGGCAATAGTACCAGCATCCTTGGTGGCCTGACGCTGAGCATCATTGAAATAGGCGGGGACGGTAACAACGGCGTGAGTGACAGTCTTGCCGAGATAGCTCTCAGCGGTTTCCTTCATCTTGCCGAGAACCATGGCGGAGATCTCCTCAGGAGTGAAGATCTTAGGGGTCTGGTTCACCTCAACCTTTACATTAGGCTTGCCATCCTTGTTGACAACCTTGAAGGGGAAGTGCTTGATGTCCTTTTGGGTGTCCTTGTCCTCGAACTTGCGACCAATCAAACGCTTGACATCGAAGATGGTGCGGACAGGGTTGGCGGCGTACTGGTTCTTGGCGGCGTCACCAACAAGACGTTCCTCATCGGTGAAAGCGACGTAGGAAGGAGTGATACGGTTACCCTGGTCGTTGGCGATGATCTCAACCTTGCCTTGTTGCATCACACCGACACAGCTGTGGCAAGTTAGCTTGGTTTCTACTTGGGGGGAAGAGGCAATTGCAGGGCACAACTCACGAGTAGGTGGTTCCCAAATCAATACCAATAACACTGCCATAATCTTCAACCTCGGTGTCGTTCTCGGCCTGGGCACCGGTACCGAACAGGGCCATTGGGGCAATCAGAACCAAAAGAAGGTAAAAGACGGTGGTCCAAGTGAAAGACTTGGACGCGCCGACGCTACTCCTCGAGAGGCGCGCCATTGTGAAAGATGAAAGGAAGAATCGACAAAAGCACACTTGAGTGCGTCCTCACAGTTGTCGAAGTTATCGAAAGGGTCGAGGGGAGAGGAGGGTAACCCGAACAGGAGATGGGGAAGAGAAAAGTGGAAAGTGAGCGCGGAGGGCCTACTTGTATGAAAGGCAAAGGCCACCTCTCGCGCAGCGGCCAGCATGGCCTTTTCCACAGAGGAAGGGTTACTTCTCGGGATCTGATTGGTGGATTTCCATGGGGTCCCAGACTGAGTCAGCCATGCCTCACCGCCTTCCCTTTTAGTGTAAGCTTAATCCCAATCGAGTGAGCCAAGTGGGTCCATCCGATGAATATCCAGCCATTGACCCAATCAACAGCCGCCACCCTGTCGAATTTGCTAGAAGAAGCTAAGCGTTTGGCCCCCCCAATTTTAGGAGTCACTCGCCTCAGGGTCCCATGGGTCATTGGGGGTTACTCACGCAATTAATGATAATAACACGTAGGAGGATCCTATACGGGAAAGCCAAGTGGCATGTACGACAAACACAGATGCCACCATATGGACTACGGAGTATACCTACTAGTAGGTACCAGTAGTGACCAGCTTCAGAGGATCGACCTACGAGTACATTCCAGCCAAGGAACATGGGCCAGAACAAGGCCAGGGATCGGCGGAGCCTCAGGAACCCTAGGTACCTGGCAACTTGAACCCTAGGAAGACCTGGAGGCATCTTGTGAACCTTAGATGTCACTACCTAGGTATACAGGTTATCAAATACTACCTATTCATGAATACTGAACTTTTGTTTATTTACTTGCTCTGCTCTCGATTTGGATAAATGTTTACTACCGTGTCTGCAACCTTGGAAATCCTAGTGTATGTTGTAGAGATATCATATAGACACCGATGTCCACCACTTCCACATTACTCCAACAACCCAGCCGCCACTGTCGTACCCCCACTGCGGAGAACAATCCTCGTCGGTGCTTCTAAAGGAACTGCCTGATCCATTTCAACCACCACCCGCGCCACCGTACCAGGAGACACAATCTTTGGTCGCTTCTTCAGCGGCGCACCAGAAGCCTTATCCAAAGATGCCACCATTTTGCTAATACGCGCAGGAACATGGAGTCGACCACGGTGCACATCAACAAGCATGGGCATGAGGTGCTCAAAGGCCAAGACCTTGGCCGTAAATGTCGTGATGGTCGGGATCGGCGCAGATGCTCGACAGACCACGTCGCCAGATCGAAGGTGCACAGGGTCGATGTTCGCCAAGTTCAGTGTGACGTTCTGACCCGCCACAGCCCAGTCACTAGGCTCGCTGTCCACCTCCACGCTGCGGATCAAGGCCTTTTCCCCGCTGGGCATGGTCAGAATTTGATCACCGATCTGCAAGCTTCCAGCGTCGATACGGCCAGAGATGGAAATCGGATTTTGTACACCACCGCGGAAGACGTCGCCGATTGTCATGCGTAGAGGCTTGTCAAGCGCATGTGTGTATGGCTCCGAAGTCTCCAGTTCTTCGATCAAAGTTCGACCCGTGTACCAGGACGCATTTGCCTCTGCGCTGCGGCGAGTAATGTTGTCGCCCAATACACCGGAGCAAGGAATGAAGGAAATGTTCGTTTCTTGAAAGCCGGCAGTCGTCAGGAAAGACGAGATCTGTTGCTCAATTTCCGTAAATCGTTCCTTGTCCCATTGTACGGCGTCCATCTTATTGACAGCCACAATTATCTTTTGCACACCCATGCTGCGGACCAGCAATGCGTGCTCCTTGGTCTGACCCTTCAAGCCGGATTCAAACTTGCCGATACTAGAGTCAATTACCAGCACAGCAAAGTCTGCCTGACTAGCCCCAGCGATCATATTTGGGACAAAATCCCGATGGCCTGGGGCGTCGACAATCGTAAAGGCAGTGTTGTCTGTCTCAAACTTGTTGGTCGCGATATCGATCGTCACACCTCGCGCACGCTCCTCGGAGCCTTGATCTAACACCCATGCAAGTGCGAATGAGCCTTTCCCAATCTTCTCCGCCTCTTTCCTGTATTTGTCCAATGTTCGCTGGTCGATAGCTCCTTGGTCTGCCAGTAACCGGCCCATCAGAGTACTCTTTCCAGCATCAACGTGTCCTGGGGCATGTCAGCACCGGATTTTTTGATAGCTTGGATCAATAAACCCACCAATAACAACAAAGTTAGCAGACTTCTTCCGCTTCGACTTGTTGTATTCATCCAAGACATTCAAGTTTTTGCTCTTGACCGTTACTTTCTCTTCCACGGAGAGATTGTTCATTCCACCTGCGAGATCACCTTGCGCCTTCTTCTCGCCCGGCTTAGATGCGGCGGCTTTAGACTTCATTCCTACATATTATTAGGCGAGTGGTTCTAACTCTTCTTGCGAATCGCCAAACCTTTTGCTGTATTTTGAGCATTGAGCACCACATCATCGGGGCTGGGGCCTGCAAAGTCAAAAGGTTCAGCATGGTCCTGGCCATAGATCTTGAGAAGATCCACGTCATTCGAGTCGAAGTGGCTGGGCTCAGCCATCGTTGGTCCCGCTGGGTTTCCCACGATGATGCTAGCAAATATAGACGGCGCGGCGCGGATAGCAGATACCGCGGGCTGAGGTTCGGGTTTTGGGCTTGAAATCTCCGTTTGGCTTGCCAGGGCTGCTTTTTCCGATTCCGATACTGATGGCCTTTTGGCAGGCAACGGAGGTGCAGACGAGATTGGGTTTCCCGATCTTCGCAGACCTGCAAGACCAGTACTTGGCTCAGAAGCCTTTGCTGCCTTTGCCTTTGCCAGTCTTTCACTGAGAGATAGCGGAGCTGCCCGTGGCTCAGATACAGATGTATCCTTGTTTTCGGACTGCGGTGCGGACGGAGCGGCGGATGCTGCTGCCGCTTCCGCCTCTTTCTTTTTTCGCGCCGCTGCAAGCTGCGCAAGCTTTGAAGGTTTGCCTGCAGCTTCTGGTGCACCTCCCAGCAGTCCCAATCGGGGGTATAATGGTTCAATCATGATATCAGCCTTGCGATGTGAAGGGACATTGAGCCACGGGCAGTCGCGGAAAAAGTCGGCGGCAGAGAAATGTGCCATCGGGGGAGGATTGGGCGCTGGGAATCCTATCAATGAGATACCTGTTAGAACATAGTCCAAACTTCCATGCCACGTCAGTTCTAAATATCCAGAGATACAGGGCAAAGTATGAAGCTAGTGCGGTCTTCAAACACATACCTTTAAAGCAACGTGATTCCCACCGGCCAAGACGTACGCAGTGTCTTCTGAGCCCAACCACGACAAATCGAATCTGATACAAAAAATCCAAATTGAAATTGCTTACCAGTTTGACCTTTGGTCTTTTGCATCGGGGTAGAAGCTTGTTGCTTCTTCATCTCCTTCTCTTTTTTGCCTGTGGTTGAAGATATCTCTGTCAGCTCGCTGTCTAATTACCAGTGGCCCGCAAACGATTCAAGACGGAGGACGATAGACGGTGTATGTTGTGAGTTGGCATTTATACCTTTGAGGTAATTGACAGATTTCTCCACATCATAGTAGTAGTAATACAATGTTTCCTGGGCCTCCTCTTTGGTGACGGTCACCGACGGCTGCCCCGCGCTAAGCTGCTGCAAGACGTCTACAGTCGAGCGTTGTAGGAGCGCTTGCTCCTCAGGATCAGGTGAATCGTATCCATCGTCAGAGTAGTAGTCATCGTCATCGTAGCCGACATTCTTCACGCGGTGTCTCGACATGGTGGGGGTTCGGGACGAAAGGGTGTCGGGTCGCGAGGTTTGGTGGGGGAGGGAGGGGGGAGGAAGGGAAGCGAATGGAGGGAGTGTAAATGTACACGAGACGAAGGAGAGTGATGCCGAAGGAATTGGATGCTGATAGAAAAAGGAGAGGGACCAGAGACGATCTCGGTCGAAAGTTGTCGGAGAGCAGGTTGGAAGGGAGGGAGAAGCTGCTGTTTGGTTTGGTTTGGGACGTCATTCCCCACCTAGCTGTACCACTCAAGGCGCGGAGAGGCTTCGAATACGGACCATTCGAGGCTTGCCATGAGTCACGATCTACTACTATTTGATACCTCTATGCAAAATAATTTTTAACTTATAGCTATGGCATTCATAAGATAGCTAGCCTAAATTCTATGATGCAAATCATGTTGCGTCCCATTGGGATCAACAGCAACGACACCGCAAACTACCCACAGCCTAATGGGGCGAAAGCGAAGAAGAAAAATGGAGAAAGGATGTCTATCTAAGGGGGCTACCACCAAAAAAATCACCCGTTCCTGGTCCTGAAAAGCTGCCGTTGCTGGGGGTCAGAGCAATGGATCTTCGGAAAGCCTGGCGTGGTGTTGAAGGAGCACTTGTAGGGGCAGCATTTGCCGCTGCCGCATTTCCAGCCGATGTAGCGGCGGCGGCGCTTGCATCTGTTGCACTTGGGGTATTTCGACCGCTGTCGTTCGACATTGTAATTGCCGTACCGGGTCGGGAGAGGACTGCTGCGGTGCCGTTCCTAGGAGGAGGTCGGAAGCCCAGCTTCTGGCCCTCGCGGAAAATCTCTTCCAGCATCTGTGCGGAAATTCCTGCATCCTCGTACTCTTGGAACTTCTTCCAGAGACGCATGGCCATGCGAGCGTCCTCGATGGAGTCGTGTCCCTGTATTGTGTCCGTGGTGGGCTCTTCTTGGATGTATTCTTTGAAGACCGCCCAGGCGAGATAGCGAAGGCTGAGGCGGCGGTTCTTGCCAGGGTGGAAGAAGAGGTATTGGGTGTCGACAGTTTGAGATTTAGGCACTTGAATGTTGATCTTGCGGAAGTCAGAGGCCAATCCATGGCCAACAAAAACACAGCCAAGGTTTAAGAGCAGCCAGAGCTTCTTGTAAGCCGCCTTCAACGGCACCAAGTTGTGCTCGCTGGTTCGGGGGTCCAGGTCACCAGGTTTGATACCAGAATACTGGGTCACATAATCGACGATTGGCTCCCGGATAGTGATGTAGTCGTCGATGAACGGTACACCCTCGTCAATGCCTGCAGCCCGGAGAACGGAAACTCGGGCAAGCCCACTCTTATTCGGCCGCACCATTTCCTGTGATCCATCTGCTTTAACATCAATCTCAGCCTTTTCAAGGTCCACGAATTCAGTATCTAGGGCCACGGGAGTGCCAGTTTGAGGCTTCTCTGTTTCGGATAGATTACGGCATGTATCAACTTGGTGCCCGCCGTTCAATGACCACTCACGGAACAAGAGCGTAGTGTCAAGAGATTTCTTCCATGAATCATCAACAGCGTGGTTTGTGTCTCGTACCTGGAAAGCCAACACACAAGGTTGCTTCCAAGGCTGTGTGAAGCGGAGAGCTTCATCGCGGTCCACTTCAGTTACCAAAAAGTCGTTGAATAAATGCCATCGCGGTTTTTCCGCTGGCTCTCGATCAGAGAGAGAGATATTGACGAAAGATACCAAGTGCGGTTTCTGATGCTCTGGAATGTCAATTTCAGAGACAAGGCCAACCAAGTCATAAACGACAAGTCCAGGCGCGTTGCTCTGTATTCTTAGACGGAGTTCATCTCCTTCGAAACAAGCAACCTGGCCGTTATCAATGAGAACACCAACCGAATCGGGAAGCCATCCAGGAATAGCCCAAAGTCGCCGGCAAATGGGATTCGTAAGAGCTGCGTTGAGCATGAGAATCAAAGGCATCCTATGCACCGTCTTCCGCATCATCACTTGTTGATAGCGCCGGCAATAATTGCACCATCCACGATTTTGCGTTTCACGTTCAATGCTTGCCCTCAAAATACTGGAGAACCGATATGCAGGGTTTCTTCTCGCATTCTTGGGGTCCATGTTGGGATACAAGAGCTCATTCGCAAGGGAATTGCCAGGTCGAACGGTCTCCTGCTGACAGAACATGCAGCGGATCGTTTCAGATGCAACAGTAGAAAGGCGGAGATCCAATTCTTCGGAACTTGGTTGAACCATGCGGAAGTCATGTGCTATCTGGGTCAGAAAAAAGCGATTCACGGCTTGGATGGCAGTCGACAGAGATTTATTGGTCAGATTCTCTTCAAGGAGACCTAGGTTTGAAGCCTCTCGGAAGCTGCTGAATGTTTTCAAGAGGTTGGTTGCTTGGCAATTCTGTCCGTTTGCTTTTTCTAACATGTCAAATAGATATCCCAGTTCACAAAGTAGGCAGTGTTCGAAGATGCAAGAGCCGGCAGCGTGAGTGAGGGAGAGATTTCGGAATAGTGGAATGAATTTGAAGAGTTGGAGGAGAGAATTTGTGAATGAGTTTGCGATGTGAGTCTCGAGACCAGAAAATGTCGTCTTATTGTAAAATCTGTAGGCGATGTCAGCAAACATATCAAGATATTCACGGATCGAGATCCGAAGAAAGGTAGTCATGAGAAGAATAACCACATACCGGAAGTCAAAGTCGTCAACGCCAAAGCGACTATACTTGATCTCGACGTTGCTGTACTTGAGGAGAGGATCGTCATCACTTTCGCCGTTGATATTTGCGCCTGCAAGAGCCTCAGCAGCATCGATGACTGAGCTTTCCAGTTTCGACTTGCTGTGATCCCGAGCCTTTTCACTCAGGAACTTGGGAGCAATAAGAGCAGGCTCCGCGTTGGCCAATGCGCGTGTGTTCTCTACTTGATTTCGTCGATTCTTCCTAGGGTTCGGGGCATGATGTCCAACTTCGGAGGGGCGCAGATACGGCAGGAGGGACTGATCTAGTTGAGCGGGCGGACTGCCAACCTCAAAGATGAGATGGCTAGGCCAGGCCGAGTGGAGGCGCTCGTGGTAATAGGGCATTCCGACCATGCTCAGAGGGGTATCAGGGGACCAGTCAATCGGTGGTGGTCGGCTAGGAACATCGGCAAATTCCAATTCTTTGCTCAATTCGTTGAAATGAATCTTAGTAGGAGATCCCCATAAATGTATGGAGCATTCGGCGTCGTTGACTGCTAAAGCCTCTCCTGATGGGGAAATGTCAAGACCAAGCATAAGCGATACATTGGCCTGTCGTAGATTGATTGCGTTGGGGTTCATGAGATCGACAACTTGCAGTTGGCCGGTTTGCGAAGCCACGAAACTTGTCGTGTGGAGTTTAGGATGCATACGGACATAGGCCGCCCCAGCGTGGAATGGGATGGGAGGCAATGGCGACAATGTTTTCAGGTCATAAACGTTCGCTAGGGGGGTCAACGATCGGAGAGCCCATGTGCCGCATTGAAAAGCCACAGGTAACTAGTAAGTCATTGCGTGCATCCATGTCATTGACGGCCGTTCCATGTGCTTTCCATGACTTCACAACACTGAAGTCCGCCAGGCTGAGTGCATTTACGGAGCCCGTGTCGGTCGCAGCGCACAAGTATCGACTCTTCTTCATAAGCGTATAGCTGTGTTCGGTGGGCAATTTCTCCACAATCGTACCCTTGTCGATATCCACGGTAAACATCACATTTTGACAACCGGCCACAAGGATTCGGTTAAGTTGGGCCGTAAAGCTCATGCAGCGGAGGTCCACCATTTCCTCGTGATTCAAATGCCATTGTGTCAGGCCGCGTCGAGTAATCATATGTACGCTCTTGGGAGAGAGCGATATCACACCTCGCTCGTGGAACAGTATCTGCCGCACCGGTCCTTCGGCGGCCGGGTGTGCTCGTACGGAGGTGTATCGGCCTAATTCAGGCCCGCAAAATGAGGAAATTCGACCCTAGGAAGCACAAACATTACGTTAGTTATTGTTGAAACTTTCCATCCCAGATATGCACCCACGTATTCATTTCCGGTCCAAAGAAGTTCCATAACATCGTCAAACGCGACTGCTGTCGCGATCGTAGGCATAGCATGTGGACTGGGTGGCGGCATGGGAATGCGCGCCAACTCGTCCCAATCTGCCTCCATCGTTAGAGGGGGTCGTCCAGACGGACACCCGAGTGATACGTTTCGAGAAATTAAAGAAGAGACCCGCAAGTGGCTCTTGGGGCCTAAAGCGCTTCACCCTCGACGCCTCACACGATGCCGATCATCGTCTTCGAGCAGAAGACGCGATTGCGGGGAAGCTATGAGGACAGTTGGAAGGTTCGTTCGTGCCGTGATGTACTATTTATAAATAGCGGCCGCACGTGGAAGTATGACCAAAACGGTCACTATGTTCCGACCGCGAAGCGGACTTGATAGAGACGACGCTGGTTTAGCGTTGCTTGTTGTCGCCCACCTGGCGAGCCCAGCGGGTCGAGGACGGTTGATATATATCACGTGATGGATGTGATAACATTGATTGGCGGTCAAGGGCGTCTGGGGCTAGGGGATAGAGTGGGCTATCTAGAAGAATTGGCTTGTTGAGTATATAGCTCGGAGATGTTCATGTGAATTTTTAATTTTTAGTCCCATTTCCCGGTGATACTAGGCAATAATCTTTCATTGTACTATGGTACTATTTTGATCAACTAATCTCAATTTATTAGATCACGTGGCTTCGGGTCATCCGAAAGTGATTCGGTGGTGAAACTTTCCAAAGACATACTAGTAGCTCAACAAGAAATAACTTAATTATTTTTACCATGGTACTGTATTTCCGCTACAAGATGTAATTTGATTAAGTTATTTTCCAAAAAATTTTACTTCCATTACTAGTAGAATATCCCCCTCTATTCATCCCCATTTAGTACTACAGTACTATTAGGATATACTACTTCATATACATCTAGTACCTACCAGTTAGCTAGTAGGCACCTGGGCAGTCATGGTTCCAAGTTACCAACATCCATGGATCTCCGCGCCTACTAAGAATAAAACTTACTTTCATGCCAGACTCAAGCTTAATAATGGATATACGTATTCAAAGATCGTAGAAAATATCATATTGCTAAACACCCTAGGTATAAAGAAACACATATGTACTGGCATACAGTGGTTTGGCCGGAGTCAGTAACCTTGGAATTTACTACATACACGGCTCACGGCGCAATTCCGAGCAAAGGCAAGATGACATAATATTCAGGACTTCTTCGAGCAGCTATCCACAAGCAACCCCTCTGCTTATCTGTAGAAGGATGCTGGGTTCGACGCAGGCGCCCCAGCCGGTGCAGGCTGGTATGCCTGGTACTCGGCGCCGCCAGCAGGAGCTGAAGGAGCCGGGTTGAAAGCGGTGTATTGGGACGGAGGAGGTCCGGCACCTGGCACTGGCGGCGCTTGGTGGGACGGCGCTTGTTGCTGAACGCTTGGTGAGTCTGGGTAGGGAGCATGGGATTGCGGCTGCGGGGGAAATGGTTGCTGGGTTGCTGGACAGGTGCCATTCCGGGGGCTGATGGCAGCTGAGCAGAGTCATCGGCAGGGTAAGCAGACTGGGAATAATCTTGTTGCTGCTGTTGTTGGAACTGTTGGTGGGCAATCGGCGGAGCTTGACCGGTAGGAGGGTAAGGAGGACGTCCTCCAACATTGTGTTGGTCAACAGGCGAGTCGTATACAGATGTGCCTAGTTCTTGGGGATGATCGTAGGTAGATTGGGGACGATGATGCATGGATTGCTGGTATGGGTCGGAAGGCGGCGCTTGCTGCGGTGTCTGTTGTGGCTGCAAAGGCTGCGCTCCGGCATACTGGGCTCGAGGGTCCGGGGAGTGGGATGCGGGCCGGTACGGCATGGCCTGCTGCTCTGCACCGTAGAAAGGCGTACCTTGAGGCTGCGGGGGTTGCGTTTCTGGAGATTGATATCAGCATCACGATGTGGTGAGATCGACTTTCCACCTGGACGAACCTTGAGGGCGAGGGCTGAAGTAACGCTGGTCGGTTTGTGGAGGAGGACCTTGGGGATATCCAGCAGGAGCCGCACCAGGAGCCGCACCAGGATAGCCATACTGCGGCTGTCCTTGTCGTCCGTACTGGGGTTGTACTGGCTGGGCCATTGAAGCCTCCAATAGGGATTCGTAGTCTCGGCGAGCCTTAATGAATTTCTCATTGAGCTGAGTGAACTCATCTAATAAATAATTAGCATTTGCTCCTTCGCAGCGCAGCAAGATATACGCATACCTTTCTTCTGCGAGTATTTCCCAATCAACTCGATAAGCTTGGGTCGGATAGCGAGGGTTGAGTGGTAGAGTGTAGTGATTTCCTCGTTTTCCTGCACGTTGAGATCGGAGCTGCGAGTGCTCAGTAGTGTGAGGAGCTTCTCGACGTTCTTAATTTGACCAAAAACATCTCCTTCCATCTGCGCCTCGCGATGGAGCTCTTCAACTGTCGGGTCGGCCAATTTCTCGACGTAGTTGAGAGGGAAAATTCCGGTCTGGCCCCGCAGGGAACCCTTCCACCAATCTTTATAGACTGACTCCAAAACAGCAATTATATCGCCCTTTTCGGAACTGTAGCTCGCCGGGCTCAGAAGGCTGGAAGTCAAACAAAGCTCTCACTCGCGAGACGGTAGCCGCTGAAGTCCCAGGAGGGACAGGATGAGGAATCGCGGGCTCTTCTGCCACAGTGGCCGGTGCAGGTGTAGGAGTGGATGCGCTAGCTGCAGCAGCAGATGAAGACGCCTGGGTAGGGACAGGTTTTCTCTCTTTGACGGAAAGTGCAAGCGCCATCTGGAGCTCCTCCTCTTCTTTCTGTCTATCCACGTCTGTGATCTGTTGCTTCACGGGTTTAGATGGTGGTTGGAGATTCGGGTCTAGCGGAAAGGTTTATTAGTTGTGAAAGGGCGCATATGGCTTATGAAACTCACTTTGAGTCTTCAGCTTCATATAGGCCTGTTCCATGATTCCGAAATCCGGGTTGGACGCAAACATTTCAGTCCATTCTTCCATTCGCTCAAGGATTTTAGACTTCACTTGTTGATGTGTATTCTGAAGTAAGGAACGCACGTCAGCAATTTATTACATAGTAAGTGACAGCGAGGAAAATGCTTACCCGGTCAGCCGCCAATCGTAGCATAGCATCCGTAAAGCTCCTTGAGGCCAGCTCCCGGTGGATTTTCGGACCACAATTCTGTGATAGCGCGTTACCAAGCTAGAGGTAGAGGTCAGCCATCCATCAAACATTCCATGCGCATTCTGGCGCGAGACCTAGATATACTGACCTCCAGAGTGTAAAGCTGCACATTGGCGTTCCTGTGAGCCAGTCGCTTGATCATAGCAGCAACAGCCTCCTTCGCGCTATATCATAACAGCATATTAGTTATCCATTTTCCTGCGCAGCGTATATAATCAACACTTCTCTTATTGAAGCCACATACCCAGATTCCTCAGAACCGACTTTATCACAGACATCCTATATGGCAAAAACAAGTCAAGTTAGCCTCCAATGTCCCACTCTGTCCTGTCGCAATCTGTCCGGCTAGTCGGCGGGGCATAACGTACGAGGATGTATTCCCAGTTCTCGGAGGTCAGGTTCTCGTCCGTCGCCTTGGCTGCAGCAGATACAAACGTTAGCAATTGTCATGGTGGAATGTCTCGAGCGATCTCCCTGGCCCCCAGCAGTCGCGGCTCAGCCGCTTCGCAGTGCGCTCGGCAGGCAGAAGCAGCCCGACGAGTCGAGCGTGAATCTCGCAACTCGGTACAACTTACCGACGGCATCGTCGAAAGCGTTCTGTTGAGCGCGAAACATTGCCAGCGAATTATTTGTAATGAGACTGGATGGTCAGGGGAGGGTGTTGTGTTGTGTTGTAGTTGGTCGGGGAAGTCGAATCGGGCACCGCCTGCTCTGCCTTAAGCACAAGCAGCTAGCTAGGTCAATCGATCGCCAGGAAAGATTCACGTGTGGCGGGTGTATTTATTTTACCAATGGACTTCACTCTAGCTGTTCGTGTTTTTTGAGAGGTCGGGATTTGTTGCTTTTTGGCCGTGACGCACGTAATGCGGGGAGTGGACTGAGGATCACAGCAGGCGGAGGAGCTGAGAGGGTCAGGGTACACCGCCGAGGGGGTTGGACAGAGGCGGATTTGGAGATCGGAGAGGAGAAGTGATGGGTATCGGGTCGGCGCTGCTCTCCAAATAAGTCAAGTCAACCTTGAAAATCAAGCGATGATCGTAGAGGTGTCGAGGTCCCTCAAGGTTGTTATCCGGCAGAAATCCAGGGTCAGCTGACGGATGACGACGGTATGGAGCTCGGATATTCTTAGCATGTGGCTGCCTTGAGCCATCTTCCACTTCCACTATTACTAGATTGGGCTTGCAAACCCTTCCGGTTAAATGCACTGCCATAGGCTGTAACATTTTCCATCGCGAGTTGTCTTTGTTTAAACTTCACATTGTAGATTTTCTTCCATATTCCCTGTTGCTACTACAGCTTGACACTCTGTCTACACTAACAGAATGATTTCCAACCAAATAATGACGGAAGAAATACAATTGAATAATTGTAATATCACAGATCCTACACGGCCAGAGGCCTCTTATAATCCCAAACGCCGAATGCGAAGACGCCGCATTCTAAATCCCACGAACTCGAGGAGACAATATAATGCATAGTGATAGAAGGCTCGCAATCCCATCCAGGACGCCACTTGAGACCAGATTCAAATTGCGCTGGTGGGTGTCGGAGGTAGGACTACAGAACGCTACACAAGCAAACACACACGCACCTCTGAGGGGAGGGGGGGGGGGGAAAGCACATAGACATGGGGATAAACAGGGTGTGGAGAATAGAAGCACAGGCTCGTGAAATCAGATCATTTTCATCACAAAAGGATGTTCATCAAGAAATAAAGTGGTAAAAAAAGATAATTTGACACTGAAATGGGACCCGGGCGACATGATGCGAAGATGAGCATGTCGGGATCTAGAAGAAACATCGGGAGTGATGGGGTATCTGAAACGAGATGGGAAGAGGGATGGACAGAACAAAAAAAGGGAAAGTTATAAAGAAGAAGATAGGGGAAAGGAGAGGGAAAGAAAAGGGCAAGGAACCGAAACACTCGGTACGATCGGAGACTTAAATTCCACCTTGTCACCTAAGCTCCGCCCTTCTGCGCCTTTTCTTGGGCACGGCTGATTCTAGCAGCCTTCACAAGGGGCGCAAGATGGGTGAGGGGTGAGCAGAGAGACATGAAGGGATGCTATCAAGAACATTAGTATCAAGCATGGTATTCTGGGAGCCACAAAATGAACATACCTTCAGTAGGTCATGAGCTGAAGCTCGCTTCTCTGGGTCAACCTTGAGGGCCAAATGCAAGAAGTCACGGAAGATGTGGGAAAGATTATGCTCATCCTTGATCGTGGGCGTGCCGTTTGTGGCAATCAGGTAAAGAGCCCGCAGGGGCGACTCGGTCAAATATGGCGGCTCTCCCTCAATCATCTCGATGGCCATGATACCCAAACTCCAGATGTCGACCTTGCGTCCATATTCCTTACGGGTGACAACTTCAGGTGCCATCCAGTATGGAGTGCCGACCATTGTGTTGCGCTTATTGTGTGAATCATTAATTTGTGCACAGAAGCCAAAGTCGGCTGTGTAAAGAATTAGCAATGATCTTGAGAGGATATATGTGCAGTGATACATACTCAGCTTGATGTTACCCTCCAAAGAAAGTAGAATGTTGTCGGACTTGATATCTCGGTGAATAACTCCCTTCGAGTGGAGGTGTTGCAATCCATTCAGAGTCTAGGATAATTGTCAATATTGTATTCTTGAGCGGAAGAACCAGGAGTCAATGGGGCTTACCTCTCGGCAGACTGCTGCGATCTGGCCTTCGCTCATGATGTTGAAAGTCACCACATCCGTGAGACTACCACCTTCCATGTACTCCATAACCACCCAAAGATCAATTCCGTTGAGATAACTCTCCAAGAAATTGACAATATTCTTGTGTTTGCTGTCTTTCATGACAAGAATCTCGTTGATAATTAGGTCCTTCTTGGGCTGGAGATCGAGATTCATCTGCTTGATGGCAACGCAATTGTTTGTTCCGGTCTCATAAGCCGTAAACACACCACCAGATGCACCTTGGCCAATCTTGTTTAGAGTGTGGTAAATCAGGGTAGGGTCGCCGGGGTGGCAGATTTGTAAAAGACGTGCTCGGACATCCATGATAGTACTCTGACGCTGGCGTTGACGGGGCCTGGCAGCCGGAGGTGCGCGCGTTGATGGCGATGCGCCAGCCGAGGCAGGATCTCCGGTGGAAGGACCAATATTAGTCGCAAGCGCCGGGGGTTGCGGTGCTTGCTGGCGTTGGCTGGTACTGCGATCCAGTTGTTTTGATGCAATGGCTTGTTGTGCAGCCGCCATAACCTGCTCCTGCTGCTGCTGGTACTGGGTTGGGTTGGAGATGATACCCGGTGCTTTCGCTGGAGGACCGCCATTGCGGGAGTTAGAACGGCTGAGCTGGGGAGAGACTGAGTGAATTGGCTCTGATTCCGGAATGGATGGAGTGCCAAATGGATGACCGTATGGGTCTTGCATAGGTCTTTGTGGGGCAGCGCCATATGATTGAGACACGGGGGGTTGTGGTGGCGGACGGGCGGGCGTCATGTTAGTTGGTGGCTTAGGAGGAGCACGATGGGGCACCAGACCACCCAACGGTGGTGACATAATTGGCACTTGCGGTACTTGCTGTGGCTGATTTGCTGGGGCGCCGCGAGGAATGGGAGGCGGGGCTCGTGGGTTCTCAAAACTCCATTCGTGATTCTGAGGGAAACGCGGACTTCCAGGAGGTGATGTACTGCGACCGTTGTTGTTATTGTTGTTGTTACTATTACCGCTGCTGGTGTTTCCACTGTATGCGTTGTCGAACTTGTGCCAGACCTCGTCGTCATCTCCACGAGTATTCTTCTCGTAGAATCGCATAATATCCATCATCGTTTGCGGGTGTTCTTCCTGTTCCTTCTTGGAGATTCCGTTTTCCTGGAGTAAGCGCTGCCACTCCTTGGGAAGACCGGTGAATTGACCAGTTTGATTATCATAGCCAACGTGAGTAACATGAACGGGGTTCTCCGGGGCGGAAATCTTGATATTGCGAGGGGATCCCAACATGCTGTTCACGAAGCTAGAGAAGCTCGCCTTCTTGCTCTGCCTCTTGGCCGCAGTGGGCGTCGGGCCCGGCGGACCATTGGCGATATGGCCCTCATCGGAGTAGCGCTTAGAATGAGGAGGTCTTTCGGTTTCGCGGTGTGCGAAGGGATCCATTCGGTTCGGGAGAGTGGTAAAGCTGGCTGACTGTCGAAGGGTTTGGCGACCGCGTGGATCGGGACTCGTATGATGGGAGAGTAAGGGCGGAGGTTGTTGGGGGTGAATATCGGTCTCGGCGCTGTTCTCATCCAACGCACTGAGCATGCCCCGCGTCTCGAAAGGGGTGTTCAATTCATCCGAACTCTGTTGATCATAGGAGAAACGGTTCGAGCGAGTGCGGGAGCGGGAGGAGCTGTAGCCGGAGAAGAAAGACCCCTCGTCCTGGATAGGAGACGGACCGCCACTGTGATCGAGCGAGGAGGATGAAGAGCCAAAGGCAGCTGAAGCGTTGGATCGCGAGCGAACGTGCTCGCGACTACCGCTCAGGAGAAGAACGGGGGTAGACTGGGGCGGAGGGATGACGTTTGAGAGACGTAGCGCTCTGATGACTCCGAAGAATGCGCGAACTGAAGCTAGGGGGGGGTCCTTGTGAAGTTTGCTAGACGGGCGGCGGAATTTTAACGAGAATCCTTCCTGGCTCATGGCGGGCAGAGGGATCTGTCTCTACACGAGACAGATTGGAATTGGGCCGAGGAGGGGTCAGGAGAAATTTCCAACCAGCCAATTCGAGGTCTGCGACCAGGTTTGCCGCACGGTCAGCAGCAAACGCACACAACAGGAGGAGGATTGTGATGCCCCCAGAGATTGGTGGATTGAAAATTAGGTTGTCTTGGAGATGGAGGTTGAAGTCTGAAGAGGAGAGGAGAAGGGTGGAATCGAATCGGTAAAATGGAAGCTGTCCAATTAGCACGTGGAGAGCGGAGCGAAAAAGGAGACGGTGGCTGGGTGTCGACTGGGGCGATGACGCGGGGACCCGTCCAACGGCCAGAGTTTATCAGAAAGAATGTCGGTAGATGGAGACAGACTCAGATACTCTTTCAAGTTGACTTTGAGAAGACGTGGAGGGAGAGATCGAAGGAAGATGGAAGGGGATGAGAATGGATGGGATGGGATGTGCAGAGGTTCTTTGGCCAATCTAGATTTTCTGGCGACCGTCGACGATGAGCGGGACAAGAATAGAAGCGGGTCTGTCATATTAGACGTTCCTAGGGTTCAACTTTTTACCGATGATGTTTTATGTTTATGAATACTATATTAATAGATACTATATACCTAGGTATATCATAGTATTTTTATCTCTAAAAATCTAGGATACCCAGGTACCTCTCCGTATATCATGTACTCCTGGCTGAGGTGCATGTTACCAAACTGCCGGCTCTGGTGCTTACTACTACCTAATTTAGCTGCAGGGTTGGGCCAACACCCAGCATACTAGGAACATATATTCAACCAGGCAAGTTAGATACTGTCAGTGGTGACCTAAGTAATTAGTTAGGTACTGATTGAATAAAACTATATTTCAAGAGCTGATGTTGCTTACTAGGGCAGTAGTACGTGGGCGGTTACAGAATCACTGACAGCCTGAACTTCAGGATCTCACAATTTTTATACTCATAGCAACACCAGTTCTTAGTAGCTTTCTAGACGGAAAATTAGCTTAATCAACCATGATAGATTCGTCTTCGAAAGCCTGTTCTAGATTTTTGTCATAGGTTTTATGGTCTGCAAGTTTGCGGCCTGCAATAGCACCCACCTTCTTCTCGAATAAGAAAGGCAAAGCGGTATTGAATTCATCCTCGTAGCCGTTGCAAAAAAGAGGCCTTATGTGTTTGCTGAATATCGAAAATATCACCGAAGGCGAAGGACTGGAGAGTGCTAATGTATACCAGAAAGCACCCGTTTCCCAGGATTGTTCCAAGGCCCTGGATAGATGTGGTTGCAATGGTTCAGTATTGATGCAAGCCAACGTAGCTGGAATGAGTCTTTCCTCTTCAATTGACAAACATTGCATGAACTATCTTCTGATTTTATCGTATTCGCATGCATCCAAACGATCAACTGCTTTATTTGTTAACCACTCGGGGAGACCCCACATCTCAAGCGGTTGAGTGCAAGTCCATTCTAGATCGACGAGACATGTGATATTCCATTCGACGTCAACAAAAATGTTACTCTGGTGAAGGTCTGCAAAGGTAAAGATAAAGGGACCCCTTCGAAAGGCTCGGCTGAAAATGGATCGGAAAATAAATCGCATCGAAGTCAACACAGAAAGTTGATAAGCACAATCCCCGATATCGTTGACAGCGTTTGGTTGATACCGAAATCAATTGCCATGGAAACCAAGCACGTCGATGATGTAGGAATCAACGGTGGAGTATGTGAAATTGCGAGGCATATCTGTCGGTATTTGCTCATTCTCCAGTCGCTGAATCTCCATTGACAGGGACGATTCGTAAGGCTTAGCAGCCCATGGTTGTCAACAATGTGTGAGCCAATCTTAGGTAAAGGCACTCGGTATAAACTTAGGTAAATTCGAGAGAGACTGCTTTTCCAACCCGAGATTGGCTATGGTTCGGTTATTTCTCCTTTTAGCGTTTTTGACTCTGGGTGCATGTCAGCAGAGTGTTACCTCTATCTACCTTGGTTTCGGCCCCCTCGTCATCGTTCCCGGTCTCGATTCCTTTATACTCCGCCCCGTAATTCTCAACATTGTGGAGTTCATCCGCTTCATTGCTCTTTCAAGTTATCTCCGTTCCTTCAATTGCTAGCGAAAATCCACAATATATTTATCCAGATCCCACGCCAGAACTCTACTTCTCATCTCTTTCAGCTTCCGAGCCACCAGTTTTTCCATCTCATCTCTTCCCTCTTCATCCAAAAAGTCGAGTCTCTCCTTCCATGCCCCCTCGGGGCTCTCAGTAGGCCCAAAAAGGCGAGTGTCAATCTTATGCCAATAGATTGTATCAAAGGCGAAGCTGTGCAACACTGCATACATTATCCATAAATCGCCATTCTCCCAGCTTTGGCCCATATGGCCGGAGAGCCGCTGGTCCTCTTTCAAACGACCCTGTTGGATCGCTCTATCTTCACAGTCTCTCATTACCTTGAGGAATGTCTTGAGATGACAATCAACCACTTTTGTCCAGTCCCCAATACCATTTGGCCAGTACTCAGGTTTCTCAATAAGCAGCCACCAAGGGGGCGCATACGATAATTCAGGAGGTGCCTCGTATGTGAACTCCCAATCCACGACGCCGAAAATTTGCATATTCTCCGAATCATTGCGTAGTACATTGGCTGGGCGTAGATCATCACACCAAATTTTGAAAGGTCACTTCTCCAATGAAGGATTTGTGAGCCGTTTGTCCTTGGCCAGCTTACGGAAAAGCTTCCGCGCCACGAATTTCCGCCGGCAGTCATCTGCAGACTCTACCGCATTGTTTCTTTGATGTATGAGATGCTTGATGTTGAGATCCGCGAGGGCTTCAAGATATGAGGAGGCTGTGTTAGATGAAGTATGTAGATCAGGGAGTTTTGACCAAGGTAAACTTCCCAGTCGTATGAGTTCATTCATGTTCATTGACATAGGCCGCTGCGCTACTTTCCAGGTAAAGTCATCAATCTGGCTCGGAGAGCCTATGTGAGATAAGGAGGGCCTAGAAAGCTAAAGCAGAATATCTACCATTTGACCATAGAGCATCTCAAGCCTATATTCAGTAATGTCCAGGTCTAGTATTCCACTTTCCTCCGTCGGACGTCCCGGTGTGTTGAGGGCGTCGTACATTCTCGTTTCGTGTTCGATATAATCCATGATGATAATGGGCTCAATTGGAGAGGGCTTTCCTCCTTTGTATCGGAGTGGATAATGAAAGGTACGAGTATTGACGTCTGATCAGCAAAAGTCGCATCACAGCAACCTCATTGATAACTTCTTCCTCAGGGAGTAACACAGCACCAGGCTGTGACAGGCGTATAACCTTTACATCGTTTTGGTACTTCAGTCGTAATGAGATACTATAGGAACCTTTCCTGAGCATGGCAAACTCTGTGGCTACACCTCGGTGGAGGATGAGGATGAAGTCTTTAATCGGTCGCAAAATGTCAACTTCAAGAAATTGAACTAGTCAATTGTCAGCTGTTGCTTCGGCTTGTACCCAGGCCACATCATCAGGGCACATTCGAGTTTGCATGATTGTGTCGCAACGTGGAAGAAATAGTGTGCAAGAAGTTATACCGAAATAGAAGCATGCGTAGGTTATACTTTTCTGGCAAGGCGTATTTATGTACTTAGGATAAAACCTGAAGCATGCAGGAAGGAATAGAGATGCAGGACCTCGTTGGCTGTGTCATCACGTGACAATTCTCCCTATAACATCTGAGGGCGCCCCCCTGATGGTGAGAAACTTTTGACAATCCCGTCAGACTGATAAACTTCTCTAAATTAGACATTCCACTTTGGCTGCCACAATGGCAGTCGAGGGTACCGACACATTCACGAGACAACGGGCAGCGAAGCCAAAAGTGCGCACTGGCTGCATCACCTGCAAGTCTGTGATAAGTCCCGGCCAGGCCACCCCCGCGCCACCATTCGTATACACTTCCTAATCGGATTTCTGCAGAGCTCGTCACGTCAAATGCGACGAGCGAAAGCCTACTTGTCTCCGGTATGCTATTCTGCTCACTCTCCCACAATCTCTCTAGCGAAATACATTGTACCCGTGAACTGACCCCATCTCCAGGTGCTCGCGCACGAAGCGGGTATGCGGGGGCTACCGAAGTGTCCCGCTTAAACCACCAATCCCACGTTTGTTGGCAGTGGCCCCCGGAGTCGACTCAACGACCCAGCATGCCTTGGAAGTATTCTTTCTCTGCACGGCTCCCGCCCTAGCTGGCTATTTTGAACATGCCTTCTTTCAAGGCAGTGTTTTACAATTTAGCCTTGGTGAACCTGCTATCCTCCAAGCAATCGCTGCTCTCGGTAGTCTCCACGAACAGGCCGCCGCGTCTGATATTCAAGATCTGCACCGGAAGCCCCTTCTACCCGAGCTCCCGCTTAAGCTCTACAACAGGGCCATTCGAGTCATGGTAGAGAAAATCACCGCAGACCATAATAATCTTCCTTTCATTGCCATGGTCAACATCCTCTTTATCTGCTTCGAATATTTCCAGAGCAATCTACAAGCGGCCGCCTCTCATATAAGAGGGGGCATTGATATTTTGAATAACTGGCGTGCAAAAAACATAATTAATCGCGGGAAACATGGTCGCTACAGATATGTTTCGTCGGAGGCCGAATTCATGGAAACCGAGGTTGCACCGCTTCTTTGCACCTTCAATATCAATGCTGTTCAGTGGGGGGTAGGGGTGCAGGCAAGTGTGGTCCCTGATCCGCCCACTGATCCCAGTGGCAGTGACATCTCCATGCCCCATCGATTCGAAACTCTCAAAGCAGCAAGAGCTGCACTGCTCAAACTAGTCATATCTGCAACATGGGAGTTCGAGCCATCCGAAACAGAGCTCGCTAATACCGATTTCCCGGTCATCTGCGCGAGAATAATGACTAGTCTGGGTCGATGGAAAGTCAGCTTCGAAGACTTGGTCAACCGACAGTCGCATCTATGGGACAATCGAAAGAAGCGAACAGCAGACGCCATTTCCGTCATGCATGCGAATGCCAAACTTGGTGTCTATTCATACCAAGCGCAAAGCCACTGCGACTGGGACAAATACCGAGAGCAGTACGAAGAAACAGCCGCGCTGATCAATAAGCTTATCGCCGATACTAATCACTTCCCCAACGATTTGTCGAGGGCTTTCAGTCTGGATTTTCGGATGATGTTTCCTCTCCATCCGGTGGCTTGGAGGTGTCGCTGGCCACATCTTCATCGAGTAGGCCTGGACCTACGGGCTCGTTTGCCGAGTCTCAACTCGCTTCCTGCGGCTAAGAAGTATCATACAGTCTCTGCTCGTATCATGGAGATCGAGGAGGCTTACCAAAACACGTCTGCGGCGAAGTCGATTTCCCCTGAGATATTGAACATCCAGGATTATAGTGTTGTCATATCCCAGGGAGAGCAGGGGCAGCCTCCGGTTTTTGACGTGACATTCTGGAACAAACCGGATGGCTTGGATGGACCTTGGTATTCCTTCACGGAAAGTATTCAACTAGGGTCCAGTAGGACTGAGAGTCGAGACTGCGAAAATGTATCGGAGAGGTTGGACACAGCAAGCAGCACATGCGAGGGAGGCTCGAAACCTTTACCGTCACATCTCAAAGGTGCAGCGATGTATTCGGGAAAACCAATTTTTGGCCCGATCAAAGAAGAAACACCTGGTCTGTACTAGAGGTAAGGAGTATACTCGGGCTTTGTACCTGAGACTATGTAAAAAATACATATTGTATAATCAGCGTGACTGTGATGGGTGATAGTTATGAGGGCATACTTGGAAGACAGCAATGCCTTGAAATATTCAAACGAGGGCCTACGCAGCAAGCGTACTTGTCGGTATATGGCGTGTTTCCATGATCAAATCGATGATTCCCTCGGGTTCCTCCAGGGCTACCCCGTTGCACCGCCATCATAATGTTCTAAACTACCCTGACTGAAGTAGTAATGACACTTTGTGAATCAATTATTTTTGTCGATTCTGTTCTGCTTGAAACAGATAACTCTCGTCGGAATAAACTTACCGCTATCGTCTTATCCGAAACGGACTCGGAGCTGGCAAAATCTCGGGCAATTAACACTGGTGGATCTTGGTTCTCGCCGATCCGAACTCCTCTAGGCCCAGCGCCAGAAGAAACCCATCCATAATCCATACAAGGGTATACAAATAGAGTTTTCTAGCTGGTGGATTTTCTGACATTACCTAGGCTGAAACAATACGCCAAGCTTCTTCTAAGTTGAAAATATCCGATAACCCCCCCTGAAGAACGTCTGCGTAGAATCATCTAACAAGTACCCCGAGCACAATGGCGTCACTCACCCATTCGGCCGTTTCGGCCAATGCCACGCATATTCCCTCAGCTTTCAGCATCTACAACAATGATTTCCTCAACATCATCGGCTCGGCTCCTAAGCTGGAGGTCATTCTCGAAAACAATGACTACCCCTTTGCCCACGAAGCTAGCGTTTACATTCCGAGCTCGGACTCGCTCTTCGTGTCGAGTAATATGTACACAGATCCAGTCACAAACGAGAAGACGATCAAAATCACCAAGGTGAACGTCAACGCCCACCCCGTGACATCAGAGATCCTCAACTCTACCATCCCGATGCCGAACGGCGGAGTCAACCATGACGGCGGGATCCTCTGGGCTGCCCAGGGCACGATGAACGAGACTGGAGGTCTGTTCCAAATGTCGGCCGAAGCCCCCCTATAAATCAGAGCTAGTTACAGGCAATTTCTACGGCCGCCAATTCAACTCGCTCAACGATGTGGTTGTGGCCAACGACGGGTCGCTCTGGTTCACCGACCCCATCTACGCCTATAAACAGGGAGTCCGACCGAAGCCCAAGCTCCCGAACCAGGTGTATAGGTACGATCCATCGACCAAAGACGTGCGCGTCGTTGCGGATGGATTTGGTCGTCCGAATGGCATTTCTTTCTCTCCCGATGAGAAGACCGTGTACATCTCCGACACCGCTGAGACAATTGGCGACGGATCGAAGGATCTGACACAACCGGCTACGATGTATGTTGTACACGAATACCCTGCCGCCCATTGGAAAAAATAATCCCGCTAACGTTTGTAGTTATGCCTTTGATGTGACGGCGATCCATGATCAGCCTTTCCTGACGAACCGTCGTGTCTTTGCCATGCCTGGCGATGGCATCCCCGATGGAATCAAGGTCGATCAGGATGGTAATGTGTACGCTGGCTGCGGCGACGGAGTCAATGTTTGGTCTGCTGGTGGTGTTCTCCTGGGCAAGATCCTTGTCAAAGATGGGACATCGAACTTCTCATTTGGTCGCAATGGCCAGATGTTTATTCTCAATGAGAACAAGATCTATCGCGCGCAGCTGAACCGCAAGGTGCACGGCACTCTCTTCTGAGAGAAAATCCCACGAGAAGTGACCTGTTCTACTTGACCAACCTTGGAAAGAACAGGCTATTATTTATTTATTTTCGCTGTGGATATAGACTACGAATCTCATAGAAATTATTCATCGATAACATATCGTCCCCTGACATCCGATGATCCACCGGGTCCCATACGACTACATGTAAGAACCATGAGTTCCATCTGGCAACGATATTCAGGACAATGCTCTTGCAGCAAAAGCTGACGCGTCCTATTTCCTGCAACAACATCTCCTGTCAGGAACATCTCGGTGGACGCGTCAGCTCCGTTGATCTTTCAATCATCCATCCCAGGAGTTTGACCTTCGATTGGCGGGGGCGCGATCAAGCTTCAGTGCAAGGCGCCTCTCCCGCCACATCAGCGAACACGAAGACGAAATCTTAAACAAGCTTAAACCGGGACCTACTGATAATGTGGTTGAAGGAAGCAGGTACCACTCCCACCGCAGAATTTTTGAAGTATACGAGAAGAGTGAAAAATAGAAAGTTGACGATGGAAGAAATGTCGCTATCAAACCAGACAAACTGAATGCACCTCGGTCAACGCAGCCGACCAATATAGAATCAAGCTACTGCTAGTGAGACTCATACTACCCCACTTCATCGTGTCAACGCCGAGAAATGACCATGAGCAATGAGGTCCGTCCACGTTCCCGAGATGCGGGATGTTTCCCGCTGGGCAAAGTTTCCAAGGGTTGTAAATGCGTATCTCTGCTTGCTTACTACTGGGATATAGCTGTACTAGTACTATCTGCTACGATCGGGCATTTACGCATGAGTGTTGGGGTCACCGTCAAGGGTCACTCGCCATGGATGGAAGCCCCGATCGCAGCGATCGGAAGAAACTGAAGGGACGAAAACAAAAAGAGAACTTGAACCTTGAAAACTAAACAAACTTCAATATCTTTCGGCCAGAGGGAGGTGAGGGGAAATACCAAAATGATCACGGGTACATCAACCATGTGTTGCGATGACGGCAGTGCGCTGTACAAGTTTCGATTTTCCAGCCGCATGCACATTACCACATACTACTACTAACTTAGCTAGCACCAAGCTAGCCCCCAAAGAAAAATTAAGGCTGAGGGCAGCACTGCCTCGCATGACAAACATATCGACCGCAACTTCTAGGTTACTACTCTGGGCCAATCACCCGCCAGTAGTATCGATCGATGAGCAAGATGGAAGTTGGATGACGATGGCCAAGGTCGGCTGTGTCGCCTGCCGATGACATCTTACTTCCCACATCTTTCATATTTTCATCGCATCTTCGTCGGCTGCCGGCTAAAGACGACATCTGCAGATTGAAGACAGCCGAGTCGGTGTGCAAGTATGTATCGTGGTCCACATGGGCGGTGCTTCGACTTTGACCTCGCACTCTACACTGGGTCCGGGTCGGTAGATATTGCTCATTGCTCAAGCACGCCATGCAGATAATCGGAGTGTTTTTTCTCCCGCTTCTGATGATGTGGACTTACCTTCCTGACATGATCTCACGACCCCTCCTTCTTACACCTTGCCAGAGATGTGTCCCGTCCGGGGCGTCCCCTAGGGAGGGGAGGGGATGAGAAGAGAGGAGCAAAGTGCATACTAGTGCATATTGCCTAGATACACCTGCCATCCTACCATATGGGGTAGGGGGGGATGACTTACAAGGTTGAGCGATCCTTGATCTTACTTTACCTATTGCAGTCCCCACACCATTCAAGACTCGGTGCACATCCCTCAAAAGGACGATCCGGGGGTGGGCGACTGGCTCTTCGCGCTCAAGCACCGTTCAGCTGGCGATCTCAAATGGGAGGAGAAAGGAAACCGGACCAGCGCCATTGGTCTCACGAGTCCCGGCTGGGCGCTCCACATGGTACGCCGATCATCGAGCCTCCCCGGATGCTGCCTGCGCCAACTCCAAGATTTGGGCGCAAACTAAAAAATGCCCGAGTGTCCATGTCCATGTCCATGCACCTGACCGCTCCAGGAGAGAAGTGGGGAATAGGTGGATGGCAGTGGTGTATTCTGGTTCGCTGGCCTAGCAACTAGAAGATGATCCTTGACTATGCATGGAGTCTCTTTGAAAGGAAATGTGTTGCTCCGCCTACTGACCCCCCCCAGGGGAGAAAAAAAGAAAAGAAAATTGACCCAAAGGAATAGAAAAAATCAAAACAAAAATCAATAGTTCAGAAATGATCCCGATGATCCCCTTGCCTAACAAAGTTGCCAGGCTTCATCTTCTCAAGGGAATGTGGGTCCATGCGCTCTTCCTTATTGCGAATCATGCACGGCGTATCCCTGTCGGAACTAACATTCGAATCAACAAATCTCGATCTCATGTCGGACATGGTGGATTCTACAGTGGGTCTTCTTAGGTGTTGGTCGCATTACAGATGCGAGACATCACATAAGGGATAACCCGGCAGGCGGTCCATGATATCTGGGCAAGCGGGTCTCTGTTTGTGAATTACCCAGTACGGTGATGCTCCCGCGCTTTAGGAATTATGCTTCACCTACGATTCGCATGTCTCCTTTGGCCCATCCCTTTTGTGGCGCTGGAGCCACGCCGGGGCCGGCCCATACTACTGACATGTGCCTTACATTCATAGGATGGGACTGCATGGGGAATGAACCTGTGATTGGCGTCGTTGGGTCCCAAGACCTTTGATTAGAACGTAAAAACTTCCCCTCTAAGGCGACATCCTGCATGACCCTCGGAGAGAGCCAAGAGGTGGACCGATTCATTATAAATTCGGACTCATTCCCCGGTTTGTGTCAGATCAACTCAATCCCAGCCTCGTCCCGACAAGTCGCCAGACCTCGACCTCCTCATCGGTCCATTCTTTGTCACCCTTCACCATGCTTGCCTTCATCTTCTTCTTCATCGCCTTGGCTGCGGCCTACCCTAACCGGGGTGCCTGCACTGGTGACTGCTGGACAAAAGATCCTGCTGTTATCCAGCGCAACAGTGACGGCAAATTCTTCCGCTTCGGCACTGGCACTGGTATTCCGATCATCACCTCTGACTCCATTAAGGGCCCTTGGACTGCGGCTGGCAAGGCTCTGCCCAATGGATCGAAGATCACCGTCTCTGGCGTGGACAGCTCAAACATCTGGGTAAGCCGAATATCATACTACATTTGTTGTATCACAGCTAATTGCAAACCAGGCCCCGGATGTGCATCTCTCGGGTGACACCTACTACATGTACTATGTTCTCTCCCAGCTAGGAACCCAGAACTCTCAGATTGGTGTGGCTACTTCGAAGACTCTGGCTTCTGGTTCCTGGACCGACCACGGCATTGTTGGCATTCCCCAGAACAGCGCCTACAACCGCATTGACCCCAACTGGATCAACATCGATGGCAAGCAGTATCTCAACTTCGGATCTTTCTGGGGCGATATCTATCAGGTTGAGCTCGAGACTCCCCTCAAGGTCGGCTCCAATACTCCTCACCAGATCGCCTACAACGAGACTCTCAACCACCGCGAGGAGGGAGCTTTCATGTACCAGCACGGCGGCTACTACTACCTCTTCTTCAGCTCTGGAATTGCCGGTGGATACACCCAGACTACTCCTGCTCCCGGTGCTGAGTACCACATCAGCGTGTGCCGTTCTTCTGGAGGCTCGGGCGGATTCGTCGACCAGTCTGGCCAAGATTGCTTGAAGACTGGCGGAACTGTTGTTCTCGCTAGCCACGGCCAAGTTTTCGGGCCCGGTGGACAGGGAATCCTGAACGACAAGGACCTGGGTCCCGTCCTCTACTACCACTACTACCCTCTCGCCACCAAGAACGCCGGTGGCTCTGCTGACGGCAACAATGCCAACTACAAGTTCTCCTGGAACCAGTTGACTTTCACCAACGGATGGCCCGTTGTGTCGGCATAAGACAGAGGGATATGAATTTCTTTTACGCTTGCTACTATACATATACCAGGTGCTAGTCCAGCGACTAGTGCCGTATCTTTCACTTCTTTCTGTCAATGATTGGGTCATACTTCTTTTTCAAAGTACTGCACTCGTTTAGTTCAAGTTCGATACCCATGCCGCCGCGGCCATCTGAGTCCGGGGCGTTTTTGTGTCTTGGCAGAGCATGTTTGTTTCTACTAATCCTTAATCTAGTCTAGCTGCGCCTAGACTAATGCACATTTCCAATTGCATACAAATGAAACCAATCGTTATAGAATCTCAATCATTCTCGCATTTACCCATCTCTAAAGTATTTATTATTACTAGTATCATATATGGATAGACCCCCGCCGTCGTATTTATCAGGAATGCCGGTCCCGCGAAATGATCGCCAACTTTATCTACCGGCCCACATACCGCAGCTCTAAAATGCGCAGGGGCAGGTACGAGGCCGCTGTGAAGACTAGCGCCAACTCGTTCGCTATGTCTCCGCCCTGCACGCCTATCATCGAGGCCAACGCCCCGACATAGTATGTCTCCACCATGCCCACAATCCACCCGGCCGCTCCACAGAGGAACGCTGTGAGACCGGCGTAGCCGACAGGCATCTTCGAGGGGGTGTTCCAAGCGTCGAGATCGTAATTGGCGAGATTGCCCTTTCGGAAGTAATAGTGCTCGGTGAAGAGGATCACGAAGAAAGAGGTATTCCAGTATCCCAACAGGGAAAGGAAGTTCTCTAGCACGTCCAATAGATGGTTCCGGCCTACGATGCCGAGTAGGAAGAATGCATACGAATACGATGAGGGACCAGACAACGCGAGGAACCTTGGCGCACGGCGGGGCAAAGAGTTGCGCAGATAGTGCGCCGGCGTAGATGGCGATAACGTTCACGCCGACTAGGGAAAAAGGTTAGCGTCGCGCATTATGTTTGGGAAGGCAGTGAGTGAGTGCTTAGCGCTCATCAGACATACTCCCAGAGAGAACAAGCAGAACGAGAAGGAACTTGGCAAAACCACTCGGGTAGATGATCTCCTTTAAGATCTCGCCAATGCCGCCCTCATAAGCCTCCGCCCACTCAGGATTCTCACTCAGAGCAGAGGCGATACAAGCACCCAGCAACATCCCAATGCAAGTCGGGATCGTGATTCCCAGCGTTGTGTACAGGAATACCTTGATCTTGGGGGTATTCACGGGGTAGTGAACATAGAAATCCGAGACGATAGAGCTCCACGACGCGCTGGAGCCATATACAACGCTGAACAAGCTGAGAACCTGTCCCGAGCGAGTCAAGCCGTGGACGGACGGCGGGTCAGACAGATTCGCGCGATGCGCAGCTTCACCGTAGATAATCATAAAGATGATGAAGAACAGGATCCACGCGTACTTCTCGTAGAGGAGTACACCGCGCAGTCCGACGAAGCTGAATAGTAGACTGACACACGCGACGATCACCACGCCCACGGCGATCGAGACATGTCCATTCGACACTGCGCTGAGCGCTAGCCCACCCGTGATACAGTTGACAGAGGCCCAGCCCAACTGCTCAATAACGTTCAACAAGGCGATAATAGACGAGGGGTAATAACCGAATGAGTATCGCGAAATAGCGACCTGGCGCAACCCAGTCCCGGGCCCCATCGTCGCGCACCAGCCCTAATTAGTCCCAAAGTAAGTAAAAGTGAATTCGCCATCCCGGTTCCTGTGGCGTAAAAGGGGGTTGAGGGGCCGGAGGGGGAAAGGGAACAAAGAAAAATAAAACATCAAAATAAGAAATCACGTACCGTCACCATGGCCCCTAATAGAGTGGCGAAGATAATGATGGGAATTGTTTGACCAAGAGATAACCCGAATTCCTTGCCCAGAAACCCCGTACTGAAGCAGCTGATGTTCATCGTCGCGGACGCCCACATAAAAGCCATGACCTGCGGACTGGGCGAATGGCGGTTCTCCGGGTGCACGCGGTCAAGACTGTTGGACTCGATGCCCATCTTGCGATCCAGGTACTTCTCATAGTAGTGGACCTTTGCGAAAATGCCCTTTGGTGCGACGGGTTCTTCCTCTTCGACGGGGCGCACCTCCGCTTCGAGTTTCTTCTCTGGGTCAAGTTCCAGGTCGGCCATGGCGATGATGGTGCTGGTGCAGGTTAGTGGACTGGGATGGAGAGAGACGAAGAAGAGAAGGATACCTCGCTACCTTTTTCATCTTTTTTTCATTTTCTTCTTCTCCGCACGGAGGATATGGGGCTAGGTACGGCCAATCTTCCTCGGTTGGCTCCGTCCAATCCCATGGGATCTGCGAGTTGGTGGTGGGCCACATGGTCAGAGTGGCTTATCGCCGGCTTTTCTTTGTTCTTTACACTTTCCAAATGGGTAGGGGTTTCCGATGTGTATGATGGATAGTAGTAGTATACCTAGGTATACTACATTGCCAGTGCCAGTGCCAGCCCTGGAGTGTGGGGTAGTTTGAACTATAAAATCTATAGATGAATATGATGACTTCGGTATTAACTTGAAACGACATTGGATGTACAACGTGGAGAGTGTTCTGGGCGAGTTGACTCTACTTTGGTTAAGCTTTTGGAGCGGTCCGACAAGAAAATTCTCCTTATCAAGTGGGGTAGCCCTTGCTAGTAATACTTAGGTAGTATTTGATTGGCCTGCAGTTCATCTCGCCTCCTTTCCGTTGGATCCCATGGGACATGCCGAGTCAATACTTCTATGGCATGATGGACTACCAAGTGTTGATCTTTTCCAAATTGAAGTTGAAGTCAAAGTATTTATATACTAGTTGCTGATTACTGCTTGCTACACACGGTCTATCGAGTCCAGGCCTCGATCCTCTACATGTGGGAAGCCTTGGAATATAGTGATCACTATTGCCACCGTAGCGAACAGGCCCCCAGAGGCAAATTGGTGCAATAAGTTGGCATTACCTCGTTTACTCTACCTAGATACTTACCTATCATACTATTACATCTTATGAGGCCTATTTGAAGCATTTAGAGCGGTAGTTGCCCAACACTGAGATTACACATATCACGTGGATGTCTTATCGCCAAGAGAGCCCCCCCAAGGAGAAGTTGGACAACCACATATCATTAGATAGCTGGGATTGACATCCTCTCTACGGAGCGTGGAGTACGGAGTAAGTAATTCAGGATCAATGCATCTGGAGAATGGCGGGGGAGTGATTGGTGCGAGGATGTGATCTGCGGGTGACAGTTCCAACAAACTCTGGATGACCCGTGGGGATGTGCCACACCCAATTAATGGGCCTGTAGATGCCGGGGAAACTAAAAGGAATTCGAGATCAAAATGAAAATTAAGTGAAATCAATTCAAAGTTGAAAAGACGTAATTGTGAAAAGATATTAACCTACAGAGTCAAGGACAGAAAAGGCCAAAGTGGCGCTCGGAGGCGGAGAAAACCCCCCCCCGGAAGCTGGCTGGTGCTGGCCTCTTCTCGGTGACTTTGTGTTGTCTGGGGATCTTGAACTTCTTCCTTCTCTCCACCTCCACCTCCACCTCCTCCCCCCTTTTACATTTCTCTCCCACGACCCTTTTTGTTAGGGTCTACGGGTTCATTGTACATTCTCTAGGGTGTTTTGGCCAGCCCAATACTTCCCCTCCCTTTTTGATACTTGTCCCAGCTTTCCCCGGGCATCTCACGGAATTGTCAGAGGGCATCTACATCACCCTGTTCGCCAATTCGCCAAAGTAGCATTTATCTTGTGAGTGATTCCTCTTTTCACTTCCTAATTTGAATTCTCTTCATATATGCTGGCCACATCCCCCATCGTGCCACTCACTGTTCTGCTCTGGTCCATCCATACTGATCTCACTCCGCTTCAATTGTAGGCTACCTTTGCACAGCCCCCCCATCTCCGTCGATTCTCCCCGGTTTTTTGATACATCCTCTTGATTCACCATGGCTGCCGATGCTTCTGCTACCGCCAATGGCGGTGCCTCCAAGTCTCTTGCCGCCATGCTCGAGGCGCAACACGAAGAGGCCCACAAGGTCACAGTTGAAGACGTTGTGGACGAAGAAGATCTGAAGCATCCTGTTCCCTCCGCGAACAAGCTCGCCGCTCCTCCGATCTTGGAAGCTGTTACCCCCGTCGAGTCGACTGCCCCGTCCCCGCCCCCGCTCCGGTCCCCGCCTCGAAGCCTGCCGCGAAGAAGTCTCCCGCATTTGATGTTCAATCCGAAGAGCTGTTCCCTGCGCTTGGTAGTGGCCCGAAGCCCGCTGCTCCTGCTGCGGCCACATGGGGTGCGAAGAAGCCATCTGCGGCCTCGGCCGTTGCGAATGGTCTTCCTCCCCAACCATTGGGTAAGCGAATTGAAACCGAGTGAATGGAGAGCCTCCGAAAGATCACTAACCCGGAATTGATAGATGTTCCCCGTGTTATGTCGCTCCCAGGAAAGCACATGGAGCAGCTCCGGTTGGCTCCTTCTCAGATGCAGCCGCGTGGAGGCTTGAAGAAGCCTCTGCGGGACATCTTGCGGGATATCTCCCGGCGGTCCAAGGCCACCGTTGACATGCGCGGTGGCCCCGGCGGCTCAATTATTTTTGAAGGAAAGGGCTCTGTCGACTCTGTGCGACAGGCCCTTAAGGAGGTGGCACAGCAGGTTGGATCGAAGGTATGTCAACAAGAAGAGCGCACGAAGCAGAGTCAAGCGATTGGAAAACTAACAACGTCTTTCTCGAAAAGCAATCGGTTCGTGTGCCTATCCCTACCTCCGCCCGTGCCCACATCATTGGCCGCCAAGGTGCAGTCGTTCAAGATATCCAAAGCCGTACCGGTGCCCGTGTCCAAGTTCCCCGCGCCGATGACAACGCCGCCCCCGCCGACGATGACGATGAGGATACCATTGATGTGCTGATCGAGGGTGATGCAGTGGCTGCGGAGATGGCGCGCCGGGAGATCGAAGCAATTGTCAAGGAGCGTGGCTCTAACATGAGCCTTCGCCTGAAGACGATTCCAGCGGAATTCTTCCCCTTCATCGCTGGTGCCCACGATGCTAGACTTCGAGAAATTGAGGAGCGCACAAAGGCACAGGTCCACGTGCCCCGATATGATACCTGGTCAAGCCAGCCTCCCCCCCCCAGGAAGCCCACCCTGGCCAGGTTCAGTTCGTGCCTTGCCCCGACAAGCACATTCTGATCTCCGGAGAGCGGGCTGCGGCCCAGGAGGCTCGTGCCGAGGTCGAACGCCTCGCTGCTGAGCTCCAGCGCAACCTCACTCTTCGCCAGCTGGCAATCAACCGTGGTCAACACCAGTTCATTCTTGGAAACGAAGCCGATGCGCTCCACCAGTTCCTTGCTCAGACCGGCTGCGCCATCGTCCTTCCTCCTGCGTCCGACGAGAGCGAGTTCTTGACCATCACTGGCCCTCTGAACCAGATTGAGACTGGTATCAACCATGCCATGGATCTTGCTACCAGCATGCAGATGGCCAGCATTGACCTGTCCCGTCAACATCCCAGTGCTCCCGCTGGTCCCCACGCTCACGCACGCGCTTTGACACAATATCTCCGCCGCCGCCAAATTATCAAGCAACTCGAGTCTGCTTATGATGCCCACATTGCGATGCCCCCTAGTGCCGATGGACCCGTGAACTGGGAGGTCTACTCTCGCGACGGCAAGAACACCATCCGTGCTCGCTCCGACATTATGAACCTTGTTCAAGCCCACCCTCCTTCTCGTCTGCGTCACGTACCGGTCGACCCCTACTTCCACTCCTACCTCCGCTCGCGTAGTGCGAGCAAGCTCCAGGGCGACTATGGTGTCCACCTGCTGGTGCCGGATGATGTTAACAGCACCGAGGTTGTCCTGGTCTATGAGGGCCCAACCGCCACTGCCTCCAGCTTCGAGGTTCCCCGCCAGCGCCCCTCTCCCGCCGAGATCACCGCATTTGAGAAATCGCTACAGGAGGCCCAGGAGTTCCTGTTGAGCACCCTCGGTAACCAGAGCGATATTGTCGCCAAGACCACCACAGTTCCTGGCAAGTACCAGGAGAAGGCCCGCAAGTTCATCATTCGCGAGCAGGACGCCAAGGGAGAGGACAGCATCCCCGTGCGAGCTATTGTTGGCGACGCAAAGGCATCCAAGTGTGAGATCGCTCTCCGTGGTCCCTCCAGCCTGGTTGACGAGCTTGCTGCTAAGCTGGAAGTTTTCGTTGTTGAGCAGGAGAAGGATGACCTGGAGCGTGGATACACAAACACCTTCGACTTCCCCCAGAAGTATGCCAACTTCCTCATCGGCAAGCGTGGCGAGAACATCAACAAGCTTCGTGAGGAGTTCGATGTTGACATTAAGGTTGAGAATGGAACAGTGGAGGTCAAGGGACCCAAGGCCAAGGCTGATGCCGCCCGCATGCGCATTATCAACATGGGCAAGAAGTTGGAGGATGAGACCACTCACATCCTGAAGATTCCCGCCCAGTACCACCGCGAGCTGATCGGTCAGCGTGGTAACCAGGTCAACCGTCTCCAGGATCGCTACTCCGTCCGAGTTCAATTCCCCCGCGCAGCTGTTGCGGATGACGTTTCCACAACTGACACTGGCAGTGATGCCGGTGCTGCTCGGCCTGGCCGCCCCCAACAGGCTGCTGATGAGGTGCTGGTTAAGGGTCCCAGCAAGGGCGCTGACTCCGCTCGTGATGAGCTTTTGAGTTTGTGGCAGTACGTCGTTGAGACCTCGCACACTGCCAATGTCTCCGTCGCCCAGAACCAAGTTGCCTCGCTGATTGGCCAGCGCGGTCGCGAAATGGATAAGCTGCGCGCTGATACCGGTGCTCAAATCGATGTTCCCAGTGCCAATGATGCACCGGATGCCTCTGGACGAGTACAGATCCGTATCAAGGGTACCAAGCAGCAGGTCGCCGAAGCCAAGAAGATCCTCACTCAACGGGCCAGTGAATTCGATGCCACCGTTACCAAGTCGATTGAGGTGGACAAGAAGTATCACAAGGCCTTGATTGGTGGAGGTGGTACGTTATCCCCATACCCTTCCAACTCACCCGTTTCCTCGTTACTAACAGCTACTAGGTGCCAACATCCGCAAGATCGTCGTTGATGCCGGCGGTCCCAGTGACGGCAGCGCTGCCCGCATGGTCCGTTTCCCACGTCCCGACAGCACCGAGTCTACTATCCGCCTCGAGGGCAATGGTAAGATCGTCGAGAGCATCATTGCTGCTATCGAGGAATTCGTCAAGGAGCGCGCGGACCAGGTCACCGAGACCCTCGATGTTCCCACCGCCCAGCACCGCCTGCTGATTGGTCGCGGTGGTGAGGCTCGTCGCAGCATCGAATCGAAGTTCAATGTTACCCTGGATATCCCCAAGCAAGGCTCGGGCCGCACCGACATTAAGCTCAAGGGTCCCAGCAACGCCGTTGCCGAGGCCAAGGAGCACGTCCAGGGCATGCTGAAGGAGCAACACGCCGAGACCGCCGAGGTCCCGACCTACCTGCACCACGTCGTTGCCGACAACGGCGCTTTCTTCCGCCGCCTGCGCAATGAATACCAGGTTACTGTCGACCACGCCGGCAAATCTGTTCCCACAAGCCGTCCCGCCGAGGAGACCCGCTCCGTTGCCAACGGCACTTCCCTCCCCCTCATCACCGACGACGCGGAAGCTGCCTCCGATGCTCACTCGTGGAATGTTGTCGATAACGGCAAGACCGCCGATGCCGATGTCAGCCCCTTCCCATGGGTTCTGACCGGTTCCCCCGAGAGCGTGGCCAAGGCCCGTGCCGCCATCACCAAGGCTATTGATAACGCGCAGCAGCAATCTGCCACCGGCTACTTGATTCTGCCTGACCCCAAGACCTACCGCTACGTGGTCGGTCAAGGTGGTAGCCAGATCAACGCCATTCGCAAGAAGACAGGTTGCCGCATCAACGTGCCCAAGGACCAGGCTCAGGGTGAGGCGATCGAGATCCGCGGCAGCTCTGCTGGTTTGGAGGAAGCCAAGGATATGATTCTGGAGGCTGTTCAGAACGGTCTGAACGGTTCTGCCCGGTAATTGTTGCTTTATTTTGGTTTTTGATGGGTGACCCTTCCCCCCTTTTCCGACAGATTATGACAGGACATATTGGGCATTCCAGACATATACACCAAATCTCTTTGAGAAATTCTTTGTGTTTATTTTATTTATCCTTGTTTTCTTAACATCTACGATGGTATTTAGTGTATCTCTTCTCTTCTATTTCAAAAAGAATGTTCTCTTCTCATTTTTTTCCTTTTCTTGCTGTGTCTTTTATCTGAACTGGGTATTCTAAGATTGCCCTGTGGATCTCAACCAAAGTTGATATCCTAGCGAAACAAAATTAAGAAAAAGGTTTTCAAATGGTATCCATTTTTGAGTAAAAACATCGTGTCTATCCCGAGTCCGACTGGCCTAGTTTAAGCACCGCCCCCTCCGAAGCTGAAGCCACCCCTCGCGATCCACTTCGAGTCCTCCTTATGCAAGTCCCGCGATAGCTGGCTTTCACGAGCACGTTGTCGCCGGCCATGCTCCTTTATATGTTTCCTCTCCGTCCTCTTATCGCCCGAAGATATATTTTGTGATTCTTTGTGAATGGAGTCGACGTCGGACTTGGTCTTGGATTCCTCGCTCAAGTCGCCGGAGAAGATACGCTTCACCCAACCAAACACCATGATATTGGGCGAGTTAATTGTGGCAGGACGTCTGAGATTCCATATGATAGGTTAGATTTGTATCCAAAGGGAACTATCGGGGGAAGATACCTTTGAGGCAGCGCTATGAATAAGAATAAGGCATTATCGGGTATCCCAGGTAGACGATGTTGGTTTTAACCGACAGTGGGGGCGAAGGGGCCAAATTCGACGCCGATGATGTGATGTGAATCTTGGCGCGCTGTTGGACCAGGGCACCCAGTGGAATATTAGCAGATCGTCATACTTGGAAATATGCCATGGCATTTTAAAGCAAGATGTCGTTCTCGAGATAGTCGTTGAGGCAGACCGGCATCTACGCCTCACAAATTTCACGGATTCCGGGAACCTCTCGCTGATGGAAATTTCCTGATTGTCGAAGATTCAGAGCTAAGCTTCCCTTGTGCATTCGGAAAAGGCGAAGGGGAGGTCTTCGTTGCCTTTCAGAACTCTCAAGAGCGCGCAAAGCCATAAAACCCAGCATTTATTTCACCTCCGAGGCGTTTCGAGGTTGACAAGTATCTCGGGAGGAACGCACAGCAGTTATCATGGTGTCGAGTCTCAAATGGCGCCGATGAATGGATTGATGAAGCGAAGGCAATCGTATCGAGCGATAACTTGTGTACTAGCTCTTGAACCGAAGAATGATATCTCATGAGGGAGAACTTTTGTTGTGGTCTGCGCCCTTTCACAGCTTGCTCCCCTGCCAGTGGCTTCCGTCGACATCAAGCGGAAGATATCGGTATGGGTGGAGTGGGCGCAATAGAAGGATGAATATTATTATGGGCTGGAGAGGGTATTGCATATCTCTAAAAATTGAAGTTAGATATCTGTTCGCCTCTGAGTTTTGGTAAGAGGCATGAGCCCAAGTCCGTCTCTCTTGGTGATCTTGCTTTGCCTTCAAGCATATTGAGACTTCATCTATGCCGTCAGGTCTCGGGTAGGGACATGCGCCCAAGTCCGTCGCCTGTGGAGATCTGTTTGATTTTTGACCATTGTGATAGACGAAATGGTGAGTTCGATATCTCAGGTCAAAGGTGAGGCCCAATGTCATTACTGGACACCCAGAGTCCCTTGCAAGACCGGTTTCGTCCAGGATGGCCAGGGTTGTGGCCAGGGTCTCGGAGACCAAGCCCGCATACAAGACGGACCTGAAGCAATAGCAACGAGATATCTTGCAGGAGGGCCAAGGACCATCCAGAGTGGCTGAGGCTGAGGTGGTTCCGTATGGCCAGTGACTCAATCTGAGGAGCTTAGGGAAGGCCAGTGCCTCTTGCGAGGCCAGCAAAGTCCAATAGCCAGGATTTCAATTTGAGGGCTTAGGAATGGCCAGTGTCTCTTGCGAGGTCAGCAACGTCCAGCCAGGATCTCAATGTGAGGGGGTTTTGCGAGCATCTTCAATCTGAGGGCTTTGGGACAGCCGGTGTGCCTCTTGCGAGGGCCAGCGTCAGCCAACAGCGGATCTCAATCTGAGAAGTTGCGGAGGGCCAGGGCCTTATCTCAATCTGAGGGTTTTCGGATTGCCGGTACCTCTTGCGAGGCCAGCAACATCCAGTAGCCAAGGTCTCAATTTGAGGGGGGGCCGAGGTAGTTCCGAATGGCCAACGTCTCTGCGAGGGTTGAAGTTGGGATAGGTGGTGATGGGGAAGAGAAAGAGGGTGTGTGTGTGTGAGAGAGAGAGAGAAGAAGAAGAAGAAGAAGAAGAAGAAGAAGAAGAAGAAGAAGAAGAAGAAGAAGAAGAAGAAGAGGGGCTGGGGGCTGGGAAGGACGTAGGGAAGGAGCTGAACGGTGGAAAGTGGCAGTGAATGGGATCGATCTGGTCGTGGTTGCCTAATTCGGCATGATGAATAGTGAATGATGAATTGGAAGTTGCCGAGGTGGCGCCACCGCTCCTTCCTCTGAAAAGAGAAAAATAGTGGTGTGGCGTCAAGAGGAAGGAGATCGAGGCTCCATAGGTGCTGTCCATACCATGAGTGCACGGGTATCCTTCCCTTGGGCATTTCAACCTTTTTTTTGCACAAACCCCTCGTAGATGCAAAATGTGTAGTAGGATTCGACAAAAGAAAGGACCTACCCAATTATCTAAGAGACAACTACATTGTTGGAATTAAGTTTCAAAATGATGACCCGACGTTGTTTTTAAGCCGATCTAGCCAAAGCTTGGCATTGATGAACTATGGATCTTGGACATGTTCCAAAAACCCTCCCCGAGTCCGTCTCCACTAACGGCACAACCGCATAGGAAGGCCCCAATTCCTGTTTCCCCCTTACGATTCTCGACTCAACCGTGATTTTGAAAATTGGGGCTGTTGTGAAGTATTTGGCGTGGGAATCGAATCTCTGCATCGATGACTATCCTTTTTCCCCTAGGTCGATGAAGGTTGAACTGTCTTCCCGAGAACGCCAAATAGGCGTTCAATCAAAATTGGTCATGATGATTGGGGATCAGGCTCGGAGGGGGGGAGGGGGGCAGGCTAACGAGAATTCATGTGTTAGTATCATTTATCACAGGGTTCATGAATTGAAGGTAGTAGCTCACGGAGGGGGCAGGGGGAGGAGTGCTGGCAGCACCACAGGCAGTGGCGGAAATGACAAATCTGCCCACTCGATGGGCACTGTGGGGCCATTGTCTCTAATGACAGTCTCTCTGTCCTCGTTGAACACTAAGACGCCATTGTCTGCGACAAAAATCCCTCTGTTAGCAGACGATTCCGGGGCAGAGACATCCTTGATTATGTTAGCAAGCACATGCACATAATGTAGTAGAAAATAAGACACAAATTACAGCGAGAAAAGATTCGCCGAGTGCAGCCGTAGCTTCAACACCATTTATGACCCCATCACTTGTCAATCCGATGAGGGAGGATTGAGTAGTTCCGCTATTGCCTGTGTTAACAGTGTCTCTCCCCTCAGTGGGCTTTGAAGTGACGCCCTGGTCGGGGCTGGCGGAGGCGTGAAAAGCACTCATTTCACGCTTCCTCGCCTTGTTTCTGCGGCGACGTAGTCTTTCACTCTCCCGACGGTATGCTCTCGCATCTTCCGAGCGTCGGCATGGTGGTCGCGATCGTGGTGCCGATGCGCGAGCAGGTGATGCGGCAGAGGGTGTCTTGATTCTATTAGCAAATCTCCAGCAGATGGGGAAAAAAGGAAAAGAAATTAGTCACAGTGTGAAGGATTTCGTCGAGTGCGGCCTCAATATCAACGGTATCAACGGTATCAACGACTTCCACATTGGCCATGCCTAAGGGGGAAGACATGGAATTTCCACTATTGTCTGCGGTCATATTATCTCTCCTGCCGGCGGGCTTTGAAGCGGCCTCCCGGTCGGCGTTAGCAAAAGCTTCAAAAGTGTCCATCGCAAGATTCTTCTTCTTTTTCTTCTCGTCTTGCTTGAAGCAGAATAATCGTTGGCATCCAGCGAAGCGCGCTTCTGTAGCTGGCGAGAGTTAGCGTCGTCGTCAGTCTGGTTCTGGTACGACTCCAATGCTAGTAGAGGTAGTCAGTCCCTATATCCAGAATAATGAATTTCACAGATGAGTCTTCAGTCCCAGATTCCGATGAAAGCGCATGAGACATGGGATGGACTTACAAGAGAATTTTTGTCGGAGGTGAGCTTGTTCGTGCAGCGTCTGAGGCCGTCCTCTTCCTCGATATCCTTTTTGATCTCGATTTAGAGAGAGGATCTCCAGGGATATGCGGGAAAGGAGGGACGGTAAGCTTCATATAATGTTGAGAGGGTGGGTAGTGGTAGTAGTGGGTCAACAGTATGAGTGCATGGGTGTAAAGTGCAGAGTGGAGTGAATGAAAATAAAGTGGGAACGCAAACATGGGATGTTATCTGGAAGTGGGACTTGTTCGTTACTCGCAGTTTTGTCCAAGACATCTTCTTCCAAACTGACGCACCTCAAAGATAGCTCTCTTTTACCTCGATTTAATATTCTCCGCCTTGAACACGAAGAGCACACACGTCGTTTCTTGACCTTGATCTTCACCGCGACGAGAATTGATTCCAATCGTGCTCGCAAAAAGCACTGACCTACCTTATTGATATTGACCTGCTGGAGCAACTTTTCAGAACGCAAACGTGCCAGAAATGCCACCGTCTTCTTTACTTACTAGATAATTGTGAATTACACCATGCCATACGGACCAGTCGGCTGAATATTGACTGCGGAGCTTTCATTGTTATTGAATCTGCAGTCAACTTGACCAAATTACTAGCATGTACTTGCTCACACCTACGATGCTTACAAAAATTGTTTACAACCTTGAAGACATTTGTCGTGTTCATGTCTTTGTGTTTCCGGGCTTGCTTAGGTTTATTTTGTTTTACTCAAGCTGAAGGGGTTTTCGTGGAAAGAGATTGACGCCATTTTCCCGAACGAAGTCAGCACTGAGGAGATCGCCTTCGCCGTATACGTTGCAAATGAGCTTCAAGTTGGAGCTCATAGTATGACAGGTGCTGCTGCGGATGACGTAATCGTATGTAGTCGACGAGGTTCGTCCTCGAAGCAACTTGAAGCCCTGGAGATCATGATGTCGATTTTATTGAATATAACGATACTAGTACTATATAACTATATGGTATTATACCTAGGTAGGTACCTAGGTAGGTACTTAGGTATATTACCTGGCTGCGACACCCACATTAGTACATGAGCATAAATTCAAGTTTATACTAGTAGTAGTAGTAGCACTGAACCTTGGAATTAGTATGAAAAACCTCCGTGGCGAGAAAAAGATTTTAATGCGATTAAATGGAAGAGAATCCTTGGATAACTATACACGCATACTACTTACAGAACAGCGAAAGAGACCCAGATATGTCCGGTCTTTGTGACGTATAAAACATACCGTCGACTCTACTAGGATGCTAGTAGTCTTAGGAACCCTCCGACTCGGACCGGAGGTCGCAAATCCGGTTCAAGTTTCTCTTTAACTATGGGAGGCCTACAACATAACTGAAGGTCATAAAATCCCCTTCACTGGATAAAAGACCAGCTCTCAGAGCCCTAGAGATTCTTGGCATGTAGATTTGGATACAACTTTGGCTACGTCATTTTAAACTCGTTGTACGTAGGTCACATGTGTTTGAAAGAATTTTATGATCTAGCACCGTGGCCTATCATATCATTACGGATAGAATAGCGAAGGCGAGTACTTAATATGATAACCCTGTACAGCCACAGTCATCATGGGCCTGCGTAAACAATGACATCATAGGGGGATCGGCCCTCCCATATAACCAACACATGCAACCTAAGAACTCCACAACACAACTATTCAAACCACTGGCATTATCTCAAATCTTTCTGCATCGAATTTCTCGAGCTATACTCTCTTGCTTTCCACGATCAACGTCAACTGATACCCACCCGTCCCAAAAACACCAACTTCAATTTCCCACCATGACAATCGGCTCCCAAGACCAAGGCGCAACAGGCGCTGCCAAATGGGTGACATCCACCCTTGGAAACACAGTTGGCGGCGTGGCCCGTACTGTAGGAGGAGTCACGGGTGCTGCGACGAGAGGTGTTGGCGATACCATCAACAGTGCGACGGGAAGTGCTGGACGACCCGTTGGCGATGCGATTGGAAATGCTGGGACTGGACTGGAAGATGGAACGAAACAGGTCGCGAAGGGGGTTGAAAATGCCGGGCAGTGGAAAGGACAGTGGAGGTAGTGATATGATCCAGAGTGATCTTGTTCAACTTGCGTTCCTCTGCGTTGATGAAAATCATCAAATTGGATGTGTATAACCATGTGTACATTATGATGATGTTTCCTGTTTAATAGTCAAGCTTCATTCCAATATTCAAACACCTTTCCGTCAGTTCTTCAAGTTCCCTCTAAGTCCGAGTCTATAGTAAAGTCTAACAGTATATATACAAAAGTCCACAAAGCCCCCCCCAAAATCCCAATATCTAAAACTTGAAAAACACCCCTCAATGCTCCGCAGGAACCTTGAGCTTAATCTGCGTTCCCAGCGTCACCAAAGTCCCAAAACTTCCCACCGCCATAAAGACCGGGCCCCAAATAGCCGGCACAAATTGACCGACCATCAAATACCGGCGTATAGACCAGTAGCGGAAAAACCCATACCCCAAACACCAAGCACCCAAAGACTGACAAATTCTCGACGCGGTGACATGCTCCTTCAGCATGATGAGGATCTCAGGGCTTTCTCCCCGCTTCGCGGTCGCTGAGGTCTGCGGCTCCTTGCCCGCGAGCGCGAGTTGCTTGTGGAGGAGATGGTCGACGGCCTCGAGGCGGTCTAGCGCGAGGGCCATGAGGCCGAAGCCAAGACCTGCTCGGGTCCATGAGAGAAAAGTACGCTCGTTGGCGTGGTGGTCGCGCTGTTGAGATCCTGAATTTGCGACTTGTCTAGGGAGAAGACGGCGGAGGAAAGAGGCCATCTTGTAAATTATGCAATAATGCAAGATAAAATGAACGTAAGCGGTCGCGAAGACCGAACTTGGGGAATTGGGGAATTTTCTTGGAGATATTCGGGAGGCGTTTCAATGGCCGCAGGGCTGAGGATCGGATCCACGTGGAGACTTGCGTTTGTTGCCCTTGCCGGTACCCGTACCTTAACCTAGGTATATTCGGCCATCCTCGGGGACTTCATACCTAGGTGTAAATGTATACATACTCTCGTACTCGCCGATATCATTCGCCGAACGAATCTCGAATAAAGCTCGGCATTCTCGGGATCTCTAACTTATCTGATTCCACTGATTCAGATTCAAATGCAACACAACAAACCCAATCTCAAGTCTCCCACTGCGCCCGGACTTATGCACGGCAGATGCCGCCTCCTATTGGTCCCCCGCGACCCGCAACGCTGCACTTAGGCTTAGGTTACCCCAGACTCTCCCCCTCGATCTTGGATACAATGGAGCCCTCAAAATCTTTCAAGTGACTCTATATATCCTTCCCTACATCGCACGAGGCAGTTGGATCGCCGTTGAAGCCTGCGAGGCATCTCGTATGACCGTCGACTATCCATTCGGACGAGAGAATCCTGCTCGGGCGAGAAATGGCTTCTCGGGCGAGAGACGATTGCACCATCGCCGACTATACGGAAGAGTACTGTATCGATACTGAGTATAGCCTGGCACTAATACAGACCAGAAGTTGATATACTTCTAGTATCATAGGATAGATGTGTTTCGTGGAAGATATCATATGCAATTTAAAAATACATTTAAGTATACAGATCGACTCAATCAAAGTCTCCTACTACCTAGGTAGTAGTGTGCGAAGCCCACCACCATTTTCAAAGAACGAGCAAAACACAACAGGCAACACACTACCACTTCAACCCACCCAATCTCAACGGTAAATGAAGAAACCGCTGCCCAGCCTCCGTCGGCGCAGGAAGCCGTCCACCCCGAATATTAACCTGCAAAGACTGATGAAGCAGCCTAGGCTCATTCAAACTAGCATCGCGCTCCGTCCGCAACGCAACAAATTGCTCCTCGGAGATAGACTCCTTGATATGCCGATTCAACCGCTTATGTTCGCCAACACTCATAAAGGCCACGGGGTCCCGGTCAGGCGGGGGGTAGTCGTGCCCGGGCCAGATCTTGACACATTCGTCGAATTCGAGTAATCTGCGCGCGGAGTTGTAGAGATTCTTTGCGTTGCCGCCGGGGAAGTCGCAGCGTGCTGTGCCGATGTCGATGTGGAAGAGGGAGTCACCGCAGAAGATATTTTCTGGATTGGGGGTGTTAGTCATATATCGTATGTATGTTTGCCACTCCTTTGCTAACTAGTAGCGATGGGAGAGGGCGAGGCGGGTGTTTGCCACATACCTCCGATTTGATACCCAAGGTGATCTGGCGTGTGGCCTGGGAGATGGAGAGCGGTGGCTGTGATGCTGCCAATGGCGAACCTCTCGTCGTCATCGAAGAGGTGGTCGAAGACTTGCTCGTATTCTTCTTTGCCGATGTGGTATCGCATGCCGAAGAGGTTTTGGACTTGCGCGATGCGCTTGCCGATTCCTATCGGCGGTTTGAATCCTTGGGATTGGTTGAGTTGGTGCTGTAAATATGCAGATGCAGTGAGGTGATCTGCATGAGCGTGTGTTTCGAGGATTCTCTCGATTCGGTAGCCCTTTTCTTGAACTAGCGAGAGTAATTCGTCGGCTGCTGTCGTGGTAATGGCCTGGGTGGCGGGCTCATAGTTCAAGACCGGATCGATGATGATGGCGGCCTTTGCGGATGGATCTGCCACGATGTATTGCCATGTTCCTGTCACGGGTTCGAAGACGTTGTGGACGGTGGGCTCTTGGGTTGACGCAGAGCTGATGCTGTTTGAGCGTGCTTGATACAGGCCTTGGAGATTGCGGGGTGGAGACATGTGGATATGGCTCGAAGTCTGAGACCCTAGTCTCTGCGGCGCTAGGCTCGTGATGGATAATGAACTCTTTGAGTGTGCTGAAATTTGGCGATTGGCCACTGAAGGAATGGTTGCAATTGGTGTGAAGTGTATGCGTCCTATCGTTGACCTAGAGGGAGCCAGTAGAGAGTGCTTGACCTTCATGTTGAAGTCGATCTGTAGGATGGAATGAGGATATCTATTTATGTGTGGATGGTGTGGATGGATGTAGGAGGTAGGTATGTGTGATTTCGGCGTCTACTAACTAGTAGATGTGAGGTTGAGGTTGAAGATGAATAAACTCGGGCTCCATAAGATCCCATCCCTTGGTCGCCGATTGACTCGGCGAATGGAATGTCTCCGCTCGGAGACATCTAAATCAGAGCAGTTCCTGAATCACAGACACCTTAGCACTAGTAGTATGAATATTTATCAGGCCATGATCCTGGCTGGAGCTGTCCCACTGTGGTGAGAGGTGGATCCCCGGTAAGGCATTGTAACCGGTAAAACGAACTAACTTTACGTCGATCACGGCCGAGACGAATGCGTCTCGCGTCATCTCATCCCATTCCATTCCTTCTTTTTTTCTTTTGAATATCTCCCCCCCCTTCTCCTTCCCAATTCACCAGCTTTGCATTACACCCTCCCTCACGCCCTAAAATCCCAATATAATAACTATGTTCCGCCGCGTCACACGCGCCACGCACGCCGTGCCAACCATCCGCAGCTTCGCAACCGCAGCCCCCGCCGCCGCAGCCCGCAACCACAAAGTCGTCGTCGTCGGCGCCGGTACCGCCGGCCTATCAATCAGCCACCAGCTCCTCCAATCCGGCAAATTCAACCAAGATGATATCGCAATCGTCGACCCAGCCGAGTTCCACCACTACCAGCCCGGCTGGACGCTCGTCGGCGGCGGCCTCAAGACAAAAGAAGAACTCCGGCGCCCAATGAAGTCGCTCATCGACTCGAAGCTGAAATTCTACAACGACAGCGTCGCCTCCTTCACCCCGGACCAAAACACCGTCACCTTCGCCAACGGCGACAAAGTCAATTACGACCAATTGATCGTCGCCCCGGGCCTGACAATCAACTACGGCAGCGTCAAGGGTCTGCCCGAGGCCCTGGCCGATGCCTCCGCACCTGTGTCCTCGATCTACGGCTACGACAGCGTGAGCAAGGTCTTCGGTACGATCCAGAGACTCGAGAAGGGAAATGCTATCTTCACACAGCCCGCCGGCGCGATTAAGTGTGCCGGCGCCCCGCAGAAGATCATGTGGTTGGCTCTGGACTACTGGAAGCGCGCTGGCCTGTACGATCCGGCCAACCCTTCCGGCTCGGGGATCAAGATCGACTTTGCGACTGGTATGCCGGTGATGTTCGGCGTGCCGAAGTATAACAAGGCACTTACGGCGATGCAGCAGGAGCGCGGCGTGAACGCGCTGTTCCAACACGACCTTGTTGCCATTGATGGGAATACGGCGACGTTTGCCCGGCCCGATGGCCAGGCGCAGGTGTCGAAGAAGTTTGATTTGCTGCACGTTGTGCCGAAGATGGGGGCGCCTGCTTTTGTGAAGGATAGTGCGCTGGCGAATGAGGGTGGTTTTGTTGATGTTGATGATGGGACAGCTCAGCATAAGAAGTTTGCTAATGTTTGGTCGGCCGGTGATGCGTCTAGTCTGCCTACTTCTAAGACTGCGGCGGCGGTTACGGCGCAGGCGCCTGTTGTGGTGCGGAACTTGTTGCAGGCTATGGAAGGGAAGAAGGCTGATGCTGTTTATGATGGGTATACCTCTTGCCCGCTGTTGACGGAGTATGGCAAGGTTCTCCTTGCGGAGTTCAAGTATGGTGGGGTGCCGAAGGAGACTTTTGGTGATTGGTTTGGTATTGATCAGGCTGTGCCGCGTCGCTCTTTCTATCATCTCAAGAAGGACTTCTTTCCTTGGGTTTACTACAACTCCATGGTTAAGGGTGAATGGGCTGGACCTAGTGGGTGGAAATAGAGATGTTGACGTGTGTTAATGTTGGTCTGAGTGCACTTTATGGAGTTTTGGGTCATAGATTGATCAATGTATTCTAGGACAGTATGTCGAGACAAAATGGAATACCCGGGAGGATATGTACTATCTGAAGTTCAAGTTGTTATCTGATTCAGCCTCTTCCTTCGTAACTTGAAGTTGGTCCACTACCTAGTATGCTGCAATTGCCGGACATTACCTAGGTAGGTACCTGGGCCAGGCGCATACTACCTGCTACTTCGTACTAGGTATCCCACTGCCATTGCGGGCAGTCTTCCCCGCCGCGGTTAGGGTCCGCGGATTGCGGATTGCGGATTGCGGATTGCGGGTTCCGAGTCGGCGCCGTCTGAGCCGAAGCATGGCGGGGGTCCATCCCCTACAAAGGTCTAGAGCGGACAATGACAATGGCAATGGCAATAGAAATCCACAATCAGATATAGGTCTATTAATATATGCGTAGAAACAGAAATCTGACCATCTCCGCACTCGAGGGCCCCCACTGCGGCAAAGTTGACCCGAAGGAGCAAAGGATTCCGCACTGCAGGGTAAGGGCCGCCGGGCTTTGCTCTGTTCGTCAAACTCCCCACCCGGAGTCAACATGCTAACTTGGTCCCGAGGAAACTGGTAGCTTGAACAGAGAGCAAAGAGCGGAGAAACAAGAAGAGGCGTAGCACATAGCACATAAAACTCCACTATATCAGTAGGCAGGCAGGTAGAGAGGAGCGAAGAAAAGGCCCGGGATATACCATCTGGCAATGAAATGATCACAATGAAAAAAAAGACAGCCAATAATTAAAAATGAAAAAAAAAGAAACCCCAAAAAGACATGAGTAAAATGATATCTCGCTTCATAGGCTTTGCGGTCAATGCCCTCTCCTAATCTCCCCGCAGCAGCTCTTTGCTCTTTTCGTCTTCCCCTCACGGAGGATCATTCCAGCACCTTCCAAGGGTGTGTTTCCCCCCCAACTTAGTTCCTCCACAGGTTTTTGACCCATCTCCCACCCCCTCATCACATACCCCATCTATCGTTTTGATAGTGTAAACTCATATACATCGGCACAGCAGCTACCCCCACTTTACTGTTGGGCGGCCTTCTGGGCCTCGAGGTAGTTGTAAGCACCGTAGGCAATGGCACCACCGATGAGGATGATGGCGTAGAGACCGACACCGAAGCCGCCAGAGCTGGCGGTGGTGGCCGATGAGCTGGAAGTGGCGCCGTGTGTCTTGGGCTCTGGGTCACCGGGCTGGAGGGAGTTAGCGGTGGTTCATATGTATAGAGACAGTCGCGAAGAATATGGAGAATAGAGTCGAAACGTACCATGCGCTTCACGTTGCCGACGAGCAGACCGTCGAGAATCTCGCGCGCCTCGTCGGAGTGGCCGACATCCTCGAAGGCCTCGGTTCCATCTTGGCCGCCGACGTCCAGGAGAACTTCCTCACCACCGCTATACCGGGAATGTTAGCCTCGTCCCGGATCGTAACTGTGTAGGGAAAATGGCGATATGACGCCCTGTGTGACTCGTCTGAGTCAGAGGGGAGGGAGGGCCTGGCTGGAATGATTCCTTCTTTCTTCGATAGGGGCATCGCCCCGCCGATCGGGTCTATAGACCCGTCCCAGATGGAGGCTGAATGCGTAGAAAATGGAGTGGGAGAGGACTGGAGAGGTATTTGACGTACGGGTGCTCATCGACGAAGCTGGTGCAGTCGTAGACCTTGTCGTGGATGACCATGTAGAGGTCCTTCTTGGTGTTGTGGCCGGTGACCTCCTGGAGGGTGAATTCCTTGGACTCAGACATGATGACGGATGGATATCTGGAGGAAGAAGCCAGAGAGGCAAAGAATTAGCTTGGTGGACAGGCTTGAAGTGCCAGATCTGCAGAGGAGGGGGGAAAGGTCCAGGTTTGGTGCAGAAATCCCAACGAGTCTCCGACACCAGAGTCGGAGAAAGGCACGATAAGGAGGGCGGCCAGCCCGGTTCTGGGGACAGGTGATGTGGTTGAAGGGTCATAGGAGAGACATGGACTCACAGGATGAAGACGAGCTAATGGAAGCAAAAAAGGACAGTATGTGCAAAGAGAAAAGAATATTGGAAGAGAAGGGGCAGATCGCAAAGTTGACGGGGCGTGCGCCAGGGCGGTCTCTCCGCGCAGTGGGCCGCAGATTATTTGACCATTACTAGTACTCCGTACTCTAGGTACTCATCTTTGCCGTGGCTGCCACCCGATTGATTGAGGGGGGTCTGGTATTACCGGTACCCCGCAGATTAACATGCTATTTGCTATCATTTTCTATATTGGCCTTGCACATAGTACGCTGTAAAATTGGCGCTCTGGCGAAAGAATGACACACCCCCGTGCAATTGCCATTGGACGAATCAGCGGCCGCTTATTCGAGCCTCGGCGCATATGATAAGGGTGTGTTACACAGAGAGCTGGGAGGGAAAGAACTCAAGAATTTCAGCAACGTAGTAATGATACAGTAGAAAATGGGATTCACTTGAATGTCAAGTATACAGGAGATAGCCACGAGTGGCAACCTGGGGTAATGGTACGGAGTAATGCCCAAGGCAAAGGCACATCCCTCGGGAGATGCGCCATGACAGTCCAATAGGAGCGAAGCCAATCGTCAGACCCATATTAAGTCTTGACCGACTACTGGACTCAAGTATTGTGGCCATTACCCGGGCCCTCGGGTATTGCTCGCCCCGGGTAGTGCAATCGGTCTATAGTGCGGAACCCTGTGGAATTACTGACTTTGCCAAGCCGTACTGAGTACGGAGTACCCGTAGTCTGTATACTCCGTAGACTCTGTACTCCGTACATATGAATCATGGTTAATCCCTGCGGAATTTAATGCAGATACTAATGCAGAAATTGTGAATGTGTATGATATATACCTCGACCCCTCGTTGGCCTAGTGCCCGTTCTATCCAATTCGTGACTATCGTGACATGCAAAAAAAAACAAAAAAAAACAAGAAAAACCTTGGAACAAAAAGACACTCATACTATGCAAGGAGGAAGTAACCTGGGCATGCCAAGACCACAAAAAGTAAAGATAGAAAGAGAGAAAACAAAAGAAAACAAAACACCACATAATGTGGAACTTGAACTCGCTCATTTCGCTGGGACTCGCTCATAAAACACAATATATGCTTGCTCATTCTGCAGCCGGTCGCGGGCCCGGAGATCGCGCGGGTTGAAGTCGCCCGCCCGCTCATCGTCAAATCGCCGCCAACAGTGTCGCTCTGCATCCCGCACCAGTGAGATGTAGTGCCCACTGCCCATCGACGATCCAAGATGACGTAGAACCGCAAATGCATCGTAAGTAAACGGGGGGTCCGTTGCTCCCATCGGTGGCGGCGCTGCCATGTCTGGCGGGGGTACCGAAGCTCCATGGGATATCAAGAACTCATCCATTCGTAAGCCGTGAAGGGGGAATTCGATCGGTGTGTGGATTTTACGGGCGCTTTGCGTCTTCGAGGCGGAAAAGCGTTTAAAATGGACCACTAAGATCTGCGGTGCCCGCGTAATGAAGATCTGCTTGGTCGCCATGCGCTTGCACTTGCAGTGTGGACATTTCCAAACCTCGTCGCCGCTCAGCATCTCCTCTTTGCAGTAACTGCGGAGACATTGGTAGATATCGGCACTGCCCGTCGGTGGAATTTCCACACTGATACTGTAAAACGCCTCATACGTGGTCGATGTTTGACGACAGGTCGTGCAGCGGAGTCGACTAGCGTGCTGTCCGGCAAACAGCGACGAGATGAAAGACTCCTCCCGATGACAGTATCGATCCCATTCAATCCGAGAAACCTTTTGAACTGGCATACGCTCTCGCTGCATCTCCTCCGGGAAGGTCAACGGTCGCAATGGGGTCCGCTGCCAATTAACATTGAGATCCTCGTGCAGACAGTCTACCACAAAATCGAAAAACTCCTTCGCGTCTTGCTGACGATCGATCGCCCATTCTCGGTTCAATCGGCCACAGAAGTTTCGGAAGGAACTTGGCATGATGACCTCCACGTCGTCTTTCCACAGCGACCGGATAAGGTTTGCGTATAGTCCCGGCATCACACCTTGGGACCCCTTCCAATTCTTCTGCACATAACCTCGAAACCGATTGTCGATGAAGAATTTGCTCATGATGGAAGTCGCGCTGAGGCATTGAATCGTGGAATTCATATAACAGGTCACACCAAAATTGGTGAGGCCGGTTCGTGGCAATTTAAGGCGACGGAGAAGCGAGTTCGACATATATAAAGCCGTGCGTGTTGCCGAATTCTGTCTTTCTAGATGAGGTTGAATTTGCCGGCCTTCTGACACGCCACTATAGCTCGGACGCGGGACTGCAGGAGGGGGCCTTGATGGAGTTGATGGAACAGGAGCTGGGAAACTTTGCATCGGAGGAGCCGGCCTCGATTCGGGGCGTGTCATAGATTGCTGCACATGGTGTGGTTCTGGGAATCGGCGAAGGAAATCTTCATAGTTGTGCACAAATGGGATGGGTGCTTCCGCAATAGACTCCTCTTGCGGTTCCTCTGTGAGCGGCTCCTCCTCAAGATAGTGGCTTGTGTCAATCTCCTCGTTCTTGGACTTTTCCATCCAAGCCGACAATTCCTCCGAGTTTAACGGTGTGTAGTCGCGGAGTCTCCTCTTGCGAACCTCCAAGCTTGAATTGGCGCTGGCTATGGTGGGAACCCGTCCTAGTGGACGACCAGGCCTGAAAATGGGTCGCTTGTTCTGGATTGATCCCATCACAGCGGCAGTTGAGGACGTGGCCAGAGATTGTTGGCCAAGGATGTCAATCCACGCATCTAAGCCACCAAGGAGAAGCGCCGGGGGACGCCCTGCCTTGAGTGGTTTGTATTCATTGAATTCATAGAGTGTGTCATAAAGAGCTCGCAGGTGTGGCGCTGATGTCCCAACGGGCGAGCCTGCGAGATAGCTGACCGAGGTGGTATTTTGATCGTAATAAACGATGAGGTCGAATTCATTCCGCCGTTCGAACAGAGACAATTCGTATTCCGGAGACACTACCAGTCGGTCCTCAAGCTCTTCTGCCGAGACATTCTCTTTCAAAGAGACAGGTTCAATACAGATAATTGATTTGGCATAAATGTGGCCATTGTCGAACTGGTCCCGAGAGCGGACATCGACCAGCAACACATTGAAATTTTTAAGATATTCCAGGAGACTTTGCGCCGTTATAGCAGTGGCATAAGGCAAGTCGGGAGAATTGCTCCGTGTTTCGCGCGCAGAATGGACGCCGCTGGGCGTTCGAGATCGATAGGGGCTGTCGTCGAACCCGCGACTGGGACTCCCATGAGGAGAATTGCTGAAATGTGAGTATCGCTGAGTGATTGATCGTGTGCTCTCGGTGGAGGTCCGCGGGGGGTTAGGCGGAGGCTGCGAGGGAACCGTGTATATCGGGCTGTAGGTGGGATCGGGGGCACGCGGGAGGGACGTTGCGAGAGGAAGCTTGGGAGGGACAGTCGGGACGTGAGTTGACGGTCCCATGCTCCGAGGGCCTAGTGGACGACGAGTCGGCGGACCTTGAGAAGCACCGTAGTTTGACTGGGGAGTATTGGAAGAGTATGCGGTGTATGCGGAAGCCTGGCCTGCAGGCCCCGAAGAAGGATGAGTAGCGTGCACGCTAGAATCTGGTCTAATGTCGTGGGATTGTGATGCTCTAAGTTTCGCAAAGCGCTGCGCCAATATGTCCTCGGCGGGGACCGAGTTTCTCTTTGTTTGTGCCCGAGGATCTGAAATTGGCTGAGACTGGAACTGTGTCGGACTCGGCATTCGCATTGAATTGGTCCCGGAATTGCGATTCTCGCGACCCCGGGGAGTGGTCGAGTCGCTCTGGCCGGGAGAAGTCATCGTATATGTTCCGGCGGGCTGTACTTTGGTGCGGATATTATCCTCGAGAATTTCCTGTTTAATGGTATCCATGGTCGCCTGCTTCGTTCGCACGGCCTAATTCGTGTCAGCCTAGGTAGATACATGATTGAAATCCGAAGCTGACGTACCATCATCAGACCCGCAAATTCCTTGTGCCATCCAGGGTGCGGGAGGGTTGTTGATCGATAATCAGGATGGTGAGGAATCGTATTCACGGTGATTTCGGAGGCACGCAAATATTGGACATAAGCCTGGTCAGGTTGAGAGTCTGCAAGTTTCTTGGCGAGATCGATTGCTTCGGCGGCGGTTCCAAGGAGGACCTCGAGCTGTGGATCAGGTGAGCAGGTTGTCCCCGCCGCGGGCATTCGCATGCCCCATAGTGAATGATGGAATGGGATGGGATGGGGTGGGATGTGATGTACTTACTGGAGTGGTTTCATTTACGTTCAACAAAGCAGCTTGGTCCTGAAGGTCTTTGATATTTGGAAATATCGGTCGGGTAATGCCATTACCATTCTGATAGGAGTCAAGTCCGGTGACCTGGCCTTTGGAATGTAAGTTGCCCCCCACCGAGTAAGGACGGGTGCCGCCCTTCCACGGTGGTATGTCCGGTGGAGAGGGGAGGGTCGCCGCATCGGTGGGCATGATCGAAACAACGTTGAGGATATGAAAAAGGTTCAGCACATATTTAGGAGAAAGGAGCAAAAAACGAGGGACAGGGTCTCAAGATAGAAAGAAGGTGTGAAAGCCAAAGACAAGGTCTCGCAAAGAAAGGACCAGGCACGGGGTCGTCTGGGGAAGTGGCAGTACACAGCGGAGACCGAGCAGTGCCTATGTAATCTAGGTATAGGTACGGATGCTCCGTACGGTAATAATAGAAAGGGCTCACCGCCGATGACGCAGCCAAGCTGGAAGCTTAGTCAATAATCACTCCGGAGCTCCCCCTCATCAACATTCAACCTCCTCCATCCCCAGATCTACTCAGATCTCCCTGCTCCCAATCCGCTTTCAATATGGCAGGCTGGTTTTCTTCAACGTCGCCTCTCGATGAGCAGATCGAGCGGGCCACCGCTTCCTCTCTGTACGTGGCTGTCAGCTTCCGTTCCTTCTGCCTTCTGCCTTCTGCCTGACCGTTGCCCATGATCTGCTAGCCATCATCTAGCATGGAAATAAACTGACCAATTCCCAGGGAAGATATCGCACTCAATTTGGAAATCTCGGACATGGTGCGATCTAAAAGTGTTCAACCTAAAGATGCTATGAGATCCTTGAAGCGCCGCTTAGAGAACAGGAACCCCAATATCCAGCTGGCGACATTAAAGGTTGGTCGCACCCATTTGACGAATTTGTGAATCTTGCCTTAGATTAAATCTAATCAAATATCCCCGAATAGTTGACCGATACATGTGTTAAGAATGGAGGAACCCACTTCCTCGCCGAGATCGCATCCCGCGAGTTTATGGACAACTTGGTGTCATTGATGAAGGCCGAAGGCGCTCCTCTGAACTCGGATGTTCAACGCAAAGCTTTGGAGCTTATACAGGACTGGGCAATGGCAGCCCAGGGCCGAATGGATCTGATGTATGTGGGGGAGACATATCGCAAACTACAGAATGAGGGATTCCGCTTCCCACCGAAGACCGAATTGAGCGGGAGCATGTTGGAAAGCAATGCGGTAAGTCTGGACTTGGTCATTCTATGACCAGGAGAGTATCAAAACTAATCACTATGATGATCAGCCACCCGAGTGGATCGACTCCGATGTTTGTATGCGATGCCGCACGGCATTCAGTTTCATGAACCGAAAGCATCATTGCAGAAACTGTGGAAATGTCTTCGACGCCCAATGCTCCAGCAAGACCATCCCCCCTACCTCATCTTGGAATCCTTGAGCCCGTGCGAGTCGACGACGGATGCTATACGAAACTCACATCAAAGTCTTTCGCCCCAGCAGGTTTATCAGACCGATCGACATATAAGAATAACTCCATCACCAAATCCAACACGATGGAGCCCCGCGGTGCTAAAGCAGATACCAGCTTTGACGATGACCTCCGTCGAGCGCTACAAATGAGCTTGGAAGAAGCAGAAGGGAGAGGGCCCTCGGGATATGTGCCTCAGACCGGGAACGCCCCCCAGCCGACGACCACGACCGCAACTACGACCGAGGCTGCGGCGCCGGCTCCAGGACCTAGCAATGTCGAAGAGGAGGATGCCGACCTGAAGGCGGCGATCGAAGCGTCCCTCCAAGACATGGAGCAACACAAGCAGAACCACGCCGCAGCATTGAAGAACAATCCACCGCCGAATTCTGCCTCGCGCGACTCGTCAGGTACCCCAAAGCCGGCTGTGCAAAATCCCTACGAACTCAGCGCTGTAGAAGCTGAAAACATTCATCTCTTTTCAACACTTGTCGATCGACTGCAGCACCAACCCCGGGGTACCATCCTTCGCGAGCCTCAGATCCAGGAACTTTACGACAGCATCGGAGCTCTTCGGCCCAAGCTAGCTCGAAGCTACGGAGAGACGATGAGCAAACATGACACATTACTTGATCTCCATTCGAAACTATCCACTGTCGTTCGATATTATGATCGAATGCTGGAGGAGCGTCTTTCGAGTGCATATTCCCAGCAAAACCTCGGTTACGGCGCCGTGCCCAGTGTAGCTCCGTACCCCAACATGACTGGCTTGCCCTCTCAGGTTCCAAATGGCAAATCTGGAGCAGAAAACTTTTATTATGGTAACGCACCAGACGCGACTGGTCCAGCTGGCCCAACATATGCACCACCATCCCAGACGAATTTGAGTGGATATGACGCCCCTCCTGCGGGTGTCACAAGTCCTTCGTATCCGCCACACTCACAATATGCAGCCCCTGGGAGTGAATCCACCTGGGGTCAAAATCCCTATCCGTCATTGGGGTCTCCTCCGCCCAGTGCACCCCCCAACAATGATGCTGTTGCAACTGGTTACGGTGGACCGGCACAGTACTATGCGTCCCAACAGGATCAGGAACCGCAGCAATCCGATACTCCATACCAACAACCATCACCTTTACTGCGGCGAGATTCACAATACCAGTCTAATGCGCCAGGGCCACACTCCCCCGAGCAAGTCCAAACACCGACATATTCCACCGTGCCACCGGCTACTCACCAACATCCAAGCGGACATCCACCTCAGTCCTACTATTATCAGCCGCAGCAGGCCAGTACGGTGCCGTCTGCATACCCGCAGGTACCAACGGGCCAACCAGGACAATATTCGGAAGTAAACCAGAAGCAGCAATCCGCACGGGTGGAGGAGAGCTTGATTGAACTATAGCATTTTGTTTGTTCGGGCGTTTCCATTGTTCCCCGTGTCTTTGATTATTTCGCTTTTACCTGATGATACCTAAGGCCTATCTTTCTTGCAAATTGTACCTAAATCTCAATGGAGTCTGTAGCTTTGGAAAGCAGGTGTTGATCCCTGACACCCCAAATGAGTTCCCCCCAAAGTATTCTCCAAAAGTGTTCTCCACTTTTTGTAAGGTAGAAACTGTCGACCTCGTCCAACCGGACGTTGGGAATAATACCCGCGTTGCCCCCCCTCCGGTCCGCGAGCGGCGAGATCGCCCTCGGCCCTCAACCTCACCCGCCGACCTCCAACTTCGAGTTCTTCCTTCTCCATCCTCCATCCTCTACCCCCACCATTCGATTCGACCTTACTGTCACTTACCTCTTGTTGCACACATGGATTCGACCGGGGCGGTGTAATATCCTCCCCCCCTGCGTTTCATTATTGAGTCTTCATTGCTTTTTCGCCTGCACGTCCATCTGCGGTGGTACCTCCTCATCGCCTCGGCCAATCCCCTTTCGACGCCCAGTGTACATCGCTGATTACCCGCCGCCCTTTTGGGATCTTTGCCGCCATGCCAAACAACACCTCTTCCCCCGTCAAGCGCCCCGGTCTCGCTCGTCGAGCGGTCTCCTCGCATGCAGTAGTCACGCGGACCAATACCACCGGCGACCTGTCCGAGTCGCACACCAATAAGGCCCTTGTACATCCTGTACACCATAAGCCACATCGCGCACATGTCGTGGGCGGTCACCGAAATCATCATAGAAATCCCTCGCTCGGGAAGAATCTGAGCAAACTGAAGCTCTTTCAACTTGCTCCTGAGGCGACCGGTCGAAACCACCATCGCAAGAAGTCTGCCCCGGCAACTCCTGTGGGTAGCCCCAAGGACAAGGGGCATGTACGTTGGGACGGGGTGCTGGAAGATCATCCGAAGAACTCGATGAAAAGAAATAACTCGACTCCCGTTCTAAGACGTGCCAACTCAGGTGGGACCGTGAGTAAGAAGGCCCTCGTAACCGATCGCCCGCTATTGAGCGCCGGCAAGAAGAAGTCGGTTGGATTTGAGTTAGGCGATGATCTCAACGACGACGCTGAGTGGGAAGACACCACGCAATCACCCGAAAGTACGAGGCGCAACTCGGTCGCGCCCTCGAACCCCAGCCTCGAGAACAACAACCAAGTCCTTGTCGATCCCCTTACTTTTGTGAAGCGACCGTACCCGCAAATCTCTCGCGCTACCAGTCTCCCAGAATCGATCACAAATAAATTTGTACGCGACCAGTCCGATCCAGACGAAGAAGACGAGGACGAAGACGAAGACGTGGAGGAGCAGGAAGCCGATTCACAGGACCTTGACCAGTCTGCTGACCAGGGCGATATCGCGAACCGCTTATTGAGTCCAACCCACTCTGCGAAAGCTCCGCCAGCTATGTCCTCGATCTCTGCGATGGCCAAGCCGTCGGCCAAGGATCCCGCGTCGCGCAGTGCCTCCGTGAACCTGGCCCAGGAAAGCACTCGACGGACATTCTCTACATCCAACCCTGGGCTGGCCATGACGCTTGGTAGCCAACCCCACGCTACCTCATCTTCGATGGAGGGCGGCGTTTCCAGATTCATTGTTAGCAACAAAACTGCCAACCAAGCATCATCGCGAACTGATTCCGACCCGAATACCCCCTCCTCATTCCTCCCTCACTACCACCCACAAACACCCCCATCTCCAAACCGCGGCGCTACAAAAGCAGCAGCGTCTCCAGCTCGACCACTCGGCGTCGACTTGCCTTCACGGACTCAACAGAAGCTATGGCTCCAACGCACAGCTACCCTAAACGACTCTCCTCCCGAGAACCATGGAGTGGCCAAAGCTACGTCATCTACTGCCATGGATATGGCAGTAAGCCAAGTACGCCCTGGCACTGTTACCTTCGATGTCAGCAGAGGCATCAACGGCGGGGCTCGCACTGGGGCTATTGGCCATGACAATGAATCGCGACAAACTCGCAAAGCATATGAGAAGGTAGCTTTGGAGCTGACAGCAGTACGACGATTCCAATCACCCACGGGTGATAGCTTCAACCGACTGCGTAACATCGCTCGTGCATCCAAGGCATCAGCCCTCGGAAAACCTATCAAATCGGCCCCCTCGTTGCCCCTGCTTCAGACTGGCAAACGCCCCAGTCGGCTTGGATCTAGTTCGGAATCGAAGTCGCAGCTACGTGACCCACAATCCTCCACATCGGAAGATCCGGCCACTCAGAGCGAGTCCACCGACGCGATCCAGGCAACCAAATCATCTCACCCCTCCCACCGAATTCTTTCTACATCCGACGAGGCTGTGCATGGCCTGACCGGAGAGCAAGATACCGAAGTCTACCCACAAGTCAATCAAACCGATATGATGATTCGTCGCATGTGGGAAAGTCGAGAAGTTGCTACGTCTGGATAATGGCCACCACAACCTATTTTTTACGTTGATGACATTTTTGCTTGCAATTCCCCGGGCGTTGACATTTCTCTGGCGGTTCTCTTTTCTTTGCTCCTATTTTTTTCTTGAAAGCGTTCACTATCAATCATGGACATATCTGTTTATCCTCTAGGGCATGCGCTAATTGTAATTGCAACATTCTATTTGGCCCCAGCCTTGGCACGGCACCCCAGTCTTCCGGGGGATCGACCATGGCGTGACTACCTAACCCTGAGCTGAGTAATGGCCAATCATCCCCTGCTGATTTGTCCTTGTATACATATTCAACTTCAAGTTCTCATTCCAATTCGCTGTGTTGTCACTCTTTGCAAAGCATCATGGAGGTTCTTGCTCCTCTTGTCGTCGGCCAAATCGCCCGCATCTCCTGCTATGCAGTTGGGATCGTCTTTATTTCCGTCGTTCTGAATGTGTTCAACCAATTGTTCCTCTACAATCGCAATGAACCTCCAGTTGTGTTTCACTGGTTTCCCCTCGTTGGAAGCACTATTCCGTATGGCATGGATCCTTATAAGTTCTTCTTCTCCTGTCGTGAAAAGGTATGCGTGAATGGACATTCTGATATTCTCATTTCTTGAACTTCGGATCACTGATAGACGAACATAGTACGGCGATATATTCACATTCATACTCCTGGGCAAGAAGACCACTGTGTATCTCGGCACGGAAGGCAATGAATTCATCCTGAATGGAAAATTGAAGGATGTCAACGCTGAGGAGGTTTACGGAAAGTTGACAACTCCTGTCTTCGGCACTGATGTGGTATACGATTGCCCGAACTCCAAGTTAATGGAGCAGAAGAAAGTAATTACATGATCGCTATCCTGAATTCCATGAAGTTGATCATAAGAGCTAACTCATTCTCAACCCAGTTCATCAAATTCGGACTGAGCCAAGCCGCCCTAGAATCCTACGTTCCCCTGATCGAAGAAGAAGTCAACCAATACATCAAAACCTCCGGAAAATTCAAAGGCAAGACAGGCATCGTCGATCTCAGCGCCGCGATGGCCGAAATCACCATCTTCACAGCCGGCCGCACCTTACAAGGCGATGAAGTCCGCACCAAGTTGACCGCCGAGTTCGCCAGTCTCTACCACGACCTGGATCTAGGCTTCAACCCGATCAACTTCATGCTGCCCTGGGCCCCTCTCCCTCACAACCGCAAGCGAGACTTCGCCCATGCCCGCATGCGCGAAATCTACCTGGAAATCATCCAAGCCCGCCGCGAATCCACCACGTCCGAGGGAGACCAGTCTCAAGACATGATCTGGAACCTAATGCGCAGCGTCTACCGCGACGGCACCCCAATCCCAGACAAGGAGATAGCCCACATGATGATTACCCTCCTCATGGCCGGCCAGCACCAATCGTCATCAATAAGTTGCTGGATCTTCCTCCGCCTCGCCTCGCAGCCTGGAATGACAGAAAAGCTATACCGCGAACAGCTCGATGCCTTTGGTTCCGAACTTCCCCCATTGAGCTACGAGGATATGGACAAACTCCCCCTCCACCAGAACGTCATCAAGGAGACGCTGCGCATCCACAACTCCATCCACACCCTCATGCGCAAGGTTAAGAATCCGCTCCCTGTCCCCGGAACCAGATTCGTCGTGCCGACTAGTCACACCCTTCTTGCTTCGCCGGGTGTTACCACCCGCGATGACAAACACTTCCGCAACGCAATGACCTGGGATCCGCACCGGTGGGAATCGCGCATTGAGGCCGAAGATGACGGCGAGACTATTGACTACGGATACGGCGTTGTTTCGAAGGGGACGAAGAGTCCCTATCTTCCCTTCGGTGCTGGTCGTCATAGGTGCATTGGGGAGAAATTTGCTTATTTGAATTTGACGGTTATTGTTGCCACGATGGTGCGGAACTTTCGGTTCTATAATCCAAATGATAGGGACGGTGTTCCTGAGACGGATTATTCGGTATGTCTTCTCTTTCTTACGTCTGGCTATTGTGATTCTGTCGAACTAATGTCTATGAAGTCCCTGTTTTCTCGGCCAATGAAGCCATCGACTGTTCGTTGGGAGAGACGTGGGGAAGAATGATCATCATCACAACTGGGGTTGTCAAGCTATGCTTCTCTATTGGTCAAGCGGTAATCGCTTTGCCGAACTCGGTTTGATAAGGATGTTACTTAATAGATCATAAAGCGATGCATCTAGGTTTTGAAATTTGCTTGAACTTAGGATCTTTGTTTTCATATACTGCCAGTAGACAATCCTACGTCAGCTAATGATTACTACTACTTTATCGCCTCAATTATAGATGCGAGCTTAGTAAATAGAGAGAACCTTTGACGATTTCGCAGTTGGTGGTTTCTGTACCAATAGGGAGCCGCTGTCGGAGTAATTTTCGGCCTCCCGGGTTTCAACCGGCGAACCGTATTATCAAAATGTAGATATCCACGCCACATTCCCTATTTAGTAACCCTGTGGGCTGGTATTGGCACAGGAAAGAAATTAAAAATACAGCACTTCGGAACAGCATCATGGTGCATCGTGGATACGACTTTTGAACACGGATCACTTCAGAATAGTGGAGCGAATGTAGTCAGAATATCATAAGAAGCGGCGTTCTATCCGCAAAGTGTGATTTTGACTCACTCCATACCTAGGCACATCTTTTTCGTCAAGTTTCTTTTCTGTAAATAAATTGGACGATTTCATTCAATTTTATTTCGCACCCACAGTCGTTTCAAACAGGATGACCTCCGAGCAGAAAACAAACATGACTTCTCGCACTCTAGCGGCGAACGACCTCGCTGAGACTCTTCCCAAAATGGTAATGTCGACTCGGGCCATACACGCGGATGACTTTGTCAGCTCCCATCGAGCCATTGCCCCTGCAATACACGTCGCTGTGAATTACAGATACGCAAGAGACCCGGACCAGTTGGTTCCAGGCGAAAACAAAGATGTCAGTATATCTACTCGCTTTTTATGAAAATCTCTGACTGGTTTGATAGCCTGATACTCTAGAATCATTTGTCTATTCACGCTATACCGCACCTAACAGCAATCGGTTCGAGACAGTTCTCAAAGATCTATTTCATGGAGGGATCATGACATACTCCACCGGCCTCGCCGCTTTCCACGCAATAATGGTCTTGCTGAATCCGAAGCGTGTTTTCATCGGCGATGGATATCATGGTGTTCATGGGAACATCGATCTGATGACCAAGCTGACAGGCGTGGAAAAGCTCCCCCTTGAACAACTCGATCAGCTTGGCCCTGGGGACATTGTTCATATTGAGACACCCCTCAATCCAACAGGCGAAGCACGTAATCTCAGCTATTACAGTGCGAAGGCTCGTGCTGCGGGGGCATTCCTCACTGTGGACGCAACATTTGCGCCTCCGCCCTTGCAATATCCATTGCAGTTTGGCGCGGACATTGTTCTACACAGTGGAACGAAGTATATCGGAGGACATTCCGATATGATGTGTGGTATTTTGGTGGTTCACCCTGAACGTGTGCGTCAAGGTTGGATTGACCAGTTGTATTCAGCGAGACTTGTCATGGGGAATGTGATGGGAAATCTGGAAGGCTGGCTGGGTCTTCGCTCCCTGCGAACTCTTGAACTCCGGGTGAAGAGACAGTCCGAAAACGCCGAAAGCCTTGTCAGGTGGATCGACGAGGAGATTCAGAATCCTTGCTCAGTGGTTGGTCAGGTGGTCGACTCTATTCGGCACGCTTCGTTGCAGAAGGAAGATGTTGAAGATGGATGGTTGAAGAGGCAGATGGCTGGAGGGTTCGGTCCCGTCTTCGCGATATGGCTGAAAACTCCGGATCAGGCAAAGAGATTTCCAAGCAAGCTGCATATTTTCCAACATGCAACTAGCTTGGGTGATGTGGAGAGCTTGATTGAATGGAGGGCTATGAGTGACTCCAAATGCGATACCAAGCTTCTGCGCATCAGCTGTGGTGTTGAGGATGCCGGTGATTTGAAGAGGGATTTACTCCAGGGGTTCCAAGCTCTTTGTGAATGATGTATCATATGCTATATTGGAAAAAGAAACCAATCATTAAAAACTGCTGTTCTTAACTGCTATTAAATTTATAGCCCTCACAGCAGAGTCAGGCCTTGGTATTTGGCAAGGTTCAATCCGACTCCACAGATGCAGGTATTTTCAGTCGAACATGAACAAGAATCTAATTAATTACAATCTATTCGGCAAATTATCAACGACCCATCACGGCCGACTGACACGCAATATGAATCTCTTTGCTCATACCACCCACGCCTTCGAACATTTTAGCCCCTCTCAAAGCGTCAATGATTGACTCAAGTCCCTGACGAATCTCCCGCATCAATCTCTCAACCTCTTGAACCTCTGAATCTGCTGCTGGGTTATTGAGAAGATAGTGACAAGACGCAATATTTCTGGATACCAATGCAGCCCGCAGCCGATAATGGCACATGAGCAACACATATGAGCTCTGCATGACAGTGCATACAAAGAATGGCAGTAAGAACGGAACTACGCCATTCTCTGCTGAACTTTTGTCTTGATCTATAAATTGAGATTGAGAACCACCCCGACTTGGTCTGGTCAACGAGAGGCTTTCAAGTCCACGAGACATGGCCAACGCGGACCTGAGGCATATTAGAGATGAAGCTTCTTCACTGAAAGGGAAGAATGAATCAAAATACTGTGATTGTGGCGAGTCGAAACCGGTGTTGGGGCCTCTCTCATCATCAATTGAGGCAAGACCACAGTATTTTCCAAGAAACATGGGAATTTCTTTGAAAGCACGGGCTCGATGAAGCCGAATACGAGCACTTAGGTTGAAGTTGAGTTGTTAGCATACTAGCACAGAAAGATAGAATACTACTACTCCTAGTAGTAGTAGAGTTTCGAATTTGTGTTCAGCTCACCAATCAATGAAAAGCGTTGATATAGATCGCATATTCTGTGAAGCAATGACGTCGGCACTTCCGAGTCCTCTTGATGTAGGCTGTATGAGGCAAGCCGACCTTTTGCTTAAGCTTGATAGATGTGAGTCCAATTGGATAATCTTCTCCGGAGACTCCGATCTTAAAGTGCTGGTAGGGAACTTTCCAATATAACCGTTGAAAGTTTGCAGAACAGAAATCAACGACTGTTCGGTTTCTAAAACAAATGACCACAGCTAGGATGAGGTTAGCAAAAGGAACGATCAAGGATAACCCCTAAAGAAACACCACATGACTGGTGAACTAGGATTCGGTACCTCAGTTGAGCCCTGGAATGATGGGAACGGAGTGATTATCCTTGGATCGGATATTGATATGATCGGATACTGGTATAATTCAGCAGAGTTGAAATAGAGAGCCCTTTCTCGTTCCGGATGACCCACTATTTGCAGATCAATAGATGATAGGTAAAGCACCAGCATCTTGATAACCTCGTAAGCAAATGAATAAATGCGGATTGGTTGAAATGGACTCACAGTACTCCACCATGTCCGACGCTCTGCCTCTGTTGATCTTTCGTCAAGGGTATGAAGCGATAAATCCATCGCAGCAGTCACTGCTTCGTTTGCACGACTGCGCATTCGTGAAATACTCCCTCTTTGGCAGTATTCATAGACACTCAGTATAGAAAGAGCAAGAATAGGGTGTAAGCGAGACGGTAGATTTGAGCTCGTCAGTTCGCTAAATGCACCGCTGGTTTGTGCTCTGGTATTTCTTTCAATCTCACTTTCAACCTCTTCAAAGGCTGTCTTGGCAAATAAATGTGCCTGCGATCGTCTCAATGGCGCGTTGCAAGCTTGATTAGGATGCGATTTTCGAGGAAGTGGTATCAATACCAGTATAGCGGAAATGGCCAGGGTAAGCGAAGTTGTGGGCCAATGCGGCAGAGAGTCTCGATTTATGGGACCATCGGGAAAGTTTTGGGGGCTGATCGATATCGGAACGTCATGACATTGTGTGGTAGATGCGGGAGGTGGTAGTATTGGCAAGAATGGATGAATGTATACATAGTAGGCACTCAGTCTAAAAGAGGCTCAGTTATGTTCCATTTCAGAGAAGAGATATAGAACTTGACAAGGATTAGCATGGCATGAAACTTACATATCATCATCTGAGGTATAAGAACGTATAGCAAGCGATTCAGCATCATGATTTTCATGGTCGTTTTGCGAAGCTGGTGCGAAATTATCTCCAATCGCGCCCGATTGCACATTCAGATTTTGTATTCCACGGAAGGGAGCCAGCAAATGAATGGCACTTTCTGGATCGTATATGCCTAATACTTCATCTAGAAAAGGCGAGTTTTGTTGGAAGGCATGGCCACCTGCAAGGAAGGGCGGCTCCGTTTGTTGGAACGATGGGGGTGGTGCAGCAACATACTGCAGGCTATGCCTGGCCCCCCCGCCGGATACCACCACGTTGACTTGGGCGATAGGAACACGTTAGGTTCCTGGCAGAGCACTAGTTTTCACTTCGGATGAGAGCGGTTCAAGTATGAGGGAAAAGAGCTTGCTCTTACTCTACCACATGGCTGTCTTCCGTCACAACGAATTTTGGCCTCTCGACTATACAGAGAATGTTAGAAAAGGCTGCATGGTGGAAAAGTGGAAGGCATACCAGGTGAGGCAGGCAGCCCTTGCAGGTGGCTTGCGATTAGATCTCATGTTGTACAGGCCGCTTGGAATTTCACCGAGTCAAGGCTGACTTCTTGAGTCGATGAGGCGATGACGTACGCTTGGTCGCCGGTGGACGCCGGGATGCCGAAAATATCGGCGTTTGAACCTCCGGGTCGCCGGGCTTGGCATTTTACTATCGGGTTTACTACCCCATGCCGTCAGCACCTACTAATTAATTGTGAAACTTTATTTTCTGTAAACTCTGCTTTATGAATGCCATATCAGGGAAAAGCAATCTCAATTGGAGGTAGTGAATTTAAAGTGCCCGAAGTGGTAAAAATATTTGAACACATTGGCTGTTCCGGACCTTCTCTAAAGCTCCTTAGGTCAAAATCTAAGAATAATTGAAAGATTTCCTTAAAAGACATGGAATGAAGATTCAACGACCAGGCTTCCAGCCTCTAAGCATGTTGATGATACCCCTCCAAAATTTGATTGGCTGTTCAGTCTCGCTCGCTTCATACAACGCAATATCATCGGCTTCCCAGCGCAGATCGACTTCTTCGGGCGTCAACCACTTGGTTCCGTGAAATATTTTCCAAGAGAAGAAATATATAGGTGCGAGAATAAACATGGTATAGCTCAGGAAGAAGCTCTTGGTGCTCCACGGCGTAAAGCTGCGATATCCGAAGCAGAAAAGCATTAAAACCATCCAAGCGATCGAGATGTAGCCACAATATGGCTGGAAATATGCGTAATAAGGCAGTTTTGTTCTATCAAATCCCTGTGCATAACAGGCGCGATAGAAGCAAATGTATGTCACCCCAATAATGATATAGTTGATCAAAATATTTGCTGTAGTCAGGCTAATGAGCCAGTTGAGGACGGTCATGGCGCCCCCGGAGAGCTGCAAAAATGAGAGACAGCCGAATGCCAGTGCTACTATATTGCAGTAAATTGGTATACCTCGGTCATTGGTTCGTGTGAATATACGCGGTGCCCGGCCACCAGCTGCAAGGCTATAGAGTCCACGCGTTGTAGCATACCAGTATGTGTTCCCAGCAGAGAATACTGTAGTTAGCATCAATGCACATGCTAAGTGAGGAAGACCAGTGATTCCCATATTCTTCATAGCAATGATATAAGGAGATGCGTATGCAGATGAGCCTCCATTTTTCACTGACTGGATTAGTGTGGAGTCATCATATGCCAGGAGTATGCCAATACAGATAGCTCCTCCGACAAAGAAGACTATGCTTCTCCAATAAACAACCTTAAAGGCTTGTTTGACGTATACTCGGGGATGTTTGGCCTCAGCTGAAAGAGAAGAAACATATTCTGGTCCAGTGACTATGAACAATGCTGTCCAAAGGCATTCAAGAAAGCCTTCGAAGCGGCCAAGGTCTCCTGAGCTGGCGTATTCCGCAAAGGCTCCTGGGCTATTCCAATGGCGGAATCCATATGCATCATGATCGGGATTCCCACCAACCATTGTCACAAAAGTGAGACCGAAGAGTATTGTCATTAAAAAAACTTTTCCTGTCGACAACCAGAATTCAGTTTCACCATACGCATGCACTGTGAAAAGATTGATCGCGCTGTGGAAGACAAACGTCAGTAAATATTCTGAGAGTAACCGCAGACTGCTTTCCACGCGATGTTGTTATTCCGGAAATCCTTACAGATAAACAGCGAGGCAAGCGACACAAACAGCCCAAGCGGGGATATCATCCCTCCAAAATTGAAGAAACAAGTTGACAGCTGAAATTTCGAACGGAATGCTCAGGGCCATAAAGATGAAGAGATTCCATCCCGCAAGAAATCCCCAAGCATCATCAACCCATTTTCCAGCATGAGAGATAAAACCACCACTGACTGGCATATAAGTTGCCATCTCGGCAATGCAGTTATTGACCATGCTCAGCATGATGGACTCGACGGTAACTGCGAGCAACAAGCTGGCCGGACCGCCTTTGGAAAGTGCGCCGCCGATGGCAATGAAAAGGCCGGTTCCAAGAGACCCCCCCAATGGCAATAAGCTGCACATGCCTATTATCAAGGCGTCGATGTAGCCCTACAGACTTTCCAGTCTGGAGAAATTTTCCCTCTTGCAGGTCCTTACCGATTTCATTTCCTCCTCCACGGCCGGTATCTTCAGACACATCGAACTTTTCTGTAATTATATTGGTGGGCTTGGATAAGCCTGAAGAACTCATGATGAACGTACTCAATCTCTTGAATACTATAAATTGATGAATCAGGACTAGACTTAATGTAGTCTGTACCTATTATATACCGGAAACAAGGAGTTATTATTGATCGTTATCATAGTACCCGAACCCAAACTTGAACAAACTTCACCCCGCAAACAAAATGACATGTTTCAAGAAGGCGTCTAAAGCTATAATTGCTAAGGTCTGTAATGCGGGTGAGAGACCATTGTTAAATTACGGAGTGTACCTGGGTAGATCGACAAAGGGTAAAGCGTTTAGCCGTGTCTTCGCGGGATCGATCAGTGGTATGTAAGACACGGCTATCGCTTATATCAAAACTCAATTCCCCAAATACCTACCTTTTGAGTACCCATCGAGGCAAAAATGTTCTTATCTCTCTCGGTAACAGCCGCTATCCTGATAATTTTCCATTTCCCCGCATCCGGTGATACGGAAAATGTCGTTCGAAGGCGCCTCAAGCTAGATGCATGGAAACTTAGCCGACCGGCCAGCATCCGAGCTCAAAGCTTACAAGAGATATTCAATACCGACATAGAAGCTGCTAGCTAACCTCTTGGCGTGCTTCCAAGTTAGAAATGTGTTTCTTTGAGATTATCTGGGGTAATGAAAAACTATTATCTTTGATAGGACTGCCATATTCTGGAAACATCGGCATTCGCTGGAACGATAGTGGAACTAGTCATAGCCGACTAGTACATCGTATATGATTCTGATCGGGAAAAGGGGATATGGGGTCGAAAACATTCCCCACTTCAACTTGTTATAGGAAGGCGTAGAAGAATGGGGACTGTTTATCAGTTTGTATCTGGGGATACTCAGATCCCCCGGCCTCAAACCCCGCAATTGAAATGTATATTATATAATGAAGCATTCATTTCTTGATTTTCTTTGCTAACACGGATACTTACAAGGTTTTCTTCTCTCAAGCCTTTACCAAATCAAAATGCCTTCAACAGCCCTTACCTTCCCTTCGTCTTCGACGAAACAATTTTACGGAACAAACTCACCCTGGGAGGGAACTTATGGCCACTATCGTGCCATTCGCGTCGGCCAACAAATCTACCTTTCAGGTACAACAGCTGCCGATCCTGACAGCCCACCTGGAAAACCGCGGGTACTTTGCCCTGGAGATGCCCGTGGCCAAACACGGGTCACCTTGAATGAGATAATTAAGGCTATTCAACATCTTGGAGGCAAGGGCGGCGAAAGCATTATACGAACCCAACTATTCATTCAACGCCACGAAGATGCCCCGGAAGTGATGGCAGGATTTACGGAAGTCCTAGGGCGGGATCATGGCGGCAATATCGGCTCCACTGCCATTCTGCTTGTTGTTTCGAATTTCTCCGACCCGGAAATGCTGGTGGAAATTATGGTGGATGCAATTGCCGACGCTTCATGAAATCAACACTGGCGCTGAAAATGGGTTGGAAGGCCCAATCTTGCCCGAAATTTAATCATGTCCATGCCGTGGCAATTTTATCGACCGAGTGCCGCCGGAGCCGGAGACGTACGTCAGAGGGTTTGTCGTGATGCACGCACAGCCAGAGTGTTTGTCCTATTGCACAGACTTAGTCAGTCCGCACTCCTATATCTGGGTCTATTTAGTTCAGATGGTTTCTTGTCCATATAAATATTCAAGTTTCCTCTCTGATCACCTCTCGCTTTTGAAACAAATAATATTGCTTAGTAATTACTATGAATAGTATTGGTGCTCAGTGCTAGAGACTATCACCGATATATACTTTTTACATGCAAAAAGTAGTACTTTATGAAGACAATATTCAGTACCTAGGTAGCCACTGATAACTTGTTCTCTTTATAAACAAAAAATAATATTCACCTGCCAGTGGGCAACCACCATAAATATTAGCGCTTGATGACTATCGCCAATGCGTGCAGAAAGAAATACTCAGTGGCCACTACAAACCTGTGCTCTTTGCATTCAAAAAAGAATACTAATGAGGGTGCTAGGGGAAATTATTATTGCAAAGTGGTGGTTATTAGCTGCCGTGGGAAGGGGCTTCTATAGCTCTGGAAAGATTGGATCACTTTAGATTATACTGGGGGAGGCAGGATGGCGATACTGGCAATGGTAGAGAGATGGTGGTGGCATGAAGATGCTATGGAAGAAGCCCGTAGATACTACATGCCAGGCACGGTGGGCACGGGCTGACCCAGCAGCCTGGGGCCTGAGCCCTCAGGCTTCAGTAGATTAAGCTAGGCCGCCCCTGCCAATCTACACCTTAACGCGCACCAACATCAATACTAGCCACCACCTGAGATTCCACAACATAATCGCTTCTTTGCACTCAGCGAGCCTCTTGAAAACAATCTGATACTTTCACGCCCAGGTGTCGTCAAATCCTCTGCAGGGGCAAGAAATACTTGCCAACACGTTGCGATTCGCCGCCGGCACCACTTTATGTGCGGCTGCCCAAGTCAACTCTCTGTGGGCAGAAGAAGCAACCAATGTGAGCGTCCATTATCCTGGAAGCTTGATAAAGACATGACAACCAACTTGGCAAACTTGATAGTGGATATGGCGTGGAAAATATCGTCGGGGAGGTAGCAGTCTGATCGCTGCGTTACAGAGATTGGCCAGTCTATCTAGCGAGCGTCGACTTTGGTGAGCAAACTGTGACTCTCGTGAAGATTATACTGGATTGCTCATATCTTGCATTGGGTACACTTCGAAAATACGCCACCTTGCCATGAGTTATGGTTGTCTTTATGGCGATGGCTTGAGCGAAAACCTTGTGATCTCAAAGCTGATTGCCGACGCAGCTTTCTCATTTCCATATTTACGATCTGTTATTTTGGACCCGGAAATGAAATTGATGATATGAAAGAGGAGGATATGGTTCAGTTTGTCCTGGAGACTCGTCTCCCTTACGATTTATGGTGGATACTATACACATACTACACACCATGGTACTTGGAGATGATTCAAGGTATAGGGAGTGAAGAGTGTGGAGAGCGATAGGCATGAGAGACAGTAACTAACAATGGTCACTAGGCACGTTCACCCTGCCTCCGACACCTTCGTATTGACAATCCGCTGGGAGGGAAAACCACCCAGCCTCTAATTTCGGTCCAAAGATTTTTTGATTGTCTTGAAGGTATGCCGTCCATGACCCATCTGGAATCTGAGATGGGCTGGACCTCAGTGTTGAACAAATTCTATTTGCGATACCTTATGTTGCGTCCAACGCTTGAAATACTATCCCTTGGTCCTAAAACGGCCATTGACTGGGATCTGACTGAAAGTGCTCTTGATGAGTGTGAAGAAAGCACTGTGTTTCCGAGCTTACGGTTTCTTATCGTTTGGGCCGAGGTAAGAGCCTTACAGTCCTTGATTCCTTTACTCGATAATTTGCAAGGAGTACATCTGCAACAGCATAATTCTGATTCTGATGATGTTAATTCTGTTCTGCACCTCTTATCCTCACGTCGACGTCTTGAGGAGATCTCTTTCGACTCTTGTGGCAACGTTAATGCCCCGCATCCAATTATTTCATGATCTCGCATCAGGCTGCCCCTTGCTTTGAAGGCTTGAACTTGGAGATAATTGGTGGCTACCGCTTGTTGATTTCAACGACGAACTGATAGCAGCAATTGCACCGCAATGGAACTTGCTGACTGTACTTCGTTTAAACTTTGACACTAAAATGTCTGTCAGGTCTTTGGCCTCCCTATCTCACCACTGCCCTCACCTCCAAGAACTTCGACTTATGAATGATTTTGAATTACTTGATGAGCCGAATCCCTCTGGTGGCTTAGTGCATTTCCCTCGTCTGGAAATCCTTCAAATCGGTTCACCAACCCTTCAAAACAATTGGGATCTTCCAAGTGATCCTATAACTACTGCTAACACAATTTTTGACCTCATTGATCTCTGGTTTCCTGTCATGAAAAGCTTCATTTGCGGGGATTGGCATTCGCGCCGCGATAGTGGGATCACAGTCCTGGGCATCATTGACCAGCATTTAGTCGCCACTCGACCTCCTCGGATTCATTCTCCAGACTACCCCGGGTCCTCAATGAAAACGAAGTTGATTCGGGACACTGTTGGAGATTGATTAAAAGTACGGATGTCGGAGCGGAGGTGACAGAGCCTTATAGGGAACGGTCATTCCAAAGTTTTAATAGAAGCCCTGGAGCATTGGGTCAATTGCGGCTATGGAGCGTCGTACAACCCTAAGTACATATACTAGTCAACAGTGAATGCCGATCATACCTAGTTAACCTTGGGAACTTCTTCAGTCCGAATCTACAACTTCCAAGGTTGTTGAACCGTGAATATTACTTTATATCTATTAGGTAAACATCGCATACGGCTAAAGGTAACATTTTTCGACTGCCCAGGTGCCCTACAGACTTCCTTGAAAATCCGAAATATGAATTTCAATTAATCTATCGTATTCATCTACCCGAACATGGGGAAAGAGTCTATCATGTTTCTCATGACAGTGCCAAATATACTGCCTTCCTCAGAACGCCTATTCTAACAATGATAAAGCATGTACCATATATCACCAAAATTTCAATGTTAGATGTGAAAATATGGGAATCCGGCGTAACCAGCGTAAGCAATGACTTGAATGATCTACATTGCAATAGAAAAAAAAAGATCGTGAACCATTGACAAAAGAATGGGAAGACATCCCCAATAGCGATCTCAAATACCATGGCCCTGTACTGTACAACACTCAAAGTATCGATCAAGCCGAATTACCCCGGTCTTTACCCCTGCCGCGTTGTCCACCACGACGGGGATTCTTTCCAGGAACATGATTTCCAGCAGATGTGTCACGAGGCTGCGTTGATCCGTGACCATTTGCATTTTTTTTCGGAGTGGGCGCGGCTTGCTTCTGGCCCTGGGAGTTGATGGCTTCTGGTGCCGAAGTCTTATTACCTCGACGCTTGCGCGAGCTACCAGGTGTACCAGGGCCGGGGCCTTTGCCACCGCGTCCACTCTTTCCACTGCCACGCTGCTGGCTCCCCTGCTGTTGCTCTGGCTGGGAGGGCTCGGGATCCAAAAGGCCTTGGATACGCTTGCTCTCTTGGTCCCACCACTGCTGGAACTCTTGCTCGGCTTGGATCTCGTCGAGATTGTGCTTCGCATTGGCTGCTTCTCGAATCTCATCCTTTTCTGTTTGTTGCTGGTGGAGAATAGATGCTAACGAGAAGGATCCAGCGGAAGGGGAGCGGGATCCCGCATGCGGGTCGGGGCGTGGGATGTGTCGGATTGAATGAACAGGAGGCTGAGGAGATTCCTTTGGTATGGAATTGTGAGAAGAAGGCGAGGGCCTGGAGACGGATGTTTGAATACTTGCTGAAACAGTGCGGCTTTGGGACTTTACTGGGGTGGCGACTGGCTTCGATCTCGGGGGAGGTGTCCCGGCAACAGTTTGGCGCATGGTCATTGCTGGTCTCTGGGCAGGCTTTTGGTCGGAAACGGATGGGCTGGTAATCTTTTGGCCGGGAAGAGGATCTTTGGTTGGAGTACCAGGGGTAGCTGGCGAGGGCAATTGCCACGGATTCTGCGACACTTCTTTGGCCTTTTCCTGCGCAGCTAGCATTTCTTGCATCTGCTGTTGTTGTATCTTCTTCCGATCTCTTTGGGAAACCTTCTGGGTGGATTTGCTGCTGCTCTCGCGAGGACTAGACATGCCCAAGGTCAAATTAGAAACTCGAGATTGTGAACTTTCTCCCATGATGTCTTTGAGGTCCTTTTTGCTGCTGGGTATCCCCGGGGAGCCCCAGGGAACCGAAGTCCCTGAAGGTGATACTAAGGAACGTTTTTGATGAAGCGCAATGGCCCTTGACTCGGTCGGGGACTCTGCCAGTAGTGTGTCCCGCGGTGAAGACATTTGGGTATCTAGGAAGTTCCTCTCCTCAATCGATTCGGGGATGCTTGCTCCAAGAGCGGGCGAATTAGGGTATGAATTGTCAGCCAAGCTCATGCCACGCAAAGCAGCTTTACCCTTGGACAAGTCACTAGATGAAACTGCTTCCTCGTCCATCTGGAACATCAGATCACCACTGGATTGTCTCGGTTTCAGCATGGGACTGGCTGCGGAACTGTGAAGGACTTTGGGCGTGCTGGCTTTGCCCTTCCTCGCGGAAGAGGGTGTTTTATCACCCGCAGTCTGGCGTGGTCGCATGTCATCGGATTCTCTATGATCTAAGCGGGTTTGTAGAGCCATCGCATCGATGCGTCGTTGTTTATCCGTCTCGACCGAGCTGACGATCTCCGGGTACTTCTCAAAAACGTATCCCTCGGAGTTGCGCCCTCGAGAGATCGGGAAGCAGGCCAATTGATTTTCGTGACAAACCAAGTCAAGGTCCCCGAGTAGGTCATCGTCGAGATCCAGATATTTGTTCGCAAGCATAGTTTCCAGATCAAGGCAGATATACTCCAAAGCCGCTTCCTTGAACTCAGTCATGTAAATGGGGGCAACCGAGTTGAGAAGGTATGATATGTTCCGCGTGTTGACAAATCGACCAATCATATTTTGGCAAATCTGTGATAATCGGTCGATCATCAACTCGTTGGCGACGTACATTACGTCTAAGAACAAGTCAATTAGATCATCGATTGTCTTTACGCGCACTTGATCGAACAGATGTTCATCCGCATCGGAATATGCATAACGCAAGACGAAATAGAAGATCGATCGATCGATGTGTTTCAAGTCGACATGTACTTTTTCAGATGACCGGCGGGACTCTAGCCACCTACCACCCGAGCGGCCATGGAACAGAGCCTCAAAGAAAGGGCATCTTTGACAAATCACTTGGCTGTGCACTTTGAGAGAACCGCCCTTCAACTGAACAATCACATCTGCATCATCGAAGAAAGAAGCATGGTTGATGGCATGTGCCATGTCCTTTTTCAGGCTTCGTTGAGGTTCGACCATTAATCTGGCAGCACGTTCGAGTGTCGGCAGAGCAAGTTGTGAGCCAATCCGCATAACTTCGTTGCGTACCTGGCGGTAACGAGCTGCGTTTTTGGTAGAAGTCTTCGCGAGATGCCATACATCAAGAATTCCATCGGTGTAGAGGAAAAATACCAGATTCATCACAGTCAGGAAATCGACTCCTCGGAATCGGATTTGCGTCTGTCCATCTTTGTCGTACTCAATATCAAGAAGATCGGGCACAGCTGAATAATATGATTCCCGAAATTCGTGGAGCGCCTTTCGGAGGACAGGGCTGCGACCCGCAAGAAGAAATTGATGTGCAGGAATGCGTTGTTCAGAATCCGAGGCTGTGAGCCATATAGTGCCCGTGGTCTGAAGAGACAGAAACTGACTTTCAATATCTGGTGAGAGAATAAGAGCTCGTTTGATCATGGCCCCTGCTGGAAGTGGGATTGGGTCATCTGTAACATCATTTGCAAGAACCAAGTCGATTTCTTCGATTCCAGGGGTAAGGAAAGGTGAAAGTGGTAGCAGGTCGTCCCAAAGAGTGCTACGACCAATGTGTACTTGGTCCCGAGTCACATCGCAATCGCGTTGCGCGACAGAATAGGCACCATATGCATTACTACGCACAGCAACAGCCCGAGATAGCCCTGGAATACGTGCGAATTTGTAGTCTTTCGAGGAACCGTCCTTACGCTTGGTTCGTTTCTCTTTTTCTCCAAGCTGTGCCGGACGTTGTGCAGATTATGATAGAACCATCTTGTCCAACGTCTACATCGCTTGCTGCCATATGCGACTTTTTCACGGACCACGCCCTCAAAGGAGAGGCCAATGAATTTCTGATTTTGGCCGGGTTCGTCGTGGATGTTGATGTTTCGGGGTTTTCTGCTTTGTTGACCTCAACAGTAAAGACCTCTCCGGAACTAGACAAAGCACTGATTGTGTTGCCTCCGCTGGCAAGTTTGACCACATGATTGACTGAATGGTCATATCGCGTGGCCATAAAGCTTTCGCGAATAAAGCTCGAGCTAGCCTCCAGCGGGAAAGAGAGCTTTGAGTATCCATATTGCGAGAACACCCAGACTTCGTGATTCTGCAGAAGGACGGCCGTGGCGCGGTCAATGGCAGATACGGTCTGGATGGGGCATTGAAACAGAGACGCTCCCACACGTCTAGGGGTTATTTGAACCTCAAGAGACCTTGCATCAGAGTCGACAAGTCCTAATTGGCCCTCGTTCTTGCCAAATGTATAGAGACCAGAATCACTGAAAACCACTGAATGGATGGCTGATGCCGCGGCACCCATTATCCTCTCTCTCTTAAAAGCATTGAAGATCTGTCGAGGAGTGGTCTGGATGGGTACATCATTCCGATTGCTCGTCCGCGGCAGATTGTAGCCGAGTTGGCCGAATGTGTTACTTCCCCAACTGAAGATCTCGCCGGTATCGGTGATGGCGAGACTATGGTCTTGGCCCAAGGCGACCGACACTACTGCCTTGCCTGCTAGCCCACCACCCTCGATACAAACGAAATCAAACCTTGTGGATTCGTCGCCGGTTCCAAGGCGGCCACCAGGACCAAACCCACACATGAAAAGGTTTGCTTCTGGATCATCCGTCATGATAGCAGTATGTAGCTTCGACATGACTACATTGCGGAATTTCATAGGCTTGTTTGCGATCACGGTCGGTATCTCATCCGATGTATGGAGCAGATCCTCCATTTCCAGGTGCTCCATTCGATCCTGGTATTCACGATAGAAGCGATCAAGAAGATGATCGGGGCGCTGGATGGCGATACGCTCGGGAAACTGCCGATCGTCCTGATCACCAAGCCCGAGATTCAAGTTTTTGTTGCTGCCAAACGTGAAGATCTCATCAGCCGAGAAGTCTGTCCCGAAACTCCTCGAAATGACCCGCAGAAAGGAACCGGAACCGTCATCCTCTTCCTCTTCATTGTGAGACGCAGCGTTGGAAGCCGTGTCATTCTCCAAATCACGGGGGATCTTGGACAGTATTTGTTTGATATCGCGAGAGGTGATTGTCGCACCATAGACGTCAAATGGAGAGTAACCTTCGCGGTCCTTGATTTTGATCAGGGTCCCGCTCTGATGGTGGACGAATTTGTTGTTCCCTAGTCTAGCGAAATCCGACTCGTTATCGCGGATCATCAATGCCCGCGCGACTGAGGCATTCCCGGCATACAATGCCCTGTGTAAAGCTGTCCATCCACTTTCCCAGTCCTGTGCATAGATATCGAGGGTAGGGTAGGCTTCGAGTAGCGCACGCGCGAAGTTGATAGCGGTAGGTTTCGGTGACGAAGCGACGTGGTGTAGCAGCGTCCTACCATGGTGATCTCGAGCGTTCACATCCGATCGCGGCCCTTTCGGGACCGGGGCGAGGAGCCGTTGAAAGCTCTCGACGTCATCTTGTATAAAAAACTCCCAAAGCTTGCTCATGTGTGCCCGGAAGCCGCGCGGTGGCGATGACCGGGACGATAGGTGTCCCGAATGAACGGAGGAGACGGAGGATAGATAGGATCGTAATGCGGCTGAATATCTTTAAGTCGTAGTGTGAGTGAGGTGGGGAGGTTTGGATACTTGAGATGGATGTGAACAAAGAGAGACGCGAGCGCGGGGGGGGTACAGTCAGTCGCACCGTGGCTTTTCTTATCGTCGCCCCGTCATGTTCCTGTGGAACCGGAAACCCACCAATCAAATCCAGCCAGTCCCTCCATGCACAGACGAGAGGCGATCGGCGAATGCTGGGGAAGCCACTGCTCAAGCCCGTGGGGGAGTGAGTGGTGGTTAAGCTGCTTGGAAGCATATTACCTACTATAGCCAGGGGTGATTGCTGAGTGCTTCATGCGTGTGATTTACTCCTACCCCGCAGTTCTCTGCATTGACTACCTCAAGGTACATAGCCGCAACGGACCTATGGACCTGGTGTTTCTGCCCCTGCAGTGAAGCTATTCGCTATTCCTGCTATCCTAACAATTCAGGGTCCTGAGTGTATGACTGGTCAGGATATTGGGTCGCATGCCAACTACTAGTATTTCAATGGTAGCTACCTAGATATACTACTAGTAATAGTAATTAAATACATCCAGCACCTGGGCAGATGGAACTTGGTTGGGAATTTATATTTACGGCAAGTGGGAGTAGATCCATGTGGACTAACTATCATTATTCAACACAGCAGACTCAACAGGCAATCATTGGCCAAACACTATCCACATTCAATGTTTAGACGTTTCTGCAATCTGTAAACCCCTCTCTCCAGGCTGTGCTTTCGGTGTTGACTCTCCGGCTTTCGACTCCGCCCCGTCGCCAACAATAATAGTCTCTCCCTCTTCATCACTTTGCTCCAAGGACTGAATAGATTTGCTATTCCTTTGGTCGCTGCAAGAAATATTAGCTTTGCTGATGATACTCATATCTTCTGAAGGCTCATATTTACCGTCGGTGGATCAGGATGGCGGATATAAAGCCAGCCCAAAGAAGGAAGTAGAAAACAAAAGTCACCGGCCAGCCCTTTCTCCATCTCGGAGCCCCGTTAGGCCCAGCAGTTGGAAATAGAAGAAGCGGGACCCAAATATTAAATGAATATCCAAATGTCATCATAGAGCCCTATCGAATAAATCGAGTTAGTCAAGGCGCGGCTTTCGTGATCGGGCCAAATCGGGAGATCCTTCGGAGAATGCAGGGGCTTACCATGATCAGGGCGCGTTCTTCAGAGTCATCCTTGACAATGGTATTCACGGTAGAGTATAGAATCGGACTGAGACATCCGGAAAGTCCAAAGAGATACCAGGCAAAGAATCTAGGTGATGCGATTGTTAGCTCTTAATTCACCAAGCAAAATGATTACGTATCGCCTTACTTCAATGCAGTAGGAATATTCCAGATTATCATGCAAAGCGTCGAGAAAAGAACACAGGCCGATGCCAGAGTATAAATGATCCATGGAGGGTATATCGATGCAAGAGTCGACCCGAGCCAAGATGCGACGATGGTGATTGCGTATATAACTGTGGGTAATTGATTAATTTGTGTCACTGAGTAACCCTCTGCCTTGAGCCACAGATTCATATATGACGACGGGTATGATGAAATGATCATGCATCTGTACAGCTTTATTAGAATTTGTCGATTTATGATTGTTATCGCCACCAGACTCACGCATAGCAAAGGATGAACACCCAGATACGCCATCTCTTCAATGACCTCTTGAACACGTCCAATCCAAGCTTCCCGGGTCGTCGAATTTTGGCCCTGGCGGTTCTTTCTTTCGCCAGTGCAATATCACTTTCGGTGAGGTAGAATGGCCGCGGTGAGTCTGGAATACCAGGGAAAATGAAGAACCCAATAAGGGCGACCGGAATTGTGAAAATGCCGTCGATGATAAATAGCCATCTCCAACCCGGCATACCGGCGACCCCGGAAAGGTTTGTGTACGCTGCTGATTGCAAATATCCGCTCACCATCGATCCTAAAGGGTTACAGATAAACCAGGCGCCAGCTCGCTTGAACAGCTCTGGTCCAGAATACCAGGAACCTTTAAAAATATTAATCAGAAAGTTCAAATACTAGTAGAATGTGACGGCGAAAATATACCTAGAATGAAATGGGTTCCGGCAAAGACGGGTGCCTCCAGCATCCCCACTAGAAACCGCAGGGCATAGATCTGGTTGACATTCGTTACGCGGCTTTGGGCAAATGTACAAATCCCCCCATAGTACTTCTAGTCCAGGAAGAAGCCAACGAGCTCTATCTGCAGTCAGTCAAATGTTCTCAAGCAATGTAAGCTCTAAGCTGGACCCACAGTTTTGGGCGGGACATCAACAGCAGCCCAGGAACTTGAAATACCACATATGCCGTGAAATAGCAAACATTAAAGTAATTCAACTCATTGCCGTAAAGCCCGAAATCTTCCTTGAGACCACTAACATAGGCATTGCTGATATTGGTTTGGTCTAAGGTGACATTAGCTTATTGGACTCAAGCATTTTCGATACCATGTCTCCTACCCAGGTACTTGACAAAGACTGTAAGAGTTAGCTTAAGCACTGATTCAGAACTGTTATGAAACAAAACTCACAGCATAGACAAGCGAAGATCAAAATAGATAAATCGAGTTTGAAAAGCAATCTAAACACATCAGTTCAAATTCAATAATATCGGTTGTACTTTCTTTCAACTGACCGTCGTTCCTCTGAGGGATACTCTGATGGATACCAGTTGAAGATCTCCTTGAATACCCCTAACAACGATGGCCGTCCTGCTTTTGGTTTTGCCTCGGACATGATTAACGGCACACTACCCGCAGTAACGCCAGCTCTGATGAATGGAGCAGCTGAAAATCAGTCCCTTCGGAGAATTTTTATCCTGTTGAGTATATGCAGGTGAATTGATGCTTTTTTTGAATAATTCTTATCTTGCAATCTGATCCGAATGCACAATTCTAGGCCCGTTGATGGCATCATGGCAATCGCCCCACGCCTTGTCGCCATCGTAGGAAATCTATCCGAGAGAGTGATAATATCAACACGGTTAGCCTCATATAATAAAAGTCGTTAGATCAAGCCTAGCATGAAGCTTTATGTGGAAAGCGGATAGAATCATATGTTTGAAGTTTTCGACTGCGACATGTTCGCTGCAGATGGCGTGCCCAACTCCTGATTCGAGGCGGATAGTTTTGCATCCGATGATTAGCCGGCACTGGGATGATCTTCCCTCTCATTCGACAAAAATATTGCGTGCTTCGAGTTCATTCATCGACTTACGGGGTTTGATCCGGAGTGCGGGGTTGGGATTACTTCTCTGGGTTTGAGTTGGTTCTTATATGTGGTGCACATCCGTGCTTGCTCATAATTACTCGCATCTTGCATAATCTCAATCTCGAAGCTTCAATCGACATCCTGAAAATACACACGTTGATAATATGCCTGGAAAAATACTAGAAAGTTACGATCACGTACCTGTAACCAAGGAAGATTGTAAGTATATTATATATATTCCTTGAGAGAGATATGTTCCAAATTTACTAATAATAAGTCAGTGGACTGGGCAGAGCTCATAACCCTTGATCTCAGTGAATATGAGCAGCCTGGGGGGGAAAGAGTCACTAGTGAAAAAACTCGAACACGCTGTACGACATGTTGGTAAGTATCCGAGTCCAAGTCTACCTATACTCCGATCTTGAAATTGTCTTTTCCAACTACTAACTAAATGCCTTCCAAAGGGTTCTTCTATGTGAAAAACTTCAATATTGACCAAGAGGAAGTCAATCGCCAATTTGCGCTTGGTCGAGAGTTCTATACACTGCCTCTTGAGGAGAAGCTCAAGTATCACAATGCAGATGATCTAGTCAGGGGAGAATATAACGGATATCGGCCCGCCGGTCACCGCATGTGAGACTACCTAGGTACCTATGAGCGGAGACAAAATATCCAGGAATATTAACAACCTACTAGTCTCGGGAATGGAATCAAAGATAACGTGCAGGTGTATAACATTCCCAAATTTGACGGCTATCACCAACGACAACAACCCGCCATCATTTCCGAGAACATTGCTGAAGTTGAAGCTTTCAGCCGGGTAATTATATCTCTATGGAATGCATTTATAGTCAAAAGCTAACGGAGAAACTTTAGAAATGCCACACAGAGGTGGTTGAGAAACTCCTCCGCCTATTTGCCATTCTTTTGGAGCTTCCTGACGAGGAGCAGCTGGTTCGCGACCACCAATACGACGTTCGCGGAGAGGATCACCTGCGCTATATGCACTACGCAGCACGCAGTGCTGAAGAAAACGAGAAAGTTGGGAGTCTTTACAGTCCCGGCCATACCGACCTGGGAACGGTAACTCTACTTTTCCGACAGCCCGTGGCAGCCCTGCAAATTCTCAACTCCGAGGGGAATTGGAAGTGGGTGCGCCCGCAAGATGGAACCATTACGATCAACACCTGTGATGCTTTGACAGCACTTACGGGAGGATTGATTAAGTCCAGTGTTCATCGGGTGCATGCGCCTCCAGCGGACCAGGCGCATGTTGACCGATTGGGTGTGCTGTATTTTGCCCGGTGAGTGATTTCCGGGGTTTTGATGCGATTCGATTCTTTTGAAACATGTTAAGCTAATCCGGAAAAGCCCAAATAATCACGTCGTCCTGGATCCGATTACAAATAGCCCGCTCCTTGAGCGCCTCGGGTTGACGAAGAATGTTTTTACCGAGCTCGGTCAACATCTGACGACTGAGCAGTGGGTGAAAGTGCGGCAGACACAGCAACAACGACGGAACAAAGATGTCAAGGTCTCTGATGATGGAAAATACACCTATGGCTCCAAAGATCTTGAGATCCTTCCTGGATTGAGTGCGAAGATCTACAATTGAGGTGGGATGCACTTGGAAAGATTGCTACTAGTGCGCCCCATTGTGTACTATTCAGTAAGTCCTACAGCGTCTGGTAATAGATGCAAAGCCAAGATCCTCCCGAGAAGAGCTCCGTGGTATTTTAATGAGTTTTCAAAATGTAGTCTACATGGCCAAGTTCGGAGATACCTACATAAGTAGCGAATAGAACTCTCGGTCAAAAATAATGCCCACATGCCCTCGGGATCTCAACGTAGCCTCCTTATAGACGTAGGTCATAAATGATGATAGACCCGACAGATTCCGATTATACCTATTCAATTCCTCAATAGCCAGGGTATGCACATAGTCCATGCGCTCCTCTGACTCGAAATTAATATATTAAAGTTCTGATATCACGAGAAATGCCATTAAATCTCAATTCACGACTCGGAGTGCTCGCCATTGCAACGATATTTTCCATGAGTTGTTCAAGTTATTCAGTATACAGCAAAGTGGACCCATAAATGCTTTGTTACTAGTAGAAGAAGCTCAAATAATGATCCAGGAACCCATATATGGGTTTCCTGTTCCTGAATTTGAAAGCTTTGGGTCGGGAGATCATCAAACTCGATTTTCAGTCATCCAAAAGTAGCTAACTACCACGGTACAACAGAGTGGATCCGAGGAGCGAAGGAGCAAAACCAGCGCATTTCAAAGCACATGGTTGCATTGAGGAGTATCCTCGACCCTGTCGAGTTTCTTTCATGTGTATCCGCTCTCAATTCTGACTCCGATAGCCGTGCCCATCCGACGTATTGACGTATTCAAGGAGCCAAGAAAGCCCTACCCGCCGATCCCTCGAACAGGTAAACAAGGCGAACACTTCAGGGTGCGGGGTCCAGCGCCGATCCCCTATTTTCGCACCCGGGGTTTCCCCAGAATAATAAATAACTCGTGGAGGAAACACAGAACTTGAACCACTCGAGTACTGTGGAACACCAAGATCAGAAAAAGAAGACCGTGGACTGCAAGTACTTGACTATGCTCTGCACTGTCGAATCAACTCCGTGCACTCCTGCGTATTGGGCCGTATAAATCCTTCTGTCAGGATGCAGGAACAGCCTTTAGTAAGGGGAATGATGATCTTCATTCGAACAATCGCCTGCCTCGGCAGAAGCTGTGGATCACATTCGCAAAATCCATAGTGCGGTGGATATTTATCTGGTTTCCATCCGACCTTTCTATGGTAGGAATTATCCGAAGCAAAACTGATTTTCTTCCACTACGTTCGCTGGTCACCATGGTCTCCGTCTCAGGCTCATCGGTGCGCCTCGCCATGTTGGCCTTTATGGCCTTCATGTTGGCAGTTGTATCTGCCCGGCCTGCTGTTGCGCGGACTACACCTCAATTTACACGTCGTGGCCTGCCCGTGGCTCCTGCCGATGATCCGTTCTATCAGCCCCCAGCTGGCTTCGAGAAGGAGGACCCTGGAACCATTCTGAGGCAGCGCACTGTCAGCGTTGCGTTCCTAGGACTGATTCCCGACCCGGTCGAAGCATACCAGCTGTTGTATCGCACAACCGCGATCAATGGCTCTGCCATCGCAACAGTGACGACAATCTTCAAGCCCGCATCGCCCAAGAAGGACCGATTCGTCTCCTTCCACACGGCCTACGATAGCTCCGCGACAATCTGCAACCCTAGTTATAACTACCAGCTTTTTGCCGCGCAAACCGATATCATTTCCTCGGCTGAGCAATTGCTCCTTCAAGCCTACCTACTGCTGGGTTATATCGTTGCCTCGCCTGACTATGAAGGACCCGAAGCTGCCTTCGGCCCAGGCCGTCTCGAAGGCATGAACGTGCTCGACAATATGCGTGCAGTGAGTAACTTTGGCTCACATCTTGGTCTGACTAGCGACAACCCCATGATCGTTGGAGCGGGCTACTCCGGCGGTGCGATTGCGACTGGATGGGCCGCCGCTCTGCAACCGAGCTATGCGCCAGAGCTAGACATCAAGGGCTGGGTCCAGGGTGGAACTCCATCCAACCTGACCGGAACATTAGTGTTCATCGACAACACGCTTTTCAGCGGTTTCCTCCCAGCCGCCGTGGTTGGGCTGTCGATGCCGAGCGCCTACGGCGCCGAGTTGGCGCCGATCATCGAAAAGGTGTTGACCGATAAAGGGCGGAAGACCCTCGAAGCTGCCAAGACCAACTGCGCCGTCGGAGATCTGATCAGTTTCCCCGAGATGTCTCTCTTTTCGACGGATTTCCAGAGCTTGGGGTCAGGTCTGCTTGAACAGCCTACGATCAAGAAAATCATGAGCGAGAATGTCCTCGGTGTCAATAAGAATGAGACTCCCACTGCGCCGGTGTTTGTGTATCACGCTACGCAGGATGAGGTTATTCCATACTCGAATGCAACGGCCATGGTCAACTCGTGGTGCAACAATGGAGCGAGTGTCAAGTTCACTTCATACAGCAATGGTGGACACGCGACCACTGAGGTGATTGCCTTGCCGGAGGCTGTTAGCTTTGTCCAGGCAGCCTTTGCAGGTACCACGGAGAAAGGCTGTTCTCAGCATACCAAGTTGGACAGTTTCTTGAACCCGATTGCACTGGGGGTGGAGTTGGAGCCTATCCTGACCAAGTTGATCGACGTGTTGGCCGCGTTGGGACGGGGCGACTCGGGCGTGAAGCAGAACCTCAATGTTTTGAAGGATGTGGTTACCTGGTAAAATTTGAGTATATCACGGGCGAGCTGGACGAGGATGAGGACATGGGTGAGGAGATGGAAATGACGATATAGTTAATTTTGTTATACATAATACCAATATATGGATCTGAACATACCAGAGCGTCTAGTAGGCAACTCAAAACGTAACTGACTCACCGATTAACTTCTATGACTCCTCTGTCGTGCTCGCTTGCGTCATTTCTCCGCGGCTCTGCTGCGCCCGAGCGCGGTGTGCCTTGTGGAGCAACCCTTGAAGCTGTCACTGCAGCGATAGGTTTATGATAGATCAACCCCGGGTGAACACTCGAGTAGGCAGCCACTTGTACTCCCCAAACCCCTCGGAAACTAAGACAAAAGATGTCTAGGTTCTAGGCAAAAGCAGTTAAGTCTAATCAAATGCAAATCAAAATGCAAATGGACAATGTCAAGGGACACAAAGGGAGACAAAGCGTGATGATCAGCTGTCAATGGCTGCTGACAGCCGCTCTTATCTCGAGCGGTGAGATAGATGAGTGTCGATCGGGGGCGAGTGAGGAGTACAAACGGGGTCGTAGATTTCCCCCCGGATTCTCCTAGATTAAAGTAAAAAAGAAAAACAAAAAGACCAGAAATGAAGAGCTGCATACTCTGTAGTGAACACTAAACACCAAACAGTGAACAGAGATCAGCTGCGGTGGCGTAGGCTGACAAGCCAAAAGTCATCCTCAAGTGCAGCAGAGTGCAGTCACCGGATGTGCGTCACTAGTAACCTTTTTGCCCTTCCGCTTCCTCTTCCATCCCCATTCCACTCCTCCTCCTCACTTCTCCTCCCCCTCTCTCCTCCCTACTTCTTCCTTCATCCTTTGCTTTCTTATCCATAATATATACTTCCCTTCAACCATTCTCCCGGGCCATGGCTATCGTCCCGTAGGTTCCACAACGTCCTGACGCTGTGAACCCTCCCGTGCGGATCGGATCTGCTCTTGATGCGGAGAAGCTCTCTAGGCTCCGAAGGTCCCAGGTCTAGATCGTCCCCTTCGGCCATGTTTGTGACCGTCTTCATTGTCTCCACCAATTTCAAACTACCTTGAATCTTTGGTGATTCCATTTTATTCCTCGCCGATCTTCTATTTTCTCTGTTAGCATGGCCTTCTGCACCGGCCCCACCGACCCTCCTCACTCGCTGCGCTCCTGATAACACAATCGTGCGCTGGTAGCACCTCCTCCCATATCCTCACCCGGTCTCTCAGGGACAACCACTGCTGCGTTTGATCTCTGTGTATGGGCTCGGTGCCCTTGAGACAGACATCATGCACCAACACCCTCGTTCTCCCGCTGTCGCTTCCTCGGCGCCAAAGCAAACCCCAAGAGCGCTGGCCGCGGCTCGGGATGACCTCAAGGACCCAGACTCCGTCCCGCCTTCCCCACACCCGTTGACATTCGAACCAACTCGGCCAAAGGGTTGGGCATTGATGCTGGGTCGGAACACTCTGACCATCGGGCTGCGGCTCCTAGTAAAGAGAACATGTCCAAGTTGAACCAAATCATTTCGGTATGAGCTCTTCGCTATCCCCACCTTAATACCTGCCCCCGATCCCCATCTTCATCCCCATCGTCATCTCGAAAGATTTCAAACTCATGACTTACCCTTATCGCCCGCAGAACTACCACACAAAAGCAGCTCTGATCGTTCTTCATTCACGCGTCGACCTTCCTCCCTCATACCCAAAGGGCTCCGACACTCCGAGGATCAATCGTTGGGTACGTCACACCTACCCGTTCTATTCCCTCCCTCGAGATACTGCGGGGGTGGCTAACCTATGATTTTATGCCTATGATAGTTTAATGTCGAACTAAACGATACCGATATCCTACGAGATCAACTTCGAATCTGGCGAACGTGCGACGCCACCGACAACCGACCTCCCCCTCTACTCATCGAAGTATACCTAGACACTAAAGGTCTGACCAATAATCAGAGCCTGGTGGTACTTGACGATAATGGGAAGCGATGGGATGTGCACGACTCGCTTGCAGCTCTGCGGACGCAAGCCTCCAATTACCAGCAGTCAAAAGCAGATGAGATCATTCTGGAGCGGTGGAAGATTGAGTTGGGCGAGTCCACTACCAGACCTCCGGTTGATCTGGGCTCCATATTGCCAACCGTATATAAGAAGAGCATTGTTCTGTTCCGATCTCTGTTCACTTATTCCAAATTCCTGCCTGCCTGGAAGTTCTCCAAGAAAAACCCAAAGTTACGCCGGAGCCCTGCCCTGCAAATCAAGTATCGTGTCATAGATGGGAGCATCCCTGTCGCTGGCCGGTCTGCATCACCAGATCACTTAACGGCCCCATTGTATGAGGGTAGTGGGAAGGTGGTGGATACCTACAGTTTCGGTGTCACCGAATCTCCGGCTGGGCCCTTCTCCGTGCAGGTTACTTATCGGACAAACTGTGACTTCCGCGTGGATGATTCAGAGGCTATCCTCAGCTCCCGCTTCATGGGCGCTGATGATAATATCTTCCGCCCCTCCCTCCCCTCGGAGGACATCAAACCGAATCATGAGGTTGGCTCGGTGCCAGTGGAGAAACGAATTGTCGGAGACCCCGACTTCTCACGCGCCTACGGGAGCTTATCTACATTTCACCAGGTTGGTCCTGGGACAAGTCCTCTATCTGCCTTACGGAACATGAGAGATGCTGGCCCAGGATCCTCCTCGCCCCCTGATTCCCCATCTAAGAAGCTCCTACCTTCCGCCAAGATAGCTCCTACTGGACGAGCTGCTCAGATTGCAAGCGAGAGCGGCGGTGGATCGAACTTTGGTCGCCGCCCCTCCATATCATTCCAGCCTTTCAAAGCACCCCCTCTGTCAGCCTCTCCAGCCTTGGTAGACACCCCACTCGGGGTATCACCTCGAACGACATCGGCTCGCGCTTCCGCGGGTACATCGGCCGAGTCTCGTGTTATGCCGCCCCCTTCTGTAGCGGCTACTGCCCGCAGACCTGCCGCCCTTGTATCTGAACAAATCATTTCCTCTTCTAATTCAGCATCACCGAAACCAGCTCCAATCACCAGATATAGTAGCTCGTTTAGCCATCGGCGGGGCCGCCCATCTTCTGGTGGGACAACCAAGCTGGACGATGAAATGTCAAGCGGCAAGGCTAGTGCTACATCTTCTAATGTACAGCCAGGCTCCGGTCACCTCGCAGAAGCTACCAGCACTAGCGCGGGATCTATCCATGCAGATGACGAGAACATCTCCGACTTCTTGAAAATGCTCGATATGAAGAAAGATTTGATGAATTCATCCGGTTCTGGTTCTCAAGATTCTGGACCTCGCAAGCCAACGGCCACATCGGCTGCTCTCGCTCGTTTCCAACGTATGCGTGACTCAAACGCAGCGCTGTCCGACTCGATGTCAACATCCATGCATCTACGGCAGTCTTCATCATCATCCAGTAAACACCTCTCGGGTGTTCCGCAAATGGTTGCTGGCACGTCAATCTCTACGGCTTCGTCCCCTGGAAAGCCTATATCACCCCATACTCCTCACACACCTGCTATTCGATCTCGCCTTAGTTCGAATAGCGTTGCCGATGAAATGGCTACAGAACATGACCGTCGAGTCCCACCCCATATTGAGCACGATTCGCCTCTTGAAGAAAGCCCCGGTGAAACAATCACACAGCGTGATCCATCCACCGCCGGGGCAATTGATATTCCCATATCCCCTCGAATTTATCCCCGGCTGACCGTCGCTCAAGCTCTGCGGCCCAGCGGAGGCGGCCAGCAGTGGCCGATGATGACGAAATATTCCCGTTCGGCATGCGGAGCGTAAGTCTTGGCAACGAAGAAGGGGCACATCCCCTTCCTGACGCCATGCCGCGCATGAATGAAGATGAGAATGCCGATCCCGATCCCAATCTCTACCAGTGTCAACCAGAGGACCAGCCATGCGTCGAGGACAACAATGTCCCCGCGACGAGTGTTACTGGTGCATCACGTCCATCCGTATCCGCAACCTCCTCCATCTCAAACACACACCTATACCAACCCCGCTTCGCCAGCTCGCGAGGCCGCGGCTACTCGGGCGGTCAATCTGTCAGCTCTGCCTCAAGCAGCCTCGCAAGAGGTGCGGCCATTCCGCCTCACTTGTCTGAGCGAGACGCCGATCGAGACGGTAACGCAAGCGGTAGCACGAGTGGTAATTCCACAATGGAATTACGCCGTGGCTCGGGCCAAAGACCGAGTGTGAGCCGCGCTGCACCATCTGCGGCCTTCGAAGATGACGAGCCGTTGCTTTTCGCCATGAGTGACTTCGGCGCCTCTAGGCGCAGTCTCGAGGAGAACAGGGGGAATCATGGCGGCAACGACTCGAATGGCGGTTCGAGGCGGGGCAGTGGTAGGAGAGGAGCTGGGCTTCCTAACTTCCACGTCTGGTAGGGCTCTGCTTAATTTTAAGCCTTTTTTTTACTTCATCTCATCTTTTTGCTGCTTACATCGATCGGGCCAGGCGATATGTGCCTGGGCTGAGCTCTCTCGAAATACCCATTGCCTTTTCTTTCAATCTTTCTCTCCTTTCTAGCCTTTGTTTTGACTGCCGACGAAAGTCCTCAATCCCATCTTCTTTCCATATTGGCTCGCCGTTTTATTTCATTTTATTTTTCTGTTTGAAAATTTCCATTCGTCAAGTGGTTGGTTTTTCTTTTTATAGACTGGATTCTGTGTTCGTCTTTTTATTGCTCTTTCCTCCTCCCCCTCCCCCACATATCATCAAGGTTGATCCTCATATGCATAGAGATTGATTTTCGAGCTCGTTGTTGGCTTTTTGTCTCCCGTCTGTCTGCCTGTCTTTCTGCTCTTCGTCTTGGCAATGCGGGCTGAAACTTGCATTGCCCCTAATCTTGCATTGTTCCGATGGCTGGTGTCGCTTGATCTTGCACGATTCTTTGGTCATTTGGGACTATCTCCCCAGCCTGCGATTCCTCATATGATGAAATGATATTTATGCCGTTCGCTTTAACATCCGAGACACAATTAAGAAATTTCCAAGAGCTTGGCGTGCTTCGGCAATTGGGCTGAGTGGGGAGGTGATATACTAGTAGTAGTATCCATGATGTAACTAATTAGTGCCTTGTAGACCAGCGTAAGTCGAGGCTCGTACTAGTAATTCGTTCATGAAGAACGGGTAGCATGCAGCTGGTTGCAGCTGTCAGTCCTGGAGTGTTTCTATTATAGATAGATCCATTGATAATCTAGAATTTATAAACTTTTATTCTTCGAGAACGATAAGAAACCAGGCTCCAGATGCTGAAAACGATCCGTCATGCAATCAATACATATGGGTACAAAAAATGGTCCAGACGCCGGTACGATAATCCAGACTTTTCTCTTTAATATCAACATGGGCTTATTCAGAAAGTGATACCCCCGACACAACCAAGATGTGAGGGAGCAGGCGACTTTTCGATATTTTCACGGGTATCATAAGTAAACGTTTCGAGCCAACCAAAGAAAGAAAATGGAATGGCTGGCGCCGAAACAAGTCCAACACAAATCACATTACATCTTCCGGAAGAAATTGCCCGAAGCACTGCGGCGCTCCTTGTTTTTGAACTCGGTCTTGTCATATTTGACTTCGGGCTTGCTGTTCTTGGACCGGCCAGCGGGCATGAAGCTGACTTCTCGTTCGCCGACGACGGTGGTGTTTCGGTTGGGCCGTTGCTTCGTCTTCATGTTCTGGGCGCGGGAGCCGAATGAGCGGTCGCGGGCGGAGTTGGTACGGGTTGAGGAGGAGACCTGCATGCGAGGAGGAGCACGCTTGGTACGCTTGAAATCGGAGGAGGAGATCTTGTTGGAGCGCTCGGGCTTCGCGGGGCGCTCGTCCTCGCTGGAGGAGTCGGAGTCAGAGCTAGATCCGGGTACGTCGTCGATGGCTTCTTGCTCGACGGCCGTTAGGCCGCGTTCCTTGCGCTCCTTGCGCTCAGCAGCGGGAATGGGAACAGTGCTAGGGTTGATAAGACGGAATTCGTGAGATTCTTCGTCCACAGCGAAGTCCATATCTTCGAACAGGGCGTTGAAACGGTTGTCGGCCAGAACACCCTTGCTCTTGGGATCCTTCTCGACCTTATCCTTCTCCTCCTTGGCAGGAGTGTCGACCATCTCTTCGTCACCACCACGCTCGAGTACACGCTTGGCATCGCGGCGCTCCTTCTTCTCCTCTGCATTGAGCAATCTGTCGGCCAGACGCTTGTTGACCTTGACGGCGGCCTTCTTCTTGCCGCGGATGCGGCTCTCGCGCTCCTTATCGATCTTCTCCTTAACTCGCTTGGCGCGCTCCTCCTCCCATACGTACGGGTTGGTGATCAACCTGGCCTCCTCGTACAGACGTTGAGCCACAAAGTAACCGTGCATATATGGTCGCAGTAGGTTAGTGCGGCCGATAAGATGCTCGAGATTGAGGGTACGGAGTTGAGGAATGGTAAGGAACTTGTAGTTATCATAGACGGAACCAGCGCTGGAGGTGTTGAAGGCGTTAGGGTCGTTGGGATCTTCGGCCATCTCCTCGACCAAGTTATCCAGAAACGAGCACCATTTGGGCGCAGGTCCAAGTTGGGGAATGAAGAATGAGTGTTGTTGGCGGCCTTCGTTGGCTGTGAGAAGCATTCCACTGTCCTTGCACCAAGCCACCGAGTTGATATCCACTGCCGGTTCGACGGATGTCCAAGGGGTACCGTCACGCGGGTCCCAGAGCTTGATGATACGCTTATCAGCGGACATGATCTTGGGCTCCAATGTCGCCGCGCGGGTGGCGCTTGATGATTCAAGGAATTTGAGGGTGTGGATGGGGAAACCGTATCCTTGGTCCTTCTTCAAGAGAGGAACAGGGGATCGGAGATCGTAGAGGTGAATCAAGCCGTTAGATGAGCCAGTTCCAAGGGTGAGACCAGAACGCTGGAACTCCAACGCAGTAATTTCATTGCGTGCCTCGTGCGGTCCAGGCTGTGTAGGCGGCAAAAGCACACCTGCACGACCCTTGGCTCGGGGATCCCACAGCTCAACTGTGCCTGTCGTGGTACCAAAGGCAAGCAGTCCGTGGCTCTCCTCTGCAATTGCAGCAGTGTTCACAGCACCAGTATGGATTCCACCCTGAAGCGTACCACCACCCGCAGATGTGAAATCGTCGCCGCCAACGTCCACCTCGAAGCTTCGCATGTAGCGTCCCTGTTCCAAATTGAGACGGAAAACTTCACCCATACCATCCTGGTTAACACCGACGGCGGGGATGAGAGCCTCGGTGGAGTTTCGGTCGAAGACAAGATCACGGCCGTATCGCGGGAGGCGGGTAGTGTAATGACATCCTTGCGGGGTGTGGAATTCAAGAGAGCGGTCAGACTGAAGGTGAAGAGACTTGGAGTAGTCGGAGGAGAGAAGAATGAAAGTTGTGTTGAGAGCGACGGTATGGCGAGCCCAAGAGAGAGATAATTGTGGAAGGTAGTGAGTGTGAATTTGCGGCTTGTATGTACCTAGCAACAAAACCCAGTTAGCTGCGCCCAACTCACAATCTCAATCGAGATTCGACATACCTGTGCTCATAACCCATTCACCATCCTCACTGGCTCGAATGCAGTGACTGGCCTCCTCGAACTCGAAATCCTGCAGCAATTCAACTCGGTTCGCATACTCGGGATCATCCTTCAAGCTGCGCTTGCGGCGTCTGGCGAGCCACTCTGGCAAAGGACGGGCAGTGTTGGAACCCGAGATGGTGTATACAGGCACCTCTGACTGGTTGGACAGCTTCATGGTGGGCGAAGATCCACGAAAGTTGCAAGCAGCCTGCTCAAAAAAAAAGAACCAGTTGCAGAAGTGGATGCGCAATTGATAACCCGATGGAAAAAACTAAAGATAAGGCCCACGTGACTGGTACCCGCCAAGACCACGGGATCCGCAGGCCGATTGCGCGCGCTGCGAACTTCCCCGGATAGCCTCGACTGTTGATGTTGCGCCCGTCCTGCTACACTGCTGCGATGCCCCTACCCGTCTGATGGGCTTCTGTACTCGGCCTCTATGAGTGCGCTTCTTCATATAAATCGACCTGATGTACCACTGGAAATGAATTCTCGAAAATTCCTCGCCAATCCTCTTATTTGTGAATGCTCCCGGGGCTGTCCGCGACCGCTGTTGAATCATGGACTTTCCCGGAAGCGCCACCACCAATATACATTTAATTGTAAGCTCATCGTCTCTGTGATTCTCGACTGAATCCAGTAGGAGCTAATAAAATGACCCTAGGATGGCTTTTCTACTATCTATTGGAGGATATACACCGAGGAACAAGGCATCTCAAATCACCCGCAAGATGGTCCAGCTAATGGCTATACCATTTTGAAGCATCTGGGTCGCCTCAAGGATCTGGAGGCTCGATTGCGGGGGTTGAACTGCCTGGCCTCTTGTCCGAGGCGTCTCGGTCTATGGGTCTTTTCCTCCACCCCCGCCTTCGAAAGTCTAGCCTCCCTCTATGTCAAGGAGGGCGATACGGAAACAACGAAGATACTGGTGGATACAACCAAGCTCAAAGGTATGCGAGGCAACTATTGCAAATTGTCGCTGCTGTCAAATATTAATTTGCGGTATAGTTTCGGCATCCGGCAGTGTTGCTTCCCAAGAGTTGATCAAAAACCTTCCGCCGGACCCTCAAACTGCCCCTGCGACTCAGGCATCCGTACAGCAAAGACCTCAACAACCTCAGTCTGCAGCCCGACGACAAGAAGGCTACAATAGCTCGGCCGCCATATACGCTTCTTTCATCTCAGCCGTCACCGGTGCAATCAGTGTACATCTCATCCGGAGCTATGGCGCATTACCACTAGGTTCACGTACCTTATTTACTGCTGTGGAAAATTTTGGCTATGAGGGTCCTCGCATCGATAATCAAAGTGTGCTTTCCAAGTCCTGTTTAACCACCCTCAATGTCCAGTTGAACGCCACGGGCACCTTAACGATATCCCCGCAAACCATTTCACAACCGGGCATTACACGACTTTGTAGCCCCCGTGACGACATTGCCGATCTTTTGCGAGTTCAGCCTGGTACCGATATCTGGCTATGTCCCAATGGGGCTATCGCGAGACTTGTGACTGCAAATATTGAATCCCCCGCCATTCCTTCCCCCGAGTATCCGTCATCGGCAACTAATTTCTCAAGGCAACAACAGTGGAAACTGGATGTTGTTCAGTGGTTAGCCAATTTTGGTTTACACATTGATTCCATAGACGAGGAGCCGTGGGTGGAGGTGGAGGTGTGGGAACCGTTCTTTGCAAGATTGGCTGGAGAAACATGGCGCCAAAGCGAGGATGCCCAGTCGACGCTTCCCTTGAAGCGCATGTTGTGGCCTGCGCGGTTTTGCTTCAAAAGATCTGGTCCGATGATCCGCCCCTCCTGCCCGTCTCATACCTTTGATGACCCGTTAGAGTTCGCCGAGCAATGGTTTTCAGAAGCTAGCTCCCTCAAACTGAATCAAGAACCTCCAAATATCCCCATCTCGGCAGAAATCCCGATGAAGGACCATGATATGGCCTCCCCTCAAATTGACAGTGCAGAAAACCTAGAAAGTCTTTCTCGGATGGCCCAATATCCCGATCTACAAAGTACCAATATGGTCTATCCAACTCCACCAGAGGGTGCAGCTATTGTCGGAACTAACAACCCGCATGCGTCCGAGATTTCACCAGATGATCCCGACTTCAACCTAACGCCAGGCGCAGGGCAATATGCGAAAAATGTCTCTCATGTGGAATTTTCGCCCGACCTTCAGGTGGGCACAGGTCGATATGACGCGAGCGATGATGAGGATCTTTTCGGAGACATGAATGATAAAGACTTTGGAGCAAAGGGAATTACCGACGCAGACTTCAGCTTCTTCGATGACCCAGACCTCGAGACGATGGATGAAGGTATGCCTGATCAGGAGAAGCCGACGGCAGAAACCCCTCTGATGCCGCCAGATCAGCAGGCTTCGGTTAAAGAGGAGCCTAAGGAAGAAGTTAGGGAAGAACCTCCTGACGATGGCTCACTAGAGGTCCCACAACCTACCGATGTGAAGGAAGGTCATTTGCACAAAATGGAGGAGCCTCAAGCGAGCCCAGTTGACGAGTCAATGGGTCTTGAAGAATCTACACCATCCCCTCAGGAGCCAAAATCTCAGACGATCAGCCCCCCCATTGAGCCCTGTCGAGATCAAGAAAATCTTGTTCCCGGGATCAGAAGCCGAAGATCTGAACCAGTCCAGTGACGCACTATTTCAACAAGGTCACTATCACCCTATTGCATTTGAAAAGAAAATTGGCGACTGGGATCAAAAATATGGAACAGCAGGGAAATTTTGGTTTACCACCGGAAATGCATCAGAGGCATCGGATCGTAACTCCATTCCTACTATCGGCATGCCTCATCGTGGCAGAGGTAGTATTGCAACAAAATCTACGGGCGAAAGCGCAGCTCTTTCATCCCTGGACAACCACACTCGTTCCTCGTCTGTTTCAAGCAGCTCCGACAGTGATTTGAGTGACGAGGCTCCCCTAACCAACGCCCCGACGCCATTGGCGATGGTCATTCCATCATTGAAGAGAAAACGCGTGCCCTCCGAATCTGATATTCAATCTGTTGTATCCCTGGCCAAGTCTTCGGCAGTCCCCGAAAATGGTTCAGTCTCTAAGGGTGACAACACTACATTTCTTGGGAATTTCCTGGCCAATTTCTCCGACTGGACTTTTATTGGCTATTTCTCTGCTACGCAGATCCAACAAGTGCCAGTCCTTCTCCGACGAGAAGACCAGGTTTCGATTGCTCAATTGCTAGTCGACCAAATTACGCAGTCGTCTTTTGATCATCAATTAGCGGACCATGTCGGCTTATCTAGCATCAATAGCGAGAACTTTCCTTTGGAGGCGTGCCTTGAGGGTGCAAACTTCCTTGGCGACCTGGTGAGGCTCGATCTCAAAGCATACACATCATTACAAGAGGATCCAGCAACAGCACAGCAACCTCCGAAAGATTCTTCCAAGGGACCTATCTCAAAGTCCTTTCCTCCGCATGTTCGTGTTCGGCGGGGCAAAGATTGTCTTGAGGCTCTTCCACCTTCGATTTCATTCTGGGAGACATTTGGTCTCGAACCTGCTCATGGTAAGAAGGATGTTTCGGCCTATTGTATTCACCCCCAGGCTGCATCGAATGCAGCAGATGTATTCATGGATCGCTTTGGTCTTCTCTACCAAAGTTGTAACTTCGGAAATCATACTCGGGGAGATCAGTCGAAAGCATTTACAAACGGTCTCAGGACGTGGGGCCCGGAAAGCTCCGACTATAGCTCCATGATGCAGTCTTTGAATAAGATTTGCGAAAAGCTAGGTATGTCTACTTTCATCCAATTGAAAGCAATCGCTGACTTGATATGATAGGGACTGAGCTGGCACAAGCCCCGCCAGATACAGATAATTGTGTTGTCTACATTGTCAACCCTTTTCCACATGCAGCAGCACTTGTCGATATTTGCGCGGCTTTCTGGCGCCTTTTCCAACAATTGGCTGCGGATGCTGACTGGCAGCAAACTCGGCAACTCAACGATGTTGTCCTGCAAATCATTCCATTAGAATTCATTGTCTCGGAAGATTCCATGGTTGTACCAACTCAGCCCGAATACCTAAATCTTGCGCTAGAAGTATACAGTCGCTGCCGCCCCAAAGATGCCGATCCGAGCCCCTTTGTTTGTGCCCCTGCTATCGTTCTGGCCGATCCCGCGCCAAAAAGCATTGGCTTTCGACTTGCACCGGAGAGGGGGTCACCGCTCCAAGACGGTCGAAGCTTGCATCTGGCCCTCTCAAGGAGCTCGGATCAACGTTGGATCTCAGCTGCATGGTCCGATGGGACTGGTAGCCTTCAGATGGCAATGTCGTATTGCCTCAGGTATCGCAGTCGAAGTGCGCCCAGACCGATTGCCGACGTGCGCAATGAAATATGGGCCACGACAAAACATATCATGGAGAATTATCAGGCTCGCTGGAAGCTCGTTCTGGTCAACACTGAGCCGATGGATACCGATGATATCGAAGGTATGATCTCCCTCCGGCGCCAAAATCCAATTTACAACTGATCATTTTAAAACAGGATGGGCCAGCCTTTCCGAGCAACTTAACAAGCTCCGGCCTGGTGCTGTGGAGTTGACTATCGTGACAGTTAGTACCATTCCCGATTTGGTACTCGAGACACCCACCGCACCAATGACAACCGGTGTCCTTAACCCTCACTTCTCATCTACGCCCGTTTCGACTCCCAACCCGAGTATAAGCATCGCCTCCCCCGAACAGGCTGGCAACGCCCCAACTCCGGGAGCTGCGTACAATGCGCCAACCCCGACCGACGGCTCCTTGGAACCTGATCCGGATGTCGTTCTCACTGACATGTGCGACGAATCCTGGGCAGTCATATTATCCCACCGCCTCAACAACTCCCACCACGTCACCGAACTCCGCCCCGCGCTGGTTAGCGGGTATCTTCTTCGCCGCAAAGGCGTCGCCGACAGCGACGGCGTCTTTGCAATGACCGTCAATTTGGTCCACACACCTCGCCCATCACCATCCCATGAAATCCTCCTGAGAGAGGTTCTCGGCATGTATCGAGATCTAGCAACCCTTGCCCGGGCAAGGGGTATTCGCAGCGTACAGAACAATACAATGCCGTGGCACATTGCCACTGCTCTGCGAGCGCAGGAGCTCCTGAGCTATATTCTGTGAAGGAAGGGTCATTATGTCATATTACATTTGTTTCGGCGACGGCGTTCTGGGTTCTTGGGTTTAGATGTACGAAGAAAGTGGGTGCATTGCATACATCTTGGTTTTCATTGTTATTTTTCATAGGGAGCAGGAGATACCATCGGAGGCATGGGTTTGGCTTACGCGTAAGCGAGCAGTTTCTGCATACTACTAGTAGTACTTTTATCTATTCTCAGACTTGAGCTTCGAGCCCTGGAGTGGACAGAACATATTCCGAATGAAATCGGCTTAGACTCTGACCATGTTATGTTTTTCCTCCTCGTGGTCCCGTGGACTCCCAATTCTAGTATTCAGATTTTTGATCTCACTGGTATCACAGCTATTGTAGTATGGCACTCAATGTAGCTCGTAGATGTTCATTCGTTTATCTATAATAATAGGTAATCCATGTGTCATAATTTGTATAAGCAGACCAAGTCCGTCGCAAGGTCATCGTGAAAAGTACAACGAAGAGTAAGAAACGTCCAAGTTAAATATCCCAATCAACTCCAAAAGAAAAGTAACAAAAACGTGCATTCATGTATAGCCCATTCGGCTCAAAGTTGTACAGAAAATAAAATAGCGCCGCGACAGTATCGCAAAATTCATATCGAGTGGAGTCGAGTTGTCATGTCCAGAAATCAGGCGTAAAGAAGGGTATCGTATCGTTTTTGGAAGGACTTTGTTCAGAGGGAAGGGTGAGGGGGTGTCGTTGAGAAAGTCGTGATGATGATGTGTTGATCGTAGCCAGGATTGGTCCCATCAGGGTCGTTTGATCATTTTTCGTCACCCACCTTCTGCACTCTCCTCATCTCCTTGGGGCTTCTTGGCGAAGAAGGAGACGTGGTTCTGAACGGCCCAGATAGCAAAGCCGGCCAGGGCTAGAAGCAGGAAGAGGACGATGATAATGATCGCGATGGCGATGTTGCGTTTGACCATGATGGCTGATGTGTGCCCAATTGGGTTGCGGGGAGGAAAGGGCTTGGTATAGTATAGACGATCGCAGTAGCGTTCAGTGATGTAGTGGAGCTTCGTTCAGACGAGCGAGAACAAATCCGTAAGCTCGTTTTTCGTTCGGATGCAGTGCAAGTTCAAAGAATGCAAGTAAGGTATCTCCAATCTGAGACACCGTTGTTGGGTTGGAGCGGAGAAGCAAGTAACTATGTACTCTGATTGTATACTCCGGTGCTTTTGATCTGGCTGGTTGGCTCCCTTTTTCGTTTAAATGTGAGGGAGGTGATGGGAAGTCTCTCAGGGAGACAAGATTAGAGAAGAAGAAGAAAAAAACCGCCCAAATTTGGCTTGTAGCCGGGGGATTATAAAGAAATAAAAGTTCCCAGCCACCGCGATGCGTGAAAAAGCACATGGCTGGGGCGCCGTGTGGGGCTTGGCATTTCAAGTCGAAGGATTCGATGTTTCAAGCTGATTTATACCTCCGGAGTAAGACATTAAGTGATAATCAACTTATTATGATTTATTCTAATTTTTTATCTCATTCCAGGGAAAAATTGAATCAAAATCCAAGCCAAAGTGCTGTTGGGGAATTGCGTTGCTGCGATTTGCTGCTGCCAGACCAGCCCAGCCCAGTGGAGAGATCTGCCCGATCGCTGTCAGCCTCAGCCTCATCAACCTCCCTGCCACCCGCACTATACCATCTCCAGCAGATTCTTCAATTCTCTGGCTGGAGCGGTGAGTTGATGCTTTGATCTGATATCCAGTTGTCAGAATTGATCGTAAATCGCCCTCCCAGGTGATCCTAACAACGTTTGAAATCAGGTGCAAGGTTCAAGTTCAACCCTTCCTAAGGTTCAGCCTGCGTTCTGCCCCACTTCCTTCCCTTTCCTCCTCTTCATTAGTCAATTTTTCTCTTCCTCTAATTCTTTGGAGCTTTATATTGATGTCTACAGTGCTTTGCCTCTGTCAGGAGCACCTGGCGCGGTTCAAAGCATCGACATTTGGCAACCTTCAGGGTTTGGAATCTCCACGATATGCAGCATTGTGATGACCCGCAACGAGAGTTCCGCTACTACTACTACCTTCTAGTGGATCACTAAAAATGGAATCGCCCCAAGAAAATCTATGGGGGGAGGAGGTTCTTTTTGGTCCTGAGCCTCAATGGAGCGTCGAGCCTGAAATCGAGTCCATAAAGCAAACTGTCCAATCGTTGCGGTCATCGAAAACAGCCGAGGTGAAGTTTCTTACTCAAGGCGGGCTCAACAAGATCTACAATGTCAGCATGGATAATGAATCAATTATCATGCGGGTTTAATTGCCCGTCGATCCACGTTACAAAACCGCGAGTGAAGTGGCAACAATGGGTTGGGTGTGCCGTATCACACGCTTCCTAATCCCCAAAGTCATCAGTTACCAGTCCTCTCAAGACAATCCGATCGGCTTTGAATAGGTTTTCATGACTTAGATGCCTGGAAACCCATTGAGTGAGATATGGCACTCTGTTCCCTCCGCTGCGAAATCACGCCTGGCTCGGGAGTACGCGATGAACGCGGCTTACCTTTACCGAAATAAACTACGAGGAATTAGGAACGTCTATGAAGCTCCATCTGTCGTTGGAGTTTCAACCTCGAGCGAGGATAATTTACCAGCTCAGGAATCTGATGAAATAGAGATCTCAACTTCAGCAAAAGCACAGGGTTCAGGCGACATGTTTGGTTTATCTGGCAGTGGACCTTTACAAGAATCGTTACCTGACGTCGGCCGGATTGTTTCTATGCCATTGTTCTGGGGCTCACGTCTCAGCCAGGATATCTCCAGAGGCCCATTGCGCTCAAGTCAGGACTGGAATCATCGCTCGCCTCACGATTGAACGGAATGATTGTCAATCAACTTTGGATAAACACTCAAGTTCCACTGGAGACCTTGATAGCGATGCTGAAGATGACGTAGATGACGCTACAAGGACGCTGAAAGTATCAAAAAAATTCAACTCTTTTCTTCACCTAATATTTCCAACCAATGTGAATAATTCAACGGACCACAATGATTTCGAACCGTCAGTCATTTTTCACGACGATCTCGCAAAGCATAATATCCTTGTTGATGACGGGGAATTGACTGCTGTTCTAGACTGAGAGTGTGCTTCAGCACTGCCTTTATGGAAAGCATGTTCCTATCCTTCGTTTTTGAGAGGGCGATCGCGACGTCTGGAGCCTAATCTTGGAAGATACCACATTGGAAAATGCGGCCAACCGAACGACTTTACTTTCAACATTTCATGGATTACGAAACCACCCTCTTACGTGATATCTTTATCGAGGAGCTGAAAACCTTAGACACAGAATGTAGGGAGGTCTTTGATAAGATCCAGCACAAGAGAGACTTTGATATTGCGGTCTATTATTGTGATAATGAGTTCCTCGCGAAGCACATCAATGTATGAGTAGCGGATATCACCTCTGGTACAGATAAATTGCTCAGTTTGCGCGGCAGGATAGATGGAAATTAAGCGGTCCCTGGGCAACAATACCTATGTAGTACAATTTAAAAATTCATGACTAAAATAAAACAGAATTTCAGATAGACAAGGCTCGGGAGTAGGGTGCTAGACCTCCTATTCACAGCCTCAAATTAAGGATAGAGGGTATCAAATTGTCAGTCTCGTAACTATTATAACCTTGAAACTGGGTGGCGCTGGAAGGATTCGAGGTGCAGGACCCAAAAATTGAAGGAGGTCGACACAGAATATTAAGTATGGATTTCTTCGTGCTCAAGTAAAAGCATTATGCGATTTGAAATATGTCTCGGCTCCGGTCGAGAGGATCATCGTCTCGCCTGGATTTTGGACCTGATCGATCCGATCGATTCGGAGAATTCATGGGCGCTGTGGTCATCACGGAGTGCGCCTTTGCTCCGTGCACGCAATAAATGCTACGCATTAATTGGTACATATATTGAAGATGGTGCAATTGTTTTTCTTCCACCACCCTAGTCGGAAACTTCCATGCATAGAAAAACGTTGTTTGTATTTCCTGCAGTGACGATTAGTCCTATCGCTTAGGGTTATTTGACCGAGGTAGGAATGGAAGAGTGGAGCGCTACGGAGTAGTTCCATGAGGATCTGCACTCGCGTCATGAGACAGTGGAGGCGATGCCCTGCCTATTGAAAATATGATGATCTTATGCTTGATCAAATACTTTCGGATGGCTGTTCTACCGACTCTGGGCGCACCGTGCGCAACGGAAGCGCCGGGTACCTGGCTCAGAATGGGCTGCGTTTGATCGACACGGATTACACGACGAATATGTACTCAGTAAGGAGTCGAGGGACTTGCTGTGGAACTCTGCCAGCAAGTCCGCTGCATCAACCCCCGTTGCCCCAAATTTGCGTTTCTGTCACTTTCAAGTATCACGGGGGCGTTGGGATGGCTCATCGAGTGGTCACAGTAGCTCAATGGGCGGCATTGACTATGGTTGACAACCCCAAAGACGTCCTGGAGCAACCCCAAAACACTCGGGTCATTCGCCGCCACACACTCGGTAGTTGTGAACTATTGGACTCTATAATCAGCCACCAACTGAGTAGCCGGGGATAATCAGAGCGCTAGCCAAAGCCCCGGGAGAATTGGCACCAGTGACGGGTAAAGGAAAAAAGAGGGCCCCGCCACTAGCTGCCTGATAGCGCTAGGCAAAGCAGGCGTTCGTTCGGCGATTGCTCGCGAACTCAAGACCCAGTTCCTAGTGCCACCAAGGAAGTCCACTGACGTCTTAATTGATCCTGAATTATGAGGCGAGAGATCGTGGCAACAAATCCAAATCACTGGGGGTCTAGGGTCTAGGGAGCTCCTTTTCAGGGGCATATAAAAACATTAACGGGAGAAGTGGAAATGACAGCCGGCGTGCTAACCACGGTTCATGTTTAGCTGCCAATAGTAATCTGCCGAGGAATCTCCTGCTCAGTTTAGGGCTGCTACGTTCCATGGCTCTGCCGACCTGCCAGCGACCTGCCAGCGACCTATCGCACCAACTCAAGGGGATTTCTTTCCTGGTTACCCTAAGTATCCACTACGCTAAATCCTCTCCACCCAGGACAAGCCAATATTACTGGCCTCTCATAGGGCACAGCGCAGCTCCGCCGTGCAACGGGCCCGCGTGGGAACAGGGCTTTCGGCGGAGCAATACATAACGGACAACCACGCGTGCCCTCTCATGGCATGCTTGCATCGGGATGCGCTTGACGACTCCACTGTAGTAAAGAACGCCCCTGATGCTTAGACGAGACATGTTTCGAGGTCTGTATTTGATAGGCCCTTGGCATTTGGCCACCCGATCGTCGTCAGCTAGCCGTCCTTCTCCGCAAGTAGTCAACACGCCACCGTCTGTACGGAGTATCTTTCAAACTCTGTCGGAGCTTTCGCCCATCTGGAAGAGCGGAGTTTGAATTTGAATTGAGATCTTCGAATGCTGCTTTGAGACGCTGATCAGCATGCCGAGTTTAATAATCTTCCAAACTCCAATAGTCATATTACTGTTCCTGAGCTTATATCCTATATGCCCCTCTGTGGCTAAAGACGAATCCCTTTTACCCACTACCAAGTACTAATCAGTGCTAGTGGCTGTATTTTCTCTTTTTCTTTACCATTTTTCCCTTGACATTCTTGGTACGGAGTAAATACGGAGTAGTCGATCTTCCACTCTTCCCCTTTTGGTAACAGTCCAGCCAAGAGGGGCTTGTTCACCCCCAAGATTGCCTTTTCTTCAGTGGAATTGAGGTTTTGTTAAAATGAAGTGGTGGCCCTGGCTTGATCGTCTTTCTCCTCTTTGAACCTCTCCCACTCCACTCATTTGACAACCACTGAAGGTCTCCAGTGAGATCAGGGCGAGCAATCGTTCTACACACATCAAACACAATGACGACTTTGTCTACATCCCGTGGCCGCGGGGCCCTCGCGGTCAGCACTGTCTTTACATGTCTGGCGACGGCTTTAGTCCTCATCCGTATCTATACACGAACGGTTATGGTGAAGCAAATGGGTGCCGATGACTACGCCATCTTAATCGCACTGGTAAGTGCCTTTGACTCAACTATATGCGAAAGCAGCAAATCTGATATCTCAGCACAGGCATTCTCGTGGGCATTCTTTGGATTGTTCGTTGGCGGTTTGTTCATCCAGTTTCCTCGACAGTGTATGCGAGATTTACTAATTCTGAATAGAGGTCTACCATGGAATGGGCGAGCATTTCAAACTCATCCCAGCCGATGTCTATAAAATCCAAATGATTGTGCGTTCAACTGAATTCTACCTGTCAATGGACATAACTAATTCCCCATTTGCCAAAAGTGTTTCTGGGCATCCGTTCCTATCTATCAGACCAGTCTTCTCACCACCAAGATGTCAATCCTTTTCCAATACCGCCGAGTCTTCTCAACGCCACGCATGCGTCTCGCATGTTCTCTACTCATCGGATTCCTCGCCGTCTACGGAACTTGGACCGTTCTCAGTGCCTGGGTGAACTGCGTGCCCTTGGCCAAATTTTGGGATCCCACTGTGCCGGGATTCTGTTTCGACAAGAAGGCCCTTTGGTTTTCTAATTCCGCCGTCCACATCTTGACCGATCTTTTGATCTTGATCTATCCCATGCCGGTACTCAGCTCTCTTCAGCTTCCCAGGAAGCAGAAGTTTGCATTGATGGCCGTGTTTGCCCTTGGTGGATTGTACGTTCCCCCTCTATATCTTCTCTGATTTCTTTACTTCCATGGCCATTTGCTGACATTATTCCCTCCAGCGTGATGATCACCAGTATTCTGCGTCTCAAGAGTCTCTTGGTTATTTCAAACTCCAGTGATCCAACCTGTACGTGCCACGCCACCAACCGACACAATCCCCTGTTCACCTCACTAATCTCATCTAGACGACAACGTCGGCGCCGCTGAATGGTCCGCAATCGAATGCAATGTCGCCATCATCTGCGCCTGTCTCCCCAGCACAAGAGCCATGCTCTCCCAACTCCTCCCCCACATCTTCTCCACCCGCAGCAACGGGTCTCGCAGCAAGACCACTCGCCCCTCACGAAACGGGCGCAGTGTTCTAACCGGCACACACACCCACGTTCAAGCATCTGTCATCGGCGGCCGTGATACCAAGCACGACAGCTACGATCTCGAAGATTTGACACCGCCCAGCACAGCTCCAAGCTATAGCAAGGAACTTGATACCAAGGAGACTTTTGCCGGTATCAAGGTTACGACGCTCGTCTCGCAGGAGTCGACTACGCATCCTGCTACGATCCCTACTGATGACGCCGCGAGCACGAAGGAACTTGTGCCTAAGAAAAGCTTTTGCTAGTGGCTTTTTGCTTGCTTTTTCATGATGATTACCCTCTTTCATGCTCTTTTCTTTTCTTTTCTTTTCCTTTCTTTTCTTTTCTTTTCTTTTCTTTTCTTTGCATTATACTTTTCATTCCCCTTCTCTCTTCTTTTTTCTCTTTTTCCCTTTCCTCTTTTTTTCTGAACGACCTCCTACGTGGAAGGATACAGACACTGACACTTCCTGTTTATAATACTTTCTTTCTTTTCTTTTATGTTTATATGATATCCTGGGCGGACTTTTGTGGATATCCGGCGATTTCGCCTTTCTCTCATCGGCGTCGGATTTCGATTTTGATTCTACATGGACATGTTACTACTATACTATATACCCCAATACCCAGAAAATGAAATAACCTCCAAGAACTTGACAATATGCATTCTGAGTAATCGTTCTCCTATATTCAAGTGTCCCCAGAGACTCGCTCTGTCTTTTCATCCGTAAAAGATATCATCAGATTTTAATTGACTCATATCTGAAAATCTTATGCCGATGTCTATACAATCCAAACCGAATGATAAAAAACCCATGCGCCGGAAATGCCAAAGAAAAAGAATGAATAATGAAACAAAACCGTAAGGGTATCGCTAGAGAAACTCCGGGGAAAAAATATCAACAAATCAAGTTCAGAACATCGAACTCCGCTTTTTATCCAGGCGCGTCCTGTCACCTTCTTCCTTGTTGCGCCGGAATCCGAAGAAACTGCTTTTCTTAGGCTGGAGCTGCTGGGCAGGCTGTGGCCCAGTCTGCAAGGCCCCGCTGCTCGTCGCGGTAGCGGTCGCGGTCGGGTAGAAACCGACTGTCGACTGGGGCCGGACTTGAGGCCGGGGTTGGGCGATGTGTACGGATGATTGGATCCGCGGGTCTCGGCCACCAGGCGCTTGCATATACGGGCCATTAGCGAATGTGGGGACGGGTGCGCCTTGCGACTGTTGTGGTCGGTGGTAGCGAGGAGGCTGCTGCTGCTGCTGCTGCCGCCAGGCGGGCTCTTGTTGAGGTAGGTAGGAGTAAGATTGAGAGGGGTGGTGAGAATATGGGCGAGAAGGACCGCTGTGTCGCGGGGGGAGATTTGGTCGGGAAGAGGGAGCTGGCTGAAGTCGGGCTTGGTGCTCTTCCTGTCCGTAGAGCTTTTGTAGCCGTTTTGTTTCCTTGTCGACTTCGGCTTGGCGCTTTTGTCGGGATTTCTCTTGCGCCCGTTTCTCTGCGGCGAGGAGGTCTTGGGTTCGGCGGGATTCTGCTTGCGCGAGCTCGTCTTGTCGCTTTCGGGCTTGTGGGCCGGGTGATTGTGGTGACATTGCATTGAAGGTCGAGCTTCGTGGTGGCGGCCCTGTCGAGCTCCGTGGTGGTGGTCCTGTGGGTACTGCGCCGACAGCTTGAACCTTCGGGCTCTTCCTGCCTGCAGGGGCAGGAGTAGCAACGGGTTGTGGCCTGCCGTTGGTCATTGTCGGTCCGCCAGCTGTAATATGGAATGCTTCCTTAGCAGGGCCAAAGAATATATCCCGAATAGCCACTGCGGCAAGTAATAGAACAACTTCCAAGCCTTTGAAATCCTCCATTTCCACACGGTAGAGATTCGGTTCGTAGAGTGTGAGCTCACGCAGACCTTGGAAAAGTGCGACGGTAATATCGGGCTCCCGGCTCTTCTTCTGTGTGTCTGGAATGGTCGAGGACTTGCCATGCAGCAGACACGTGAGATCCTTTGAAAGTTTTCCATCCTTGCGCCAACTGAATCGCAGCTTTGGTGTCACATCTGCCGCGGCTGGGTCGCTCTGAGTTCGGTCAAGGGTCGAGGCAGAAGGGAATCGGAAAGTACGCTGGGGCATCTCGAATTCCCATCGAGCGGGTTTGTTCCAGGACTTGGGTTGGTGTTTCACGGTGATGGTCTGGTCGGGATTATAAAGTTGGATGGTGAATTCGACGGGGAGGATAGGTTCAGGCGGAGGGGGTGCACCACCATTGGCCCGAATGGTGTCTGCGGACAAGCTTGGCTGTGTCCATTCTGGAATTACAGCGACCTCCCCAAAGACGACCTCGGGCACGTAGGGGTCGCAAAGGGCGACGCCATAACGGTTTTGTGATGCAGGGGCGGCGGGGTCCAGGGCGCGGAGAGTATATGCAGGTTCGGGGTCATTTCCATGTTGACGATGATATATGGTATTTTGCTGAGGAGTCTTTGAGTCGTTCTTTAGGAAGAAGGCTGGCAGGCGACGAAAATAACGTCAGCTATTGTGCAAGAGCAGAGCAGGGCCGAGCGGGGAGGTATGAGGTAGCGGGGAAGGGAAAAAGGCAAGGAGAGAATTCAGGAGGAGGCAGTGGAATCGAAAGAAGGCATTGTGTATCAATGGATATCTTGACTTACTAGGCAGGCTTTCGTCAATCATTTTGGCTCGTGAAGCTCAAGGAGTGGGCGAGAGGAGGTTATATGGGGACATTAAAAGCGGGAGGTTGCACATCTGCGCCACGCTCGCACTTATTGGATCGGCGCCTAAAAATAGTTAAGCCGCGCACACTCGCCCGTTCGTATCAACAAGAGGCACCAACATTCTGGGGTTCCACCCTTGACGGCTATGCTAGTCTAGCGCATTTGCATTCGCATTTGCATTTAAATCTACATCTACATCTACATCTACATCTACATCTACGTCTACATCCCTATTCCTTAGTAATTTAAATACATTTTAGTCTACCTAGGTACTAGTAGTGATACGCTAATAAATATTGAAACCCTTGGAACTTGAATGCACAATTTTGCCAAGCCAAAGAGCCTTGGCATATTTACACTGTTTATACAACCTTGAAAATTGAGTCTATATGAGTCTTGGAGGTATGAGGTACTGTGAGGGTATGAGGGTACCCGCAAATGAGATTCTCGAAGTCTGACATGAACTATGCGTATTTCAAGTCTATTAGTAACTTCATCACATACACTGGCAGTAATAGTAGTACCTAGATACACAAGTTTGTAAGACCATGGCCAACTTGAATAAGCACTCCTGAATTGAAGTACTAGTATAGTATATTGAGAGATAACCAGGTGCCTCCGACTTCAAGTGCCCGAGCTGATTTTATGCTTGGATAAAAACCCGCATATTATCAAGACACCGTGCATTCCGAGTCGTTAAATACAATTTCAGCCCTATTCAAGTCTAGGTGTCGTACTGAGTACCAACATGGGAGCTCATGTCTCCACATGCTGAGACACTCTCATAGTTGTTCCCGAATCCCTCACCTTCAGTGATAGAGCGGAAGTACATAAAGGCCTGACCAGACGTCCCCGCCCACCCGAAAATGTTACCATGGCCCGCCATGGTGTAGTGTCTCCCACCTATAAGCAAAGTTTGTTGCAGCTCCCGTAAAGTCGCTGCCAGAATAGCCCATCGCCTCATGCTTGAATGCAATCTTCACTCCGGGTCCATCGACGCGTTTTTGGAGAGAAGAGCCGCTGCTGGGCCCAGGAATGCGAAGGTGTGCTGTACCATCTTCAAAGTGATAGATATCATAATTGCGGGAGATGTTAGAGTTTAACTCTCTAACACCGCTCAGGCGATATTGATGAGCCAGAGCAGGTGTGGCATCATCTGATCGAGCTCCAATACGAGGATTCTCGACCATATAATGAGAATCGATGGTGTAGTTGTGTAGTTGTTTGAGGGCTTCCATGTCATAGGCATCGCTGGGGAGAGCCCGAGCGTTGAGGTTCATGAGAACAGTCCCCCCTCCGACGAGAGAAGTAGCAAACTCAACTTTCCGAACGAGCTTTAGGGCCAGGTCAAATCCAGCTCTGACCTCTGTCAGGATGGAAGAACAATATGTGTCGTCTTTTCTTTCACAGACACCCTTGATATAATCTTCAACATCGGTGTAAAACCAATTACTAAAGTTTGTGGGTCAGAATCCGTATGACTGTGAATGATTGGAGTCAAGACTTACGTGACCTCGAGAGTCTTCTGACCGATCCAAACGTATTTGGCAACAGTTTGACATTTCGAAACGATGCCTCTTTTTTCAAGTTGAGCCTCGGCTATTCCCGCATCATGGGGGCTCTGATCAGGAGCAGACACAGGAGCGGCGAACGCAATATTGCCGAGAGCAGATAGAGCCAGAAATCCCGAAGAGAGCTTCATTCTAGGTCAACTATGAAGTGAGACTGTTTTGATTGAGATAAAAAACGAGTTCAAGGCCCTTTTTCTGGTATTTATATTCATAGGGGCAGTTTCAAGACATCGCCTATAGTATAATCGCTACGTATCTATCATCACAAGCCTACGGTATGACTCGGTGTCCATTCGTTCATTTGGGGGCTATTTAACGTAACGGAATCGTTGGCTGCAATTTTTCGAGAGATCGTCGACTTCTTTCCCTATCCTAGATAAAAAGACATTGGCTTTCATGCAACAAAGAGCTCCTTGTGGATGTCCTTTCTGTGGGTACGGAGTACTTCGTAGCCCATCGTGTCAGGATTTCTGTTTTACTCTGCATGAAGCATGCCCAAAATCATGCTAAATACAATTTTCAAGCTGCACCTGGGCATATCTACATACAAGTCGATTAATTGCTTGAAATATACCTATGAAAGTAACTTCGAGCGTTATTAGTACTGCAGAATATGACATAGAAGTAGACCTGAATGCATACTAGAACATGATACATTATGCTTTGAACATTGATATTAGCCGATTCGTCGGCTTGGAATCAGCCTTGTTATGCTATCTGAGCAAAATCCCCACTTTACTCCGATTCAGTCTACATAAACGGCAGAGATACAATTTCGAATTCCCGATTTAGAGTAGGGAGAAGGGCCACTTCTCCCGCAGGACGGGACGGGACGATGGAGACCAGTTCATACTCTGTATTTGGAAAATATCGAGGCAATCTAAATGCTTGGTTTGGTGCGCTGTGCCACCGCTAGTTTACTAATTCCGCATAATCCATATGAGAAGAACATTAGATTCCCCGAAGAAAGTCATCACATTAAAAGATGCTTATTTTCTTTCGTAAATGGCTACACCCTATTCCACAATTCCACGTCTTCTACAAAGAAAGCAATTTTAGCTGCACAGGCTAGGACCATCTTACCATAGCGAACTGGCACTCTGTGTCTTTGCCCGCACTAATTGTAGGATATATACATAGTCGAGTGTTTGGTGGTGGAGCTAAACAATCACCTAAGTGGACCTTCTTATCCACTACTTTGGGGGCCAAATGTTGTAAGTTCTTCGCTAAACTCCTATTCTAACCTGGAACCGTTGAAGAGTTTGCCTTCGCTTTATTAATGCAGATTGGTGCTCTTTTCATGCACGTTGTTGCGTGTACCCTGTTTGGCCATACACATGCCGGCTCTCTGGTCAAGATCGCATTTTATGTACTAGTAGTACATATTTACCTGAGAGACGATTTGCATGTTAATTTGGCTGTTTTCAGGCTGTGATCTTCATGTTCCTAGCGCAGCCACTATGCACGCTAATGCATCACAATCACGTTGGTCAGACAGTGGACATAACAGATGCCGAGACAAGTGGACCCTACGGGATCGGTTACTGAGAAAATCAAGCTTCAGCCTCCGATCCTCATCCTGTAACTATATGGGTCCCAACAAGTTGAAAAAATCCCCTCTGTACAAAGAATTTTTGAGTGCATTATTGTAGCCTCGTTGTTTAATCGCTCGAAGTATCTGGACAAGCTCCACAGTTACCAGCCGGACTGAATCCACAACCACAACGCGGACTTGACTCTGAAACTTAGATAGGGGCAGGGCAAAATGTATTTCCCTTCCCCTCAATCTCTCAACACGGTGCTGATCACCAAGACTCATTTTTTGTGAAAGTAATCTTGGCTCGTTGCCATCCTAAAGTATTGGAGATAGCATCGTTGGTTTACCCTATCGGTGTTGTTGTTTTGTACTTATGTGATTGACCCATCTGCTCACGCACCTGAGACAGCCATCGAGCTCTCTCGTCTTACACCCGGACACTGAGTATATCTTAGAGTAACTGGATATCTAGTTGTACCAATATATACTACTAGTATTATATCTAGTGTTCATCAGAAATGATGTACTATTCCAAGTTTAAAGACGCAACCTTGGAAAGAATCCCCCCCCAAAAGATAATTCCACCATAGTCAAGAAATAAGTCCTTCACAAGTATCTCCCATCCACTGCCTAGACATTTAATTGTGTTATTCAAGTTTTTTCACAGTCCTAGCCTCGGAAATTCTCTCATTTGAAGCAGCACCTTTATCCTCAGCTGCTTGTCGCCTCTTGCGCGCCCAACCAATATAAAGCATCCGGAAAAAGTACAGGACTAGAGTCACCTCTATGGACTTTGACGCTTTGTCATTGTATGACCGGCAAGTTTCGTTACCACATTCCATAAAGGGACGGCATATCAGATATTCGAATATGTATGGCGATAAAATGAGAACGACCATATACCTAAATGTACAAGATAAGTGGGCAATCCAGTATGATATGGGGTTTAGAGCTCTTACAGCCTAGTAAATGCTTCGTTAAAAAGGCCAATCTTGATAAAAAAGCGCTCTAGAGCGGGCAAATCACGATGGTTGACGTTCGGTACTTGTTGGGCCGATGCCACGGATTGATCAGAGGGTTCTTTCGAGTCCATTTTGAGCACCAGGGGCCTAGTAGGCGAGAAATGTGCTGGAGAACCAGAGTGTTTTTCGGAATGAGCAAAGGAACTTAAAGGGAGACAGGTGGGTGTTTTTCGACATGAGAAAAGGAACTTAAAAGGAGGGTCAAAAAGTTGGGTAGTCTCCAGGTTAAACGTGGTAAAGCTAGCCCGATATAGTAATTCGCTTGTCCGATCTCATTGGTATTATGAGTGGGCCCGGATTGGAGCAGTGGCTTGCGGCCCGCACGCGTCCGAAATAGCCCCCATCTACTCCGTACGGAGTACTAGTTACATACATCTCTTGCAGGTGCCCGGAATCTCGCTGCCTACGTTGTGCGTGGGGATTGAATTTCAAATTTCCCCTCCACCAAGTCCCGCAGCTTAATTTCGCCGATCGACAGCTCGACAACCGCTTCGAGTCTGTTTTGCGACACTACGGGGGTAGACCTTGGGGCAATGCAAGCCATCCGAATTTGGGGGCCACCAAGCCACCATTATTACTGGTAATCATAGCGAAAACCCCAAAAACATGTTTGCCTTTAACTAGATTAGTCCGGAATAGTTGAATACTAGTAAATAATCATTGAGCGTCATACTGTGGCTTTGGCTACCCCTAGTTACGTATTTGTTGTAGCAGATTAAGGGTCATCTACCTGCCAAAGGTTTGCATTAGCAAAAAAATGAACATGATAATACATGCGTAGATTCTAATTAAAGAAAAGGGTGAAGCTCCATGCTACTTGTATTGATTTTCTTCTACAATCGTGACCTTCCTTGGAATAAGCCCTGGCAGTGGAGCAATTATGTCCTGCTACCTATGTATCTTTGATCTTCTGATCAATTTCTGCAGTTTTCAACTTTTCAACTAATATTTTTCAAACATCCATGGATCTACGGACTTGAATATATTGGGCTCTTTCTTCTATAACTCTGGAATTCTGTAGTAACCTCAGACTTCTCTAAATTTTGCTCTGATATACGCCTTGTTTTGAAGTTGGTAAATGGAACGTGACGCGTTCTGTATACCCTCAATTCTTTTTTGTTAATTTAGACCTGTAGGTTTTGCTCTGATACGCGCCCGTTATTTTGAAGTTTTAAGTTGGTGCGTGGACCACAACGTGTTCTGAATACCCTCATTTTTTTTTTTTGCTAACTTAGATCTCTAGGTTTTTAGTAGTAGTAGTAGTAGTAGTAGTAGTAGTAGTAGTAGAATATAGTATTTTTGAAAATATGATATTCAATGAAATTTGGGCATTCTGACCATATTCTCAAAAAATATGGTCGGGACAACTGTAGACTCGGACTAGTACTAGTAACCTTGGAAAGGACGGGGGGGGGGGGGGACTCGGAACGTGAAGGAAGGTACTACACTAGTATAAACCTCCAGGGTTTGGAACCCGGGCCTTGGAACAAGCACTACGAACAATGAAATCACATGAGAGAAGATGTTCATAGTGGCATTTACAGTGGCTACTCATGAATACTGCCCCCTTTGAACGCACCAGTCTCTGCTGAGCTCTCGATAACCAATGACCTACCGTAGATCGTGCGATTAAATATAGCTGAGGCTCTGTAAGCTCCTGAAAGACTGAATGGAACAAAGGGGTCCACAAACACATGCGCACCCACAGTAAATGTCACCATGGACACCCTAAAACTCAATTAGCTAACAAACCGAGGGTGGATTGACTGACCTGGATGTTGATAGAATAGGAATAATAAGATGGGCCAGGAGTTCAGTCTCTATCATTTGTTAGCATCCGGCGCGTTGGAACGAGCGCTTACCTGTTCCAGGGTCTCACTGCAGCAGGCCATCGCACGTGAAGAAGTGGAGGGGGAGCCTAGAACTCATTATTATAAAATATTCGTATCAAAGACAGAAATATGAAGTCCAAGGAGTGGGTACTTATCTAGGTACTGGTACTATGTACTTAGTTAGTCGTATCTGGCTGGACCAAGAACACCTGGGCATGGGATGCTCTCGAAAGTGACTTCGAGGACGCTATAAAAGATGTGTACCTAGGTATAGTTCCGACTGCTTCTAAATCGAGTTGTCAAAAATGTCAACGTATCGGAGAGGGGCCTACCGTTCTCAATCTGGGAATGGCAAAGTGATGCGCGTCTCAATCGTGGATTCTATACTGCAAATGACAGGGTTAGTTCATCTACATAGTAGAATAAGGGGAGTACATCCTCTGAGACGATGAAGTTACTGGAGATGCTGGATAACTTCAACTAGGCGGGAACCGAGTCTTTTATAATACATCCCTCGGAGAATTAAAGAAAAGTAAAGGATAAGTCTCTTGTCCTGAATCACATTGTCCCTCATGTCTTGCTTAACAATAAAGATTCACCGCAAAGAAAGAGCCCCGAAGACAATGGAACAAAGCACTCCGCCAGAAATAATGAACTTTTGTTCTATTCCAAAAAGTCTATCTAAGCATGTCGTCAAACTACCACGAAAAAAAAACCTTTATCAAATGATGCCTATGTTC